CACAAGCAGACGATACTCCTTCACTTATCTGTACGTCGTTAGAATCACAAAACCATTCCAAAACGACCAATAGCGTTATATACAGTGAGGGGAAAAAGTATTTGATCCCCTGCTGATTTTGTACGTTTGCCCACTGACAAAGAAATGATCAGTCTATAATTTTAATGGTAGGTTTATTTGAACAGTGAGAGACAGAATAACCACAACAAAAATCCAGAAAAACACATGTCAAAAATGTTATAAATTGATTTGCATTTTAATGAGGGAAATAAGTATTTGACCCCTCTGCAAAACATAACTTAGTACTTGGTGGCAAAACCCTTGTTGGCAATCACAGAGGTCAGACGTTTCTTGTAGTTGGCCACCAGGTTTGCACACATCTCAGGAGGGATTTTGTCCCACTCCTCTTTGCAGATCTTCTCCAAGTCATTAAGGTTTCGAGGCTGACGTTTGGCAACTCGAACCTTCAGCTCCCTCCACAGATTTTCTATGGAATTAAGGTCTGGAGACTGGCTAGGCCACTCCAGGACCTTAATGTGCTTATTTTTGAGCCACTCCTTTGTTGCCTTGACGGTGTGTTTTGGGTCATTGTCATGCTGGAATACCCATCCACGACCCATTTTCAATGCCTGGCTGAGGCAAGGAGGTTCTCACCCAAGATTTGACGGTACATGGCCCCGTCCATCGTCCCTTTGATGCGGTGAAGTTGTCCTGTCCCCTTAGCAGAAAAACACCCCCAAAGCATAATGTTTCCACCTCCATGTTTGACGTTGGGGATGGTGTTCTTGGGGTCATAGGCAGCATTCCTTCTCCAAACACGGCGAGTTTAGTTGATGCCAAAGAGCTCCATTTTGGTCTCATCTGACCACAACACTTTCACCCAGTTGTCCTCTGAATCATTCAGATGTTCATTGGCAAACTTCAGACGGGCATGTATATGTGCTTTCTTGAGCAGGGGGACCTTGTGAGTGCTGCAGGATTTCAGTCCTTCACGGCGTAGTTTGTTACCAATTGTTTTCTTGGTGACTATGGTCCCAGCTGCCTTGAGATCATTGACAAGATCCTCCCGTGTAATTGTGGGCTGATTCCTCACCGTTCTCATGATCATTGCAACTCCACGAGGTGAGATCTTGCATGGAGCCCCAGGCCGAGGGAGATTGACAGTTATTTTGTGTTTCTTCCATTTGCGAATAATCGCACCAACTGTTGTCACCTTCTCATCAAGTTGCTTGGCAATGGTCTTGTAGCCCATTCCAGCCTTGTGTAGGTCTACAATCTTGTCCCTGACATCCTTGGAGAGCTCTTTGGTCTTGGCCATGGTGGAGAGTTTGGAATCTGATTGATTGATTGCTTGCTTCTGTGGACAGCTGTCTTTTATACAGGTAACAAGCTGAGATTAGGAGCACTCCCTTTAAGAGTGTGCTCCTAATCTCAGCTCGTTACCTGTATAAAAGACACCTGAGAGCCAGAAATCTTTCTGATTGAGAGGGGGTAAAATACTGATTTCCCTCATTAAAATGCAAATCAATTTATAACATTTTTGACATGCGTTTTTCTGGATTTTCTTGTTATTATGTCTCTCAATGTTCAAATAAACCTACCATTAAAATCATAGACTGATCATTTCTTTGTCAGTGGGCAAACGTACAAAATCAGCAGGGGATCAAATACTTGTTTCCCTCACTGTAGACCCATGTGTAACGAATGTCACCATAACAGTCATAATAATTTACTGCCCTGTATCAGGTCACTGCTAAATAGAGGACTCCCCCATCCACATCAACCTTGGTGGTATGTTTGACCATACTTCACTGCACTGGTCAATGTGGGTTAGAAAAGTGGGACCCATAGCCAACATCACCCACCATGTATGTTAGCCGTAGCTGAGAATTGAGCTCATGTTGCCGAGTTCATAGTGCGATTCGCTAACCACTGCACGCTGCTCATAATTAGAATTAAATATTTTAAAAAGTAAGTAGTTTGTTGAAGCTAAACGACCTTTATGCATACTGTCATAATGGTGTTAAATCTGACATAACCAAAGCTGTTGCCTTATTTGTACTAAAGGTTTATGTCAAAGTGCCATGGCATATCAGGAACATAAATAGACCAAGACCTTATAGCTCACTAAAACCGTATTTGCAAATGAGGCACAATAACAAAGATACAGATTTAAACACGGTTTACTATATGTTATAAGTAAATGAATATAAGAGTGATTTTTTTAAATACTAGCCCAAAGTTTCTCCATAAAACATTTATGCGTTGCATAACTCATGATAGGTTGTGTATAAAAGGAAGCATTTCACAACAGCCGTGTGCTGCTGGAATAACCTATATGTAATGATGAACGGCATATTAATTCCCTTCGCACAAATTAAGAGCTCACAAGTACAGCTCATTCCAAAGATCAGTCCGTTTTCCCCCCCATATCTCACGGTCAGCATGTGCCCTTATCACCAAATATATGTGAACAGCGATGCATGCGAGTGATAAACAGACGTAGGAATATCCCATCGTTATTTTATTGCATCGATGGGCGACAAATCCCAGTTTAAAATTGGTGAACGATGAAAGGCTCCGTTACATGCGGGTGGGCGGGACGCCCAATCTCAATTCTCGCCGACTCTGCTCTGGTGACCGTGGCACCTATGACCTCTGGAGTAGATCCCGCTGGGAAAGTTTGTTTTGAGGTCGTCGCCTCGCTGTGATCATTTGAAACGTAGGGGACAACGGGTTTTGCTGAATCACCTCGCTTGTTTTAGGTCTGCAGGTGAAAGTGTGGCCATGAAGGGGGACCCAGTGCTGTGTGCCTGAGTGCTTCCTTCGTGAATGCGTGCGTGCGTGTGTCTGAGTGGGGGAGCGGTAGTGTAGTTGTTAGCGCGCTGCGCTACGAACCCGGCGACCCGAGTTCGAATCCCGCTCACGGTCAACACCAGTGACGATTATCTGAACTCATCCTAGGCCTCCCGTGAGGTCACCTCGGCCTCAAAAAATTACTACCGTGCGATGTGTAAACATCGCCACTGGGGAGACAAAGGTGCCCAGTCGTGGTCCTAGCCACACCAACCACTCTTCATGGGTGCATGCTAACAGCACTTGATCCAACAGTCTCTGTAGGCTACCCTCTAACGTAGTGTTATTCATTTGTATGGTGAGTGGTGGCGTAGTGTTTAACATGCTGCAATACGATCCCTATGAAGCAGATTAGATTCCCACCCATGTACAACACCAGTGGCAAATGGAATCGGAACCTGGTGGTGGCCTCCACTCGGTTGACTTCAAACAATCATACTTGGCAATCATAAAAAATGGGGACACTAAAGCAGCCAGGCATAGTGCTGGCCGCATCAATCCCTTGTGCACCATGCACCGTCCTTTGTGTAGGTGCTTGTCCAAGTACTGTACTCATCCCTTCCAAGTTGTATGGAACCATTGTCTCGTGTGTTATTCCGGAGTACTGTACAGGTTTTCCTCGCGTTATGCGGGTTCGGTTTTGCGCGATTTTGCGTGCATTGTGGCGATCCTATTTCTATCCATAATTCGTTATATGCGCTGATTGCACTATGCGGTCGGACTTCGGACAACATTGTTTGTGAACTGTGTACACTACTTGGCAGGCAGCTGTCTACTACTCCGTAAAGCAAGGGAAGCCTGTAATATGTTTTAGTTTTACAGTGCACAGTGGTAGCGTGTTTTCCACTTATTGCATAGGGTCAAGATTCGAATCCTGAGTCCACCTTGGGGGAAGGCCAGGACTGGTTCAAATATTCGCTGTCACTGTTATTGGTAGTGAGCAGGAATCGAATCCCAAGTCGCCAGGTTCGTACCGCAGTGCGCTAACCACTATGCTATGTACACAAAGACAAATACCACAATTTTAGCCTTGACACACTGTTAAAGTGAGCGCTGTTAGCGAGCACCTATGAAGGCCGGCACGGCATACGAGGGGGCGGGTGGTCAGCACCACGCTCGGCCGCTTTCGTCTCCAGTGGTAATGTGTGCACATCGTACCAGGTACTCATATGAGGCTGAGTCAACCTCGGAGAGACCCAACACTCATTCAGATAATCGTCACTTGTGTTGGCCATAGGCGGGAATCGAACTTGGCTCGGTGGGCTTGTCGCTCAGCTCGCTAACCACTTACGCGCACACACATGCGCGCATGCGAACACACACCAGCTCAGAGCTCCACATTCGGCGTCCCCCGTCCTCGGTCCGTGCGCCCGGGCGTGCCGCTTATTGTGGCAGATCATTTTCACGAAGCACGCCCCGCCAGTCGTAACGTGACAAGTGCGCCGGGGAGAGCGTGCGCTTGATGGGATCTGTCAACACGGCTGCCCACTCGTGGGAAACGGGCACACACGGAGAGAGAAACAACACCCATCTCACTGTATGAGTTATTTGCGTTTGATAAATATAATTCATGAGTGCACTTGAAATTTGGCTTCTCCACGTACACAACATTGTGTGTGCGAACCCAGCGACTCGGGTTCAATTCCCACTCACGGCCACTACCAGTGATTATCTGAACTGGTCCTGGGCCTCCCCGAGGCCAACTCGGCCTCAATTGAGTACCTGGTGCAGTGTGTAAACTTTGCCATGTGGGAGACAAAGGTGGCCGGGCGTGGTGCTGGCCAACCCCCCACACCCTCGTGTGCCATGCAGCACTTGCCCCAGCAGTTTGTTAAGATTACATGGGGATTTTTTTTATCTTTGTGATCTGTGTGCCAAAGGTTGGCACAGTGGGGAGCACAGATGGTGTATCTGTCAGTCATCGGTGGCGATAGGGTAGCCTCAGTGCCTGGTACGCAGGAGGTTGTGGGTTCGATCCCGACTCCGACACCTGTATATTTGGAGTTTGTATGTTCTCCCCGTAGTTGCGTGGATTTTTCTCTGGGTCGTCCGGGTTTTCTCTCCACATTTAGAAACGTCTGTTTAGAGTATTTGGCTCCTATAAATGTCCACATGATAAGCCACTTCGTTGAGCTATCATTTGTGGCCAGGTCGCTCCTGAAAAAGAGCTACATAGCTCAGTGGGCCTTTCCTGGTAAAAAAAAAATCGTTTAGTTTCTCAGTTAAGCCATCACATCTACGTCTCTCCCTGTGACCTTTTTGCCAGCGAATTTTCACATGGCCTCAGAGTGCAGCTCACCTGGCACCCCTGCAATGGCGATGTCTTCACTTTGTGGCGAAAAAGCAGCCCTGTCTAGATTTTACACCAGCCTTAAATGAGTACGTAGTGCGGTGTGTGAACATCAACACTGGGAAGACAAAGGCGGCCAGGCGTGGTGCTGGTCATACCACCCCTTCGTACACCTAAGCAGGCTTAATAGGTGCTCGGAAACAGCACTTGCGTCAACAGTTTGTATGGCTACGGGGGGCATCTTTAGCTTTGTATTTTGGTATGTGTGTATTTTTGTATATACGTGTGGGTATGTGTTTACATGTGTGCATATGCGTGTGTGTACGTCCTGTGGGGGTTTGTTGCCCCACTGTAGCTATGGAGAAAAGGCCTGTATTGCAGCCGCTACCACTGTTTGTTTATTACGTTGTGCATTCCTTGGCTCCCGTGCAACGTAAAATACCACAATAGTAAACAGCACGTGCAATAACACTGTTCATAATACAATAGCACGTGGTATTCTTGGTTACATTAACACATGCTATCTACAGTTACATGAGAACATGAAATGCACAGGTATATACTAGCATACGCATTGCACAAAGACAAATATTCCCCGTATAGCCATAATCTTTTGGAGCAAGTGCTGTTACCGAGCACCATTTAAAGTGCGGCATGGCACACAAGGGCGTGGGTGGCCAGCACAACGCTCAGCCGCCTTTGTCTTCCTACTAGAAATGTTTACACATTCCACGAGGTACTCATTTGCTCAGGTTGAGTCGGCTTAGGGGAGGCCAAAGGGCTCGTTCAGGTGGTCATCACTGGTTTTGGCCGTGAGTGGGAATCGATTTCGGGTTCTCATGTTTATTCGCGCAGCGCGCTAACCACGACACCAACGCACAGGCCACATTGGCGCTCCCAGTGTACAGATACATTGCACACGTAATGCACGGGTGCATTAGCACAAACAATGCACAGTACAGTAACACCTCTGAGCGTGGAAAGAGCCTTGCTGGTCATGGGGGATTCCAGAATATGGTAAATATTTAAATAAATATGCTGCGGTACATTTTTTTTGCTCATTTTCTTTTTATTCATTTGAACCAATCTACGTGACTTTACCGAAAGACCCAAAGAATATGAATTGCTGCAGTCACGAAAGCTTCAAGTCAAGATTTACATTTGAACTGCATTTCTTTTTAGTAAAACAAATCTAAATTACTTCAAGATTAACGCTTATTAACAATTAACTAATTTACTAAATGTTTGCTATTTAACATTTACAATTGAGTAACGAAGCATCAAGACTGCACAGTTTCATCTCGAGTCGCCCGCCTCCATCCCTGTGAAGCTGACGATGAATGCCCGCGGTTCATTGGATGCAGAAGGGTGAAATGTTTTTTCATGTGCTTGAACAACTTGTCTTGCTTATTTTTTTTTAAATGTAGACGTAGTGTGGATCTATTTTTGCAAAGAGATACCTGAAAACAAAAAAACAATATTGTATTGTGGAAAAAGTGTACAGGAAGAGCCAATGCTGCATTGCATTTATGTCAGTACAACGCGTGGTCCTTAAGCAAATTACAGCCTTCTGTCAATCCACTGCTGAATGAAGGTCTCCCGAAGCCACGTTGGTCAATGGGGCTGTTTGATCATAGTTCACCGTACCTGTCGGTGGGTATAGGTGAAGGGAAGGTATCCAGGACCGGTTCAGATATCGCTGTCCAATGATGGTGGCTGTCGCCCGGAATTGGACTGTTAGGTCGACGGGTTCATAGCACAGTACGTATGTATGTTGAACTTCTTTCGCACCCTACGTAGCCAACCCCATGCTAGATGTAGGTATTTGAAAAATGCATCGTCTTCCTTCACACCGTATGTAGAACTGCTTTTTGTGATTAGTTTGTCCTTCCCCCGCATCTCCGATTAGTACGGTTGGCTACGTATGGTGTGAAAGACGTTCTACATACACACATATGTAGCCAACCGTGCAAATCCAACCCCATAATAGTTGTAGGTATTCCCAAAATGCATCGTCTTACCATGGGTGCCGATGTCTCTTCTAAATGCATCACAGTGCCCGGTATGGACCTGTGGATTCTAATGTGGATTGGTGGGAGAAAACGGAAGTAGGTGAGGGTTGATGCCTTGCAATGGGTGTCTATTTGTTGTTTTAACATCTTAATACCTTTGTTATTGTCAGAAAGGGTAAAAGCCTGTCCTTTATTTTTCATCAGTCAGGGTTTTATCACACCCAGCCACTCAGCCACTGGCTCCGCATTTTAATCAAACCTTGATATTCAACCTTTCACGGCCCAAAAGCCATGCGTGAGAGCTTGCACGACGCCTCCTCAATTATTTCACCAAAGTTGTGCCATGAAATGTATAATTTTGTAAATTGATAAACCGCCCCCCACTCCCCCTCTAATCCGTAGGTCGTATCCTGTTGTGCATTTTGGGTCACACAGCACTGAATGGCTCCGGTGTCGTGTTGCAAATTGCGGCAATCAAGAGCGGTCTTGGCAACTTGGCTCCCATAGCGCCAGCTTGCACGCGGTACCGCCGTCCCTGTGCCAGACTGCCTGTGACTAATTGCCCCTGTAATGTTAGCGGCCGCTTGATGGCTTCGATGGGGTCGATTTGGGGCTCAATGAGGGCTGCAGACGGATGTCGGCGAAGCGGCCAGATGCTGTGCAACAGAGCCGTGCTTGCTCCGACGGCTTCCCAGGTCCATAGTGAGTCGTGACAATGTCTTTTTGAATGTTGATTCGATTCAAGTAAAGCAATACCCTTTGGGGAATTCAATACATTCGTGCTTTAGGTGTGTTTGGGGGTCGCCACGATGGCGAGATGTTAACTGCCTCGCCTGGTATACAGGAGATTGTGGGTTCGATCCCAACCCTGACGATGCCTGTATATTTGGAGTTTGCATGTTCTCCCCGTGGTCACGTGGATTTTTCTCCAGGTCCATTGGGTTTTTTCTCCACATTAAGAGAAACATGCGTTTTTTTTAGTATTTGGCCACGTGATAAATCACTTTGTTGCATCATAATTTATGGCCCAGTCGCTTACAAAATAGAGATATATAGCTCAGTGGGCCTTACTTGGCAAAATAAAAAAAAGTTGAATTTAGGTTATGGTTTGGATTAAATTATTGCCCAATTAGATGAGTTTATATCACTTATAGGTAAATGTGGCACCCTTTGAGACTTTACGTTAAAGGCGTTTATCAATTAAGTTTTGTGATCGTGTTTTAGTGGTGATTATTTGATCATTAACACGCTAATCTCTCACATTAACATAGCCACCTTGGCGCACTCGCCGTGAAGGATGCTCAGCGATCTTGCATTGACATGCTAATTTTTGCCTGGCAGCCCTTTGATTGGTGGAAAGCCCACCACCACCGCCGCGGTCGCTGCCCATCACTTATATTGGCTGCTGACATTTGGGCTATGCCCATTTCAAACCTTTAGAAGCAGTTTGTCTTTAGACGCTAACTCCCCTTTTCCTGATGACGACCGCTTGTGTTGCGATCGAAACATCGTAGTTTTTTGTTATTTTCTTTGAACCTATCTACGTGAATTTACCGAAAGACCCAAAGAATATGATAATTTGATAATCGGAGAGAGTGGTGGCACATTGATTAGTGCACTGCACTGTGAACCCGGCGTACATCAGTGCCGCCGAGTGATATATGCACCGGTCCTGACAACTCCACATCGGCAACCCACACTGACTACTCAAGATATTACTTCCCTAATGTGTGGTCAAGCAAGCCATGAAGGTATGAATGACAAAAGGCCTGTAAATGAATATGATAATGTGAATGACCTAGGTAAAGCTAGTTCATTGTCAATTTGTACGTTTCCTGCGCCTGGTGAGATGCTGCCGTTGCGTGACGCTTTGCACACTGGGCTTCCAGAAGTTGCCGGTTCAACTTCGCAAGTTTATTAAATCTGAAATCCCCTCTGCCTCTTGTCCACACAACAGTATACATGTTTACACCACAATTTGCCGATCGCCTGTGGTGGGGTACAGTGTGGAGAGGGGGGGGGGGGCTACTAAGACTTTTTCCAAGACGTCTGGCCATCGTGGAAGAGTAGGCAAATCACCCTCTACTAGAGGTCCTATCTGCCAGCAGTGGCGTAAGCAATTGCTTACCACCTCTCTCTCGAGGCGCTTCCTCCAGTGGAGGCCCCTCTGCCTCCTGCCCTCACCGGGTGTGAGTAAGCTCCACAGCAAGGGTTGTACCTTGCCTCTACGCAGGTCTATTCTGATATTCGGCTAGCCCTAGTAGTGGGCCAGATGGCGTCGGCGTTGTCTGTGCTATCTCGGCGCTCACGTCCCCGCCCATTGGCACCGACGGACGAGGGTGTTTCTCCGTTGCTAAACAACGCGTCGGGCTTTCGTGAGTACGTGAAAGATAACACGACCCGCGTGTGCCACCAATCAAGCCCTGTCCCTCCCCTCTCCTCATTATAGTGGAGTAGGAGGGGGGAGACCAAGCAAAGATGCCCTTTCAAATAATCAGCTTGTCAAGGTGATAGAGTGGGCCACAGGGATTACAGCCATCGCAGAGTGTGGACAAAGGGATAGAGAGGGCAGTTGAGGTAGCTGCCCTCCTCTCGCCAACATTTTAATCGTAAGGGCAAGTAACATCCTGTGCCCCCCCTCCCCATTAACTTTCATGGCCCCTCTTGGCTACTCCACATGGACCCCAATGGTTATTTGCATGCTGTCCCCCCCCCATTAGCTTCCATGGGCCCCCTTGGCTTCTTTAAATGGGTCCCAATAACTATTGGGACCCATTTGTTCCTACACACCTGTCTCAGGGTTTTGAGAACTTAGACGCCGCATGATGCTTAAGAGTAAAGTATTGTCTTGGGTAGCGAGTTGTCAGTTTCAGCTGAATGCCCAATGCCTGCATGAAATGGCACTCGCATATCACCCGCCACTGATGTTCGCCATGGCCGAGAATGGAACTCAGGTCTTTTAGCTCATCCTGTGGTGCGTTACCCACTGTGCCACCACCCCTGCACCCAAAGCATCATATACACAGACGAAAACCTCACCTCCTGCACAGATAAGAAGAAGTACTTCTAGAGTGTGATGTGTCAGTCTGCATAAACGGTCAGATGGTGGGGTAGTCTTACCGTCGATTTGCAAGGTTTGGGTTCCCTTTTTGAGTGGCTTTGCCACGGCCGATGCTCTACAATGGATGCACCCTACACAGCTGGAGCACACGGTCATCGACAGGCAGAAATCCAAAAACGTCACAGGAGTATCCCAGCAACGCCCTGCGGATTACTTCGCCCGTGTTGCCCGCTATCACCTAATTGCATTTCTGACTGAGCAGCGATAGCTGTGCGTGGTGTCCTTTCCGTTGTTGTGCAACAACGCTGAGCCGTAACGCAGAGTGTTTGTGATGAGGCCCTCCTTCCCTGTGACTCACCGTGCCTACCTGCGTGTAACGCAGGCTTCCCTGCCGGCGTTAATCACAAGTCTATGTGCCATCGGCGAACCCGCTTCTGTGTGGTGGCTGAAATGTTGACGACTGTCCCTGCGTTTTCAGCGATTTTGACTCCCCGACTCCACCCACCTCTTTCTTGATTCCGTTCTCAGCATCTTGTACACATGCCTCCTGAGTTCACTTGTGATTTAGTGCATTGTTTCTTGTATTTCATCATCATCATCAGCCATGGTCAGTCCACTGCTGGATGATGGCATTCCCAAGCTGCCACCACCTCTCACAATTGTGCGATTAAATATTATTACAGAAGACGTCTTCAAGCTGATCCAGTATGCGTCGTTGCCTGATGTCTGCGAAGTTTTCAGTCGCGGGAGAATTGTCACTGTTGGAAGAAGATTACCGTGCTATATTCCCGGTTTTATACACCTTTAGCAGGCCACACATTTACACACAGCTCAGCGTCATCCAGTATAGAGTAGCTCTTGCAGTGACACAAGTGACTGAGCACAATCAAATTATAAACACGGTGATAACGCAAATCAAACGTTTTCCCCACTGATATCCGATTGTTGCGGCTAGGACGCTTATAGTGATGGATAAATATCGGTTGTGGGCTGTGCGGGCTGGCGAGCCTCGTGTGTCTTCCAGAGCCATGAAGAAATGAAGTCGTAGGCCATATGCGCCCCCCACCCTTGCCCTGCCCTTTCGAATGCGTACAAAACCTTTCCATACGCACAGACCTCACCTATAAACCCCATAATTCGCCGGACAAATTGCGGTGCGTGTGATTGTGCGCCCACGCTCTCTCCCACGTGCGGTGCAACACGAGACGTCCGAGGCAGGAGGCGTGCATAGCGACCTCACCGACATATTACAAGATTGTGTGTCCGAAAATTATTTCCGCGCATTAAAATTACATTTTAATAATGCAAAATGTGCCATTGTGCGTCGGTATAATGCCCTCGTCAGTGGCGTGACGGGCGCATTGTATGAAATTGGCGCTCTCCGCGAGGCCGACACTTTTGACACAAAGCAGAACGCGCGGGACGGGATTAATCGGAGCAGAAGCTGGCACCCAGGCGACAAGGTTGCCTTTGACGGCACGGGAGTCGTGCTCGGCGTATTGCGGTGCTTATTATTATTTAAGTGAGGTTTTAAATGGGTGGGTGTGGTCGTAGTGCCGTGCGCGTCGCTCACGCACGCTGGGGTAGATCTGCGTTGAAGCCACGTGTTGAGCAGTTAAGAGCGGACCTGTGCACTGTTGGGACTGTAGACTGATCAACCGATGAATTCGGCTCTTGTAGGACGTAAAGCTCTGTCTAATTTAGTATCTCTCTGTGTGGTGCAGTGTGATGTATGTTCTGCGTCTACACATAATTACATTTCAGCTTAACCTGCTGGGATGCAGAAATGTGATATTGAATAAAAATATAACTAATTTACCCAGGACAAAAATAATCTGATTTTTATACGACAGATACGATATAATGTAATTTCATCACAAACATCAGTTGCTTGTCGCTGCAACACGCTATCCAAGGGAAAAAATAAAAAAATATCAATTTTATCTAAAGATTGCAATATCAGTCTGAAAAATACATTTTCAACCGAATACATTATTCCACGATATCCTCATTACAGAGTTTATCATTTGTTTTCAATCATTCGGAGAGACAATCATACAAGTTGTAAAAATGTAAGCAAAGCCCGTTCACAGAGAAAGCTTCACCATGATGCACGTGGTCGGTGAATGCCTCTGAAAGACCAAGCGTCTGTGCGTCTGCATGCGGAGGGGCGACGTCGCAAGTGCCTTTGCCGCTCAATTGGCTCCGCACCTCCCGTCAGAACCGTCTGTGAGAAGGGCGACTGAAAACAAACGATTCCGCGCTCCGGAGCAAGGGGCATCCCTTGAAGGACAAACGCCTCGAATAAATAAAAGGGGACGGCAGCAAGCGATAAGAAGCAACAACGCAAGAACCAGCGGCTGCCGCTTCGCTATTGTCCCGATGAAGAATAGCGGCCGAGCGTGGCATCGCAGCTTTGCGGAGGCTTCTTAGCTGCGAAGGGCGTAGACGGAGGAGAGGCGGTGGCGGAGAGAGAGAGAGGAGGCGGCGGCGGCGGCGGCAACGACAAGGGGTATTTCCCCCGGCGGCGCGCGCGTCATGCGTGCCCACGCCATCCCCTGCAGGTGGATGATGGTGATCGGGTGAGTGACGCCTCGGGGCCACGGTAACCCCCGGGTGTCCCGGGCAAGAGCAACGGCATCGGCAGTTGCCTCCGTTGTGACGCACCCACGCGCGTGCCACGAGCGTCCGGGGACATTGAAGGATGCTCCTGGGGTGTGATGAGCAGCGTCTCTTGCCTGCGGTCCTGCCTGCTCCGCTGGTTAGTTCCACCAGCCCGACTACGGCAGTCACGCGGGGGTGCTGCACTCGTTGGGCTGGTGCTTGGACGTGCCACGACTGCGATCGCGCGTCCTGATCTCGTTTGCCGCCCCCCCCCCCTTGCAAGGTGGCGCCAGCCCCGTTATTACGCTCGCCACAGAATGGCACGATTTCACATCTGTGAAATTGAATTTCAGATCGCGTGGTGGTTTGTTTTGTTTTGTTATCTCAACAGTCCTTGAGGGTCGTCTAAATTTTGGCTGCGTTGTTCACAACTGAGAAGCTTTTGAGCTTGGCAGCTTGCGTTGTATTGCGTTATGATCACGCGGCATGCTTTATCCTTGATGTACAATGTAACAGTTGGCATGTTATTGTGTGACGCTAACTACTTGTCGGTTTCGCTTGCGCGCGTTTCGTTTAGCTGCGGAATGTGTAAGCTGCAGCTGATTGCAGATGTAAGCCTATTTGAAATGAATGGAGGGAAATTCAGACTGTGATGCTGTTTTAGGTTGGTGCGTCACTTGCAGATTCAGTGGAATCGCTTTTGGGTTTGCTCACATCCTTCATGCTCATTCTTCATTGACTAAGATGAATTTTGCTAAACTTTTGAGTGGTAAACTGAGCCATGGGTTCAAAAGTGCATGCGGTGAAAATGAATTGGTCCTGGTCTGTCAACATTCATTCTCAAGCCGCGATAGATGCATGCGGCACCGGGTTCCATCACTTGGGAGTACGTACTACACACACTGCGTAATTAAACAACACGTTCATAACAATGATAGAATTTTCACAAAAGCAGTTAATTTCCAATCTTATTGTCGCATCATTTTTTTAAACCAATGCAACACGAATAATAATTATGGAAATATCGATTCATACAAATATTATTTGGGCCAATGTCCAAACATTGCGTGTTATATATATTTCTTTCTTTTCGAGGTAGATTTTTGTCGTTAAATATTTATTGTTCGGCAATGTTTAGGAAGCCTTGAAAAAGTGCCCTTTTGATTAATCACCTTATTACTTTGTTATAATTACATTGGAGAATTCTTGCATGTATGTACGCATACAAATATTATTTAAACCAGACAATACCTGTTTTGATATAATACATCTCTTTGTTAGAAATGTATGGATAAATACAATTGCAAGTGTACAGGGTTACAGCATCTTTTACAAAACTATGATGTCGACCAAGTTAACACAATCCATATGATACGAAATACAGTAAAACCTTGGATTGCGAGCATAATTCGTTCCGGAAACCTGTTTGTAATCCAAAGCACTCGTATATCAGTTGTGATCACGTCACGCTCGGCAGTACAACGCGTATACGTACTGCTCGTATTGCAAGACCCTCGCTCGTTTATCAAATTCATTTTTATTTAAAATGTTTGCTCGTCTTGCAAAACACTCACAGACCAAGTTACTCGCAATCCAAGGTTTTACTGTATACACAGTCGGTCCTATGGTAACGAAATTACGGCATTGTACAACAACTAATGAACACAACACATTTGTCAATAACACATATACTAATGATGCCTGTAAATGTCAATAGCACATTGACGCATGTGAATTTGCTATTTTGTGCCTGTGCACCACTGGCAATGCAGTATCACAGTGTTTTCGTTTAATATTCACAATAGTAAACTAGAACATCACATGGGCTGTACTGCCATCTAAATCTATACCCAGCAAGTTAGTGTGACATATAAAACACTAAGTTAAAGGTCACCTTTTGGCCAATTGCCCTTCTTCGTGGCACGGTTAAAAAAAAGATGCCATGAAGAAGGGCCATTGCCCAAAACCTCGGTCATTATATTAATTTATTTTAAGGCTGTGTTAGGTTTTGTTATTTGTGCTTGTGCACCACTGCCATTGCAGTATCACCAATATATATTTGATTAAAGGCGGTCCATATTTAACTCAAGGCTAAATCAAACCTAGAATGTGGCGCTACAAGGTACAGAACTTTACTTTTGTCCAATTCATCATAAAATATTCACGATCTGCCGTGTCCTTCAAACACGATTTAAAGGAATTAAAAACATATACTTTGAATGTCGACCTGATAAAAAAAAAATCTTAATTATAAGAGAGTTGTGCATTCCTCACTCATGGGAAGCCAGAATTTTTTTTCTCATTTATTAATACTCGGCTCGGTGCAGCTGCATGGTCGTTCACCGTGGAGTGAAAGCGGCCCGCGGCGGGCATTGTGAGTTGGGAATTATGGCTGTGAAAGGCCTGAATGACGCATGTAAATTCGACCTTTTCGGGGGGGGAGGGGGGGCGGAAGGGAAGGAATCTCCGCTTTGTTCGGAGAGACAGGCGTCGGAAATTTGCAGCTTCTTGGCCCAAAATTCAGCCACGGAGTTACAGCGCCAACCTTTCCCAGGTCTCAGTTTTCGCGGACTGCATGTGAATCGAGGGCATCTTTTGAATCCACACACGGGGCAGCAGAAAAAAGTGTCCAAGACAGCAGCATCAGCATCCTTTTTTTTGTAAGTCCTAGGTCGCCTGGCCAGAAAGCCACATCTCATTGCTCAGAAAATGCTGTGTGTATTTGGTGTTTGGGCATGCAGCCATCACCGACCCCAGGCCATAATTTCTCATGGGATATTTTCCGGGATCGCCCAACCCCGAGCACACTGGAACCCTGTTGGCGTCGTGAGGGATCGCGATGGCTTGGCGAGGCCTTCATTCAGCAGTGGATTGATGATGGCAGACCGAATGTTGATGATGCTTCACAACTTTTTGAAACTAGAATATATTGAATTTCGATTTAAAGCGTTCGTGACTGCAAGGATTCATCGTCTTTGGTTCGTTCGGTGAAGTCACGTAGAATGTTTCAAGACTTTAAGCGATTACCGGAAAGCGACAAACACAAATCTATTGCAGAGACACCCAGTGCATGTCTCAGCAGGATAAGGTTTAATAACAACCCTGACGCCTGCATATTTGGAGTTTGCATGTTTTTTGTCCAGGTCCTCCGGTGTTTCTCTCCACATTTAGAAACATGCTTTTAGAGTAATTGGCTGCGATAAATTTCCACGTGTTAAGCTACTTTGTTGAACTATCATTTGTGGCCAGGTCGCTTCTGAAAACGAGTTATACAGCACAGTGGGCCTTGCCTTGGTATACATGTTGAACATCTTTCACGCCGTACGTAGCCAATCGTGCTAATTTGAGGTGGGGGCTTACCTGGCGAAATAAAAAAAATAGTATAAGACAAGTCGCGGTTTTCTTTACCAGTCATCCCCTGGGAAAGCGAGTTGGCCTGTTAACCCACAGTCTGTGTGTTTCAGACCAATGCCCTTCTCACATCGGACTCCCACGGCTCATTGCAATTGAGTGCCGCCCACTGTTGTTTTTTTGCGTAGCCGGGGGTTGGCACGCGGTGGGGTGGACCAACCGCCCCTGCCAGAGCCGGCTGGGAATGCCCTGCCCCTCGCCTTCAGCCAGCACATGCAGCATGCCATCTCTGCGTACAACCGGTACGCTGCGCATCTCACGACCGTGCATGTAACGTACGTATGTTGGAACTTCTTTCGCAACGTACGTAACCAACCGTGTTGGGGAAGGACAAATGATAAAGACAACCATGAACGACATTGTAGGAGATGGCGAGATGCAACAGCTACCGTGCTGTGTAATTCACGTAAATGCCTGTTGCACTGAATCAAACCATACCAAGTCTGACTTTTAAAATCAAGTAGGATTGATTACAAGGAGAGTATACATAAACTACAGACATCTCTGAAAAACAGCTTCATAGCTCATCCTATTTCTCCAGGATAAATACAAATTCTGAAACATACCAATTTGTATTAATTACAAAAAGATGTTTTTGTGGGGCCCTTTGCCCACCCTTAAATCTCGTGCAGAGTGGTAAAGGATATCCAGTCATCATACTCGCAACACCACATTGGCATTAATAAAAAAAATATCAAACACATTGGCCAATAACCCTGTCGCCTTGAGAGTAAAAATATATATTTGGTGACGTTTTGGGCAACGGGGCCCTCCTTCATAGCGTATAAATAGAGAATCCAGAGAGAGTGGGACAATACGAGTTGGAGACTGCACTTTGCACCATGTGACCTGATGAGAATTACATTTTGTAATGTTTCCTAATGGACAGTTTCAAATAATTACACGTGAACACTTGACCTATTAATAGTAAATGAGTAACAGACGAAACCTTCAGTATTCAAAATGTATGACCCAATTACTACAAATTATGGCTGTTAACCCTTTCCCGTTCTGAGACATCTGCAAGTTGCAGGGTGGATCCCGTCCACCGCCGAACCTCTGAACGGCCAAGCGGTCAGCGTAAATTTGATTTAGAGAGGCATAGCGTTGTTTTAAAAGACATTGTACTCACCGCAGAGCACCGTAGTGACATGACCGAACTCCACGATAGCTTGCGCCAATCTGTGCCACACTCCCTCCCACATGGCCTTGTGGGAGCCTGGGTATCGATAAAGTTATTTTATTTTAGCTTTTCTTCCAATTCCAATTCCTTTCTGATAACGTACATCCACGTACGTGTACATCATCAGAACGGAACCGGAATAAAAACTGATGACGTATACATACGTCATCTGAATGGGAACGGATTAATAGGTGCTCGCCGACAGCGCTTGCTTCCACCACCACAGTCTGCGAGGCAACACGGGGGAGGTGTTTGCTTGTTTCCTCGCGGCAGCAGCTCCTCGCTGGAATCCAGCGAATCGAGCGGGAACACGACGCCCACGGAGCTTGACAAGTCGTGGTCGGCCATCCACAGCGACACCACCTGCCCGTCCACCGAGCAGTCGTCCCTCTTCTCCTGGGGAGACGACGTACGTGTATGTGTGTGTGTGTGCTTGAGTGTTAATGAAGGATGCTACTGGTCGCCCTCAAACAACGGAGGGCAGAGAAGCAACGTTCACAACAACGGGAGGAGCACCGGGCATCTAAAATGCAGCAAGTTGGCACAGTAGGGGGCACAGCTGGTGCAGCTGCCAGTCATCTCAGTCAGTCAACCCATGGGACCTGGGTCTGTCCCGTGACCTGTCAGCGAGCCTTCAACACTTTACTTGGCCTCAAAGTGCACCTGGCCTGGCACACGCACCATGGTGGTGTCACCCCATCGTAGTGGCGAATAGCGGGTATTGGTTAGTGTGAGAGTGGTGGTGCAGTGGTTAGCGCACCTGGTGACCCCAGTTCGATTGCCGCTCACGAACAACACCGGTAACGAATATCTGAACCAGTCATTCAGCCTCAAATGATTACCGAGTACGATTCGTAAACATCGCCACTGGATGAGATAAAGACAGCCGGGCGTGGTGATTGCCACCCGCCCCCTAATCTGCCGTGCCAGCCTTCAAAGGTGCTAGCTAACAGCAGTTGCAGGCTTTACGGAGGTGATCTTTGTATTTTTTTAGCGTTTGTCATGCGTAGCAGTGGCGTCGTGGTGAGCACATGTCGATGAGCAATGCACTAACTGGCACGGTGGTGGTGTTGTGTGTGTGTGTGTGTGCGCGAGCGCGGCCAGGAGTTTGAGCGGGTGGCGTCGCGCCGAGTGCAGCAGCTGTTCCGCGAGATTGACGCGCTGCTGTACGAGGGCATGGGCAGCGCACAGACGCCCGCACTGCAGGGCGAGTGCATGCAGTGGAAGACACGATTCTTACATCTCAGGTGCCTGTCGCCCTTCGCCTCGCCCTCCTCGAGTAGCTCAGGATTGCGGAGACACGGCGCACAGATGCAGTGCCTTGCACGTCGACTTTTGGCATGTGTGTTTGCGTGTGTACGCGCACGCGTGTGCCTTGTGCGGAGCGGTCGTATAACTGTTAGCGCGCTGTGCTGCGAACTCGGCAACCTGCGTTCAATTCCCACTCACGGCCAACTGCAGTGACGATTATTTGAACCGGTCCCGAGCCTCCCCTAGGTCGTCTCAGCCTCAAATGAGTACCCGGTGCGGTGTGTCAACATCGCCACTAGGGAGAGACAAAGGCGACCGGGCGCGGTGCTCATTACCCACCCCCTCGTGTGCCGTGCCGGCCTTCATAGGTTCTCGCTGACAGCACTTGCCCCAACAGTCTGTTGAGGCAATATGGAGGATCTTTGTCTTTGTATGTGTGTGTGTGTGCCTCTGTGTAGTGGTACTTTAATGGCCATCATGCTCAAAGGGACATTGTCCTGAGATACTGTTGCATTTGAATACTATATCGATCTACATTTTCTTGGAACGATTTATGTCGGTTCTCCAGTTTGATGAATTATCAAGATTTGAGGTCACGATTGACGGTTAGAATCTTTTTCATCCCGTTTGCACCCTGGTCATTTGTATTGTTGTCGTTTTTCTGTCTCTTTTAATACATTATCCTCGCGGTAGTATTTTGTATACAGAATAATTAGTATGAACCTAAAATAATTAATTATCATATGCATGATTCGACAAATGCATTATGAGCATGAGAATTGAGTTTTCTACATTAATTGTTACATACGTAATTACCATCATCGCCATCTTGTATCCATCACCGGGAGTAAAAGCTCAACACATTAGTCAGTAGGAAAAATATATATAACAGGCAACATTTTGAGCAATGGTCCTTCTTCATAGCACATAGATCATCGTCATCAGGTGCTCCGGTTCAAGCGCTCGACTCGCGATTGGATGAGGCCGAATTGAAATCCTTCCCCGATAGCAACTTTAAACTGTCACCGTTACGGGATCCAATACACCTTGTAACCACTTGCGGTGAAAGGTTAACAGTGGTCGCTCGGTGGAGAGAATACCCCTGACCATGGGAATGTGGAATTTCCTCTCCTGCCTTTGCGGGCACCTGTGGAGGTGAGCACCACTTCATGCCCATTGGAGCCGGGAGACGGTTAAGAGTCGGATTTGTCCGATGTCGTTCGCATTGCAGCGTTCTCTCACACTCATTAGTTCCCCCTGGGCACTCCAGTTTACCCACACCGCACTCAATAAAAGTCTCATAAAAGAATTGGCACGCGGGACCCTCCTAGAAGGAGAGTCTTGAAGAGGCATTGAAGCTTTACTGGGTAAAGACTTCACATCAGAGTACTTTATTATATTGGTCTTTGACAGACAGCTATGAACACACTTCAGAGTTGTACTATAATGAATAACGCTGGACAATTCACACGTACACGCTGAGCACACATAATGCAACACGCACAAATTACCGCTGAAATGGTCATTTCCCCAAGCAGGTGTAAGGCTGTGTGATGCTCTTAAGGATTGTTGGTACACTTGGTGCTGTAATTCCCCAGTAGGGAGACTGTACTTGTGAGGATGTGTGATGCTCTTAAGGATTGTTGGTACACTTGTATTATGCCTTGATTTACATCATTTCTGAAGTTCTCCAGCCAATCCTTCTGAAACCATGTCAATTTTTTCATCCTATTTTCATTGATACTATTACTCGTGTCGCCATGTTAATCATTGGCATGTATATTGTCTTTATGTTCCTGGCACGTATCCTCCTGATATGGGGTCTGCCTGTGGATATGGAGAAGGGTGCAGAGAGTAACCTGGACAGAGTAGACAACCAATGAATGCATCTTTAATGGCATCAACGAAGGAAGAATGATAATGGAAGCCATGAGAAAAACACAGAAGCACTGGATCGTATGGATTCTACAAGGGCACAGTTGGATGAATAAGGACATTGTAGAAAGAAGAATAGTAACAAAATGACAGCTCAACGAGAAGTGGCTTATCACTTGGAAAAATTATAGCAACACGTTTTCTAAATGGAGGGAAAAACCAGAAGACTCGTGACCAAAGGGAGAACATGCAAACTCCAAATATATACTGGCGTCAGGGTCGTGATCGAACCGGACCACCTTTCTGTATGCCAAGCGAGGAAGTTAACATCTCTCCACCACGATATAAGAACGAGAGGGAAGGCCAAGGATTGGTATGCTGGAGGAGTTGAATGAAGTGTCGTTTTGTAGAAACAAAGAGGAGGACAGAGAAGGTTTGGGAATATGACAGACGAAAATGTTCCCTTAAGACAGGGCACCAATTAAGACGTGGGGTCTGTCTTCCTGCTCTCCTTACTCTCATTGCTGTCCTGGGCCATATCCACGTCCACTCCACACTTCTAAGCGACGTCGTGGTCTCTCTACTTCAAAACCACCTGTTAATGTAATTGTACACAGAGGAGTGATTCCCTTTGGGTAGGGTAGCCTGAAGAGAAAAAGGCATTGGCATCCTCTCTCTAAGCTCTGAAAGTCATGCTCAGTCAATGATAAATCATTGTAAGTGAGAATGCTCGTAAACATAATTGTGTAACTTGTCCTTTCAAGTGTCTTTCAAGTCAGAGTGTGTACCAGCACTTACCACCATCACAGACTCAGTGTTGGGTTCCTTTCCTCGTACCCCTCCGGGTCTGTGTTCGATCCCCATTAAATTGAACCGTTGGAACATTTTAAACATTCATCGTAAGCCTGAATGATTTCCTTGTGCAGTGTTTGTCATGATCTCAGACAGGTGGTAGGAAATTGTACAATCGTAATATTTAATTTCACGTCATATCTCAATCTCTGAAGCCAAGCAGAATTGAGCCTGGATAATGCTTGGATGGGTGACCACCATGCACATAACAGATCGTTGTAAGCTTCAGCAATACATGGGTGGGTAGCTGAGGACAATGCAGGAAAAATATGCATTGTACACTAATTCTATGCTCCCACATATATGCTCCTTGCCTTCACCAACCCACACTGACCAGCGTGGTGAAGTATGGTCCAATAACCCATACAACCAGCACGGCGAGGAGAGGCCTCCCCATCCATCAGTGGATTGACAAAGGGGCAGTGTACATGTGAATGAACACTTCACAAAAGAGCGCCTGAGACACACATACAAACGTTGGTGTTTCTTGCTATAATTTATTGAGCGTCAAGTGTTTGAGCCACTGCAATTGAAGAGCAGAGTTTGAAAGCTGGGTGACAGAGAGAAAAGCTTATTTATCCAGTATTGATCCTGCAGTTTGTCGGGCTGAGCTGTAAAGAGCAGAGCTGTTGACAAACTAAGTATTTTCCTTTGTGTTATCAATTGGTATACCTTAACGACAGTCAGAAAAGCTAACAAAACGTGTTTTAGATAGAGTATAAATATTTAAAATTCATGCCTGGTAAATAAGTATTTTCACATGGCAAGTTTGTGTAAACTATACGTCCAGGTTTAAGGTTGTGAGCCACGTGATGATAGCTTCGGGCGTAGCACAGCTAATACGGAGAGCGGGCCTGGTAGGATGCAGTTGTTTTCTATATTGTTCATTGTGTGGTCCGGGTGGCCGCAGGCATTGCACTGTTGGGTGATCGTTTTTTTGTTTATGTTTTATATTTCAGTAGAAGCCCGATACAGAGCACAAACCGCAACGTAAGGGGGCGGTGGGGGGTGGTACAGAAACTTCGCGGACAGAAGTCCTGCACGCTGTGCTCCTGACTTACTTTAGGGAAGGGGGGAGATTGGGCTCACTGTCCCACTGAGTGGGGACTGCGAGCCGGGTATGTGTACTTTTATGTGGGAAAGGAGAAGGTGAGGGAAGAAGAACTTGACCCTTTCCTGTTCTGAGACGACTGCAAGTTGCAGGGTGGGTCCCGTTCACCGCTGAATCTCGGAACGCGCAAGCGGCTCGGGGTAGAGCCATTGCTTTTAAAGACGTTGTACTCACTCCAGAGATCTGTAGCGAAATGACCGCACCCTATGATAGCTGGCACCAAACTGTGCCACACACCCTCCCGAATGGCCTTGTGGGAGCCTCGGTTTTATTTAAGAAAAACTTAAATAAAATAAATAAAGTTATTTTATTTAAGTTTTTCTTCCGGTTCCGTTCAGATGACGTCCGTGTACGTCATAAGAATAGGGAAAAGGGTTAAGTAAAGGAGTAGAAGGAGCGGAGAAAGGTGGAGGGGGGGGGCTCCTGTGTCATATTTAATGTCCCACTCCTGGAAGAGGAGGCATGCACAGCCACCAATCGCTGTTCTAAAGTTAGAAGGTAGTTCGGTATTCGAGTGCGTGCGCGGACGCATGGTGCAGCACAGTGGTAGTTTGGGCACCGTGAGCCTCCTTCCTCCCATCCTCCACGTGTCCAGCCATGGTGTTTGGGGACACAATGTCACACGGAGATTTGAGGGTCTCAGGTGTTTGCTAACGTCTCAGTTGCGATGGTTTCGAACGCTTCTGTTCTGAGCCGTTGAAGGTCGGCTCAGCCTTTTTCCGTCTTTTGGCAAATCCTTGATATTTTCAGCATAGAGGGCATTTGCTGCCAACATTTCAACCACTCAGTTCACACTGCTGCATAGTATTAATATATTTTCATAATGGCTCATACCTTTTTAATGACAGCTGTTACCAAATCACTTCAGATATCTGAAGCTAAGCAGGGTTGAATTTGGAATATAAGTGCTTTGATGGATGACCAACCATGCACACCCTCTAGTCATATGCTGCTTCAGGGCTGTTCTATAGGTGGTGGTCAACAGAGAGCAATGCAGAACAATTAATTGTTGTACTGTGTATCTATGCTGCCATATCTATGTGCCCCACGTTCACCCACCCACCTACACTTGCAAGTGCCTTAAAACTTGGTCAAATTACCGCCGTAAGCCTAAAAGCCACACCTTGCGAATTAGCGCTTAGAGCCAGGCTGTTCTCGTCTACTGGCTTTCCCACTCCAGTACCAGTGTCATCTGCTCGGCATGATGCCTATTGAGTTAAACCCCATTCACAGACAGCCACACAAAGTCCTCATCGTAACAATTATTTAGCCATGGGTGGAATTTGCGCAAGGGGGGGGGGGGGGGGGCAACACCCCGCACAAACTGGACACCTTAATTTATTTTCAGTAGTTTGCAATTAAAATAAAAAAAAATAAGTAAATTAATGATACGCACGCGTGATTCAAAATGTGAGTGACAAATCGAACCCCTGCCCCCCCCCCCCCCCCCCCAAATATAGACGTCAAACTCCGCCTATGGACTTAACTATTGCTCTAACACGCATGCACCTCTACGGGCCCCCCCCCCCCCTTGTTCGTGATGCACTGTGGCTGCCTTGGTCACCTCCTCTGGAGCAGGATACTGGGCAAGCAGCTGGTAGAGCCCACCGACGAGGGCTATCAGCTGGTGCCCACGGAAGGGACGGCGGCAGACCGGACGGAGCCCCCCGGCTTCGTCTCCACCGGCCACAACCCCAGCGACAGGGAGTAAGGACATCCACCCCGTTTGTCATTCCAGACGTGTCCCCCCCGCATCTTGAATCACCGTAATGTCATCGCCAGTGGAGACGAGGCCATGTAAAGGGGTCCAAGACGCTGCTGTTGAATAATGAAGTCAAATGTGATCATTTGCCAGGTGCTCCGGTTCATAGTGATAATACGACTGTAAAGCCGACAAATACGTTCTTGTGAATGTCTCGCCGAGTCTCAAGGCTCGGTTTTCAAGAGGGTTTGCCTGTCTTAAATGACACAAACAACTCATATTGACAAAAACAACTCAACACGTTTGTCAATGAACTTTAAAGTTAAAAATATATAATAGACGACATTTCTGGCATGGAGAGGCGCGTGAGACAGAGTGGATGAGAGTCAGAGACTGCACTTGACCTCGTGGGGGCCTGATAAGAATACCGTTTTTTTCTGATTTACACTTTTTTTATTTTCCAAGTGCATGGTTTCCGATGAGTAGCTGTTGTGTGGTATTCGTGCACCACTGCCACCGGATATCTTGAGCACTGAGGTGGTGAAAAGTCTCTCCGTAGGACAACCACTGTTGACTTGCCCGCAGAGTGGTCCTCATCGAGTTCGTTGGAGCTTTAATTTCAAGTTTATTTGTTTCACCAGGGTGAAAACTCAACAGACCAAGATAGTATCGTTTCCAAGAGTGGCCTGAGCCGCCAAAATGACAGCAGCAGTAAAATAAAATGCCGCAAATGAGTTGAGGAAACCGGATGGTTAATATTGATGAAGATGTCGACGATATTGTTATTAATGATAATGAACAGAGCAGTAAGATGTGCCTTGATAATTTCAGCAGGTGTTTTGTGAATTTATGGTAATCTCGATGAGTGTGATGATAATGTAAGGTGTTAATGATGCATCCATTTACAAATGTCAATAGGTACATAAAGTATCATTCGGATTACTGAAAGGTGTCGGTGATCGTGACAATAATGTTGACAAGCAAATTGGTGGCAGCAAATTGGTGGCAACAAATTCTTGAGGGCAATGACTCCTCACTGCCACTTGTTCCTTGTCCACCTGTGGCTGAAACCCTGCCTTGCATTGAACCCAGTGCTCCCCAAATCCACTGAGGCTGCAAGCAAAGCTCACTTCTTACTGCTAATATCATCAATAATGATGAGATAATGGCCTGTGCGTAACGCCTTGTTACATAACACGCTGTTCTTTATCCGCCCAGGGCGTGCGCGCAATATCGGTTTCTTTTGACGGGCGGTCTCCTCCGGCTATTTTTAACCTCCCCTTTTAAATTATTCACCCGTGTTCCTCAAGACTTTTAAGCGTATTCCTTTTGGAAGCAAACAAAGGGCCTCGCTGTAGTGTAATGTTATCCCGAATGGCCGAGCACAGGAAAAGCCCCGTAATCTGATAATGCCCCCCCCCCGTGTGTTTACATCGCCCCCCTCAATGGCTCATTCGCAAGTGTAAGTTCAGTTTCACGTTTAATGATTGATTTTGCCTCTGCCGTTGGGGTCGGTGCCAATGGAAAACAATTTTTTTAGAAAGGACAATCTTTATCTATGAGACCCTATTTTTTCCAGTATCAAGATGATGGGGAAAAAAATAGGCTTTAAACCTTTTCCGGCAAGAATAAAGGAGGTGTTAAGATGGTCACACACCAAATAGACAGCTATTACAAGGCATCAAGTCTGCCTTAACCACACGTGCTTGTGGTTAAACATGCGAACAAACGTGCTTCGATAATGTACGCATTCTCCTTAAGACTGATAGGCCTACACCACTACTGTTAGACCAGATAATGCTAAAAGGTTTTGCTCAAGGGCAAAAGAGGCAATGATGTTTCATGTTTCTCGGTGGGTTTATTCCCCATCTCCTGGTTTTTTTTTATGTTTTTATATTTCAAGAGGAGCCCGATACAGAGCACGAACTGCTATGTAGGGGAGAGGGTACAGAAACTCTGCGGACAGAAGTCCACAATTGCGTACTCCAATTGAGGAGGGAGGTGTATGGGCTCACTGCTCCCGCCAGCGGGGTATTTGTACTTTTATGTGGGAAGGGGAAGATAGTGGAAGAATAACTTAAGTAAGGGGGTACAGGGCATGGGGGGGGGGGGAAGAAGGGGGGGGATATCTCCTGTTATTTAACAGATACTGACCGATGAGTACCGGTTGGGTGCGCCAGCCAGCGCGCCAATGGCCTCCAACGAGCGGCGCCTGTGCCGTGTGCCAGGCTGTGCCTGCAGGGCAGCCGCCTGGTGCCGCGGGGGACGCTCGCCGGGCCCAGCCGGGGGGGCGCGGTGTCTCCCGCAGCGCAGTCCCATCGGGACAACGGCAGCGGCAGTGGTGGCGAGGAGGGCGAGGAGGGGGAAGAGGTGGCGCAGGAGGCGGAGGAGGAGGAGGTGATCTGCAGGGATGGCACCGTGGAGGAGGTCCTGGCTTTCGACAGCCACGAACCGTAAGGCCGCGAATCGGCAGCCACAAACTGAGGGTGTGGTGGTAGGGCCACGTAGGTTACGCCCGGTGGATTAGACCAATTGGGCAGAGCTAAAGTAAAAGAACACGTGGACTGACGGCTCCACCAAGCTTAAAGGCCCTCCGCCAACATGTGAATTGTACTACCCAAAGAACCAAACTAAGGCTTACTTAGGATTGTTGTGATTTTATGATCGAGATTTCTCAGACTCGGAGAGCCTTCAACACTTTACATGGCCAAAAAGTACGTGTAGTCCGTCAGTGACCAATGACGGCCCGTTGTTTTGGTTGTCGCTGTAGTATGTGTGTATGTTTATCATTGTCCATGATAGAGGTGTTTGGGTGAGATTGCGTAAATGTGAATGTGTCATTAAAACCACCACCACCTGACACAGGCAATTAGTAAGGTTTGTCACTTAAACAAAAGGTGGCAATTAGTTACGAGTTCAGCACACCGGTGTGTTGGAGAGTAAACCCATCATATTTTTACAATTCGGGTACGATATTTCGCCGGTAATTACAACCAGCCTCATCAGGCGACAGCCAGAAGTGAACAATACTCGACTTGTAAATGGCGTGGATTTACTCTCCAACACACCGGTGTGCTGAACTCATAACTTAATTACCACGTTTTGTTTACCTGACAAACCTTACTAATTGTCTTGTCGGGTGGTGGCGGGTTTAACGACACATTTATATTTGACGCGATCGAACCCAAAAAAAAAACCTCTCAACGATAATATTGGTCGCGAAAGTCCGACTACGCGTTTGCCTTCGTCTTTCTGCGCCGCAGAGAGGAGGACGGTCCTGAGTGGCGGCACGCCGGTGGCAACCGGTGCGGCGCGTGGCGAGCGCGCCGGGGCCTTCCGCCCGTGTCCCCCGCCGCGTGCCTGCGGGACGCCGTGTGTACCGAGCTCTTCGATCAGCTGTGGGCCGAGGCGCTGGGCTGCCTGCACGCGCTCGACCAGCAGTCGTGGGACGCCGGTGTGCAATTTATTTACTTGTCAATTCGGCCGCTATAAATTTCCACGCGATAAGCCACTTCGTTGAGCTATCATTTGTGGCCAGGTCGCTTCTGAAAAAGAAGCTAATAGCTCGGTGGGTTTTACCTGGTAAAATAATATTTACTCTTTGGTTCTATTCGGTAAAGTCACGTAAAAGTATAAAACAACAAAAAATAAAAAATTCACGACGTTTCGGCCACAACACAAGTGGCCTTCATCAGGTGAAGGGACCAGACTGTGTCGAGGACAGCGTTGGAGTGAACACAACCAAGCTCAGACCGCGAACTTTAAGCTGTGTGAGAAGAATTAAGGTGCCTTGACAAAGGAATTAGCATAAAAATTTGCATTTAATTGGCGGACTTAGCATGATGAACGGTGTAGAGGGGGTGAACATGTGCAGACCGGCGAGGGGGGGAGGGGGAGTTTACCTATTGATGGCGTGAAAAGGGAATTTAAGCAGCTGCGAAAGTTTGGGATACCACTACTTGAAAAAATATACTGTACCATTGAAAATTAGTTTAATGTTTGGTTCGATATAATTTTCTCCGATACCAAGGTTCTTTGCAAACCCACGGGTTTTTATCAGAGATTTGTTCACGAGGCAATTCATATTTACAAACACAGACACAATTTCAACCGAGAAGATGGTTTCAAATTAAGCAACCATTGGAAAGATGTCCTAAATCGAACCAAACATCAAACTAATTTGTCAAGGCACCTTAATTCCTCTCGCACAAGCTTAAAGGTCGCGGTCTGAGCTTGGCTGTGTTCACTCCAGCGCTGTCCTTGAGACAGTCTGGTCCCTTCACCTGATGAAGGCCACTTGTGTTGTGGCTGAAACGTCGTGAGAATTTTTTCTTTTTTTCTTTTTCTTTTTTGTTGTTTTATACTTTTACGTGACTTTACCGAATAGAACCAAAGAGTATGGATCCTTGCAGTGACGAAAGCTTCAAATCTAAAAAATAATATTTTTATTGATTTGCTTACCTTTCCTATACTTTGCACTCCTATCGTGTTGTAATATTGTTTGTTGTTTCTGGCCTGCCCCTACTGGATATTTGCGAAAAAGAGCTTTATAGCTCATCAGATCCCTACAGTATAAATAAATATTCTGATTCTGATAATACACGACGCAATTTGTACGGAAAATTATTTTCCACAATTTTATCCCGTTTGTTCCGTCAACGTTGTATCCTGAGACGCGGCATCCATTCGGATCTCTCACGGAGCGGCACAATTCTTCATGTGAGAGAATGGCCCGTGGAAGCGGATGTCACAGAGCTACCTCTGAGATCCCTTCAAGTGATCTCTGCGCCACACAGTAGGAGGGGCAGAACTTTCCCATCAGCTCTGCCACTGAGAGTAATGTCCATCACATGACATTCAAACTGATATATTTCATCCAAAGAGCTTTAATTTAGCTCAATTAATTAAGCGTAGAACCAAGTTTAATTTAATATTTTTGCAGTCGTCGGTGGCCAGGCTGAGAACAATCAGCCGTGAGAACCCGACTTCATCACGAGTCTCTCGTAGCTATAGGCACTACACTCATCATCCTTGGTCGCTGTCCAGACGTTTCGCCACTACAGGACCCACCTCTCACAGCAGACATCTTGCCCCTCTGGCCATGCTCTATGTAATCCACTGCTCCTGTGTGCGTACGCGCGTGTGTGTGTATGCGTGTGTGTGTGCACGCGTGCGTGGGTGTGCATGCGTTGATGTGCAGAGGAGAAGGGGCTGACAGGCGTGGAACGTCCGGCCATGCAGAGGATCTTGCTGCCGCGGCAGGCAGGCACAGCTGATAGTCTCTCCATGCCTCCATCGCGAGGCTCGGACACACGGAGCTACCTTCCCCAAGTAAACTAAAACTAAACTATTTTTTTTTACCGGGTAAGGCCCACTGAGCTATAAAGCTCTTTTTCAGAAGAGACCTAGCCGCAAACGATAGAGCAACGAGGTGGCTTATTGTGTGGAAATGTATAGCCGCCAAAATACTATTAACGTGTGTTTTTTTAATATTCTTTGGGTTTTTAGGTAATTCATGTTCTTTGAGTCTTTCGGTAAAGTCACGTAGATAAAGTCACGTAGATAAAGTCACGTATCTACATAGATAAAGTCACGTATCTACGTAAATAAAGTCACGTATCAACGTGGCTTTACCTACGTGACTTTACCTACGTGACTTTACCGAAAGACCCAAAGAATATGAATTCCTGGAGTCACGAAAGCTTTAAGTGTGTTTTTTTTAATGTGGAGAGAAAAACCGGGGGACCCGGAGAAAAATCCACACGACCACAGGGAGAACGTGCAAACTCCAAATATGCAGCCGTCATAATCGGCATCAAACCCACGACCTCCTTTCTATCAGGCGAGGTAGTAAACATCTCGCCACCGTGGCACCCCCAAGTAACCTACAGCATCGTGAGCTGTGTACACGTTTAACAAATTGGGGCTGGCATTGGCTGCGGTCCCATGTGCCTGTACCCCCTGACTCGCATCCCGTATCAGTCAGAAATTTCTTACTTGAATTAACAGCCAGGTCGTGCATATCTCCGCACCTCCAATTAGCACAGTTGGCTATGTAGGGTGCGAAAGAAGTTCAACATGCATACGTTTACAGCCAGGGCTGAGCTATTGATGGAAATTCCATACTACTGTGGCAGAGGTGAGTCGATGCATAGGACTACCACTTTTGACTTCCCATAAACCGGTACTTATTTATTACCATTGAGGAGATGATGGGCTGCTAGATGTTCAATTGGCTCAGACCAAATATATTACTTGTTGGTTCCACCTGCGATTTCAAACCTGACTTGTACCACCATTTCAATCACCAACAAAAATCCTCTCTCATTAGAACTGGGATCCCTAAATATTTACCACTGCCTTTGGTCCCAATAATTTTTCTAGCCCTTTGGCCAAGACAAGCGATTTTCACTGGCTGCTGCTCTTAATTCACATCACTTGTCTCGATCAAGTGGTTGATTCGGCTCATTTCTCTTGGGCGAGTAAAATGAGAACCGCTTTGTGGGAACTCAACCGTGGCCATCTTACGAGTAAACAGGCACCTGCCATGGGAACGTGGAATGAACATTACTAGCTAATCACTGCCATTGCAGTTGGGTGTCATCCCTTTGCTTAATTGAGAAGATACTTAAATTATATTTTGATATATTGAGTCATCATGAACTGGTTTGATTTCATGGTATTGTCTTACTGCTCTGAAGGAGGGCCATGACCCAAAGTCTTAGCCTGCCATAGTTCATGTCAACTTAAAAGGGCAGTGTTTGCTCATGAGTAAGATGGTAAAATATTTTCAGCTCTTGTTTCTAGATCGTTAAATACACCGTTGTGCACACCCCACTGAGAATTTGATGTGACGTTTCTACATAAAAATAAATACCACAGATATTGATGATGATTATATTGATGATGCTATTGATGAGCATGCATACAGTGAGGAAAAAAGTATTTGATCCCCTGCTGATTTTGTACGTTTGCCCACTGACAAGGAAATGATCAGTCTATAATTTTAATGGTAGGTTTATTTGAACAGTGAGAGACAGAATAACAACAAAAAAATCAGAAAAACGCATGTCAAAAATGTTATAAATTGATTTGCATTTTAATGAGGGAAATAAGTATTTAACCCCCTCTCAATCAGAAAGATTTCTGGCTCTCAGGTGTCTTTTATACAGGTAACGAGCTGAGATTAGGAGCACACTCTTAAAGGGAGTCGTCCTAATCTCAGCTTGTTACCTGTATAAGACACCTGTCCACAGAAGCAATCAATCAATCAGATACCAAGTTCTCCACCATGGCCAAGACCAAAGAGCTCTCCAAGGATGTCAGGGACAAGATTGTAGACCTACACAAGGCTGGAATGGACTCCAAGACCATTGCCAAGCAGCTTGGTGAGAAGGTGACAACAGTTGGTGCGATTATTCGCAAATGGAAGAAACACAAAATAACTGTCAATTTCCCTCGGCCTGGGGCTCCATGCAAGATCTCACTTCGTGGAGTTGCAATGATCATGAGAACGGTGAGGAATCAGCCCAGAACTACGCAGGAGGATCTTGTCAATGATCTCAAGGCAGCTGGGACCATAGTCACAAAGAAAACAATTGGTAACACACTACGCCGTGAAGGACTGAAATACTTCAGCGCCTGCAAGGTCCCCCTGCTCAAAAAAGCACATATACATGCCCGTCTGAAGTTTGCCAATGGACATCTGAATGATTCAGAGGACAACTGGATGAAAGTGTTGTGGTCAGATGAGGCCAAAATGGAGCTCTTTGGCATCAACTCAACTCGCCGTGTTTGGAGGAGGAGGAATGCTGCCAATGACCCCAAGAACACCATCCCCACCATCAAACATGGAGGTGGAAACATTATGCTTTGGGGGTGTTTTTCTGCTAAGGGGACAGGACAACTTCACCGCATCAAAGGGACGATGGACGGGGCCATGTACCGTCAAATCTTGGGTGAGAACCTCCTTCCCTCAGCCAGGGCATTGAAAATGGGTCGTGGATGGGTATTCCAGCATGACAATGACCCAAAACACACGGCCAAGGCGACAAAGGAGTGGCTCAAGAAGAATCACATTAAGGTCCTGGAGTGGCCTAGCCAGTCTCCAGACCTTAATCCCATAGAAAATCTGTGGAGGGAGCTGAAGGTTCGAGTTGCCAAACGTCAGCCTCGAAACCTTAATGACTTGGAGAAGATCTGCAAAGAGGAGTGGGACAAAATCCCTCCTGAGATGTGTGCAAACCTGGTGGCCAACTACAAGAAACGTCTCACCTCTGTGATTGTCAACAAGGGTTTTGCCACCAAGTACTAAGTCATGTTTGACAGAGGGGTCAAATACTTATTTCCCTCATTAAAATGCAAATCAATTTATAACATTTCTAACATGCGTTTTTCTGGATTTTTTTGTTGTTATTCTGTCTCTCACTGTTCAAATAAACCTACCATTAAAATTATAGACTGATTATTTCTTTGTCAGTGGGCAAGCGTACAAAATCAGCAGGGGATCAAATGTTTTTTTCCCTCACTGTACACATTACGCACACACTCACGGAGAGACCTGCACACCTCTTGCAGCTGTGAGTACTAGGCATGTAGTTATTCATCCATTCGTCTTGTAAAATATCTTCATATGCTTGTGTATCAAATTACGTGCATAATAATATATTATTTAAAATTCTGCTAATTACATTCAAATGTTTCCTTTGACTATGACCGAGGCACCTGGAATGCGCACCCCCGATTTCATCAGATCTCGTGAACTAAGCAGGGTTGAGCCTTAGATGGGTGACCAATTATAAAAGAGGTGTTATAGGCTCCTGTGGGGCTATGCTGTCATGCTGCAACGTCTATTGCTCCCCGCCTTTGTCAATCCACGCTGACCAGCGTCGCTGTACTATGCTCCATCATCAAGTAATCCCCACGGACCGGCTCAAGGCACTCATCCAGCAGTGGATTTTGAAAAGGGGGCTGTGCTTGTACATGTCACCTTGAGGCTAATGGAATGAATGAGACAAAACGAATAAGACTGTGCACATGAGACAGGTAGCACAAATGAAGCACAATAAAGGAATAGTTTGTGAGCCTTAATCGTGATAGTTCATCCAATCTGGGGAGAGGTGAATGTGTTACATGCCTTGCAAGCTCGTACACACACACACACGGGAGAGAGGTCCACTGCTTGTGTACGCGGCTCTGTCTCGCTCCGTGACACTCAACGCCTTGCCGTGTGCCGTCGCGGCAGCTGCACCGGACGTCCCTGAGCGGCCGGCCGGGCGACCTGCATGGCGTCATGATGATCCAGGCGAAGCCCCTGCAGCAGAGGCATGGGACCGTCATGGACAAACTCCCGTACGTCCGCACCGCCGCGTCCATCGGAATCGTTTGCCCGCCGCCGCGAACCGCGGCCGACGGTCGCTGCCAACGGTCGGGCGCGCTTCCCCCGATGCCTCCCCGCAGGCTTCCATCGGCGCTGGAGGAGCGCGTGTGGAGCGGCCGCCCGGCCTCCAGCGTGCTCTCGCTGCCGCGCAGCCGCGCCGGCCCACGTCCCGGCGCCGCCGCCGCCGCGGACGACGCCCTGCCGGCCTTCTCTCGCGTCGCGCTCTCCTCGGCCCGCCGGCGCCCGCACCCCGCCGCCGGCCCGAGGCCCGACGCGCGCGCCAAGACGTCCAGCGTCAATCGGCAGGAAGTGCTGCGCGGCACCAGGCTGTGAGCGATTCGCACGGCGACGCTACGGGCACCGCCGCCGCAACCTCACGCCCTCCTCTGCCATCTCGCTGCAACCACCTCTGCCGTACCTCATCCACATTTTCTGTTCGACACTGCTAGTTCCGCAGTCTTCTTCTAATCTCGTTGCAACCATTGCCGCCACTCATTCCTACTTCCCTACTACTGTGTCTCTTCCACAAACGTCTATCCAACCATTGCTGCCCCTAACATTCTAAGCACGCTGCAGCCATTGCCATCAACAATCATCGCATGAGATTCGAGCATTAGGGATTCAGCAATTGTTCAAAACAACCCAGTAAGTAAGGAAGAAAAGGGAGGAAAATAAGAAAATGAGACAGGCCTTTTGCTCAGCAGTGGGAAGTTCCCAGCTGACAGCCACAACTATCAACCACCCCTCTTCCACTCCGTCTACACAACACTGCAGGTCTCCCTTATCGCTTTGACAAAGTCTATACAATAATCTCCTTATCTCTTCCACATTGCCGATACATCACTGCAGCATGCAGTCATACGTACCGCTGCCACCAGCAATAGCAATTGTCCGGGAGCCTTTTTAAAGGGCGTAGTTGGGGTTTTTTTTCACGGAGGAAGGAAAGAGAGATTCCAATGGCTTAGGATTTTAGAGGTCAGCTGCTTGAATTTGAGGTTTTGATCAGCCATCAACCACCGAGTGACTGCTGGTTTATGGGAGTACCCATGAGCCTCGAGGCTTGTCCTGCAGTCGGAGTGTAGCATCCCGCCTAATGCAGCTCTGCAGAACCTGCTGCCGTTCCACATGTCCAGGAGTGGCCAGGCGTGAGATTTGTCTACCGTTTGGTTTGCCCGCCACGTGGGTTTAAGCGAAAGGAATGTTACGATGTTTTCGCCTGTAATGTTTAATTTTTGTCCTTTCGTTCTTATTCTTTTTGGTTGTATCATTAACATAGGTTGATCGGTAAACCTTGCAATGAGTCGTACATTCTCTGCATAGTTGAGAACCCCAAAAACAAGTGACCAGTGGTCGGTTTAAAAAAAAAAAACTTGAGTGAAAGTTTTCCATCGTATGCTGTGCAAATCTATGTAAACTAAAGATATTTTTTGCTTGCAGTGTTTTAGGTCGTTGGCATAATAATCTTACACAGGTTATTGTCCACCGTTCACACTTCATCGTCCATCATCATCATTGATGTATTATAACCTTGCTGATTTCATCCATCATTCATCCAGAACAGACCATAACGATGTATATTCCATCACCGTTATCTGTTATGTTCTTTATTATTATTATAAGCTGGTAATTATCTCTCGTTCACACATCATCATATCCTGCTCGTTATTCATCATTCACACGTCTGCATCATCATCATCATTACCATCAAGTCTTACATTTTCAAAGTGCTCACACTTGCCACAGCAAGACATGATCCCCCGTATAGCCTGAACAATCTGTTCGGGAAAGTGCAGTTAGCGAGCACCTATGAAAGCCGCCACGGCACAATAGGGTGGGTAGCCAGTACCACATCCGGCCACACCTTTGTCTCCCCGGTGGCAATGTTTACACACCACACTGGCTACTCATTTGAGGCCGAGTCGACCGTGGCGAGACCAAGGACCGATTCAAATAATCACCACTGGGGTTGGCCGTGACAGGGAATCGAACTCGGGACACCAGGTTCGTCATTGTCTTACCGCTCCCAACTACTGTCACAGCAATCGCACAACGCGCGCACACACGTTGGTTCTCGCGCGTGAAACAGCTGATTGGTGGGTGTGGGTGGGTGCATCTCTTCTACCACAGAGCGATGGGCGCTTCCGAGCGGCTGTCGACGCCACAGATGAGTGCTGTGCGCAACACGCTGCTGCCCCCCATCGGCTCGCCGGACCCCCACGAGAGCCAGCTCACAGTGCCGGGAGCGCGCGCTTCACAGGCGAGTCCAGGACAGCATTAAATCATCCAGGGTGAATGGTAGTAGCAACAGACACACAGAATGCGAAATTCGTATATAAATTAGGGATTAAAAACATTCATATTTACCATATGTGAAATGGGGGGTAGAGTCGCAGAATGTGTCATCTTGTGTGTGTGTACGAGCTTACAAGGCATGTAACAAATTCACCTCTCCAAAGATTTCATGAACAGTCACAATTAGGGCTCGCACAATATTCCTTCATTTTGTTTCATTTCTTAAGCAAGCCAGTGACCCTTGACGAGTGAGGAGCTGCTAATAAACAGAATAAGTTCGCACGGTAAAACGACTTGGATGCGCACGGTTAATCCGCAACCGAAATGGACCACCCCCACCGGTAATCGAGAGTTAACTCTACGTACATGCAAACAGATTGTCCTCTTATTATACACGGATACCCTGTTTAGCGCAGGGGATGCGTGCCTGGAAACGAGAGCCCTAGGTGAACCGGCGCTATACGGGGTCATTATAGGATAGACCTTATGGAGATGTGTTCCCGACATCGTAATTTATCACCTACGACCAACACATTAGAGGTTCATTGGGTTATTGGAACAATAATACAGATGATAAACATGATTTATAAATACTGTTAATGGTATAATCATTTTAAATAACAGAAACAGTGTACTCACCAGCGCATGGTGCGACCCCGAACTTGGCAAGCGCTGGGAGACAAGATGAGAGTTATGAGCGGGGAGATGGGCCAGGTTGTGGCTCATCCTCAGCTAGATCTAGAGCACGGTCCACAGCCACCTGATGCTCGCCCGCCTCAAGCCCGCCATAGCACTTGCAATTTTAACCTCCAGCACGATGCTTTTCCTTGTCGCTTCTGCAGCCCCTCCAAAACTGTCACCTGCACGGCTCTTGTCAGCCGTTATGGGTCAAAATTGTTGACCAAAACAGGAAAGCAGCAGTAAGAAAAAGACCACGGAGGGATAAACAAAACAGCTTGTGGGCGCTACTTGAACTGAACAGTCGAGGAAAGTGCTCATTAGCGGAGAGCGAACGCCGCGCTAACTCGAGTATGATATCGCTCGTTGGCTGAGGGCGGAGAGCGTAATAGGGCGCTAATACTGTGCAATATTTGGATGAGAGCTTATACCGCGCTAACTCAAGTACGGCTTTTCATCATTATTATTATTTTTATTTACTGTACGTAACGTATGTATTGTAATATATATATACTGTGTATGTATAGAACAAACAGCTCTAACGAATCGGCGCTGTACGGGGTAGCGCCCAACGGGATATGCGTGTACAGATATGAATGAACCATCATCGATCAATCGATCTTCCCGTGGCGTGCGCAGACCAAGGGCCGTCTGAGCATTAGCCGCGTGTCGAGCGCCGTCACGGACGACACGAGCCGCCGTCCGGTCCGGGACCGGCCCTCGCTCGTGCTGGAGCATCCATCGCGGCCCAACACCACGCACACCTTCCGGGTAATGCCCCGTGAGCACTGCAGACTGACAACCCCTGCCGGCTTCGGCTGGAAAATGACCGGCTCGTGCGCGGGACCCTACGCTTGCGTGCATTCGGGTTTGTTTAAACACGGGCCTGTCGCGTGCGCGTGCAGTCAGACATGCAGCTACGGAGGTCGCTGACACCCATGGAGTACAATAACGCCACACGCACTGGAAGAGCCTCCCTCGGATCAGGTATGGTCTCTGCCTGTTTGTGTGCGACCGTGTGGGGTCTTTTTTTTATGGGGCGCTGTGGGTGCAGTGTTTAGAGCACTCCTCAATTATCAGTCGCGGCCTGCATAAATGGCGAGTCATGTCTGAGCCAGTCCAGGGCTTCCCCTGGATCAATTCAACCTCGAGTTAGTACTTGGTATGGTGTGTAAACATCGGAACTGGGGAGACAGGGGGTTGGGCGTGGCGTTGCTCACCGACCCACTCGTGTGCCATGCTGGTCGTTGTAGGCGCTCGCTGGCAGCACTTGCCGCAACAGTCTGTTAAAGACAACAATGGGGGATCTTTGTCTTTGTGAGCACTCGCTGCCTCCCATCCCACAGACTCGCTGAAGATCCGCGTGACCGGGATCGGGCTGAGCAGCGCCGGGTACCAGCTGGACCCGTTCTCACTGCACGCACTCGGCCACTCGCCTCTGGAGGACGATGAGGACCACCCCCCCGCGTACCACCCGAGCTGGGGTCAGTGCCCAGGGAGTACAGTGTCTGTGTGTGCATCCTCGCTTTCCAACGTGCGACTCTGGTCATCCAGAACAGACCTTAACAACGCAATGCCCGATCCACAAATACGAAGGCGATATCACAGCGATGCTCTCCGCTGCTCCTGACGCGGTTATCCGGCTTGACCACCTGAATGTGAAATTGCAGTTATTGCTCTGCATCTACATCAGCCATACGAAGGAAGAAGACCGTGGCTCTTTAGGGCCCCCTTGTGGCCACCTTGGATATCGATAGTAAGGCTACGATTTTGACGAGGTGATTTTTATGGAGGTGGAAAAATTCTACTTTTTGTAGGCTCTCACCTGCTCATATTAAGGACCTTGATCTGGACTGGATCATCTTCTTGCTTATGGCTGCATGAATCTCTTATAAGTCTATATACATATTATAGTTATCCAGGTAATAGCTTCAATGCCTCGGTTAAGTGTTCACTCACATTGGTCCACGGTGTGGTCGATGGTCTGGTTGGTGTTGGTGCAATTGCGCCCAGGTTTTCTTTGAATTTCCAGTTGATGATTTTCGTAGTGGGCGGTTCTTCCGTAAGACGTGCGGATTATATTTTCAATGTGGACCATTGTAATCGAGGGAGATTAAATCCTGAAGGTTCTTTAGCGGTGGGATCGGCGATCAGGCGGTTGATCGGGATTGGTAAGCGGTAATTAAAAAAATACAACCGATATAATGGAAAACAAATGACCGCCATTATTCTTGTTTGCAGGTGCTGAATCCCACTTGCATCACAAGCCACAGAGTCGCAGCAGCAATGGCAAGAAGCGTTTCCCCATGGCGCTATAGCTCATGGGATGCAGAGGATGGTTGGGCAGCTTTTTCGTCACCCTCACTGCAGCCCGCGTCGGTGTCAGCGCAGCGCTGGCCAGGCGGGCGAGCCTCCGGTTATGCTGGACCACGCTCTGCCGGCCAGACACAGCGCACCTCGACACCCGTCTCCAGCTCGCCGTGGAGGAACTACGGCGTCTCCAATGCTGCGTGAGAGCGCCATGCTGCTGCGTAGGTTTTTTCGCGGTTGCGCTCTATAGCTCTCCGATGTCGTTTTCATGTCGTTCGGAACGATGTCCGACGTTTCGCTCCATGTGCCGGGAGACACTTGGGGAACTGAAAAAGCCGTGGTCGCTCGTAACCAAATAATCTTTCTTGGCGCGCGGAGCGAAACGTCGGACATGAAGCCGAACGACACGCGCGGGTACAACCCGAAAAGCCATCGGAGCGATTGACCGGGAGCTGCATCGTGCGTTTGCCACCAGCGAGATGCGCGTCCCGTAAACGCATATGTCCGGGTACCTTCAATGCAATTCTCTACTCGTTTAATTTGTGCGCACAAGAATTCTGCAGAGACCACATCCGTGTGGGCTCCCTGCAATCGGAGTCGACGTAAGTTGACATCACGGTTGTGTTCGTGAGATGGGGGCCTTTTGGCCAAAGTGCAGGGATCAGTCATGCGCAACTAAGCATGGTGAGGCTTGATATACCCGCTCAAGAGTGCTCTCTCTTGAGACCGGCAGTGTCAGCGTTTTGGCTTCGCTACCCCAATGCGTGGGCGAGTGGCTCTCTGAAATGTCAACAAAGTCACCCGCTGTCGTGAGGTTTCGAGTATTTATCTTTTTAAAATCCCGTCTCCTGTTCGCAGTATCCTCTCTGCAAACGTATTTTATTTTCAACACTGTTTTCAATCGCAAAAGTACATTTCCTGCTTTATTAACCAAAGCAGTGAAATAGCAAACTCAAGATTCGTATAAAATCTCTAAATATGACCATCACATCCAGTGTATGACGCACATAACAGTAACCTAAACAATTACCCCCAGTACGATACACATGTGGGTGCCATACATTATTTTATTTTATCAGAAATGGGAAAACATTTATGTGTGTTATACACAGGAGCGTATTATACGCAGCCAACTTAACAGTGTGGAGCTATTGCTTTTAATATTCAGCACAGGAACTTATTCGTTATTACTGTCATATATTATATTTTTTAACGTCTTTGTCAGATGAGACCATAAACTGTAATTGTTTTTACTCAGGGACAACTTCAGCACAGGAAATTGGTCCACGTAGGGTACCCGAATAAGCCTTGCATCACTTCGGTGCTATCACAGCTCTGTGTAGGATTGGACTGTATAGCCCAAGGAGGTTGCAAACAATATTATTGCCACGTGTTTGAAAATGTAGGCGCAATTTAAAAATGCGGAATGAGCAGATGACCGGAGGGTCCGGATTCACGATACAGCATTCTAGCATAGCGCTTGACTTTCAGGGTTCAGGAGTCTGTGTGCATTGATGGAGCAGCAATGTTTGAAACTGTCAGTGCTTGCATTGGCTATGAGGCTCATTCAAGAAATCTGTGCATTGATGTACGTAGCTGTACTGCTGGGGCGATAAATACAGCATGAATTTAAAATCTGAGACACGGTTGCATGAAGACGCTTTACATATCCAAATCGTATTGTTGTGAGGTACAAATTCGCGTAATTGCTGACGGTTTAGATTCCTCCCCCTCGACGTGTCGTCACAGTCCAACTCGTATGATTTATTGAGCGTCTCCTCCCTTGTTGTTTGTGGTAAGCTTCATGGTTCAGGGCATCATTCCGCGTTTTCCTTCTTTGTCTCAGGGCTGAGAATATTTCAGGGCAGTCGACCGATCGCATATTTACCCCCCCTCACCAAGACCGGAGCACTAGCAGGTGCTGTCCGTTATAAACCGTGCACGCCGGTGCACTTTGTAACGAGGGTTGCTGCGATATCATTTTTGAGGGTCCGATAGGAAACAATATTCAATCTCACGATATGACGATTGTTGCGATATCGGTTTCCCCATTCCATTTGTAATTCACTTTTGTACTGTTTATGTCCTTTGCTGAATTTACGGTCCGAATAAAGATGACTTAATAGTTCAACTGCAGTTTGCTCAACATGAGCCTGTAAATAAATGTTAGAGTTATTGCAGCTTTGCAGTATGTATGCTTATAATGTACATGCTGTTAGTTATAACAGAAATACATGTGTAATTGTATCAACTCCAAAAATCGAGGTCATATAATCACCATGTCCTCAGTTACTCTGGAAACATTTAGCAAACCTCAAGTTTTTTTTTTAAATGGGTCATAGCTATTCATTTAGAAATTTATTTTTTTCAGCTGTTTTGTTATTTCAGAGAAAACGATTGCAATAAAAGTAAAATATATTATAAAATAAAATTAACAATAGCACGGTATTTTTTAGAACGTGTGATGCGATTATCGTGACCCATATAGTATCGCCATATCGTCGCAAGCCTACTTTTTTTACACAAAGCAGCTGTTACCACTTCCAAAATAGTCGGATTAAACCGGTGGCTAGCATCTGGTAGCGCATTGTTTCCTAACCTTGGGGTTGAAGATCCCGTACACCCCATTTATTGCGGTCAGCAGGATTGTATAGTCCTCAATATATGACTAACAGAACAGTTTTACGACTTCTAGATTTAAAGCTTTCGTGACTGCTAGGATCCATACTCTTTGGTTCTAAAATAAAATAACACTCCAGCGCTGTCCTCCAGACAGTCTCGTTCCTTCACCTGATGAAGGCCGCTTGTGTTGTGGCCGAAACGTCGTGATTTTTTGTTATTTTATTTTCACCTACGTGACTTTACCCAATAGAACCAAAGAGTATGTGTTTACGACTTATTTCAACGAATGAAACCAGAGCCCTATCAACGTGAAACGTTGGGCCAATATTTGTTCAAACGATTCCAAGCACAGGGCAAATGCTGGACCCAACCTCTGCACCTTTTACTGGGCGAGTGGTTTCTCATCCTGCGCTTCGTCCGTGGCTTCGTGTTCAACGACTGCGTGCATCGCGCGAACGGCCGCCGTGTTGTGGAGTGCGGGGAGCAACTCTGTCGTTTAACCCCTGGTTGGGTCAATGGGGTTGTACATAAATGTTTTATTTTAAGTGGCACGTGTGGTGTGTGCCCCATCTCAGGTGTAGATTTTGACTCATAATTGACTCGCCAGTCTCCTGTTTGAACACTGTCCGTTAAAACTGTCTGTGTCAACCCGCGCACAGCTTTCACATTTGAAAGCAAAATGTTTAGTGTCCCGAGAGTCACATTTTATAGCAGATTCTTTATTCGTGTACGGGAGACTTGGGCACGTTATTGTACAATGGTGTATATGAATCTTCTTGCACATACGTACGCGAGTGTGCCTGTTTATGTGTATGGGAAACGGTGGTACACAGGTTAGCGCACTGTCCCACAAATATAACCCCCTAAGTTTTAATTCCTGTCCACGGCTGACATCAATGGACAGTGATATCTGAGCTGATCCAGGGCCTCCCCGAGGTCAACGCCACCTTAGATGATTAGCTGGCGCAGTGTGTAAACATCAGCATTGGGAAAACAAAGGTGGATAGGCATGGTACTGGCCACACCATTCCTTTGTACGCCGATCTTTATAGATGCTCACCAACAGCACTTACCCCAACAGTCTATACGAGGGAAACTATGTCTATGTGTGAGTGTATGTATGAATGTGTCGTGCCTGATGAAAGATGGTATGTTGGTTAGAACACTGCCCCATGGGCCCAGCTACCCAGGTTCAGTTGGGAAGTTCTGTTCATAACAGGAAATGTGGTTTCTCTGCCTAGCAAGAGATACCCGAGGTCATCTTCGCCTGTTTTTAGTACCTGGCACATCAAACAAATCCAGTGCTGCGTTGGGGCCGTGCTTTTACCATCAACATTTTTTTACTGGCCAAAATAGGTGCTCGCTAACAGCACTTGCCAGTCAAACCAGGTGCACGAGGGGGGTTTTTGTTTGTACCTGATCATGTTTATTTTGAAGTTGCCAAAGATATGTTGTAATGTCACGTAAAACAAAATGTTATGAAATTCAGGACCGGAATTTAACATTGTTTCATATCTTTTGATTGTTGCCATATTTACTGAGGCATGCAGTGATGCGTCGATTTAGAAGTTAAAAACGATGCTTGCGCGCTCTTGCGTGTGAGAAACGATTTGTGTTTGGTTGACTCGTCTTGTACGTCACGAGTTCACGTCATCCCCTGCATCCGTTCGAGACACTTGGTGCACCAAAATTTCATGACACCACAATATATATAAAAAAGAACATTATTGAATCGTAAACATTTTCAAATTTCGAGTGGTACGCGTATTGAACCTCCGTTAAAAGTGTCTTATTGTTATGTTGAACCACCGAAGAAAAGATGCAATTCTACTCTCAACAACAGGAATGCTTCATGTCTTGAATTTTGTAATAAATAAATGTTGGCTTTATTGGGTCAATTTCACCCGTTTCTTATAATTGTATATGTGATGTATTGCCGTTATTAATGGTCTGGGGACAGGGGCGGAGCCAGGATTTTTACTTTGGGGGGGCTGACTTCAATATTCTGAGATATCCAGTGTTTATGTTTTCCAATAGGCGCCACAAATGTATAAAACAAATTTTATTTGGATTTGAACGCGGAGTTTATTAATAGGTCGGAGCCGCTGATGTGGCTAATAAGTTCGATAAGTTTGAAAGGCTGCCATTCAAGCAGCCTGCAGGGCAGCACAAGGTGGCAGCCTGCAGCATTTTGCAGCAGCCGGATATCCGCGACTGGGGTCTTTTTTATGTTCATGCAAAAAAACGACTTATAATTCTCTATAGATGGGGACATTTCCTGGCTGGTAAAGTCTGTTAACCAATAAAGTGCATTATTAAGTCACATTGACAATCTGCTTTGTATCGCAACTTAGTCAACTCTAGATTATCCGGGTCAATTGAACAAAGAAGTTAAGCATTTAGGCCAAACACAATTATTGTTGTTTACCTCCTTGGAACGTGGGGTGACCATTTAACACATTCCTGCGGGGGGAGCTGGTAAGAACGTTGGGTTGCTCGGTCAATGGCCAGGGTCAACGGCGGCGTGGTATATTCCGCAAATATGCCCGACTGTGAGGGTGGGCACAAGCCGGCGTGAGTAGGTTAAACGTTGAGTTTTATAAGGGCACCACGGGGTGACCAGCCCCTCCCACCCCCCACCCAGCCCCTCCCCACCCAGCCCCTCCCCACCCCTCCCACCCCCCACCCAGCCCCTCCCCACCCCTCCCACCCCCCACCCAGCCCCTCCCCACCCCTCCCACCCCCCACCCAGCCCCTCCCCACCCCTCCCACCCCCCACGCAGCCCCTCCCCACCCCTCCCACCCCCCACCCAGCCCCTCCCCACCCCTCCCACCCCCCACCCAGCCCCTCCCCACCCCACCCAGCCCCTCCCCACCCCTCCCACCCCCCACCCAGCCCCTCCCCACCCCTCCCACCCAGCCCCTCCCCACCCCTCCCACCCCCCACCCAGCCCTCCCCACCCCACCCCTCCCACCCCCCACCCAGCCCCTCCCACCCCCCACTCAGCCCCTCCCCACCCCTACCACCCCCCACCCCTCCCACCCCCCCACCCAGCCCCTCCCCACCCCTCCCACCCACAACCCAGCCCCTCCCCACCCCTCCCACCCCCCACCCAGCCCCTCCCCACCCCTCCCACCCCCCACCCAGCCCCTCCCCACTCAGCCCCTCCCTCCCCACCCAGCCCCTCCCTCCCCACCCAGCCCCTCCCTCCCCACCCAGCCCCTCCCTCCCCACCCAGCCCCTCCCTCCCCACCCAGCCCCTCCCTCCCCACCCAGCCCCACCCTCCCCACCCAGCCCCACCCTCCCCACCCAGCCCCACCCTCCCCACCCAGCCCCACCCTCCCCACCCAGCCCCACCCTCCCCACCCTCCCCACCCAGCCCCACCCTCCCCACCCAGCCCCACCATCCCCACCCAGCCCCACCATCCCCACCCAGCCCCACCATCCCCACCCAGCCCCACCATCCCCACTCAGCCCCACCCTCCCCACCCAGCCCCACCCTCCCCACCCAGCCCCACCCTCCCCACCCAGCCCCACCCAGCCCCACCCAGCCCCACCCTCCCCACCCAGCCCCACCCAGCCCCACCCTCCCCACCCCTCCCAGCCCCACCCCTCCCAGCCCCACCCCTCCCATTTTTGGATGCACAACGGACGGACACAATCCCGTGGGCTGGTGTAACCAGGAGGTTCCTATCAGTAAGATGTCTTTTTTTTATTGCTGCACGTAATCAATCGGTGCATAAGTTCAAAAACATAATTGTTTTGCAAACACGCTTAAACTGCAAATGATGATGGGAGTTTACGATTAGAACGTCGTTCTACTCATTGCACAATGGAATACCCTTTGCATGCCCAACCATTCGCTTTCAGCGTTTACTTTTTCAACATGTATGCAGCTCTGACATTTTAATATGCATTGATATTGAATATAAGCCCTCATCATTTATTAAAGCACGCGTCAGTGTCTCGCCATTCGCCACAGCTGGTGCAACACTCCTACATTTCCCCAATCATCTGTTCAACGGGAATGCGTTCCGCTGCACATGCACGTCGATTGGCAGCAATGGAAACCATGGGATGTGGGCACGAAAAGTTGCAATTGAGAAATGTTGGCACGTTAGACCAGGTTTATATTTAAAGCCAACATGGATCATCTCATTGTGGTTCAACATCCCATTTGACACTCACGTTCTGTTACACATGGCCTTGCATATGATCTGTACATGCTTGTTGTTATATGTACAAGTACTTAGTCGTTTTCGTTCGAAAAATATCAAGTACAAAAAACTGCAATTTTGTAATTTGACAGAAATGAAAAATTATGTACATATGTGAATACAGATTGTACCTTTATATTTTATAGTTATGTTTAGCCTTCAATGTTAAAGGTAAAGTTACGTCTTTGGTATAATAAACAATGTTAGCTACACGATTGTGTTGTATTTTTCAACTCGCTTAAATTCGATTTAGCAGAATTGCAGGTGGATTGTTCCATCGTAGGGCCACGAGTGGCGGTATTTTAGAGGCCTTCATATACCAGTGAAATTCTTAATCAATCCCTTTTATTATTTAACATTATGGCAAGTTGTTTTTGGCAAGTTTGGATTCACAGAACGTGTATTATTTGCAGGCTCCATTCTGTTGAATAACATAAAGTAACCGATTGCAGGGACATGCATACACTCTAAACATAAGTGCAAGTTTATTATTACTAGAGAGTAGTTTAAAATGGTACCTATGCTCATTTTGAAAATGACCAGTGCCTGAATATCACTGCCACGTTCCCACCAAAAAATAAATTTGCAACATTAATTTTAAATACTTGTCGTGTTTATTTGGACATGAAGTAAGCAATTAACAATAACCAGCACAATAGCTCAATGGGTAGAGGGATGTTGATCCTGCTTTGGGACAAGCCTTGTCAATACCGGTTTGAGTAACACCACCAAAAAGAAGGGTTAAAAAAACAGCAATGTTCTTAATCCGAGTACAACACATGTCAGCAATTCAAACAAATCTGAACTCTGCCATATTGTAAATAATATTTCAGTGTTTGAATGATTAAAACACTGGAAACAAAACTTAAGTATAAAAAAATGCACAATGCACCTGTGTTAAAAACAAAGTCGTTTTTAAACACACTACACACACTACCTTTATTCTATTTAGTATGTATATAGTACCATTTCCAGGGCACTTTACAATAAGGCGCAAAACCTATTAATGACAAGTTAATTAAGCTCATCTGCATCTGAGAATTGTTTTTGCATCTGTTTTGTAGCCCACGTCAAATTCCTCTCCATGCATAGATGCACGGGGAACACCTCAGAGCGTTGCAGAAGCGACCAAATCGTCGGAAAGTTTGCCTTTAACATGCGATTTGAGAATGCCCAGCAACTCCGAAAGCACGCCCATCTCCTCCTCGTGCATCTGGCGTGCATCCTCAATCTTCTGCAACTCTAAGTCGAAGCTTTCCTTCTTTAAGTCCTTGACCCACTGGGGCACACCACTCTTCCACATCACCCTGCGCCTCTTCCTCGCTCTGGCCTGGACCTCCACTTCCACCTCCACCGCGGTGGCCGATGCAACGGGCCACTCTAGCACCTCCGGTTGCGACGACGGGACCTCCTCGCTCAGCTGGTGCTCGCCCTGCTCCGACAGCACCACTTGCACCATTAAGGGCCGGTTCATGATGAGCGAGCTGCGTGTGGCCACGGGATGGATCTCCGCGTCCGGCCCGTACATCTCGTCGAGCTCATTGAAGAAGGTGCATTCCGTCCGACTGTTGCCGAACTTGTGCTGGTCGACGACTTTGCTGTAGACCTTGAGGAGCATCTTCCACCGGTGTTCGCACTGCCACTGCGTGAACATGTGGCCCTTGGCCTGGAGGCCGCTTGATATTTCGTTCCACAGGTTCTTCTTCTTGTGCCTTCCGCACGCGAACTGATGTTGCCGTTCCTTGTAGAGCGAGATGAGCAGCTGGGTGGTCTCCTCGCCCCATTTGTGAGCTACGCACAGAATGGATAGAACGAAACGTGAGAGGTTTAATGGGTTAACGACACAAGTTGGTTTTTAAACAAGCAAATTTCTCTGGCATGGCCAAACGTCTTTACGACAGAATGTAGGGGGTAAAAGAGCAATCAGGTGGTTGTACTTTGCAGGTTTTACTCTCGATTGACAAGATTTATTTTACTATAAGCTGTTGATTAAATTAGGAAAGCTCTCACTGTTTACATTTCTTCATAACTAATTCACAAAATACATCTATGGCAAAATCACCTGGAGAATGTGTCCTATACTCTGTCAAATCGTTGATATCAGTGTCCTTGTTATCGTTTGGGCTGGGAGAGCTGGCAACGGGAGGTGAGCTGGGTGGGTCAGGGACGCTGGTCTCGGCCTCCAGCAGTGGACAGTCGTGCGTGAGGGCCAGGTCCACATCGTGAAACTGCTCCAGGCACTTGGAACACTGGTAGATCTGCATCAGTGTGGCCATGCGTTTCGCAAACCCTGCACAGATGGAAAATCAACAGACGTGTTAACTCTTATTGGTTACAACTTTGATAGTGCTCACTACTTGACCTTTGGCCCTTAGGGCCTGTCCTCTGCAACTGTTTTAATATAAATAGCAAATTAGCATATATATTAGTGTTCAAGGACAATGCATACATTATCAAAGCATATTTGTTTGCACGTTTCCCCACATGTATGTGTGGTTAATGCACACTTGATGCCTTGTTATAGGTGTCTATTTGGTGGTATTCGAAACATTATAATAGCATAATGCTATCACCAAGACGCTGTTTCACCGTCTGCATGGCAGCGATATTGCAGTAGCTTCGCAGTAGGCGGCACTGGCTGCGTTTTCCCGATCGAGTACAAGCAGTCCTCGACTTGCCTTAAAACGCGAACTCGCAATTGCAAAATGAACCGCAGAACTATTTTGTTCAGAGGAGCGATCTTCCACAAAATGCAGAGTCGGCCTCGAGCTGGGAGTGAGTGTTTGGATGGGTGGGTGTGTGTGCGGGCATGTGTGTGTGCATGGGAGCTGAGTGGACTTGCTGATGACTGGTACCAGCGGTGTCAAGATCGGCCTCTGTGGAAGAGGCTCGTGAAAGACGCTACTGGGCAGTTGGAGACAGTCTCCCTCCAACAACAACGGAGGGCGGAGGAGCGATGCTCACAACGAGCGGAGTGCCGGGTGGCTAAATCACAGCAAGTTGGCACGGTAGGGGGCACAGGTGGTGCATCGGCCAGTCATCTCAGTCAGTCGACCCGTGGCACCTGGGTCTGCCCCGTGACCTGCCAGCGGGCGTTCGACACTTCATGTGGCCTCAACGTGCACATAGCCTGGCACAAGCGTGGTGACGTCACCGCCACTTAGTGGAGAATGGCGGTTGTTGTTGTGCGCACAGACTGCAACAACTACAGGGGCATCTCACGCCTCAGTGTGCCGGGAAAGGTCCTGGCAAGGATTATTCAACATCGCCTTGCCAGGCATGCTGAGGAGAGGCTTGCGGACACCCAATGCGGTTTCAGGAAAGGGCGGTCCTGCACAGATGCCATATTTTCTGTCCGTCTGCTACAGCAGAGGTGTTGGGAATTCCAACAAGACCTACATCTCTGCTTTATTGACCTGGTCAAGGCCTATGATACCATCAGTAAGCCTGGGCTCTGGGTTGTTATTCGTGCTTTCAGAGTCCCTGACCCTCTGCTCATGATCACTAAGGACCTTCATGATGGTGAGCGGGCCCGGGTAAAACTATGTGGCCGGGAGTCAGAGCCATTCCCTGTATACCTTGGGATGTCCTCTGGCTCCCACATTATTTAACATCTATTTTGACCACGTAGTTCGTGAAGCCTTCAATAGCTGTACCGGAGGAATTTCCATTTGGTACAGATATAATGGGAGGCTGATCGATGCCCGGGTGCGGTCAAGGGATGTCTAAAAAATTGCTCAACCATGTTATGTATGCCGATGATCTGGTAATTGCTGCTCACTCAGAGGAGGAGTTGGAGGTGCTGCTGCTGAACCTGGAGCTTGCCACCAAGAGGTGGGGCCTTACCACCAGCCCCACCAAAACTAAGCACCTGCCTGGGTATTTTGTACCATCGGACACTCCATCCCCACAACTCCCAATTGGTGACAGGGCAGTTGTGGAGAGTTGAGAGTTCCCCATACCTTGGCAGTGTGCTCATGACCGGCTCCGGTTTAACAGCAGAGGTCTCACTCCGAATCAGTCGAGCGGCATTATCTTTTCATCGGTTGCGTAACGCTGTGTAGAAGCTACCTGGTCTATCACTCCGCACGAAGCTTCAGGTCTTCTCGGCCCACGTCATTCCCTCCCTTCTCTACACTTGCGAAACGTGGACTCCCCTAATGGAACGTCTTCGCCGGTTAGAAACATTTAGGCTGGCCTGCCTACGATCCATCCTGGGTTTAACCAGGCTGGATTGTGTGAGCTCACAAATCCTTGAAAGATGTCGACCAAGTCCCATCGGCGAGCTCCTCCGGCAGGCAAGGCTGCGTTGGCTGGGTAATGTTGCCCGCATGCCCAGCCACCGCATGCCTAAACAGCTTTTGTTCGGCCGGATCGAGGGGGCTAAACGGGCGTGGCACGGGCTAGAGAAGAGATGGAGTGATGTGGCACAGGAGGACGTGGTGCTGAGTGGGCTTGCCGATGACTGGTACCAGCGGTGTCAAGATCGGTCTCTGTGGAGGAGGCTCGTGAAGGACGCTTCTGGGCAGCTTGAGGCAGTCGCCCTCCAACAACAACCGAGGGCGGAGGGGCGACGCTCACAACGAGCAGAGCTAAAGCACAGCAAGTTGGCACAGTAGGGGGCACAGATGGTGCATGAGCCACTCTTCTCAGTCGACCTGTGGTACCTGGCTCTGCCCCGTGACCTCCTGCCAGCGGGCGTTCGACACACTTCACGTGGCCTCAAGGTGCACATAGCATGGCACAAGCGTCGTGGTGACGTCACCGCCACTTCGTGGCGAATAGCGGTTGTCTTTGTGTGCAATTGTGGTGACTCATTGCCCCCTTTCCGACAAGCTAGCATCAGGAATCAAGGTAAGTGAAAATAAGTTTTGTTTCTCTATTAATGTTACTTTCTTTTGTTTGATTTACTATTCAGTATTTTTTTTCCAGTGGTACATGCGAATGTGCTCTATTTATTCTTAATTATGAATGTAACAATGTTTTCCTTTTTATTGAACCGTAACACATTTCATTACACCGACCTATATGGGCATTTAAATACGGTGCATTGTTGTTCCGACTTACCAACAACGGGTCTCGTGAACGAAATTTGGTCCGTAACCCGAGGACTGTCCGTAACTTGCCGGACAATTTCAAATTTGGGGGACAATTTAAATCGTGAAGCCACCCCGTAACTTTGCCCTAGGAAACAATGTCACGCGAAGGGCTGACTGAAATGTGTGCTTGCATAATGGAGTAGTCCGTAATGTACGTTACCATAAATAACCCAACCGATAATGTATATCCATTGTAATGTATATGCATCTCATTAATCACCCCACCCTCCCTTTGCACGTGAAGGGCTCACAAGGAACGCCATCACATCTAAACAGGAGGATTTCTCCACAGACCTGGCTGTCTGACTGATGCTAGTTGTAATTAATTATTGGCGAAACGTCGTACTCGATTGCAAATGTTGTGGCTTTGCTCTTCAAGACATCAGTATGCTGTACTAGTAACAAATTGGCATGTTCTGTTTACGTGACAAACCGAACCAATTGGCTGTCGGGTGGTGGCGGGTTTAACGACACATTCATATTTACGTGATTTAACCCCCCCCCCCCCAAAAAAAAACCCCTGCATTTATGGACGACTAAAGAGTGGCGGGAAAAGTTACAAAATAAGTCGTGTGGGCACGATATTCGTGGATCTCGGCATCGCGAGAACGTGAAAGGACGGCGACTTGAACGAAGGAGGCTTCATCCAGCAGCGGACACATCCTAAACATGAGATGACGCTACATCACCGCACCGATGGATTTAGGAATCCACTGCCTTAACTGCCAATGGCTTACCTCGCAGCCCAAGTTGTAAGCAGTGGTGATATCGGACAAAAAAAAAAAACAGCAGTGACTTAACCGCCGAAGGTTTAAGTGGTCCGTCTGCTGGCACATAAGCTAATACACATTAATATGGCGGGTAACACACGATCTCAATTTATCGGTACAATGCAGCAGTATCCCGCGAAAAGGTTCCGCGGTTTTGAGAGCGAATGCCGCCGCCTATAGGTAGCAGTAGAATTGTTGTCGTGATGAATTAAAATCGTGTCGGGAGCCTAGAACAAAAAAGTTGATCCTTCAAAGGCGTTCGCGACCGATGGGCTCTTCGCACGGGATCGTCGCGACGCAAGACGCGAGCCTCACCTTCGAAATAAACCGGGGACGGAGCGGCGGAGAGGCAGCAGCAGCAGCACCGCCACACCGAGGAGGGCGAAACAACGCGGGCGGACCGTGAAGCTCCCTCGCCGCTGCCTTTAACGTGAAGCCCGGGAGGCCAGAGGCAACGTCTGCCGGAAGTAGAATTCCACTTCCGGAAGACGAGGGCCAGGCGGGCAGAGCGAATCTTCCGGAAGTCGATTCTACTTCCGGAAGACGAGGGCCAGGCGGGCAGGGCGAATCTTCCGGAAGTCGATTCCACTTCCGGAAGACGAGGCCCAGGCTCCCTCTGCCCGAAGGCGCGTCGATAAAACAAGAACAAGGAAAACCGGAAGGCCTCGTTACCGCTTCCAGGTGAGGGGAGAAGGGGGAGGAGCGAGGGGGTTGGAGGGGGATAGAGGGAGGGGGTTGGAGGGAGGGGGATGGAGGGAGGGGGGTGGAGGGAGGGTTGGAGGGAGGGGGAGTTCGAGTTGAAGTCGAGGTCTTCCGGAAGAGAAAAGAGAGCGAGGCGGTAACAAAAAAAACAACACCGCCTCGTTCTTCCGGAAGAGGAAGAGGAGTTATAATTTAACACCAACGGCCGGAAAGGGGTTGGCCCCATCGTCCCGTGCACAGTCGCGTGGAAGGAAATCTGTTGCGAAGGTGACGACCGGTTAAAAGTTTGTACGTGTTGTTGTGGTTGCCTGTTCGATGGGTAGAACGTGTCGCTGTGTTGTGTATTTTGCAAAAGTTTACTCGTGTTTACAACGGACAATGGAGCGGCCTTAGCCCGGCCGTCGCTGGGCTAGAATGCCCTGCCCGGAACCTCGCGCCTTAGTCCGCGGGAACCTTCACGCTGAGAGGCTTCACGCTCAACCTACCTCTGTGTTCCTCTTTCTGTGTAACCCAAGCATCTCTCTCTCTCTGCTCCTTTTTGGCACTTTCAGTTTCATGTGGGCTCTGTGTTTTCCATGAAGGACCATGTTGATGAACCTTGCGTAGCGAGGTAGCAAGTTCACCGATTACAACGCCGCACAGCTGTGTCTGTACAGTACTGTTACGTTGAACCTCTTTCGCACCGTACGTTACCAACCGTGCGAATCCGAGGTGAACTTGCCTTGGCGAACTTTAGGACTGCTTCGCCCGGCCGCTTCGTGAACTTGTTGTTGGTTCCTGTTGTTATAAATGTGTTTATTGCTGCGTGTTAACGCGCCTGGAAGGTAAAGTCGCCTGGTTAGATTCCCTTCCTGGGCCATGAATGTCAACCCGCTCGTGTTTCCACGCCGGTGATGAGGATCGTACCCTTTGAGGGATCGTTGAATGGATGGCTTTCCATTGTAGTCATTTATCAAACACAAGTATAGAATTGGCACCACTGGTTAAGGACCAACAGCGCAGTTGAACTTCACTAGATGCCATCTCAATCATGTGGATTGTTTGACCATATTTCACCACGCCGGTCGATCCGGGTTGGGAAGAGAGGGCGACGAGGGGCAGGACCAGTAGAGGTGCAAGCCGCAGCGGCGAATCTAAACTAAAACTAAACTTTTATTTTATTTTACCAGGTAAAGTCCACTGAGTTACGTAGCTCTTTTTTTTTTAAAAGCGACATGGCTATCACAAATGATCGCTCAACGAAGTGGCTCATCGCGTGGAAATGTATAGCGGCGAAGTACTCTGAACGCGCACGTTGATTCGAAAATGTGGAAGGAAAAGCCGGGGGACCCAGAGAAAAATCCACGCGACCACGTGGAGAGAGAGACACGCAAACTCCAAATATACAGCAGCAGGGTTCGGGATTGAACCCATGAGCTCCTGTTTACTAGGCGATGTAGTTAACATGTTGCCGCTGATGGGTTCAGTACACTCACCACTGCGCCTCCGTTCCACCTATACGTATACAAATTAACAGTTTGTGTTCGTTTTTTCTTTGTTATCCGTGTTACAGAAATACATGAAGTATAATTTTCTGGTGCGGTTGATGGTACACCATCGAAGCATCGGCAGGCCGATGCGCACATCATCCCCTTCATAAATAGAACACTAAAGGCAAACCGCAGTCGTGCGTTTGTGCCAATGCAACCCAAACTAATGGACCATATGCTAAACCCATAGAGACACCGAGAGATACATAGACACTCGTAGAGATATATTAAAGACAAGACAAAGTGTGACTGGCCATGCAACCCAAACTATGGAGCATAATAGAGTAAATCACTGGAGTCCGTGCTCATTCAACGGAGGAATAACAAAACTACACAAACTCTCTCCAAAATTTGATTTGAAGCTTTCGTGACTGCAGGAATTATTACTCTTTGGTTCTTTCGGCAGCTGCCCCAACAGACCCACCTCTCTCTCTATTTAAGGCCACGACACAGAGGCATTTGGGTCTCTGTGTGTCTATGTTGAAGGCCGCTTGTGTTGTGGCCGAAACGTCGTGATTTTTGTTATTTTTTACCTACGTGACTTTACCGAATAGAACCAGAGAGTATGTTGTGTGTCTCTCTCTGTGTGTCTGTGTTGTCTCTCTCTCAAATTTAGTTATACCTGTTGATGGTTGCTTGTGTTGCAATCGAAACGGCGTATTCTATTATTTATTTTATTATTTTCTTTCTACGTGACTTTACCGAAAGAACCCCAAGAGTATCTCTTAAATCCTAAACACCCGGTACTGTAACAACACTGGGAAATCCAGCAGCCGAGGATCAGCCTGTCTCTCACGCTGATCCATAGGAGGTGACTTCTGCGGCTTAAGTCTCATCCTAACACTGTCGGACCGCGAAATGTTTAAATGTTACAGAACAACCGCGCGTTTGCCCACACGGAGGTTTGATAAACATCGTTAGTAAAGTCACGTAGAAGGGAAATAATAAAAAAACATAATAAAATAAAATTCTCACGACGTTTCGGCCACAACACAAGCAGCCGTCCTCAGGCGAAGAAACAGAGCTGTCGGAAAGACAGCGCTCTGTTTCTTCACCTGAGGACGGCTGCTTGTGTTGTGGCCGAAACGTCGTGAGAATTTTATTTTATTATGTTTTTTATTATTTTATTATGTCCCTTCTAAGTGACTTTACCGAAAGAACCAAGAAGATGAATCCCTGCAGTCACGAAAGCTTTAAATCGAAAAATAAAACATTGTCAGGTGAAACGTGCCAAACGTGGGGCTAACATGTCATCCATTTCCCCCCAAAGTATCCACTCTGCATCTTTTTATCCATCATCAAAGTTAACAACACTCCATTGTTTTTGCTCTTATTGTAGGTATGCCACGCTTTGACAGTACTGTGGTTAAAATGTGTGAGTAATATGACGCACGACAATATTTAGCAAAGATTAATAGCCCAATCAATGATTTCAATATGTGGTTACGTCTAAGCTGGTCTACTATTGGCCAGTACATTGTCAAATGTTTGAATGAAATATATTACGTTGGCACGAATTGGATACATGTTAACGCTTTGTTACGATGTAATTGAAAATATATTACAATATTGAATGGTGATTATCCACTGTAACATTATTGTCTAAACTTATTCAACCATAAATTCGTGTACCTGTATTACTGGCTATTCACAATATCAATTGTATAGAGTAGTTGTTTAAATTATATCTCATTTGTCCTTATAAATTATATATTTGTCACGAACAAAAACCGACAAGGCCAAACATGCTGTGAAGAGAAGAATCTAAATAATGCCAATGGCTAAGTTATGTTTCATTATTTATACGAGGGATAAACATTATGTTTTGGAAGTGTGCCGCAGGCTTGTTAGGTGATGAACATGAAACAAAAGCGTTTGCTAAAGGAGCAAGTAATATCGTAATGTGTTACTCTTCATGCAAATTTACAATGTGCTCCAGTCGGTTGTAGACTTAGTGTTGTCAATAAACGTATCCGTTCGTCAACATGAGAGGTGAAACCGGTACAGTATCTGTAATGGTGCGTCCATTCACCTTGACAGACTATATCCCTCGCCCTTAATTCTTTGATAGATGTATTGTTTGCCAACAAAAACATGGCGCTTACAAAATTCCAAACGCGTTTTCCTGTTACGTGGGAGACCGGTTTTAAAAACATGTTGTGTAGTGTAATGGTGACTGCTGGTGACACAATTCACAGTGCCACAGCGTAACATGTTAGCCATTTCTTCTCTTGCTGCTCTGTCTCCAATTATTCGTGTCTTGGGCCATCTCCACGTCCATTGGAGTCCTTCGTTTTCGGTTGACCACTTAAAACCACCTCTTCCTCGGCCTTGCTGCTCAGTCTGCCCTGGTGCTTCCATTTTCTGCTTCCAGCGTGGTTTTTCTCACTTCCTACAACTTGTCCCAACCGTCTGAATCAACGTTCTCTCTTCTCGTCTGAGATTAGTTACACCACACTTGCCCTGTGCCTCGTCTGGCTGATCCTGAACAAAGACGGTCACTGTATCGCACTCTATATCAGATGTGCTTCTGCGGCCGTCTGAAATGCTCTTCCGATATTCGGAAGTCAGAGATATGCACTCTTAAATCTGAATTGAAAACTAATTTCTTTAGAACTTCTTTGTGTTTAGTTTGTTATCCTTCCCCCGCGCCTCCGATTACCACGGTTGGCTATATACGGTGCGAGATCATTTCAACATCCACTCTTGTGTTCCTAGAGATCCATCTTGCCATCCTCATTTCTGTCATACACAATGTCTGAATCAGTGTTTTAATATAATTGTTATACATTAATGCATAAGCAAATTGTCTGGTTTTCATGTATGTGTAATTCTAGTAAACACTTCGCCACTAAGATAGAGATTGAGTAATTTAATCCTCCGTGTAAAGCTTGCATCAATGAGTGCACCTTCAAATTAGATACGTGTACTCGTTGGTGTTCACCCAGCATGTAAACACTAAATAAGTAATTCGATTTGATACAGCCTTGTGCTTGTAGTGGTGACACTGTCCAGCTATGTCAGTCTGGACTATCCAGTTTAAGCAATGTATTCTTATCCAGATTTTGCTCTGGTTTTGTTGTCGATAGGAAATGCTCCAAAGCATATGCCAAAATAATTGCATTTATTTTAAAAATGTTAGTTCTTATTGTTAAATTGTGATAACATTATACATTTTACGAACTAATTTTAAGTCGAGCAACGACACAAATGTGTTGGCCTCTTAAGTGTTAATATATGTAGTCTTATTGACCATAGATGCGACATTGTGTTGCTTGAATATTTCTGCTACTAGTCCAGTTCCCATTTTCAGTATCCTGCACCGTTGTGACCGTACAGATGGGTGCCACCCACCACGCCCTGCTTCAGGCAGTCGCGTACTGGTACTTTGCATGGTGACAGCAGTTAAGATGTGTGCATAGAATGGTTGTAGTTTGGATATGCAACAGGCGCGTTGCCATTACATGAGCTAGATGCAAAAATAACAGCTTCGCGCACGCTTGCCTGCGTCGACACACCATTTAGAGCTCTGCTTGAAACGTGCTTTTATGAGACTACTGCCTTAAGTTGATTATGACGCGATGAATCTGACTCACTGGTAATCTGTGTGTAAATATTAGACATTTGTGAGTTGAAGTTTGACCTTCACAGTCAAGTTTTTGATCCGGTTTACACTTTGCCCCTTCAGCCAGGGAGTTGTCTTCGTTCTGAGGATGTCAGCCAGCAATCACCATCATACAACTATTTATTGTAAATGTTTTTGTGAATCGTTATACTTATTACTCGAAAGCTAAAAGTAGTTCAAGTATGATGAGAAATGCAAAAAAAAATCCCTTTTACAAACCGCATGTTTGTGTTTTTTGAGAGTGCCATGACCTGCCCTGGACAGAGAACAGCTCTGCAACCACTGCCTCACTGTCATCTGCAAGTTCCAAATGAATAGTTAATTAATACTAGAGAGTGTGCAAAGGTGAATATCTAGGTGACGTTAAGATACCGTGGGGATTGCACGCCATTCATTATCCATTCGCACCGATGAGCACGGTTGGCTACGTATGGTGCTAAAGAAGTTCATCATACATACATTATGGTGAACGGTCCTCCGAAGCAAGTTGACATCTAATTGTGCGATGATTCCCTGCGTGTTGGAGCGACTGCTCCATCCCATGTTGTGTGACGAGTTGTAACTTGGTACAATGGCTTATTTTAGCTGCAAACTATAAAACTGAACTTTTTATTTTACCAGGTAAGGCCCACTGAGCTGTATAGATCTTTTTCAGAAGCGACCTGGCCACAATTGATAGCTCAACGAAGTGGCTAATCACGTGGAAATGTATAGCAGCCAAATACTCTAAAGGCATGTTTCTAAATGTGGAAGGAAAAACCGGAGGACCCGGAGAAAAATCCACGCGACCACCGGTAGAACGTGGAAGCTCCAGATATACAGACATTGTCAGGGTCAGAATTGAACCCTCGACCTCCTGCATACCAGGCGAGGGAGATAACATCTCGCCACTGTGGAAATAAAGTACAGTATCAGTAACCCTAACTGATATGAAATCCCCAAAATGCACCATTAAGATCATCTTCACTGCTATGAGTTAATTAGTTGCTTCCAGGATAAATAGAAATTAGAAATACTTTGGGGTATCTACAAAACGTGTGACGGGTGTGTTCAGGCAGTCCATATATTGTGCTGCTTAATAGTTTTTTCAGGTCTGTTGCAGTCACATATCCACCATGTATTCTAGTTCTTATTGAAGCAAAATCAACTCATGGGCATCACTACCATGAGTTTGCGATGCATTCCTTTCAGATTTTTTGGTTTCTTTTGACCTTGTGTGGGTTAAGCTGCCCTGAATACTGTGCTGCATGCAGCAGTTGTTTAGCATTTAGTAAATGTTGTGCAATAGCTTTACAACCAAATTTTTTTACAGGTCATAATTTTTACTATATATATTTCCCCATTATAAACTTCACCCCCTCTCCATTGTTATTAATGATTATCAATTGGGGTAGTGATTTAATTCAAGAACACATTCATTTTGTTTTATGTACTCATTTGTACTATCACATTAGTTCGAACTTGTTTGGTCTTTATCATGAATTTAATTTTGCCTAAATATGCATTATATAATTAATGTGTATATTATAAATGATTGATTCTTAGATGCACGAATTCATACTTTGAAGGGCCATATTTATTCTATACATGTGACATCTGAAAATTCCACCATCTAAAAACAACTGCTTTGTTTTTTTGCACCTAGGACTTGTTTTTGTTACAGAGAACCACAATTCCTCCATTTTCAAGGTGCTATCCCAAGGTGCTATCCCTATCTTGTGTTATGGTCCAACCTTTAACCGTAAAACTGGGTAGGGGGAGAACCTGTGACATGTGGGCTGGTTATGGCCCACGACAATTTAATATGGCCCATGGTCCCATGAGGACTGCCACTTTAAATTGGCTCGCAAACTATATTTATCCGTCACTGCAAGCTACTTGTATTACCACCTCCATGCCGGTGAGTAGAAAGCCAGCACATTGAATGGCAATTGTGTGTAAAAGGTGAGCCCTATGGCTGATAGTCAAAAATGATGATGGAGTGGCAGCAAGCGGATGAAATGTGTCCTCGAGAACGCCACCCACCAAGGGGATGGAGCAATGAGATGAACTCGTGCGCAGGTGCTAGATTGATTGTTGCATCGTGGGACCATGGGGGGGATGCGATGGCTTGGGAAGGCCTTCATCCAGCAGTCAATTGGTTGATTGATGATGATGATATGCACTCCATTTGTATGTACGTATTTATGTTGAACTTCTTTCGCACCGCACCTAGCCAGTAGTGCTAATCAAAGGTGCGAAATGAATATTTAATGAGCTGTGAACATAATCAATTTCATCCTGACTTTTTATACATGCCTTAGATAAATGTTGAAGCTTTATTTTCATGCCGCAGAGAAACATGCTGACCATTTCATTTTCAAACTGCTTGCAGCCCAGTTTTCAGGGCTTTGCCTTGCAGCTTGAATTTGTGGCAGCATCACATGTTTGTGTCGACAGAAGGGTCGGTTATGAATAACTGACTTCTGTAAGACAAGGGTCTGCTGCTCAAAGTGATGCTGCTTTCATAGGAAAGTGTACAAGTACAGTTGTGTAGACCAAACCAAGCCTTGCAGATACATTCGGTGCATTGTCTGTACAGGGAAACTTAATAAAACTATTCTATGTCATGGTCCAATTTGCTGCTGTGTAGTATGCAGGTTAGCTTTAAAGACAAACGTTTCAATACATAGAATCAATGAGTGAGACCTTTGTTTTTCTCTCACTCTGATACCAGTTCCCACAACTGTGGAACATTACAAAGTGCAACAAATCACCAAACGTAGCCCTTTGGCAATAATAAACGGCTTGTTCTTTAATAATGAAGAAAGGAAGCTGAATACTGGAGCTGCCGTTGTTGTAAAACTTTCCTTGCTGTGTCGTCAGCATAGGGCATATCGTACGTACGAAAGTAGTGCCACTTGGGAGTGCTTTTGGAGACGGTTGCATAATGTGATCCAGAGCGAACGTTGTCGTCTCTACGCAGGAATGGTGTTTCGAGAGCAGCAGTCGGAGAGACGCACGTCATGAGCTCGCCCGTCATCGATCGAGACTGGGACCCAGGTAATATTTCTTTTTTTTTACTTGTACAAGGTAAAGCCCATTGAGCTATACAGCTCTTTTTTTTCAGAAGCGACCTGGCCATTAGTGATTACTCAATGAAGTGGTTTATAATGTGGAAATTTATATCAACCAAATTCTCTCAACGCATGTTTCTAAATGTTGTGGGGAAAACACGGTGAAATATCCACGTGATCATCCGGGAGATCATGCAAACTCCAAATATACGGGCGTCAGGGTCGAGCCCATGACTATCTTGCATATCAGGCGAGGTAGTTAACATCTCATCACCGTGGCGATCCTCATTCCTGACGGTTTGTCCATCTTGTGTGTCGTGACTTAACATGATCCCCACTGGTCACTAGAAACCGATACCTTAACTCCTGTGATAGATTAAATAATCGATTGACTCAAACAATTACACTGAATCGTGACAGTTCTTTGCATTGCAAGAGGGTGAATTGTCCCACCAAATAGATTCTTATGCTCATGATGTGCACATCGAATTGTGCGTGCAAGAATGTATTATTTCCAGTTAATCAAAAGCTGATTAGTCTACATCCACAAAGCAGTTAATAATATGGCACGATCATCTACATCATTAGACCGCCTTTGCCAGTACCAAAATTTAATAATAGGGTTTTTCCCCTTTTTTCTGCCAACAAAACTTAAACCTTTTTTACAAGGATTCATGTCTGCATTAACCACAATACCTGCAGTCAAAATGCAAACAAAAAACACACTATGATAGTATATGATGCATTGTCCTTGAAACTGATTGGTCCGCACCAAGGGACGGCTTTCTTTTGAGCCTCGACCCAATTGGTGCTCGACCAGATGACGCCAAAAGGCGTACAGCTGTACGCCTTTTTATTATTACAATATGGCACGAGTACAGTAATATCAGTATTGGCTTTCATTGTGTTATTCCAGATTCACCTCTGGAGACGCTTTTGGACCAGCAGGCTCGCTCACAGTCCACCATCACAGTAGGTGCTTCCTTACTGTCTCGATGCAGCTCCCTCCGTCAGCTCTGCTGTGGGAACCACATTGTCCAGGACACCCCATTTCACCCCAATGAATCCCAAATCTTGATTGTTTCTGGGCAGTGATCTTCTTTTGCTTGTGTCGCACCGTACGTAGCCAACCGTGCTAATCAGAGGTGCAAGCTTAGTATTTTGGAACCAAACACCTTAAATGCGTTCAATATTTATTGATCTTAGTCCTTGGAAGAGAGCCTGTGTGATATTTCTACATTGATGCCTGTTAGTACTTTTAAGGGAGACTGCTTGTGAATTCTCATTGTAGGCTAAGCGGATGACGGTACAGACACGGTTTGAATCAAGCATGGGGATTTATCTGGCTACATTGCCTTCCTTCTATATGCCAAACACTTATAATTGGAATTGGCCAAACATCCAAATGTAAAATAAAATAGTCTTAAGACTCGGTGATGCTTTCTTGGATGAGTAACTAGCATTAAAGGGCATGAAGGGATTCACTTGACCCTTGGGCTCAGAACTCTAATCCTGAGCAGATGCTTCAAAGCAAACCATCTCAGATCATGTTGTTGAGCTAATGTATCTGTTGATTATCTAAAGCAATCGGAACTAACTAGGACTGCAACATACGTAGTGCAGATGCCTTAATAAGAAAACTCAAAACCTTGTAAGCCTGCAATTGGTAATGTATGGGGGTGATGCAAAAAACTATTTTTTTCTCACATTCTAAAAGTACATACACGATCCTTCCCCCGCACCTCCGCTTAGCACGGTTGGCTGCGTACGGCGCGAACGAAGTTCAACATACACACATGAAACTAAAACTACTTTTAAACGCCAATAATAACCATCCAGTTCTCATCACTGTTAATAATATGCCTCTTCAACGTGTTCCAGCTTGCTTTCATCAGGTCCATATTGTCAGGAGAACATATCGGGCACATCACGGGGGGACGCAACATGCACGCACAATTTGTTCATTCCCAAATGATCAAGTAATATTCTTTCCACGAGGTGTCGGCGAACCGTGCCATGGCGGTCTTCCAAAAACCACGTCTTTCACAGCTTTGATGTTTTCCTCTTCTTCGCAGTCCCAGGCCGCCCCTTAGCCGAACTCGACTTCAAGAGACTTCCTGCCACGACATGATTCTGTAGCGCATCTTGTAACGCCCTTGTCCCCCGCCCCCCCCCCCCCCCCCCCCCCCCCCCCCCCCCCCCCCCCCCCCCCCCCAGTTGCCAGAACTTTGCTCCCTGGACAAAAGCTCCCTTCACTCTGCTCGCCGGCTATGGAACTGCCTCCCTGAACACATTGTCGGCAAACTTACTGATTCCGGTCTTCAGGCCTTCAAATGCTTAGCACATGGCTATCTACAACATTTACCGCACGCCTTATAGGACTAAGTGTTTGAGCTGCAGTGAACCAATGATTATGCCGATTAGACGTACTAATATCTGATATGGTTATTGTTGACAATTGCACTTCATAAAAAAATATGATGGCGCATTCTCAATGTGTGTTCGTAAAATAAAACCCTTCCATTCGGCATTTTCTCACGTAAAAAAATTCAGGCGGCCACGACGTTTTTTTTATTTTCACCATCCATTTATGGTTTAACTCTTGATAGCTTGAACATAAATAAGGAACAAGGCAACGTAGAATATTTCACCCTGGTTGTTTGAGTGGACTCGGCATGGACTTTTAGAACCTGTACGCCCAATGGTCTGTTGTATTTGCCTCGATATTCGGCTTCGAATATTCTGAATGACCCTCTCGCTTGTATCTCAAGAGGTACAATGGTCATCATGTGTACTTTGATACGACAATAAACCCCGAGTAGCACCCAGACCCCTTGTCTCCTTAGCCAATAGATACATACATTGCATGCAACTACCCCTTGGTCCGCATCACATGTCCACCAATGGTTATATGTTAATTCCTTTTGGATACAATAAATATTTTATGTGCAATAGACAAGTAGTTTACCTCGCACAGTTGTGTGACGTAACACACCGATGGGCACATTTGCACACACATTGACGTCGCATGGAATTACTATTGCCCATTTATTGAAAACTAAACTACTGAACTCTTTTTATTTACCAGTTAAGGCCCATTGAGCTGTATAGCTCTTTTTCAGAAGTGACCGGGCCACAAATGATAGCTCAACAAAGTGGCTTATTACGTGGACATTTATAGCAGCCAAATACTCTAAACGCTTGTTGATTCTAAATGCGGAGTGAAAAACCGGAGGACCCGGATAAAAATCCACGCGACCACGGGAAGAGAGAGACGCAAACTCCAAATATACAAGCGTCATGGTCGCAATGGAATTCCACGACCTCCTGTATACCTGTCGGGTAGTTAACATCTCACTTCCGTGGCGAGATGTTAACTACCTCGCCTGAGAACTAAGGTCTGTTGTTTTCTGACTTCTATACACGACATCATCTGCAGTGCTGTGCGTCTGCTGTAGAATCGGTGTGTCTCTAAACACTGGACGGTGTTGGTGTGCGTTGCTGTGTTTTGCTGTGCGTAGACTCTGCAGCATCAGCTGAGTTCCTTTGAGGAGCTCCGGGAACAAACCCTCCATCACATCTCCCTGGTAGCCCCTTCACACCTGCATGCAAGCATTTGTGTCTGTATCCATTCATTCTCCACAATTTCCTATCATGTCCTTCAACTTTAAGGTCATGCTGTTGTTTATTCCACGTGTGCAACAACTGATATATATATATTTTTGGTCTGGACAACAGTAATGGGTAGAACTTAATGGATAAAAGGCTGCGAGCAAGTCACCTGGCATGTGCCCGCTCTCATCGGAGATTGTAAGATAAGCAGTGTTGAGCCTGGATAGTAATTGGATTGGTGACCGTCTTGCACAAACAAGTTGTCATCGTGATGTAGGGTTATGTGATTGACGGCAGAGGGCAGTGCAGAAACATGCATTTTTGTACTAAATCTACATGCTCTCACATCTGCTCCCTGCCTTTACATACTCGCACTGACCAGCGTGGTGAAGTATGGTCAATTAACCCCCACCATAATCCACATGATGTGGTAGAAGCTGTTATCCAGCAGTGGGTTCACAAATGACTTTGAACATCGCTCAACTACATTTAAATGTATGAAGGCTTGTCACATGTGTTAATTTATTTATGTCTGCAGATGTAAGTACGGTGCTATAAGTTGAACAAACTATTCACAAATGACACTGGAGATTACATTGCACAGATGGCCCGTTATTCCTGGCTTCAGCTGTTGGAATTCTCTCCAAGGCATATTCTAATTCTGCCGCTGCATGTCGGTGTCGAGCGCAAATGGGTGCGTGCTCCCAGCAGTCGACGTCGCAATGCGATTTGGGGAATGGATGAATTGTTCCTGCGGTGTTTCTGCGTGGCTCGGCTCGAGAAGGTCCGTGTGTTTTGTGAACGGGGGCACAGGTGCAAGTGGAGATCGGCGAGTTATTCAGCGGGGGCCTGAACGACGACAGTCCCCAGAGCCCCCCTGGGCACAGGAGGAGCCAGCACCCTGCATTCAGCAGTACCCTGCTGCCCTCGGTAAGGCCCCGCGCTTGACACGTGCGGCCCACACTGGGGTAAAATGATACAGGGGCAACTCTTCTGTGTTTTTGGTGGAAGGCATCAAAAGTTATTTCCTTGCTCACGCGTTCGGCTCCTTTGCACAGCCCTGAGCCAGCGGTGGAAGCTCCACATTCATATGGCGGGGGTGAGTATCCATACGACAACCACTGTTGAATTCTCGACAGTGGTACTAATTTTATCGACCCCGAAAGGGCGATGGGTCGAGTCGACCCACGAATTTCCAATTGCAAGCCGCTTGTTCGACCGCTGAGCCACCTGGCCAGTTTACCAAGTATGATCGTCGTAACTGGGAGTTGATGTTCACCGTTTGTGATCTTCATCATTTAGATGGAGAGTCTTGCATTGTCCCACCAACTAATTCGTTTCTTTCCCCTTGCTCCTTCCACTTGTTGTCTTTTGTGTTGTCTCTGTATCGTGTTGTTCCACCTATTTATGTTCATCAGGTAACAGTTTGCATATAAGTTACCTTAATTTTGCACAAATAATAAATAATCTATTCTTACACACGCGATTTAAATAATAACATAACTCGTATTGTATGTGGTGCTATTACCCCTGACCCCTATTATCTGCTGCAGCTGTAAGGTTCCTGGAAACTCTTATTATTATGATCCTATTTTCCCTCGCCCCTATTCCTGCCCATAATGCATAGCGAAGCAGCTTCCTAATTCTCGTGAGTTTTTTTTTTTGGATAAGAGGAGTTGTGCTGCACATTACTCTTAATAGCAGCTGGTTATCCATGATTTTAAAATATTCCTTGAATAAAGCAAGTGCACAGCTGACACTTGTTTTGATCACGAGACAATGCAGACACGCATAGACACGGAGGAATGAAGGACAGGGGGGGATGCACATACTCGCGAGACTGAAAGACAGACAAAGCGTCGCACACAAAACGACGACATAAACAAAGATAGGGAGGCACAAAGAGATCGGAGACAAACACGGAGACATGCACATAAAGACAGACGGAGAAACTGAGAGGGACAACTAACACGTACAGTACACGAGTTGAGAGATTAATGTACTCTAGCACACGTTTGTGTGTCTGTCTCCACGTCTGTCTATGTCTCTGTACACACCATCTCTGCTCACCCGGAGATACAGAAACTTGCCTTTAAAGTGCTGCTGATAAGGAGTCGTGAGCCAAATTTATCCTATTATCCACAGGTTTCGCAATATTTACCAAGTGGGTAAGATGACTATTATTCCAGACAACCCTGCAGATAATAGGATCTGCGATATTGGTTCCCATATTTCCATGTACAAAAGTTATCCTTTATGTTCAGTAGTATATAATTACATTGAAAGCAACAGGTTCGGTTGTGGATGATATTAAAACAAGTTTAACTGAAAGCATTTGTTTATTTCAACTTAATATGGAAGACATTTTATCTGGAGTAAAGAAAATGCCCTGACAATGAATGAGCACGTCTTTACTGTTGCGTGTTGTTTTTTGGTTTTTGAAGGCCCACTGTAAATTGACGGGCAAGACCGCAGAGGCGGAAAAACTACCGGGCGAGAGCACGGCTCAGAGCCTCAGCGTTTCGGAAAACGTGAGCCGGCTCGTAGACAGGATGAGCCTGTGTCTGCTCACGGACGATCTCTCCGGGGTGGCCGAGGGCAGCGCCAAGACATCGTCGCGCCCTTCGTCCCGCGGCGCCGCCACCTCCTCGGAGGAGTGCGACTGCGCGTCAACGAGCGGCGACTCGGCGGCGGCAGTGGAGGTGGCGGGGGACCGCAGTCCCCTGGAGACCGCCGGCGCCGAAGGGGGCGCGGCGACGGACGATCTGTGGGCCGCGCTGGAGCGCATCGGCCTGCTGGGCGCGTTCCTCCGCCACGAGTTGGAGAAGTCGCAGCTGCGAGAGTTGCTGCTTGTGCAGGAAGTGCATAAACTCAGGGGCTTCGGGAGCGTCGGCGGGAGCGTCGGCGGGAGCGACGAAGCCGCGGACGATGCCGAGGACGAGGGCCACCCGGTGAGGCCACGGCGGAGCCTCGGGGACAAGAAGCTGCTGAGGATCTCGGAGCTGGAAGAGACGGTGGACAGGCTTAAGAAATCGGTGATGTCACTGGAAGGGGCGAACGTGAAGATGCAGCTTCAGCGCAGTGACGGGCTGCAGCAGCATTCCACGTCTGAGAATCATGCGGACGAACTCCGATTGGGCCGTGCGTTTGAAGGGCGAGGGTTGCGGCCGCTGAGCATGAGCAAAAGGGGCGACGTTACACAGGAGAGGGCTGACGACAGCGGCATTGTTGCAGGCGACACGCTCGTGACGAGCCTTGTGGAGCAGGTAAAGGAGTTGAGGAGGGAGAGGGAGGAGTTGCTGTACATGGTGAAGAAGCGCGTCGACGAGGTGGAAAGGACGAAGGAAGACGAGGTGAGCCTGATGAGGTGCGAGCTCTCGCGGAACAAAAGCGAGGTGGAACGGCTCGAGGACTCCCGCAATTACCTCGCGCAAAAGTTGACTTCACTGGACACGGAGAATAAGGCTCTGGGCCACGTGGTGGTGGAGAAGGACCAGATCCTGCAAGCCATGCAGGGCGAGCACGCGGAGTTGCTGAGGAAGACTCTGAGACTGGAGCAGGACTTGCGGAGCGTCAGAGTCCACTTAGCGGAGACGGAAAAGCTGAACAGGGCCTACCTCAAGGAGCTCAAGGCATTGCTCCACAGGTTTGAGGACCTTCGTGCGCACGCCAAGGCGCTGGAGAGCGAGAGAAGGCAGAACATGCAGGACCGGCAGACCTTTTTGGACCTCCTTGAGGGCCTGAGGAGCGAGACACGGCGCCTGGAGATGAGCTTCAGCGTGAAGAAGGCCGAGAAGGAGCTGGCGCAGCAGGAGGTGGATCTGTTGAAGAAGGACGTGAAGATTCTGACCGAAGAGAGGGCACGGTCGTTTGAGGATAAGCGCAAACTGGAGAGTTCGGCAATGCGGCTGAGGGAGGAGCTGAAGGGCGTGCGAATTCGGCTTCAGCGAGGCGAGGTGGGCAGGAGCACGCCTCCGAGTGAAATGGCATTGGCCGAAGAGAACGTCCGATTGGAAAGCGAAAAGCAGTTCATGGAAGAGCTGGTGTCCAAGCAGAGAAGAGAGCTGGAAGGCTTGCAGGCTGACCTCGAGCGTTCAAAAGCCATCCGGCAAATCTCGGACGACAGCTACGGGAGCGACTGGAAGGAGGAGATGCACGACTTGGTGAGGGACAAGAGCAGGTTGGAGACGATCGTCGCGCAGCAGCGCGCCGAGCTCGAGGCCTTGAAACCGTCGTCACGGCGGTCAAAGCCGAACGGGAGCGGCGACGTGGAGGCGGAGTGGAGGAGCGAGAGAGCGGCGCTCGTCGAAAGGAACCGTGCCCTGGAGGCGGCGCTGAGGGCCCACGAGGCGAGGCGGGGGGCGGCCCCGGAGGACCCGGACGAGAGCGAGGATGGCTCGTCGCGCTCCCGCGCAGACCGGCTCTCGTCGGCAGGCTCCGGAGCGCAGCGCCTGCGCGATAGCGAGCGGGCGCACGCGGCCCTGGAGGCCGGAGTGCGGCGCTGGGCCGAGGAGCGGGGGCTTCTCACCGAGTGCCTGCACACGGTGGAGAAAGAGCGCGACCTTCTGCAGCTCGAGATGAAGACGCTGCACAGGTAGGGGAGTCCTGTAAATGCGAGTCATTGTTCCTATGTGTCTGTTGTAAGATGTGCACACTGGAGTCCAGGCATTTATTAGTGAGAGGGCTGTGGTGTTTGAGACGGCGGCTTGTGCCTGCTGTCGCACTGCAACATGATTTGCCCAACTAATGTTTCTGATGTTTTATTATTGTTTATTTTTCTTTTATGTGATTACTATGTATATGGCCTTGAGACACTTGTATTTTAACACTTTGTAAATTCAATTAAGGCTTGATAGTCTTAATATATGGCACCTTAATTGTTCACATCACTAACAATTTTCAAACTTCTAGCATAAAATATATAAATCTCCAATTGCTATCGGTGTCATGCAATGAGACAGAATCTATTTAGAATGCTCAAAGTGCAGTGCGCATTACCCTGCGTCTGCAATCTAGCATCGTGAAATAGAGAAGTTATCCACACTTATCCCTGCTTGAGGCTGCACCTCCCCCTCGCCCGACTCCCACCTCCACAGCAGCTAATTACGTACACCACCACCACACGTCCAAAACACGACCGCCGCTGACGCGCGTCGCCTTCGCGCCGCTCTGGTTCCCCAGGGACTACCTCAGCCTGAGCGAGCGTGTGGGCCAGCGCTTGGCCGAGCTGAGCCGGCGCCCGGACCCGCCGTCGCTGCCGCTCTCCGTCGCCGAGCTCCTCTCGGATGTGGAGTACGCGGCGCGCGTCGGTTCGCACGGCCTGGGCGGCGGCGGAGCGCGCGCCACAGCCAGCGAGGACGACAGCGGTACGCGTCTGATGCACGCGGCCCCCTCGTCTCCGTGGCCTTTCGCACCCCGTTTCCACTGGCACACCCGAGCCGGGCCAGCGCAAGGCCCCCCTTCCCCTTTGCGGGTGCTTTTCCACTGGCTAGTTGACGAACCGGAACCAAACTTTGATACGCTGGCCTCGCAAGACATCCGATTCATGCTCGGCCAAGCAAGGGCAGGGGGCCGGCGCTAATTATGCATTTACTCCGTGTGATGTCATTCCGTACACCGGGGACGCAGCGCCACCGTGCCTTCTGTTTGCATCTCGAGTCGTTCACTGCGCGTGACGTCAGTGACACGGCTCGCCTTCTGCAGTGGAAAAACACCCAAGTGGCTCATTAGTATGGTTGCTTTGCACGCAAAGGTTTCCTTTTATCACTTTTTGGTAGATGGTTCTGGCGTAAATCTTGGCTGTTTTGTCCTTTTTCTTCTCCCTCAAGTGTTGGCTGGTCCTCTGGTTCCTGCTTGAGCCATTCCGGACGCCTTCCCTTCTCTCTACTGCTTGCTCTGCTCTCTTCTGCCTCCCACCTTACTCTGCTCCTTAAAGCCTCCGCTGCCTCTTTTCGACCACCTTCTTGCAGGTATCGGGCGTGGCACGACAAAGGATAATTCGATTGTCTCAAATATTGTCCCAATTTACAACAAACTGAACTTCAAGTATCTATTTTTAATCATTTTACTATTCAATCACCTTTGCCTTTTGTCTACCGCGCCCTCACTTTCGCTAGAGCGAAGTCACTTGGAGGAGCAGTGTGCTCGGCTGAGACGTTTGGCCGACGCGACTCATCGCTGCTACAGCTCGTCCAGCGAACTGGGTGCGTCGGACGACGGGCACGCGTCCATCCGCAGCGCTCCCGTCGCCCGCTTGCGCTCTGGCTCCCCGTCCCGCCCGCTCTCTGCGCCGTCGTCATGGCAGGCTTCCCGCCCCGCCGTCGGTTCGCTCTCCGCTCGGCGCTCTCGCTCTCCGTCCGCCAACAAGTCCTCCGTCCCCGGGCTCGGCTCCGCGTCCGACCCGTTGTCCGAGCAGCTGCCTTACCCGGTGTCCGGCTCCCTGGCCGCTCCGTCGGCCTGCCTGCGCCACGACCGTCTGTCCGACTCCCCGCCGCCGCCATCGGGAGGGAGGCCAGCGCCGCACGCGAGCGGCTCGCGCAAGCGGTGGCGGAAGAGAGAGGAGAGTGGCTCGCGGCCGCCCCGGGATGACGACTGGCTGTCGCTGGTGACCTCGGTGGAGTGCGCGCCGTCTGGCCTCTCGGATGACGAGCAGCAGGGAGACGCTCGGGGGAACGCGGCGACGTACAGGCAGCCCGGCTCGCTTGCTCCTCAGTAAGTGCTCCCGCTTGTCTTTTTGTCGCCGAGATGCTTTACGTCGTTGTCAGTGTGCTTTGCTGTAAAATTAACTCTGGTGCAGGGAAGTGCTGAACAGCTGCGGCGAGCCATTGGCTGAAGTTAAGGATGTGGATCCGCACAACTCGGGCCAGCCCAACAGCATCATGGTATATGTACACACATACGTAAACCCACAGAGACACACATACATGCACATACGATCATGTAATTATGCACGTACACCTACCCCCGAACGCAAATGTACTGAAATGATGATGCAATTGGGAGAAACTGCGTGGCATCTTTAGCGTTAATTGGCTCGCACTGCACGCAAACATGCCCACTCAGTAGAGAATGTTGAGCAAATCGCACGTCACATCAAGGGGCAATGGAGACAGGAAAGCAACGTAGCTGCGAGTTTACCCGTGCCCTAACCGTCGCCCCCGCTCTGCAGGTAGAAGGAGAAGATATGCCGGGTAGGCGTTCGTTCCTGCGCTACGTGCAGCAGCAAGGCAAGTCGTGACACGCTCGCGTCACCGCGACATCGCACAGGAACATGCTACATGTTGACGGTGCATACAAGTAAAATAAAAAAATAGTTTCGTTTTAGTTTATTTTGAGTGATTTGCTTACCTTTCCTATACTTTGCACTCCGATTGTTTTTTTTATTGTGTTTTTGTTGTAACTTTCTGACCGACCCGCCTCTATTGGACATTGCGAAAAAGACCTTTATAGCTCATTGGATTCCTCCAGGATAAATATAGATTCAAATTCTGAAAAAAAATTTGAAGTGCTCCACGCATCGCACGTTTGTGAATAGTGACGATTTTCTGAACCGGTCCTGGGCCTCTCCGAGGTCGACTCGGCCTCAAATGAGTACCTAGTACAGTGTGTAAACATCGCCACTAGGGAGACAAAGGCGGCCGGGCGAGGTGCTGTTGGTGAGCGCTGCTCACTAACAGCATTTGCCCCCAACAGTCTGTTAAAGGCTCATACGGAGGGTCTTCATCTTCTGTTTGCGTGTGCGCGCAGGCTCGCCGCCGACCCATCTGACGCCCGAGGAAGAGGGCTACGCCGATCACATTGTGCACAAGTACCTGTCGACAAGTGGGGGCCCGGCAGCTCCCGCGCCCCGCGTGTCCTGCTGAAGCCGGTGCGGCGGAGGCAGCGGCGGTGCCTGCGCCGCTACAAGCGAGGATGTGGCGCGGTATCGGGCAGAGCGGCACACGCGCAGAGCCCCGCAGCTGGACACAAGGAGTCGGGAATATTGCGTATTGTTGTATTACAGATGTTATGTACACGCATGCACAGGCGAGTGCCTCTCAAAGGGCGTTTGTACTCATTGTGCCGGACTCGTTAGCCCCCCCCCCCCCGCCCCTAGGTTGTATTTGATCAGAGTGGGTATTTTTTAAAATTGTGTTATATTTTGTAGCTTGCATTCACCATGGGCCAAGTAAAATATTCAAGGTTTTGGTTCTCAATACTGAATTATCCCCATTGACCAGCGTACAAATAATCTGTCATATGTATATAATGTGAAACGCAGCAGAGTACGTAGATGGGTATTAACCGCTATAAATGACGCAGTCTCATTCAAAAGACCACGGCTATATGTGATTTAACACCAGCACAACTAGCTATGGACACACAGTTGGATATGTTTTCTATGGTTGGCTATATTTTCTTGCATGTAGTGTAGACCGATGGCTTTACGTAAAATGTTTGTGTCCTGCTGGTCATGGATGCACCCTAGGTAGTAGTAGCCGGTGGGAAGACGTGTCCTCACATTGGCTCAATGCTGCATAGAGGAATTGTTTGGGTGATCAATTTGGCTTTTTGCATTGAGGTGCGAGCCGAGTTGTCGTGAAATGTAATAAATGGGCTTTCGTGTGGCAGCACTTATACACTTGGTGAGTTTACAGATATGAAGTGTCTGTTGCTCCTGTGATGTCAAGGAGGGTGGTGCGCAAGAGATGATCCAGAGCCATCTGTCTCCTGGCCGCCCACCTTGCTTGCCATAGTGAGCTTTGTTCACCCATACGGTAATCAGGCGTACCTATTTTATTTACCAGCAAGCAAGTTTGCTTAAATGTGAGGGAATAGAGTTTACACTGTGGAGTAGAACTGCATTTTCGTTCAAGGACTGATTTTAGCTGGGTGCCTAAGAGTCAGCAGTGGACATTAATGGGATCTCGTTGTGGCATCCTCTGTGTATGATAAGGGCCAACTGCATGCCATGACTCAAATGTGAAGAATGACCATTGTGGTAGGAGAGTGATGCTGTATTTGTGTGTGTGTAGCCGCGTGGACGGTGAAGTTAATGATTGTTGCACACAGTTATCATTAAATGCCTTGGACAAATTGACCCAGAATCGAGGTCACTGTAGCTATTAAACCTAAAAGCCGGGTCAAGCTCATTACATGGTAAATTATATTTTGTGGAAACGGGCAACATCGACATTCTTTTTTGCTGTATCTCAGCGATGGAAGCTAGCAACAGCGAACTTTCATTTGTGTAGGTTTGGTATTTGACGCTTGTTTTGACACTTTAATTTATAAGAGTCTGTAAGGTGTCTTGAGCTACAGTTTGACAGTCAGTGAGTAGACGTGTAACACGGACACTCAATTAGTGGAGGCGTGTACATCACCCAATCGTTTTTTTACACAAATCCATCCAAGCCATCAACATTCATCGTGTGAACGTTACCTCATTGCGATTTCATACCAAACTTGAACATTCATATTAACCATTAACTATGTACATTCCATTTTAATATTTAAAACAACCATTCCAGTGTGTAATGCGTAAATGTTTCTGGCGTACAATACATTGTCTGCTCTGTGGTGGCTGTTTTTATTTATAACTTGCCATTCGTCTGTCTACCGTTTATTGACATCGCTTGCATTTGGATCTGTGGACAATAACAGTTAAATGCTTGAATTTATCATAGGGAAATTCACGTTTTGCTTCCGAGTAAAGAGTTTGTAGTTGGGAATGAATTGGCAAGAAGGACATATCTGTGGTTGCCAAGGGTTGTACCAGTACTTGATTCAGAAACACATGTGCTCTTCTCACCAGGAGGTTTTGTCGTGGCATGCTCAGATGACGTTTGGAAATCGTGCAACTTTCCACAAGTACTTTTTTTTAACGATTAACATATTTTTTTATTCGTGCCCATATTGCACTTCAGCTGAAATCTTTTTGATGGTGGCTGTATAATGTACTTGTACGTATAGCGCACTCATTTTCCCGCGTTAGGCATTGTGTAAAATATCCCTAAACTTCTACCAGCACGGCATGTGTGTTTTGCTTACACCGAGTGAGGTATGAATACTGTAGATTTACTTTGTTTGGTCTTAATGGCTTTGCTGTACAGCTACAAATCCGTTTTCGGGTTGTTACCGAGTTTTGTTTGGCACGATGTAAAATGTTTAACTGAAGTGCTTAACTGAAAAGGTCACAGTATGTGGAACAAAACGTTGGACACTAATGCAGAACAACACGCGGTAAAACCCGAACTCGGGTTGGAATGCTGTACTGCCGATTTATTTGCATCGTGTGCGACTTAATGCACCATAATTGAGTTGCTTTCTTATTTACAAATGGGTAAAAAGGTTATTCGGGCTAACAGACAAAACAAGTGTTTGGAATGTAATCGTACCATATAATTTTTATGCGTAGATTTATCGAGGTATATTCAGGCTCCAACCACATTTCTCTTTTGTTGGGGAAGCAATTGTCTCTGACCCATATATTTTTGGAATGGTAACTCCTTAATAAAAGTTGTATTGCTCAAACATTAACCTTGCCTTTCAGAGTCACTATTCCGATTTAAAGTATAACAAACCAAGCATTTTAAAATGTTAAGTTCGGCGTAATTCTGTCAAGCTCATAATCGTGCGTACATAAATTACATTTAAAAAAATTAATACATCCTCAACTGTTTATGTGAGATTAAGCTATCCCAACAAGGAAGGCAATATGGTATGTAGTTTCATATGTTTATCAAAAGGCAAAGTAATTTCTCGAGTGTCTTATGGAGCTGTTCACATTTGGAATCATTATTCATATACACTTTAACATTCAATTTGATCTGAGAGTTAAGTACGTTTTTAATAACATTTATGTTAATCCACTTCTTAAATAATTGTTCTACTCGGTGTGACATTGGTATTATATTTTTGCACAATTGCATGAAGATTCATGGTAGAACTTTCCTGTGAATTCAATGTGTCTAACGTTGGATATAATGCATCTAGGGATTCTGTAAAAAGAATAATACAGGGATCTAAATAGACTTTTGGTATTGTCTCCAACAAGCACAGTAATGGAACTGAATGGGCTATGCCATTCCAGGAAAGTTTTTTTTTTATTAAAGCAACTTTAGATTACATGGTCTTAAGTTACAGGGTGAACAAATAAAGAAAATTAAAAGGTGTTGGAGAGTTTTTTGGACTTAAATTAACATTTATTTTAACGTATATATTTTTTTAAATCAAAAATATTAATATGGCAGAGCTGCATAAAACCTACGAGCAATTCCGTGAAAAGGCTTAATATATTTAGTCATCTTCATGGCATTGCTTTCCGTTATAACTGTGGTTAGGCTTAATATTTTTTGCAGCAACAGATGACAAATTGACATTCCGGATTTGGTAAAAACGCTCAGAAATAATGCTAAGTTGACCAGTGGCAAAATGTGTCCTGTGAGTAGTTTAGACGCATTTCCCACGCACTTAAATTGTGGTTTAATAGATAAGTAATTCTACTTCCATTCAACACATTAACTTCTCACATTAATGTTTTTGAGAATTCAAAAGCAACGGTTGGCGATTCTGAAGTGACTGCATGCCGGTGACCGACCACGTGTAAGAATTCTGAACGGTCTAGTTTTGAAAACTCAAAAGAGTTAGTGTGATAGTGAGTGATGTTTATTTGCGGGATGAGAGAATAGAGAAATAATAAGCTGAAATGTACTGTAATTAGTGCATAATGGACATGATGCTTGTACACTTTGTATTTATCCACTAATTTGTATGTTTTACTGCTTATTTCGTAATGCACAGACTGGAGAAATGTCACATTCCAATCAAACGTTTTGTATTTACAGGAATAACATCATGAAGGGCGTATTTAATTACATTTAACAGGAGCGAGTGTTGTCCAGACAATACATGTGACTGGAAATTACTAAAATATTAGCGTTGCTTTGTATGCTTTTGATTACTACATTGCAATAACATGTATATTTTCACTCTACATCACAAATAAAATGTCGCATTACAGTACTCTTGGGTTTGCGTGTTTTTTTGTGTAAGTAAAATGCTGGGTGTTTTTTTCTTTATTGTGTTGATAACTCTGGTTTTTCAGCATTTTTCTGCACCAAGGTGACAAACCGGTTGGCCCCCCTGACTTGAATTTGTAATGAGGAAGAGGCTGGGGAAATGGCCAATGGGAAATTTTAAATTTATTTTACCCCAGGGAGCTTCACCGAGTCTCCGGTCTTTTCAGGAGACTTCAACAAAGCCCTGTTTGGGAGCTGGTGGAAGAACGCAGGAATGCCATAGAATCCCGAAGCGCGGGGAAATAAGGTCGCTTCGAAACGTCTCTTTAACAAAGCTCCGTAACCACATCCTCTCTCTGCTGCTCCCCATTACGAGCAACTTCGCTGACCTGCAGGTGGGTGTGAACCACACTTGATCTCACCGTGTGTTGCTAACCCCAGGAGTAAATCACAGGTGTCTTGACACCACATCTGTCCACGACACCACACCCATGATCTCATACCTGCATTAGGTGGGTGCTATGAACATGAACCAGTAACCATGGAGTGCTGTACTGTACACGTAGTAATTAGTTGGATTTTATAATCAGAAATCGCACAAAGGCTCAAGGGGGCCCAGATTATGGCACCCGTGGGATTCCTTGGGTTTGCTGAAAGCATTCGGGCCAACCTTTCCGTACCCAAGCAACTCCCAAACATCACAAGCACACGTGACTACCGATTTTTCTGCACTGGTTGATGCACACATTGTGCAGCATTGTCCTTATTAATATGTGTATATGACCGAATATGTGTGTATATGAATACCTGTATGTACGTACATGTGCAAATGTTAGTTTAACACGTAGGCTTTCGCGAATAATATCCATAATACAGGGGTTTTTTGGGTTAGATCGCATAAATTTACGTGGAAAACACCTGTATTATGGATGTGCATTTATTGTACATATGTATGCATATATGTTGAGCTTCTTTCGCACCGTACGTAGCCAACCGTGCTGATCGGAGGTGTGGGGGAAGGACAACGAATTGTATGCTGTAAACATACTATATACATTGTATAATGTGTTCATAGTTCCGTGTTTACACAATCAATTTGCCACTCGATATCCGGCCAATTGGCTCGACGGTAGAGTGAACGTCTCGCAGTCTGGAAGGTTGTGAGTTCAAGTCCTGTTTGGAGGGGCTAACTCAATTTAACACGTAGGCTTTTTCGACCAATATTAATGCGTTATTTATAAATGTGTCGTAACCCTCCACCACCCGACACGGCCAAACAGTAAAAAAATGTGTCACGTTTACAAAAGGCAAATGGTTCAATACTTTAGCCCACCGGTGTGTTGAGTGAATCAACAATTTACAATTTTGAGTACGACGTTTCGCTGGTAATTACATCCAGCACCATCGGGCAATTCGCCAGAATGGTAAAGCCCTCGCTTGCTCCCGGTTTTATATAGAGCAGCAGGGTGACGTCATCACTTAACTCATATCAGGTGCAGTTATTAGAGGCGGAGGGGGGGGGTATTGTAATTGTATAATAGATTTGTAATCATTAAATTGTTATTCATTGGTATTTGTTTCCCCTATGAGGAATTGTAACATATATTTTATTTAATAATACGCTTCCAGGCCGCACTAAGCCTGTAGCTGTCAGAGCGATTAAAGTTTGTATTTCTCTCAATTTCAATGGATTCTCTAATTAGTCTTTGCCAGGAATAATTAGTTTTACACAACACTTCAACGTTATCAAAATCAATTGAGTGTCCTTGTTCACAAGCATGCTCTGCCACTGCCGACAGTTGTGTTTGAGATACTTTAATACTTCTTTGGTGTTCTTTTAGTCTTACGCTGATGTTACGTCCCGTCTGACCAATATAGCATCTGCCACATAAACGAATAATCCGATATACACCTTCTGTTAGTAATATAGGCAATTCGTCTTGAGTGCAAGATCCTAGTTTTTGAATTTTGTGTACTGTACCAAATCTTACTTTAATGTTTAGCTATTGCAAAACACGGGCTAATTTGTCAGTTACTCCTGAGATATGTGGTATTTAAATTGTTTGAACAATCTGATCGCTTTCAGCAGTGTTGCTTTGCGTCCGTGATTTGGCTCTCAGTGCTTTGTTAATTTGAGCATTATTGTAGCCATTCTGTCGTAGTGCTTCTTTAACGTGTTTGATCTCTCTCACTAGATTTTCACCATCTGACACTGTTTTAGCCCGATGTATGAGTGTCTTGATAAGAGAGTATTTCTGAGCTGGGTGATGATGTGAATCTGCATTCAGATAGGCATCAGTGTGCGTTTGCTTTCTGTAAACGCTGTGTGTTATTTTGCCATTTAGACCATGTCCAAGCAAAATATATCGGAACGGGAGTCTGTCATTCACCTCCATTTTCATGGTGAACTGGATGGCCGGTTTTTGTGCATTGAGATGATTTAGAAAATCATTAAGGGCATCTTTACCATGTGGCCAGACAACCAAAGTGTCATGAACATATCTAAACCAAAAAGATGATTTTAATGTACTCGAGGCAAGTGCTCTTGTTTCAAAGTTTTCCATGTGCAGATTTGCTATAGCAGGAGATAAAGGAGAGCCCATTGCGGCTCCTTCATTTGTTTAAAGAAATCCACTCTCCACAAGAAGTAAGTGTTATTTAAACAATGATCAGCAAGTTTCGGGATATTTTTTGGTAAACCTGTATTCGTTACTAGTGCATCAAGTAATTTTAGCGACTCGTTCACTGGAACCTTTGTGAATAGAGAAATCACATAAAAACTCACCAGAATATCATTAGGGTTAAGTTTGATATCTTTAATCACATTCACAATATGTTCTGATTTTTTATGAATGAAGATGTCCTACCGATGTCAGGCTGTAGTTGTTTAGTTATATATTTTTGCTAATTTACCGTATATGTGGTAGAGCTGATTGTACTGACTATGGGTCGTAATGGGATGCCGATTTTTTTAACCTTTGGTAGCCCATACAGTCTAGGTGGTTTTGAGGCCCTTGGCTTAATTTGGTATTGCTCATTCTTAGGGATGAATGAATTTGCAATGATTGCAGAAGTCTTACGTTCTAAAGTATTAGTTGGGTCTCGTTTAATTTTAATGTAGGTACTTTCGTCTAGTAAATCGTTAATTTTATTATCATAATCCGCTCGGGTGGTGGAGGGTTACGACACATTTATAAATAACGCGATCTAACCCAAAAACCTTTATTATGAGGGCTAACTCAGCCCATCATCCTTATTGGGATCGATAAAACGTGTACCACTAAGAGCCGTGGATGTGTCAATGGTGACGCTACTGTGCTGTATACCTCTGCATGTGTATTAAATCATTACAGGCAAGCTTAACCAGTCCCACTGAACCCTTAAGAGCATTATAGGTATCACTTAAGAGCCAACTGAGTCACCCGCATGTGATTTAATAGTATAGATTCTCACTAAACCCACGATGTCACCTGTGTGTGTTTATTCAACCAGTCCCACTGAATCCCGTAAGGACCCTGTAGGTGTCTCAGTGTCACCCACGATGTCACCTGTGTGTGTTTATTCAGCCTAGCCCACTGAATCCTGTAAGGGCCCTGTAGGTGTCTCAGTGTCACCCACGATGTCACCTGTGTGTGTTTATTCAGCCTGGCCCACTGAACAGGGCCCTGTAGGTGTCTCAGTGTCACCCACGATGTCACCTGTGTGTGTTTATTCAGCCTGGCCCACTGAATCCCGCCAGGGCCCTGTAGGTGTCTCAGTGTCACCCACGATGTCACCTGTGTGTGTTTATTCAGCCTGGCCCACTGAACAGGGCCCTGTAGGTGTCTCAGTGTCTCCCACGATGTCACCTGTGTCACCCACGATGTCACCTGTGTGTGTGTTTATTCAGCCTGGCCCACTGAATCCTGTAAGGGCCCTGTAGGTGTCTCAGTGTCACCCACGATGTCACCTGTGTGTGTGTTTATTCAGCCTGGCCCACTGAACAGGGCCCTGTAGGTGTCTCAGTGTCACCCACGATGTCACCTGTGTGTGTGTTTATTCAGCCTGGCCCACTGAACAGGGCCCTGTAGGTGTCTCAGTGTCACCCACGATGTCACCTGTGTGTTTATTCAGCCTGGCCCACTGAACAGGGCCCTGTAGGTGTCTCAGTGTCTCCCACGATGTCACCTGTGTCACCCACGATGTCACCTGTGTGTGTGTTTATTCAGCCTGGCCCACTGAATCCTGTAAGGGCCCTGTAGGTGTCTCAGTGTCACCCACGATGTCACCTGTGTGTGTGTTTATTCAGCCTGGCCCACTGAACAGGGCCCTGTAGGTGTCTCAGTGTCACCCACGATGTCACCTGTGTGTGTGTTTATTCAGCCTGGCCCACTGAACAGGGCCCTGTAGGTGTCTCAGTGTCACCCACGATGTCACCTGTGTGTGTGTGTTTATTCAGCCTGGCCCACTGAACAGGGCCCTGTAGGTGTCTCAGTGTCACCCGTGACGTGGCGGGGTCACGCCTCCCCCACCCCTTCGTGTTTGCCGATGAGTTTTTTTTACGAGCGTACGAACAGCCGCAACATCAACAACAGCAACAACAGCTGATAGAGAACAAAGAGCAGCAGCAGCAGGTACCACGTGTCTGGCGATAACAAACACTCGCCACATACACGCGGGGTCGTAAGTTCGTCAGTGCCGCAGCTCAACAAACACGTGCTCGTGTGCGTACTGTATGTTGAACATCTTTCGCACCGTAAGTTAGCCAAACCGTGCTAATCGGAGGTGTGTTTGTGTGTGTGGGCACGTGGCCTCGACTGTGCACCTAGCCTGGCACGGGCGCTATGATAACGCTACCAACAGTAGTGGTGGACGATTACCGTTGCCGCTTATGATATCGTTGCTGTTGGGACACGCGTTAATTGGTTCCTCAATTGGTGTAATTAATCGGTTGCTCGCGAGCGGCGCTTGTGTAAGGCTGGTCTCGCGTGTGCACCTAGCCTGGCACTGGCGCGATGTTCGCCACTTTTCGATGTTCCCCCCCCCTTTGCCCCCTTTGTTGAACGCACAACGTGAGTGCGCTGGCCCTCGTCGATCCGCTGCCGGACGAAGGCCTCTCTCCGGCCCCCCCACACACACCCCGCGACGCCGTGAGTTTGCGTGGAGCATGCAGCACCCGGCCGGCTTCTTGTCGTCGCGGGTTGGGCGAGCCAAGAGGCGGAACCACGAGAGAGAGAGATCCTGTGCCGGGTGATCCTAGCTGCAAAGAGTAGCTGCAAATGTTACGGGTCATACTTCACCACGCTGTGTGTGTGTGTGGCAGTCGTGCCCCAGACGAGGCGTGGGACTGGTGCCTTCGTATCCAGCAGTGAATTGACACAGGCCTGGAAAGTTTTTTTTATAAAGTAATTTAAGTGTAGTACAAATTAGCGTTTAGTTATATGTACAATGACGGCTTTGGGGGTGGTATTCATCTAGCAGTGTATATGTCAGTGGATAGATGGTGAATATTTGATTGCTCTATGCACTATTTTCGTGTGTGTAATTGTCTACGAAATGTGTGTGTAAAGGACTGAACAGTATTCAACGTCGAATGACATTAACAACTCTATATTATACACGAAGGTGTATATATGCCGCGATGTTATTTTTGTATCTAACAGTGGAATCGACTTGCACATTGTTCAAAATATTTACAAAATATTTAATATGTCCAAACTTTCACTAAAGTGGCTCCCCAGAGCTGTCCAGTTTTTCATAATTTGTGTTTGAATGTGTGGACGTTGAACTTCTTTCGCACCGTACATAGCCAACCGTGCTAATCGGAGGTGCAAGGGAAGGACACCAAACTAAACAGTGGCTATACTCTTTGGTTCTATTCGGTAAAGTCACGTAGGTAAACAATTAAAACAACAAAAACCACGACGTTTCGGCCACAACACAAGCGGCCTTCATCAGGTGAAGGGACCAACCTGCCCAGCGGACGTTTTAGACAGATATAATACATAGACATGGCCGATATATAGTAATATAGTATTATATCTGTCTAAAACGCCGCCAACAACACAACCATCATCTCTCTATTATTACTATATATTGGCCATGTCCATGTATTATTTCTGTCTAAAACGCCGCAAACATCAGATATAATACATGGACATGGCCGATATATAGTAATATTGTATTATATCTGTCTAAAACGCCGCCAACAACAGAACCATCATCTCTCTATTATTACTATATATCGGCCATGTCCATGTATTATATCTGTCACGCCAACGCTGTCCGCTGGACAGGTTGGTCCCTTCACCTGATGAAGGCCGCTTGTGTTGTGGCCGAAACGTCGTGATTTTTGTTGTTTACATTTTGTACCTACGTGACTTTACCGAATAGAACCAAAGTTTATGGATCCTTGCAGTCACGAAAGCTTCAAATCTAGAATAAACAGTGGCTCCCTAATATCGGAAGGAAGCGCATTCCAGACGGCCACAGAAGCGCATCTGAAAGCGCGCGATGCAGTGACCGTCTTTGTTTGCCTTCTACTCGGAAGTGGGTTTTCTTTTGTGTGTGTCCATGACTGATCTGAAATAAATGCAAACATTAAGTTCCTGTTGGTGCATGTTGGTCACCCCCTACAAGCGTTATCCATTCTAGATTTGAAGCTTACGCGACTGCAAGGATCCATACTCTTTGGTTCTACCGTTCATCATGCTAAGTCCGCCAATTAAATGCTAATTTTTATGCTAATTCCTTTGTCAAGGCACCTTAATTCCTCTCACACAGCTTAAAGGTCGCGGTCTGAGCTTGGCCGTGTTCACTCCAACATTGAGGTAGTTTATATTTTAGTTTTTATTGGTCTACTATATGGTATTCATTATATAGTGTAGTGTATACCCAGTTGCTGTTAATAGCTCAGCTTATTGAATAATATATTGAGTACATTTATTATATTTTGATTTAAAGCTTTCGTGACTGCAGTAATTCATATTCTTAGTTTTTTCGGTAAAGTCACGTTGAAGAGAAACAACAAAATAATAAAATATATATAAAACAATAAAAAAATTCTCACGACGTTTCGACCATAACTCAAACGGTCATCTTCAGGTGTGTTGGTTTGCATAAATTTATTTTTAAACGGCGCATTTATTTATTTATAAAAAACGTTAGCGCCACGCGCAGCGATTTGGCAGTTTACCCAGGACTAGTCCATCTATATTCTGAAAAGAGGAGGGGGGAGACGAAATTTTTTATAATGTATGCTGTCTGAAAGCCACTGTAAGCGTGAACAATCAATTAAGAACTGAAATGGTTTATCAAATCTTTCCAATGATTGCTAAGATAGAATCCATCTTCTCGGTTGAAATTGTCTCTGTGCTTGTATATGTGGATAGCCTCATGAACGAATCTCTCATGGAAGCCAGATGGCTTACAAAGAACCTCTGTCTTGGAAAAGTCAATGGCATGTGAGCCTACTGAATTAGAACAATGATCTGCTACGGCCGAGGTGTTGGTCCTACCGTGTTTAAGGTCTGCTTTGTGTTCACGAATGCGGATTTACAATCCGCAAAGCTATCACTCAAACCATGAAGAAGAACCCTCTTGAGGAGCCTTTCAAAACCATCACTTTACCCTACATTGCTGGGATCACAAAAAAGATCTCCAAAATCTTGAATAAACACAAGATCCAGGTCCGTTTCAACACATTACATAAAATCCGTGATCTGGTTCCGTCTGTAAAAGATGTGATTCCGGACATACAATACCCTGGTGTCTACAAACTAAGTTGCCTCTGTGGTAGTAGTTACATTGGAGAAACCAAACGTCATGTCTTGGACCGCATTCGTGAACACAAAGCAGACCTTAAACACCGTAGGACCAACACCTCGGCCGTAGCAGATCATTGTTCTAATTCAGTAGGCTCACATGCCATTGACTTTTCCAAGACAGAGGTTCTTTGTAAGCCATCTGGCTTCCATGAGAGATTCGTTCATGAGGCTATCCACATATACAAGCACAGAGACAATTTCAACCGAGAAGATGGATTCTATCTTAGCAATCATTGGAAAGATTTGATAAACCATTTCAGTTCTTAATTGATTGTTCACGCTTACAGTGGCTTTCAGACAGCATACATTATAAAAAATTTCGTCTCCCCCCTCCTCTTTTCAGAATATAGATGGACTAGTCCTGGGTAAACTGCCAAATCGCTGCGCGTGGCGCTAACGTTTTTTATAAATAAATAAATGCGCCGTTTAAAAATAAATTTATGCAAACCAACACACCTGAAGATGACCGTTTGAGTTATGGTCGAAACGTCGTGAGAATTTTTTATTGTTTTATATATTTTTTATTATTTTGTTGTTTCTCTTCAACGTGACTTTACCGAAAAAACTAAGAATATGAATTACTGCAGTCACGAAAGCTTTAAATCAAAATTTAATCGCCTCTACGGGGAGGGTTTTCACATAACTTTAAGATCCTTCAACAAACTCCGGGATAAGAAAGCTCAGCTGATCGAGTCTCTCACCTTCCTGAAGAGATGCCGCGACTCTGGGGTAATACCAATCGCATTTACACTGACCTCTGCTGCTGTAACTTCTTCTAATGCGAAACGAATTCTTTTCAAAACTAGCTTAACTCTTATCTCAGAAAAAATCAGACTTATACGCACAGAACTAGATCAGTTAGACAAGACACTCTACAAATCACACTTATCATTGACGGCAATAATGTCCACATCGGATTGGGAACATGTAGACAATATGACTGCCTCTTCAGCTGCTACTATGTCGACCAAATGTAAGGAAAACCTGATTTCCAAATTTAACCTCCTCTTCAACAAAAGACCGGACCCACACACCAAAAAGTTAGACGTTAATAAAGTCGTAATTAATTGCAGTAACAGTTCTATTTCCGATGGTCTGAAATCCGTTTTAGCTAAAGGTCTAAACTTTGCAGTCACACCTAAACACATACCAGTTAATGATATCATTGCCCAAGTAGACGTTGCTCTCAGGGGCCTGGGTCACATCGCTGCAGACGTAGCAAGATCTGAAATCGCTGCAACCCTCAAAAACGCTAAGATACCAGCTAGCAACCTCAGCAAAGATGAGCGTTTTGAATTATATAAATTAAAAAAGAGGAATGATATTGTAGTCCTCTCAGCTGACAAAGGCAATGCTACTGTCATCATGGATAAAATAGAATACAACAACAAAATTAAAGAATTACTCTACGATGGTAGTTATACAAAAATAAAAAGAGATCCCACCAACAGCCTCGTCACACAAACCAACAAAATAATTTCTGATTCAACCGCATTAATTGATCAATCTAAATAGTTTTCGTTGAAACCTTCTGCTGCCAGGCCACCAAGATTATACGGCTTACCAAAAATACATAAAGTAGATACACCTCTTCGTCCCATAGTCTCTACTATCAGCTCCCCCACCTACAAACTAGCTCGTTTTTTGTCTGAAATCCTGCGTCCTTTCACTGGAAAGACCGCCTCTGCGGTACAAAATTCTACTCACCTGGTATCGACAATCAAGGGTATTTCCCTGTCCCCAGATGACCTGCTTGTCAGTTTTGATGTAGTTTCCTTATTCACCAAGGTTCCTGTACCTGACACCATTGCAATCATTGAAGACTTGGTTCATCAAGGACTAAACACTGAGGTACCCCCCCTGGTGAGACACTGTTTAACCAATACATACTTCACTTGGAATGGAACTTTCTACAAACAAACTGAGGGCACCCCAATGGGCTCCCCCCTTTCTCAAGTTATAGCTAACATTTTCATGGAGAAATTTGAGACTGACGCCATCCAGACTGCCACTCTGCGCCCAACCTTATGGAAGAGGTACGTGGATGACACTTTTGTCATCTGGCCACATGGCCGGCCTGCTCTAGACCAATTCTTCGACCACATCAATTCCATACACCCAGCCATCAGATTTACCATGGAAGTCGAAATAGATGGCAAGATATCTTTTTTGGATGTCCTAATTAAAAAGAGACCTGGTGGTTCAATGAGCCACTCTGTTTACAGGAAAGCTACCCATACGGATGCTTATCTGAAGCCGGATTCCCACCACCATCCATCACAGAAGAATTCTCTCATCAAGACTCTGTATCATAGAGCCCAATGCATATCCGACCAGGAACACATAAGCAGTGAACTCAAGCACGTACACCAAGCTCTTAGGGCTAATGGTTACTCCGACTATACAATCCGCAAAGCTATCACTCAAACCATGAAGAAGAACCCTCTTGAGGAGCCTTTCAAAACCATCACTTTACCCTACATTGCTGGGATCAAAAAAAAGATCTCCAAAATCTTGAATAAACACAAGATCCAGGTCCGTTTCAACACATTACATAAATCCGTGATCTGGTTCCGTCTGTAAAAGATGTGATTCCGGACATACAATACCCTGGTGTCTACAAACTAAGTTGCCTCTGTGGTAGTAGTTACATTGGAGAAACCAAACGCCATGTCTCGGACCGCATTCGTGAACACAAAGCAGACCTTAAACACGGTAGGACCAACACCTCGGCCGTAGCAGATCATTGTTCTAATTCAGTAGGCTCACATGCCATTGACTTTTCCAAGACAGAGGTTCTTTGTAAGCCATCTGGCTTCCATGAGAGATTCGTTCATGAGGCTATCCACATATACAAGCACAGAGACAATTTCAACCGAGAAGATGGATTCTATCTTGGCAATCATTGGAAAGATTTGATAAACCATTTCAGTTCTTAATTGATTGTTCACGCTTACAGTGGCTTTCAGACAGCATACATTATAAAAAATTTCGTCTCCCCCCTCCTCTTTTCAGAATATAGATGGACTAGTCCTGGGTAAACTGCCAAATCGCTGCGCGTGGCGCTAACGTTTTTTTATAAATAAATAAATGCGCCGTTTAAAAATACATTTATGCAAACCAACACACCTAAAGATGACCGTTTGAGTTATGGTCGAAACGTCGTGAGAATTTTTTATTGTTTTATATATATTTTATTATTTTGTTGTTTCTCTTCAACGTGACTTTACCGAAAAAACTAAGAATACATTTATTATATTGATGTAATTTAGACTTAGTTTTTCACATCGGTTTACTGTATGATAGTTGGGTAGTGCAGCCCCTTTGGCGTCCATGTACTAGGTGCCTCTGTGGATGTGTAAACTTTGACTTTAACATAGCTATTTCTGTGACCAGTCACAAGCTAATCCCTCAACTATTTAAATGCTAAATTCTCCTGTTTGATATGTAAACTCCTTTGTCAAGGTGCCTCACTTCTCTCACCCAGCTTAAAAGACGCTACGAATCTTAGCAGCGTTCATTGAAGCTCTGTCGTCCCGACAGTTCTGTTCCTTCACCTGAAGAAGGCTACTTGTGTTGTGGCTGAAACGTCGTGATTTTTTTTTTATTTTTTTTTACCTACGTGACTTTACCGAATAGAACCAAAGAGTAAGCGTTATCCAGGCTAATCTCTGCCACATTTTCAGAGATCAAATGTCACTCACACTAAGTCGGTATTGACACGTACTGAATACATTTCACACATCATTAACATTTTCTTAAATCAGAATTTTTTTTTCCCACAATTGTATCCTGATTCCACTATAAACATTGTGTCATTAGATAAGAAGCATCCGTTCGGATCTCACTTAGAGCAGTGCAGCATTTGCGATATAAAATGACCTGCAGAAGTAGATATCAGAGAAGCACTTCCAGGGTTCATTAAAGTGACCTCTGCTATACTCCCGCTGTACATACGAGGGCAATGTTTGTCGAATGGCAATAAAACCGAAATATTTTCATCCTCAGACCTGGAATTCATGCCAAATTCAGTGCAAAAACTAAACTTAATATTCATAATAAAGGTTTTTGGGTTAGATCGCGTTATTTATAAATATGTCGTAACCCTCCACCACCCGACACGTCCAATCAGCAAAAAAAGTGTCACGTTGACAAAAGACAAATAATTCACTACTTTAGCCCACTTGTGTGTTGAAGAGTTAATCCACAACATTTACAGTTTGAGTACGACGTTTTGCTGGTAAATACATCCAGCATCATCGGGCAATTTGCCAGAATGGTAAAGCCCTCGCTTGCTCCCGGTTTTAAATAGAGCAGCAGGGTGACGTCATCATTTAACTCATTTCAGGTGCAGTGATTTGAGGCGGAGGGGGGATATTGTAATAATATAATCGATTAGTAATCAGTCAATGATTATGATTAGTAATGAGTTGTAGATTAGTAATTAGTTGTAATGTGTGTTAGTGATTATATGTTATGTTAGTAATCCGTTAATTAGTGTTTCCCCTATAAGGAATTGTAATGTGTATTATTTAATAATACGTTTCCAGGCCGCACTAAGCCTGTAGCTGTCAGAGCGATTAAAGTTATTTTTATTCCTCTCAATTTCAATGGAAAGCCTACGTGTTAAAATAAACTTAATATGATGGGGGTTTTTTTTTGCTGTCCTTGGTAAATGGGCTGAGACCATCAACTCGCTGCACTCGAGAACCCGGTTGAATGAGAGGCAGCTGAAGCCTGGATTCCAAGCCAGGATGGTAGTCGTGGCAGCTCGGCACTCTCACCTCCGAGCCGCCCGGCCCTCCTCCCTTCCCCGTCGCTGACACGGACTTTGTCACCGCGTGCCAGCGCCCGCGTGCCAGCACCGCGCTGGCGGGGCGCCTCTGCCGCGAATGGCGGGCGGCGTGCCGTGGCGCCGGCTGTGCCACTGGGGGCCGTGGCTGGTGCTGTCGGGCCTGGTGCTGTGCGGCCTCGTGACGCTGTTCGCCACGCTGCTCTGGGCCTGGCCCGTGCATCGGAGCGGCGGCGACGGCGGTGGCGCCATCGTCCACCTGGCGTTCCTGCTGCTGTGGGTGCCCACGCTGCTCACGCCGTACCTGCATGCGGTGTTCGCCGGCGCTGGGTTCGTGTCCGTCGGATGGCGCCCCGTGAGTGAACGTGCGCAAGTTCAGCCGTTCAGTCGCTCGCTCGCTCGCTCGCTGCTGGCGTAACGGCCCTCTGCTACAAGGAGGCCCTCTAGATCTGCCCCCTCTTGGAGTGTTCTTTGGCTTTACTTCTTCCACGCTGGCCCGGTGTCTGAGAAACAATTTTTGTTTTAATCAAGTAAGGCCCACTGAGCTTATCTAGAGCTGTTTTTCAAAAGTGACCTGGCCATCACAAATGATAGCTTAACGAAGTGGGCTTATCACATGGAAATGTATTGCAGCCAAATACTCCAAATGCTTGCTGATTCTAAATGTGGAGGAGAAAAATCGGAGGGCCCAGAGAAAAATCCACGCGACCACGGGGAGAGAGACACGCAAACTCCAGATATACAGGTGCCCGGGTCGGGATCGAACCCACGACCTCCTGTAAACCAGGCAAGGAAGAGGTGGGAGTATCCACACTTTACCCCACCACACCACGACCTGCCAATCGACTCACTGCAGTGTCCCCGCTCACGCTGCCTGATTGACAAGAGGCAGGGAGCGTTTAGAAACGTTTCCATGCCGTGCCGGGAGATTGACCCAACGACCTCTGTATTTGGTAAGATGGTGGTAATAATGTACAGCCCTTCTGTCAATCCAGTCTGATGTAGGCCTCTCAATGCCGGCAAACTGTGAGTGTCCTTGCTTTCTTTTGAGTTGACGCTGAATGTGGGTGGATTGAGACGCTTGAATTGGATGTTAAGCGAGTTTCTCTCTCTCTCTAACAGGAGCGATCCGAGGAGGCTCGCCTTCTGCCGTACTGTGAGAAATGCCAATCCTTCAAGCCACTCCGGTCGCACCACTGCCGACAATGCCAGAGGTGAGCATTGCCAGCAGTGGCCCGGGTGTGTGTGGGTGTGTGTAGAATTCATTGTGGGGAGAAGTGGTGGAGCGGTTAGTGAGTTGCAATACGAACACAGCAACCCGAGTTCAATCCCCGCTCACGGCCAACAACAATATTTTAACAAGTCCTGCGCCTCCCCTAGGTCGACTCGGCCTCAAATGAGTCTCTGCTGCGGTGTGTAACATCGTTGCTAGGAAGACAAAAGCAGTCGGGCGTGGTGCTGGCCACCCCCCACCCCCTTGAGTGCCATGCTGGCCTTCATAGGTGCTCGCTAACAGCGCTTGCCCTTACAGTCTGTTCAGACTATATATGGGATCTTTGTTTTGTTTGGATAAATTTACATGATTTTAATCTCTGCTCACTTTCACAGAGAAAGTGTGCAGCTTTGCTGTCAACACCCCAGCCACTTGGCCAGTTTGCGTGTAGTTGGTTCATTTCACACTGTCACCACCAGATGAGATAAATAGTAATGTCTTCTCGAAAGCAGACATTTAAGATTCTGTGGCGTCAGAGGTAGCTGGGTGGTGCAAGAGGTCAGAGCGCTGAGTTCGCACCGACAAAAAACGCCATATTCATTTTGGTCGTATGCTTAATTTGTATATATTCTTGTCCTGAGAATTACAACAACTGTTGTGTGACTGCCTACCTGCAACAACAAAAGAGTGACTTTGTAGCACGGGGGCTGAGGAATGTGCTGCCCTTATAATGTTCATTGCAGTTACTTGAAGAGATCTCAAGAGTAGTTCTCAGATATCCGCTCCCACAGGCCCTTCCGTGTGAGAGTTCCGAATGGATTTTTTATATCGTTGCATCATATCGATGGCACATTCACGATGCAAATTTGGAGAACGATCAGATTGAAATACAAAAAAAAAATCACGGGCGATAATTTACAAGAGGAGGTCCCAACAAAACTGCGAGACAATTATATTCGGGGCCGGGACCCCACTGCTGCTCTACTCTGGCATTGGCTCCTCGACGCCCTCGGTGTGCAGCGTCACCTCCCTGGGCGGGCAGCCTTGCGGTGGACCACGTTCTCTCGTGCCCGCAGGTGCGTGCTAAAGATGGACCACCACTGCCCGTGGATCAACGCGTGCGTCGGGCTGCGTAACCGCGCCTCCTTCGTGGCCTTCCTGCTGCTCACGCCGACCGCCGGCCTCCACTCTCTGTGCCTTCTCGGCAGCACGCTCTACCAGGAGTTCCTGGCACCGGTGAGCAAAAGCCACTGTGGGTTGTCGTCTATTTTGAGAGATCCCCGAGTGACACAAGAACGTTCGACTTTCAGATAGTTCACTTTCCCCCGAGCAGTGGACTACCTTACATCGTATCCAGACTGGCCACGGCAGGTGCAATCACCTTCTCCATAATGTAGGGCAAAGGGAACAGTGAAGCACATCGTGGGTCGATGGGTCTCTGAGTCTATGGGTCTCTGTGTGAACTCGTGTCCACTGTGAGTTTTATGGGTCTCTGTGTGAGTCTATGGGTCTCTGTGTGACTTTGTGGGGTCTCTTTGTGAACTCGTGTCCACTGTGAGTCTATGGGTCTCTTTGTAAGTATATGGGTCTCTGTGTGTCTATCGGTTTTTGTGAGACTCTATGGGTCTCTGTGTGAACTCGTGTACACTGGGAGTTTATGGGTCTCTGTGTGAGTCAATAGGTCTCTGTGAGTCTCTGTGTCTCTGTGTGAGTCTGGGTCTCTCTGTAAACTCGTGTCTACTGTGAGTCTATGGGTCTCTGAGTGAGTCTATGGGTCTCTGTGTGAACTCGTGTCTATTGTGAGACTCTGGGTCTCTCGGTCAGTCTCTGGGTCTCTGGGTGAGTCTCTCGGTCTCTGGGTGAGTCTCTGGGTCTCTGTGCGAGTCTATGGGTCTCTGAGTGAGTCTCTGGGTCTCTGTGCGAGTCTCTGGGTCTCTGTGTGAACCCGTGTCCGCTGGAGGGATCTCCGAGGGCATGTGCGGGATTCACGCTCGGCGTACCGGGAAACCGGCAGCTGGGTTCACGACGTAGACGTTTATTGGTGGTTGTTACTCATTTCGTATCCGTTCTGAAAGAACACAAATGAGAAGCTTCACCTTCACACTGCCGGATGCCCAGTTACGCTCGAGATGCCCATCCACACACCTGAGGGCTTTTTCAACGAGCCATCAAGCCAGTGTATTAAGGGAGCCTCGGAGCCGTCGATACGCCCTTCATTTTCTTTCCCAGAATATGCAAATATACTCAACGGACAAATTTGGAGAAAAAAAACATCCCAAGTAGGGACCCATCTGCTCGAGATGATCGAGGCTCATTCATGGATGTTTTAAGGACCTTCGTGTTTATAATGCTGTGGTATTTTTGTTGTTATGAGTAGAGTGCCACTGACCACTTAGGTGATTCGCTGGCAGCTTTCCCAATAATTCTTCATCATGCTACTCCAGAAGCCATTCATTCACCATTTCACTCGCAAACCTCAGATCGGAACATACGAACATTGCCGATCAACTCCTCCTCGCCATACAAGAAGAAGAGTTACCGGTCCCGCTCACGCATGGCACGCTTGTGCCGCCTTCCCCCCCGATCCCCATCCGCAAACTCCACCCCCAGGTTTTCTTGGTGCCTGCGGCGGGTGGCTCAAATTCGACGTTAGTCGTTGAGGCCGCGGCGCGGTACCCCTTCGGCGTGCCGGCCTTCCTCGCCACACTCATCTCCTTCGTGGTGACGCTCACCGCCATCCCCTTCATGGTCCTCTTGGGGGTCAATCAGGTCGGTCTTCACGACGGCACGGTGGTGCTGACGTCGGGGAGGGCGGGCGGTGAAAATTCCAGCGGGCCCGCGGGTAACGCGAGATGTGTTTACGCCCTTGCCTGGTACACAGGAGGTCGTGGATTTTATCCTGACCTTGACGCCTGTATATTTAGAGCTTGCATGTTCTCCCTGTGGTCGATTGGATTTTTCTCCAGGTCCACCGGTTTTTCCCTCCACATTTAGAATCAATGTGTTTATTAGTGTATTTGGCTGCTATAAATTTCCATACGATAAGCCACTTCATTGAGCTGTCATTTGTGGCCAAAAAAATTGTTTAGTTTAATATCAGTCCGCTGCTCGATGAGGGCCTTCCCTCGTCACGCAGGTCATCGGGGGGGGGGGGGGGGGGTATTTGACCATACTTCATCACGCTAGTCACTGGGGGTTGGTAAACGTGGGGAGCATAGAAGTACTGTACAATACAAAAGTGGTGATTGCTCCACTGCCCTCTGCTGGCATCGTCTCGAGGGAGCTCAATGGCCATGTCCGGGGCACTTGCAGCTTGTTTGGAATCTCCTGCTGATTTTAAAAGTCGGTTCTCAAATTGTAGGAGTCGACTGATGATAATGATGATGATGACGATGGTGTTTTTTATGTTTGATTTGCGCAGCTCAATGGACTTTTGAGAAACCGCACGTTTATCGAGGCCAAGATTGAAGCGAAGGTAACGTTAAATTGTAATCTACAACCGAGTGCAAACTGAAATTCGGTTTAATGAGTATTTTCAGTAACGGTCTCATTGCGACAGAGGCTGTGGGTTTGCAGGTTGGCGTAAGGCCACGTCACCCTGGCTGAGAGTTACCCTGCATTTTATTGACGGACTTCAACCAGCAATGAGTGATCCGCCAGGCTTGGAGAGCCGTCTCGCCAGTGTTGCATCACAACCCAAAGTGACTCTAATGAGAGGCGGCTCAAAGGGTCCAAGTGCAATAACTCTCGTGGTCCAATGTGAAAGAAACCACGGCGTGGAGTCGTGCTTGCTCCTGGGGACTCTGGCCCTCGAGTTAACCTCGTCGATCAAAGGGCTACTGCCCGAAACTTAGAGAAGCCAGAGCAAAAATAGGTACGAGAGTATTTGAGAGCTTGCAAAGTGTTTTTCCCTTCCGTGCTGCTAATTTGATAACTCCGAGGACTAACGCCCCCCCCACGCACGCACGCACGTGTACATTTTTTAGTCGCCTTCTCGTTAATCTTCTCCGATCCCCCGCGACCACCCCCCCCTCCTCCCCTCCCGCCCCCCCCCCCCCCCCCCGTGGTGCCCAGGCGGCCGAGCGGTTTCGCGAGCGGCCGCCGCGACCGACCTCTCCGCTTCCCCTTTGACCTCGGCTCCGCCTGGAGGAATCTACGGCAGGAGCTGCCGCCCACGAGGATGCGCGTTGACGGGCTGCGCTGGCCCACGGCAGCGGGCGCCGACCCCTACTGCGTCAACGTACGCGCACAACAACAACAACAACAACCGCCATTCCCCACTAAGTGGTGGTGACGTCACCACGACGCTTTGTGCCAGGCCATGTGCACCTTGAGGCCACGTGAAGTGTCGAACCCCCGCTGGCAGGAGGTCACGGTGCAGACCCAGGTGCCACGGGTCGACTGACTGAGATGACTGGCTGATGCACCACCTGTGCCCCCTACTGTGCCAACCTGCTGTGCTTTAGCCACCCGGCGCTCCGCTCGTTGTTGTGAGCATCGCTCCTCCGCCCTCCGTTGTTGTTGGAGGGCGACTGCCTCCAACTGCCCAGTAGCATCCTTCACGAGCCTGCTGCACAGAGGCCGATCTTGACACCGCTGGTACCAGTCATCGGCAAGTCCACTCAGCTCCACATCCTCCTGTACCACATCACTCCATCTCTTCTCTAGCCCGTGCCTCCTGTACCACATCACTCCATCTCTTCTCTAGCCGAACAAAAGCTGTTTCGGCATGCGGTGGCTGGGCATGCGGGCTACATGACCCAGCCAACGCAGCCTTGCCTGCCGGAGGAGCTCACCGATGGGACCGCACACACACACGCACACATGCACACACCCACACGCACGCACAAAGACAAATATTCTCCGTATAGCCTTAACAGACTGTAGGCGCACACACACGTGCGCACACGACACAAAGGTCTCCCCCACCCCGTGTACGCTTTTATCAGCTGCTGGGGCAAGTGCTGTTAGCGAGCGCCCATGAAAGTCGAACTCAGGTGGCTGGTTTAGTAGGGCGGTGAGCTCATCGCTACGCCACCGTGGTAGTCCTTGTCCCTCGCATAGATCTGTCAGTAAAAAATAGTTTACCGCTGTCATCATAAGCAGTGTGTTAAAATTGTAAAGACAAATAACGTTTAGGGCAATGGCCAGCCAACGTTTAATTGCCTTGACTGTCAATACCAAATTTGTGGGCATGGATGTCATCACTGCTTGGTCTAAAATACTATCGACATTTCCCAGTAAAAAAAAAAACCCCATGAGCCGCGACCCGGATGTTAATTATTTCTTACAACCACTCATCGGACTGAATTTGAATCCGCGTGCCGGATCCAACGTGGAGTGTAACTTCTCTCCCACAGGAGGAGCACGCGGCTCAAAAGGAGGAGAGGACGTTGAGCTACGTAAGTTCACACGAAGTGGACGTGAAAGTCAAATTTCAAAAAAGAATAGTTTCGATTTTGTGCGTTGGTGGTGGAACTTAAGGTTCGTTCAAAGCTCGTGGCTTCTATCTTTACGCCGTTTCTCTCTGTTGCCAGCTGCTTTGCGCACTCAGCCCTCCCAACAATTGGATTAGTGAAATGTTTGGAATCGCTCAACCAGAGTGTTTGGCGCTGCCACTGTCAGGCGTCGGCCACCTGCAGCTCCAGAGCCACATGCGGCTAATTAAGGACCGCTTCGTGACGTTATGTATTAAGGATCACCGTCTCGTATTCACATGCGTTGCGACACTTGAAATATTTTTTACCGAGTTTGAAAAAAAAAATGTCTCTTGTTATTTTGGTCTAAACAGTAGATCAAGGATCTGTGTTTTTAAGGTGTTTTCGGTTCCTGTCCTCGCTCTCTAGAGCAGAGGCCTGGACACTGTAGTCTTTATTGAGGACGTAACTTAGTTCTTTGTTAGAGGCTCTTCGTGGAATCTTAAGATATTGATGGACCGACTCGCAAAGAGACTGCTTTTAATAGCATACACATGTGCCTTGTGATCTTCATTGTGGGCATTATGGCCACGAGGTGGTCAGGAGACGCGATGCTGGGGTGGGGGAGGTGATCCTTGCCTCTAGCGCCCCCCCCCCCCTCGGCACGCTTGACCTCGGTCGAGGGTCAGCGGCACTGAGGAGGTGCGTGGGGTTGCGCCGTCGCAGGTTCGGTACCGGGTGCTGGAGGGGTACGCGGCCTCGGCGTGCCCCCTGGCCGAGGGCCCCGTCGTGTGCCTCGCCGCGCCCTTCACGGGGGAGCCACGCATGGCCGTCGCGCCGGGGGAAGCGGTCGACGTGAGCAAGACGATGCCGTGAGCACCCCGCAAAACAGCAGCAGCAGCAGACGCGGGCAAAACGTTCGGTCGCCAATTTGTTTTGATTTAGTATGGTAGAACTTTCGTAGACGACCGTGCTAATCGGAGGTGCGGAAAATGTCTTAACATTTGCGACGGTGTGACGGCAGAATTGGTTTACGTGACTCGGTCTATGTAATGATAATTGTTGTTGTTTATTTACGAGTGCCTCATACCGCAAGGTTCAAAGCCACGTCACACAAGTTAAGATAAAACCGTATAGTTTGAACAAGTGTTGTAACAAAAACACTCGTCAAATAATGAGCATGCAAAGAGGACAACATTTTTTAAAAGAATTAAATAATCATAAGAATGCCAAAATAAAATCAGAAAACTAAATTATAGAAATAGGCTTGAAGCCTTGATTTAAAAGTTGCCACTGTGGGCAAAACCTCTTGACGCGATTAACTGGAGAGTTCCACGGTCACGGAGCCTGAACACAGAGCCACCTCCTCTCCACTCCTCTCCACTGACCCTGGCCCTGGCCCTGACCCTGATCCTGGCCCTGACCCTGGCCCTGATTCTGGCCCTGGCCCCAACATTTGCTCAAACTAATTCTAAAGAGATAATCATCTTGCCAGTTTTAGAGATGAGATGTGTAAATGCATAAACATTTTAAAGGCAGTATGTGTTTTTTGGGGGGGAAGTTTCAACATTGTCGACTATTGGTGGGTCTCATTCGTGTATCATTCGTTTTGCTTTTAATCTTCTTTGTTTGTCTTGTTGCTTTGTTGTAGACACTGGATGTATGGGGAAAAAATAAGTCACGCCGAAAATCAGGGAGGTAAGCTAAACGCAAGCACGCACTCAGTACAAATAACCCCATGCAGGAGGTTGGAGGGCTTCGATCTGTGACGCATGTTGTAGGTATGGCAAAAAGCCTCCTTGTGAGAAGTCAGGTCAGATTATCATCACTGGACCGAGTCCGGTTACTGACGCAGCAGTCGCACTTCCTCCGTCGCTGTCGATCCTCTGCCAGCTCCTCAATACCGATCCGGTTTATTCCGGTCGTCATTCCGTGTGGTTATATTGGCGGCAAGGTGGCGTTGCAGTTGGCAACACTTGCACCTCGCAGAAATAAGGGGGCCTGGGTTAGATTCCTAACTCGGCCGTCTGTTCTTGCTTTATGCAACGCAAAAGTTACTGTACCAAACTGGACCCGAACTTTGATATTACATTTTTTTACCATTTCTCTTTTTCAATATAAGGGGTTCTGCTTCCCAACCTTTCCTCCTATCGCCCCCCCACCGAGCCCTCCACTGCCACCACCACATTGAGGAACAGGACAAATCTGTCTTTTGAATTAGCATGTGTGTGTGTGATGGTTCGCTTCCGTTGTTACCGCACTGCACTATGAGCTCGGCAAGCTGAGTTTGGTTCCCGCTCACCACTGGACCACATCATTGGTGATTATCTGAACTGGTTCTGCGCCTCCTCCCGGTCAACTCGGCCTTAAATTGAGTACCTGGCGTGATTAGTAAACCTCTGTTATGGATGATATTGGTCGCGAAAGCCTACGTGTGAAACGAAGTAAACATCAGCACTAGGGAATCAAATGCAGCCGGGCATGGTGCTGGCTTTCAGCATTGGACGCCATGGTGGCGAGATATTATCTCTCTCGCCTGGCATGCAGGAGATCGTGGGTTCGATCCCGACCCTGACGCCTGTATATTTGGAATTTGCATGTTCTGCCCGTGGTCGCGTGGATTTTTCTCTGGGTTGTCCAGTTTTTCCCCACCACATTTAGAATCAACATGTGTTTTAGAGTATTTGGCTGCTATACATTTTCACACGATAAGCCACGTCCTGAAAAAAGAGTTCTATATAGCTCAGTGGGCTTTACCTGGTAACATAAAATAAATCGTTTGGTTAAAAGTCTATTATAGTCAAATATTTGGCAATTAGAAAATCAGTTGTGAATTACCAAATCGGGTAAAGCCACGTAGAAACATCACCCCCTACTTTGAAACGACCGAAAAAATGTTTTATATCCCTTAATATATAAAAATGTTTAATAAAAGTTGAATGTGCATTCGTGGCCTTCATATAGGTGCTCTCACCATGTTGAAGGTTACAGGGGGGGGGGGGTGGGAATCTTGCTCTCTGCTGTGCGCGTGTGCAGGGCTGGCGCCCCAGCGCGGCTGGTTCCCCGAGCGATGCGTGGACCTGCTCGCCGCGGTACACTCGGCCAATTGCAGCGAAGGCGCGGAAACGGAGCCCCTCGGTTGGGCCGGCGGGGACGCTGCGGGCTCGGGCCTCGTTGGCTTCGGCCACTCCTTCCAGGCGGCCAATCACGGCGCTCTGTGCCTCCCGCCGCTCTCGGAGCACCCCCTGGGGTTCACCGCCGCTTTTGCGCATCGCAAAAAAATAATTTGACGATTTTGACCGCCTGTCGCACGTGCTGGATCCTGCCATGGTAACAGGTTTTAAAAAAATGTATATATTAGTTTTTTTTTACAATTGCAGAGCACAGGCCCAAAGGTGGCCCATCAGGTCAAATGAACAGCAACAAATGGCACTATTAAAGACTGACGTTTGTCTGAATTGAGCAAGGTCATCACGATAGCTTGGGGAAACAGATTATGGGAAAGGGGGGATTACAGAGTCGAGCAGTGTGAGGGAACAAGCTGGAAATCGGTGGTTGTGACCCGTGTGGTGAGAGAACGGTGGGGGTGAGGTGGTTGTGAGGTGGTTGTGAGAGAACGGTGGGGGTGAGGTGGTTGTGAGGTGGTTGTGACCCGTCGTGTGGTGAGAGAACGGTGGGGGTGAGAATCCGTCGGCACAACGGACTTGAGTGGTCGGCGGTTCGATTCGATCTCCCGATGCAGCAGCTGAAACAATGGTGCGAGTTTCTTCGATTTCCCCCCCAACCGCCTCTGTCCACCCAGCAGTGTAAACGGGTTCACCACGGTTTAGTCGATGGGAAGGTCCACGTGCCTTAGCACCTTCCTATACGCACACTCGCCGCTGTTCTGTTTAACCCCCTCGCTTTAAGTGACGTATCTACGGAATTGTGTCGTAACAGTATTTTTTATACGTGTATAAAGTGTATTAATAAAATTGGTCTTCGTATATCGTGTGGGTTAAGTTATGAGCGTGCATTGTCATAAATGATACAGGTTGGATTTATATAGCATCTAAATACAAAGAGTGGTGTAGAGCGGGTGAGAGGCAGTCATGGGCGCAGGGAAAAAACGGGAAGTGTTGAGCCTGGACTTGGAAGGGCAGGGAGTCGATGGCATGGACGGCTGAGGGAAGGGCGCGCCAGACCTTGGAGACAGCAGAGGAGAATGAGCGACCTCCCACTGAGAAAACGCTGTTGAGTTTTTATTTGTTCGCTATAGGACGATGGACGCTTTACCTATGGCCTCGGTTCACAAATTGTTGTTTCTGTTGCGTTTACATAACAACATTGTCTTTCTAGTCTTTCTGTTGGCCCATTGGTTATATAATTATCGTCATCGCCTTCACCTGTGATTTATACCGCCCCTCGTGCATTGCACAGAGGTGACAAGAAAGCCAAACTGACCCGAGTGGAATAAGTGGGCCAGACGCAGATATTAAACACAATCTTTAAAGACAGCGATATAGTGGACGTGCCGTAAAAAAAATATCAACATGCATCAAAAACTGAAAACGTAAGGACAAAACTATTTTCCTAAAAGTGTAGATTACAGGTCATACATTTTGTAAAATAAATTGTAAATTGCAACCTGTATTGTGATTACGGTAACGTGTGACACTCGCGACGGCCTACATCCAAGGCTTCAGCAAGACCGAATAGTGTTCCCCCCCGCCTCTTCTCGTGCAACCAGCGCATGAGAACTCCAGGAAGCGGTTTTCAACTAACCCTTTTACACTGAAACATCCGAGCCGTGCCAGCCAGTGGCCCTCCCGGTATGTTTTTTTCCACTGTTAGCCAATGCTTAGCCAGAACCAAACCGCTGGCCTCGCATTTGAATCTGGCTTGGGGGGGGGGGGGGGGGGGGGGGGTGGTAGGGGGGGGGGCATGCAGGGCCAGGGGCGGGGTTGATGACTCATTTTGTCTTACGTCGGCAGCATGGCTCGGCTTTTGCAGTGGAAAAACAACCTGGCGCCAGGCTGGCTCGGCACGGCCCTGGCACGGCTGGGTGCTTTAGAGTTATTGCTTTTCTCTCTGCTAGCTTGTGAAGCACAGTGTTTGAGGCAGACTATTTTTACTGCACATTATTTTGTAAACATTTCCCCACCAAAGGTGATTGCCTCGTTTTCCTACCCACTTAATCACGTCTCAATGTCAAGCAGGATAGGTGCCCGAGTGTGAAGTGCCATTGCCACCATCACCGCCACCATCACCGCTGCTATGACCACCATCACCGCCGCCAACGCCACCATCACTGCCGCAGCGCCAAGGCCTCATCCTCGCCCGCGTCGAACTCGCAGAGGAGCCGCGCGATGGGGAAGTGCGCCTGCAGCGTCTTCACCACCACCAGTTTGGTGGAGCTCGCGAAGAAGGCGGCGTGCTGGCGCACGAACGTCACCATGGAGTCCAGGTCGAAGTCCACGCCCACCACCTCCTCGTGCTCGAACTTGTCCTTCGCTCCTTCACGGCCGCCGCGTGGCGGAGAAAATCGGGAAAAATAAATTTTCGGTCACGACGTCCCGCGAAAATCGTTGACTCCCACCACCGGATACCCTGCTAACCCCCCCCCCCCCCCCCCCCCCCCCGAGTAAAATTCAGATGTGGAAAGCTCGCTGGAAAAATGCGGCTTCTTGTAGTCATGGCTTACATTTCAGCCGGGTCTGTCCAAGTGGGTGATCCATAAAGTATCGCTGCACTCGGCACACACCACATCCAGCATAGCGCTCGGCATAGCTTTGGCTACTGCTAGCCACGTGCCACCTACACACCCGCCTACCGGCGACCCACGAAATATTTGGTGAGAAATGAATGCCCGAGGGAAGGTGAGCACGTGGGTGTTGGTTCCAAGGGGCTTCACGGCGGCACCATCAGAGCGGCGGCAGCGGCAACGAGGAGCTGTTTGCCATCGTCCTGGCAACGAGGCGAGCGAGCGGCCAGAAGCACAGCGAGCGAGCACGCCTGAGTTGGCAGGCGCTCGTGGACGGCACCAGGACAGCGCAGTGCCGCAGTGAGGACCCCCCCCCCGCCCGCCCCGTCATAGAGGGCAACTCGTTTAGAAGAGAAAGCCGGCCGATGGAGGGGACGATCCACCACCACCACCACCCCCCCGCCCCGCCCCAGTGTCGTGGACCGTGCCCGCTGAGCGCAGAGGTCGTGGGGCTCGTTTGACAATTTTATAACGCTGGTTAAAGCCGGGCAGGTGGAGGAAGGGAAACTGGAAGGTGACCACATCGTTTAAATACCGCAGCAGCAGAATAATTCTGACATGTGCAGGCTTTTGGCAATCCACTGCTGTGTTAGTCATGAGAGTTGTTCGACCATACTTCACCACGCTGGCTCGTGTGGATTGGTGAAGGTGGGGAACAGGACCGGTTTAGCAGCAGTATCAGGAATGGAAGGAGGTTAAGGGGAGGGACTGCTCAATGTGCAGGGGAAGTTGATTGCAGTGGAGAGGTGCAACGGAGGGAGAAGAACCAAAAACGAGATTGGGCACAGGGAGGAGGAGAGACAGAGACGGAGAAGATTGGGAATGAAGAAGAGGAGAGGGGACATCGAATGGGATGAGAGAAGCGAGAAGAGAGAGGCGAGATGGGATGTGTGGGAGGTGTGGTGTGTGTATGTATGAGAGAGGTGAGGTGTGTGAGAGGTGAGGTGTGTGAGAGGTGAGGTGTGTGAGAGGTGAGGTGTGTGTGTGAGAGGTGAGGTGTGTGTGTGAGAGAGGTGTGTGTATGAGAGAGGTGAGATGTGTGGGAGGTGTGGTGTGTGTATGAGAGAGGTGAGGTGTGTGAGAGGAGAGGTGTGTGTATGAGAGAGGTGAGGTGTGTGAGAGGTGAGGTGTGTGTGTGAGAGGTGTGGTGTGTATGAGAGAGGTGAGGTGTGTGAGAGGTGAGGTGTGTGTGTGTGAGGTGTGTGTGAGAGGTGTGTGTGTGAGGGGTGTGCGTGAGACAGGTGAGATGAGGTGTGTGTGTGTGAAGTGTGTGTGTGTGTGTGAGGTGTGTGTGTGAGGTGTGAGGTGTGTGTGTGAGGTGTGTGTGTGTGAGTTGTGTGTGTGAGGTGTGTGTGTGAGGTGTGTGTGTGAGGTGTGTGTGTGAGGTGTGTGTGTGAGGTGTGTGTGAGGTGTGAAATGAGGTGTGTGTGTGAGGTGTGTGAGGTGTGTGTGTGTGAGGTGTGTGTGTGAGGTGTAAGATGAGGTGTGTGTATGTGAGGTGTGTGTGAGAGAGGTGTGTGTGTGTGTGAGGTGTGTGTGTGAGGTGTGTGTGTGAGGTGTGTGAGGTGTGTGTGTGTGAGGTGTGTGCGTGTGAGGTGTGTGTGTGAGGTGTGTGTGAGAGAGGTGAGATTGTGTGTGTGAGAGAGGTGAGTGTGTGTGTGAGAGGTGTGTGTGTGTGAGAGGTGAGGTGTGTGTGAGAGGTGAGGTGTGTGAGGTGTGTGTGTGAGGTGTGTGTGTGAGGGGTGTGAGAGGTGAGATGTGTGTGTGTGAGGTGTGTGTGTGAGGTGTGTGTGTGAGGTGTGTGTGTGAGGTGTGTGTGTGTGAGAGGTGAGGTGTGTGTGAGGTGTGTGTGTGAGGTGTGTGTGTGTGAGAGGTGAGGTGTGTGTGAGAGGTGAGGTGTGTGAGGTGTGTGTGTGAGGTGTGTCTGTGAGGGGTGTGAGAGGTGAGATGTGTGAGTGTGAGGTGTGTGTGTGAGGTGTGTGTGAGAGGTGAGGTGTGTGTGTCAGATGTGTGTGTGTGTGTGTGTGAGGTGTGTGTGTCAGATGTGTGTGTGAGGTGTGTGTGTGAGGTGTGTGTGTGTGAGAGGTGAGGTGTGTGTGTGAGGTGTGTGTGTGAGGTGTGTGTGTGTGAGGTGTGTGAGGTGTGTGTGTGAGGTGTGTGTGTGAGGTGTGTGTGTGTGAGGTGTGTGTGAGGTGTGTGTGTGAGGTGTGTATGTGTGAGAGGTGAGGTGTGTGTGTGAGGTGTGTGTGTGTGAGGTGTGTGTGTGTGAGAGGTGAGGTGTGTGTGAGAGGTGAGGTGTGTGTGTGAGGTGTGAGAGGTGAGGTGTGTGTGTGAGGTGTGTGTGAGAGGTGAGGTGTGTGTGTGAGGTGTGTGTGAGAGGTGAGGTGTGTGTGAGAGGTGAGGTGTGTGAGGTGTGTGTGTGAGGTGTGTGTGTGAGGGGTGTGAGAGGTGAGATGTGTGTGTGTGAGGTGTGTGTGTGAGGTGTGTGTGTGAGGTGTGTGTGTGAGGTGTGTGTGTGTGAGAGGTGAGGTGTGTGTGAGAGGTGAGGTGTGTGAGATGTGTGTGTGAGGTGTGTGTGTGTGAGAGGTGAGGTGTGTCTGAGAGGTGAGGTGTGTGAGGTGTGTGTGTGAGGTGTGTCTGTGAGGGGTGTGAGAGGTGAGATGTGTGTGTGTGAGGTGTGTGTGTGAGGTGTGTGTGAGAGGTGAGGTGTGTGTGTCAGATGTGTGTGTGTGTGTGAGGTGTGTGTGTCAGATGTGTGTGTGAGGTGTGTGTGTGAGGTGTGTGTGTGTGAGAGGTGAGGTGTGTGTGTGAGGTGTGTGTGTGAGGTGTGTGTGTGTGAGGTGTGTGAGAGGTGTGTGTGTGAGGTGTGTGTGTGAGGTGTGTGTGTGAGGTGTGTGTGAGGTGTGTGTGTGAGGTGTGTATGTGTGAGAGGTGAGGTGTGTGTGTGAGGTGTGTGTGTGAGGTGTGTGTGTGTGAGAGGTGAGGTGTGTGTGAGAGGTGAGGTGTGTGAGGTGTGTGTGTGAGGTGTGTGTGTGTGAGAGGTGAGGTGTGTGTGTGAGGTGTGTGTGAGAGGTGAGGTGTGTGTGTGAGGTGTGTGTGAGAGGTGTGTGTGTGAGGTGTGTGAGAGGTGTGTGTGTGAGGTGTGTGTGTGAGATGAGGTGTGTGTGTGTGAGAAGTGAGATGAGGTGTGTGTGTGAGGTGTGTGTGTGAGGTGTGTGTGTGTGAGGTGTGTGTGTGTGAGGTGTGTGTGTGAGAGGTGTGTGTGTGTGAGGTGTGTGAGAGGTGTGTGTGTGTGAGGTGTGAGATGAGGTGTGTGTGTGTGAGGTGTGTGTGTGTGAGATGTGAGATGAGGTGTGTGTGTGAGGTGTGAGATGAGGTGTGTGTGAGAGGTGTGAGGTGTGTGTGTGTGAGGTGTATGTGTGAGGTGTGTGTGAGGAGTGTGTGTGAGGTGTGAGATGAGGTGTGTGTGTGAGGTGTGTGTGAGGTGTGTGTGAGGTGTGTGTGTGAGGTGTGTGTGAGGTGTGTGTGTGAGGTGTGTGTGAGGTGTGTGTGTGAGGTGTGTGTGTGTGAGGTGTGTGTGTGAGGTGTGAGATGAGGTGTGTGTGTGAGGTGTGTGTGAGGTGTGTGTGAGGTGTGTGTGTGAGGTGTGTGTGTGAGGTGTGTGTGTGAGGTGTGTGTGTGAGATGTGTGTGTGAGATGAGGTGTGTGTGTGTGAGGTGTGTGTGTGAGGTGTGTGTGTGAGATGTGTGTGTGAGATGAGGTGTGTGTGTGTGAGGTGTGTGTGTGAGGTGTGTGTGTGAGGTGTAAGATGAGGTGTGTGTGTGTGAGGTGTGTGTGTGAGGTGTGAGATGAGGTGTGTGAGATGAGGTGTGTGTGTGAGGTGTGTGTGAGAGGTGTGAGGTGTGTGTGTGTGAGGTGTATGTGTGAGGTGTGTGTGAGGTGTATGTGTGAGGTGTGTGTGAGGTGTTTGTGTGTGAGGTGTGAGATGAGGTGTGTGTGTGAGGTGTGTGTGTGAGGTGTGTGTGTGAGATGTGTGTGTGAGATGAGGTGTGTGTGTGTGAGGTGTGTGTGTGAGGTGTGAGATGAGGTGTGTGTGAGGTGTGTGTGTGAGATGAGGTGTGTGTGTGAGGTGTGAGATGAGGTGTGTGTGTGAGATGAGGTGTGTGTGTGAGGTGTAAGATGAGGTGTGTGTGTGTGAGGTGTGAGATGAGGTGTGTGTGTGAGGTGTAAGATGAGGTGTGTGTGTGTGAGGTGTGAGATGAGGTGTGTGTGTGAGGTGTAAGATGAGGTGTGTGTGTGTGAGGTGTGAGATGAGGTGTGTGTGTGAGGTGTGAGATGTGTGTGTGTGTGAGGTGTAAGATGAGGTGTGTGTGTGTGAGGTGTGAGATGAGGTGTGTGTGTGAGGTGTGAGATGTGTGTGTGTGTGAGGTGTGAGATGAGGTGTGTGTGTGAGGTGTGAGATGAGGTGTGCGCTCACCCGACGTGAACCCCGCCCGAACCTGGGCGAAGCTGAGCCGGTGCTGGCGCTGGATGCGCGAGTCGCTGAGGTCCACAAAGCCGCACACCCCCCACTCGTGGGTGTCGAACTTGAGATAAACCGTGTGCAGGTTGATGGCGTGCAGCTCCTCGCCTGCACAAGTGGCGGCAGAAACAGCAGCAGCAGCAGAATGAACAATCGCAGCCCTGGCGTTTAACGACTGAATATCCAGATTCCCTAGCTCGCCCCAGGACCCCTTAATCTCCCCCTCACAACCACCACCGTTACATTTCCTCTTCATATTCTCATTACATGACGATCACTCCCCGTTCATTCAATCCGTTCATCATCATTTGCTGTCATCAATTTCGCTTTCGCCGAATTCGCCCATCACAGATTTGCCCATTGCTACCTCTCATTTATTTCATTCAACTCATCTCCACCATCACATTCACAAACGTCGTTGTACCGTTGTTAATTCTTAGTAAAGCGCCTTGTTTAAGGCGCTAAATATACATTCCGTTGAGATAAGACATCTGTGAAAAAACAGCATTGCAGCTCGTTGGATTCCTCCAGGAAAAACAAATATTCTGATTCTGATCGCTCTGTTATCAGGTTTCTATGACCACCTGCATTGATGACCTAATTGCCAAATTATCTATTTTGCTAAATATCAGAATTGTTCTTGAACTCACCAGTGGGCTGAAACAATATTGATTAGCGTGTAACACAAAATTTGGCCAGATTACTCGGTCTGACCATAAAAATCGATTTTTAATCCTAATGTAGCCTGCAAGCAAATCGATTCGTTGCTTCGTTAATCTTGGATTTTTAAAGTAATTTGTACCCACTGTTATCCCGATTGTGCCGTAGGTGTCATGGCAGGAGACGAAGAATATATTCGGATCTCTCACACAGCAGTGAGGACCTTTCGCGAAGTGGATTTCACAGAACTACAGTAAAACCTTGGATTGCGAGTAACTTGGTCTGCGAGTGTTTTGCAAAACGAGCAAATTTTTTTTAATAAATATTAATTTGATAAACGAGCGAGGGTCTTGCAAGTACGTATACGCTTTGTCTGCCGAGCGTCACGTGATCACAACTGATATACGAGTGCTTTGATATACGAGTGCTTTAGATTACAAACACGTTTCCGGAACGAATCATGCTCGCAATCCAAGGTTTTCCTGTACTTCTAAGATCCCGTTCAAGTAACACCTGGTCACCACAACAGAGGAGGACAGCACTTTCTGCATATGACCACAATGTTCATCACATGACCAGTCAAGCCAATATTCGAATTCTCAGAGCTTGAATTTTAGCGAGGTTAAGTGCAACACCAAATTTAATGCACTCGTACCAGAACAATGTACATGCATAATGTGCAAGCATAATGTACTTTGATTACCATATAAATAACCCAACCATTGTAATTTATATGCATTCCTTACCCCCCCCCCATCCCGCTTCGCACAAGAAGGGCTCAAAAGTGATGTCATCACATCTATCCCTTTGTTTAAGAAACGTAACAGGAGGATTTCTCCACCAATCTGGCTGTCGTCTGATGAAGCTGGTTATAATTACTGGCAAAACATCGTACTCCGATTGTAAATGTTGTGGCTTGGCTCTCCAATACATCGGTACATCGGTGTGATAACGAATTGGCATGTTCTGTTTACGTGACAACCCTTACTAGTTCGCTGTGTCGGGTGGTGGTGGGTTTAACGACACATTTATATATTTACACGATCTAACCCAAAAAAACCTATATTATGGGTTTTTGTTGTTGTTGTGCAGGTGACCGGACTGAGACCATAAACCCACTACACTTCAGAACGTCCGTGTGAAATGTCTCTCCGACATTTATCGGCCACCACCGCCGCAACGCTGCGCGAGTCGGACATTCACCACCACGAGTGACGTCAGTGGCATGGCTCTGGTTCTGTGCCACGCCGGGCTCTTTCGGCACGGCCCCGGCTCAGTTTGCGCGGTGGAAAAAGAGGTACAGGTGACGACGCCGATGGCGGCACAAGCCACGGAAGGGGGGTGGTGGGTGGGACCCCTCACTTGTCAGGACGATGTTGAGCTCCTCTTCCAGGCCCCGAGCAGCCGTGCGCAGCAGCCGCACCATGCGGATCTCCTTCTTCTTGCGACCCTTGACCTTCGTCTCCGCGTCGTTCACCGACAGCGTCTCCACCGCCCCGCAAGTCCACATGGACGGAGTCGCTATTCCTGCCGGCCGGGACACGTGGAATCGCGATCGCAGCTCGTGGTGGCGAGGACTCCAACGGTCCTCCATGGGCGCTTAGGTCGATGCTTTTAGTACTGTGAGTTTTGTAGTGGATGGGTTCTTAAGTTCACGAGGACACGGTTTTATGTAATTCAGGCAATCAGCCAGTCACGTTCGACCTTAATGACCAATTGCATGGCACAGAATTGTCACCATCGGTCCTGATTGACCTCTTCCCGTGCGATACCCAACGAACGAACAACCCCTACGACAATTCAATAAATTGTCAGCAGTCAAGGGATGTGATTTGAGAAACGGATCGATACATTTTCATCACATTTTTAAAATCGAATTTGTACAGCTTTGTTTAGCTCGTTAGCCTAAGTGTAATGTGAGCATATCCACGTGCGTATGTGATATACAAAACGAAATATTTACAAAATAATTGTTTGAGGGACACAACTGTACTACCAAGGATCACGGCTGATGATGATGTACAGAGGCCATGTTGAAGGAGAACCAGGATCAAATTATAAAATAAAGAGTAATGTTCCCACATGATGTCCTGGGTAAATATAGGTCAACTGATGTGATCAATTCCAGTGAAGCCTTCATGGGTGAATAATTGGCTTCATGGACGTTAGTCGACCTGGTCGGTTAAGGAGTTCAGGAATAAGTAAAAGAACAGGCACACAGATGATGCTGTTACTAAAGCCAGAGAATCCGAGCAGATATGGGCAGGGTGTGTGTCGTCAAAAACAACTGACATCTTAATGAGACAAAATTTTACTCCGGCATGGAGGCCGAGAGAAAGTAAGAGAAGCTTGAAGATGGCGGAAGAGATGACAGCACGGAGTTCGGAGGCCGTGACTGGACAAGAACAATTAAAGTAAGGAATGGGAGAAATTGAGAGCGGCCCTTTGCCCAGCAGTGGGGAGTTACAGCCTGTCAACAAAAATAGCAACGACGTTGTCAACAGTAATACCAGTACGGTTGGAGCGCCTGGTGAAGATGAATTTCTTCTTTCCTCCGCCCTCGTTTGTGAGAACGGCGATGTGCACGCCCAGTGACGTACTGAACACAGCCCATGACACGCACACGCATGCACAAAAACATATCCCCCGTATAGCCTTTAGCAGACTGTAGGGGCAAGTGCTATCAGCGAGCACCTATAAAGGCCGGAACGGTACACGAGGGGGTGGGTGGTCAGCACCACGGCGGACCGCCGTTGTCTCCCCCAGTGGCGATGTTTACACACCACACCAGGTACTCATTTGAGTCGCCCTAAGGGCGGCCCAGGACCGGTTCAGATAATCATCACAGGTGTTGGCCGTGAGCGGGAATCGAACTGTTCCATTCCTGGTTGGGGGTTGACTCAGCCCATCATCCCTCCGGGGCCGACAAAATCAGCAGCCCCTTTGCGGGTAAGTACGTTGAACTTCTTTCGCACCGCACACAGACAACAGTGCTAATCGGAGGTTCGGGTGTTGTCCTATGGATAGACTCGCCCCCACCATAGGAATGGTGAACTTCCACCACTGGCTCAGGGCTGTAAAAACATGAGCACAGCCTCACAATGCTCAATTGAGTGAAAATCACTTCAACCTTGAATTAAAAAAAGGGTCAACATCTAACGAGTCAAGGCCACAGGACGACCGCCGACAGCCGAGGTTTGCCTGCAGCATCTCCCCACGTTGCTCCAGAGTGGACAGCAAACGCTTCCCCTCTCACGTGCGCCCCCCCCCTCCACCCCCCCCCCCCCCCCCCCAGCGAGCAGACTCACCTGTAGAAGGGGTGCACCTGCATCTTGCACGACACCTGCTTGAGCTTCTCCCTCTCCTCCAGGGTCATCCACATCTCCCGCATGACGCGGTGGTGCACGTACATCGTCTCCTTGAGCCTAAACGCCGGGGGAACACCGGCACAGCGGTGAGGAGAGGCATCATCATCATCATCACCGTCGTCGTCGTCTTCGTCATCAGCCACGGTCAATCTACTGGACATCTGTGAAAAACAGCTTCATGGTTCATCGTATTCCTACAGTCTAAATAAAGATTCTGAATCCACTGCCGGATGAACACCATCTGTACACGATGCCAGCGACATGGTAATCCCCGTGGTGCCTTTCAACCCGAGGCGGGAGAGAAGGCATTTGGTGAAAATCAAACGCTCGCTTACGGCACTGTGCTACAGCAGTCGGTGATGCCACTATGTGATTGGTGGTATTGTCCTGTGCGGGAGCGGTAGTGTAGGGGTTAGCACGCTGTGCTACGAACCCGGCGACCCATGTTTGATTCCAGCCCGCGGCCAGGAACAGTGACGATTATCTTAACCAGTCCTGGGCCTCCCCTAGGTCGACTCAACCTCAAATATAAGTACCTGGTGCGGTATATAAACATCGTCACTGGGGAGACAAAGGCGGCCGGGCGTGGTGCTGGCCACCCACTCCCTCGTTTTGCGGTGCCGGCCTTCGTGGCTGCTCGCTAACAGCACTTGCCCCAACGGTCTGTTACAGGCAACACGGGGGAATATTTGTCTTTGTCCCGAAGAGGGGAGCAGCACAACGCCCCACGCTGGCTGCAGCGAGGCGAGGCTGCCGCTCACCGGAGAGAAATGACGTGCGTCTCCATGGCGCCGCAACGACTTGTGGTGAGGCCCACCAGGGCGTAAGTTTGGCCGTCGAAGATCTTGTTCTCCTTCACCATCTTCCCGTACTCCCGCCTCCTCTTCCTGCGCTCGCGCAAGAGCCGAAAGGTCGCCAAGAAGGCCTTCGTTTCAGCCGGGGTCAAGTCCGCGACGGCAACCCGGACCATAAAACCACGTCCGCGCCCTCGGCACTCCACATGCACTATACCTCTTGGATATGACAGAGGCTAACAGCCACCTGTCTAATCGGCGAGCCAGATGATATTTAGTGGTAAATCGAGCCCAGGTCACAGATATCAACGAGCCGCCACTGTCATGTGACCCACGCTATGAACCGCGTAGCTACCCAGGGCTGTCTGACATGGGACAGAAGCTGAGCTTTTCTTGTTTTATGTATTCATTTGTAAAAAAGATCGAAGCTTTGGTATTGAGAAAAAAATATGTACACAGTGATGACTGCTAGGCAAGTGAGTGAGCGAGTGACCCGGTAGGCAAGTGAGTGAGCGAGTGACCCGGTAGGCAAGTGAGTGAGTGAGCGAGTAACCTGGTAGGCAAGTAAGTGAGCGAGTGACCCGGTAGGCAAGTGAGTGAGTGAGCGAGTGACCCGGTAGGCAAGTGAGTGAGTGAGCGAGTGACCCGGTAGGCAAGTAAGTGAGCGAGTGACCCGGTAGGCAAGTGAGTGAGTGAGCGAGTTACCCAGTAGGCAAGTGAGTGACTTAGCGAGTGACCCGGTAGGCAAGTGACTTAGCGAGTGACCCGGTAGGCAAGTGACTGAGCCAGTACCCCAGTAAGCAAGTGAGTGAGCGAATACCCCGGTAGGCAAGTGAGTGAGCGAGTACCCCGGTAGGCAAGTGAGCGAGTGAGTACCCCGGTAGGCAAGTGAGTGAGCGAGTACCCCGGTAGGCAAGTGAGTGAGCGAATACCCCGGTAGGCAAGTGAGTGAGCGAGTACCGATAGGCAGCTGCATCATATTCGAGGGTGGGGCCTTCCAGTTTCTTTTTGTCGATGACGCATGACAGGTAGCGCGGCCGGTAGCCGAGCGTCGGTCTGTGTCCGTTCTCCCCTTCCACGACCTGCCCAGGCGGCACGCAGCTCGGCTCACATCGTGAGGACGCGACTCACCCAGCAGAGCGCATTGCTGTTAAGAGGTAAATGGGCTAACGGTGAAAGTGCAGCCCTGCAATTTCCAACTCACACCCCTTGCTGGGGGAAGGGCTTCCACTAGAGTGGGGTTCTAAAGAGCCCCCCCATCGTTACTTTGGCCTCCTCTCGCATGCTGGCCGGATGTCTTGGAAGAGGTGGGGGGCCCACGCTGTGCCCCACCACACACGAGCTGCCAACCAACTGATGGCTGCACGTAAACAAGTAAACACACAAACAAGTAAACACACAAACAAGTAAACACAAACAAGTAAACACAAACACACAAACAAGTACACACACAAACAAGTAAACACAAACACACAAACAAGTACACACACAAACAAGCAAACACAAACAAGTAAACACACTAACAAGTAAACACACAAACAAGTAAACACAAACACACAAACAAGTACACACAACTTCTTGGTTCTTTCGGTAAAGTCACGTAGAATGGAAATAAAATAATAAAAATAAAACATAATAAAATAAAATTCTCACCAACGTTTCGGCCACAACACAAGTAGCCTTCCTCAGGTGAAGAAACAGAACCGTCGGGAAGACAGCGCTTCTGTGAACATTGCCAAGCTTTGGTAGTGAGAAAGTACACACAAACAAGTAAACACAAACAAGTGAACACAAACAAGTACACACAAACAAGTAAACACAAACAAGCCTACATCACGCCCGTCGAAGTCGGTGATGCATCGACTCATGTGCACACAGACCCGTTCAGTGTCATTGCCTCACCCCAAAACAACGCAGTAATTCACTACCTGACCAGAGAGTTCCACTGCACCGCTGGGTGTTGGTGTAGTAGACCGGGCACTGCAAGATCTGACCATGTCCGTTCAGCGCTCGAAGAGCTGCGTTGGCTCACGTTTGCTGAACGAATAAGTTTATAGGGTCGCACTCATTACACACACAAAGTGCTTGCCTCAAATGAACCGAGATACCTTGCCGATCTCGAGTTAAACTTTAGTTACCGCGCAGTTTACTGACAGACAGCCAGTTTAGATTTATTTTCTTAAACACATCCACATTCCCAGTCTGTTACCCCCAGCTCCACACACTACCATCAACATTACCACACGTTCTTTTAGCTTTTCACACGCTGTTTGCCTGCTTTGGAATTTTACCCACCCGGCAGCATAACAAAAGGCGGCTTAATCCTAGCTTACTTATATCTACTTCCGCCATCTACATCACAAAGCCTCAGCTGCAGCTCCAGGCATTACCTCACCAGCTTATACCCCCCCTCCCCACGGCCCATCCTGGCTCCTCCCCCCTTAGCCAGTATATAAGGTCGTGTCTCTTAGAGCTCTGTTCAGTTGGTGCAGTAATTTTGCTGTGACGGTTTCCACCTGAAGACGGAAGCTTGTGTTGCCTCCGAAACGTCGTGATTTCATTTTGTTGTTTTTTTTTTTCCCATTTAATTTTTTACCTACGTGACTTTACCGAAAAAAAACAAAAGAGTTCGCTTGTCGATCTCGTCAAGGCGCACAAACCATCGCCATGACACGAACTCCGGTCATTTTCGCAGTGGCTTCTGGGTAGCTGTGGAACAAAGGTGGTCACTGCATCGCGCGCTTTCAGGTGCCCTTCTGCAGCCATCTGGAATGCTCTTCCTTCAGATTTTAGGAAGCCACTTGAGCAATGCAATTAAAATCTACAGTAAAACCTTGGATTGCGAGTAACTTGGTCTGCGAGTGTTTTGCAAGACGAGCAAACATTTTAAATAAATCTTAATTTGATGAACGAGCGAGGGCCTTGCAATACGAGTAGCACGTATACGCTTTGTCTGCCGAGCGTCACGTGATCACAACTGATATACGAGTGCTTTGGATTACAAACACGTTTCCGGAACGAATTATGCTCGCAATCCAAGGTTTTACTGTATATTGAAAACTAATTTCTATAGAACTGTTTTCTTGTGTTTAGTTTGTTGTCCTTCATCGGCACCTCTGATTAGCACGGTTTGCTACATACGGTGCGGAAGAAATTCAACATACATAGAAAGGCGTGAGGGATTTAAGACATTTTAACAGACGAAACGGAACATTCATGGCACTGGACATGCACCACATTAATTTTAGAAGCTCCAAAAACTCGTGGACACGACGCAGCTAACAGGCTCACGTTGCCGATGACGGAATCGGCCACGAAGATCTTGGTGTCTCTGAGGAAGCCGAACGTGAAAAAGTCGGCCTTCTTTTCCTCGCTGAGGTAAGGATTCCTTCCGTCTGAGGATTAGCACAGAAACACAAAGAGAGTGGCATTCGGACGTGTCCCTGGCAAGACAAGGGCGTTGTAAAGCAAGCGCCTGTCAAGGCTCGCCCGGCATATAAGAGGCGGTGGTGTATGCCTAAAACGACGCTTGGTCACACTGTTATTCCCAGGTGCGGAAGTTTACATTCTACTGTATGAGGTACTCGTTGCTGAGTACACCTCATGGAGGCCAAATGATGTTGGCTCAACAATGCCGTATAGTTCGTAAGGCCATTGGCTTCATAGCGACTCGCACACGCTACATTCTGGCACGTGCATATGCGCAACAGAAACATAAACACACAAACATACAAACAGGCTCGTATACACTCATACACAAATAAGCACGAACACACACGTACACGTACATACAAACACACGTGTACATACAAACACACACGTACATACAAACACACGTGTACACGTACATACAAACACACACGTACACGTACATACACACACGTACACGTACATACAAACGCACACATACACGTACATAAAAACACACGTACATACAAACACACACGTACACGTACATGCACACACGTACATAGATACACACACGTATAAGTACATACAAACACACACGTACACGTACATACAAACACACACATACATACAAACACACACGTACACGTACATACACACACGTACATAGATACACACACGTACACGTACATACAAACACACACGTACACGTACATACAAACACACACGTACACACAAACACACACGTACATACAAACACACACGTACACGTACATACAAACACACACGTACAAGTACATACGAACACACACGTACATAGATACACACACGTACACGTACATACAAACACACACGAACACGTACATACAAATGCACACGTACACGCACATACACACATGTACACGTACATGGAAACACACATGCACACGTACATACAAACACACATGTACACGTACATACAAACACAAGTACACGTACATACAAACACACATGTACACGTACATAGAAACACACATGTACACGTGCATAGAAACACACATGTACACGTACATACAAACACAAACGGTAATGCAAACACGTGAACAAAGATAAACACGCAAATATAATAATACGTACAAAAAGACAAAGATGTGCATTAAAACCTTAACAGACTTTTGGGGCAAGTGCTGTTAGCGAGCGCAAATGAAGGCCGGCACGGCACATGAGGGGGTGGGTGGTCAGAACCACACCCGACCGCCTTTGTCTCCACAGTGGCGATGTTTACACACTGCACCAGGTACTCATTTGAGGCTGAGTCGACCTATGGGAGGCCCAGGACCGGTTCAAGATAATTGTCACCGGTGGTGGCCACGAGCGGGAATCGAACTCGGGTCGCCGGGTTCGTAGCGCAGCGCGCGAACCGCTGCACTACTGCTCGCCTGTTATCATACAAACACGCACCAAAGCACGCCTTCCTGAAACAACTCGGGCGCATAAAAGCCCAGATCCTAGGGCTAATTTCTCAGTACATTGACCCGACGCCAGCGTTGTCATTTCAGAGGCACATCGCCTCCTTGAGAAGAGTGCATTGGCGTTGCCTAATCGAGCACCTTTGAAGAAGGTGTCGAGGAGCTGCCTGGCCGTAGGCCGAGGCTTCCCCTCCGGCTGCAGGCACTGCATCTGGATCTGCAGCAGGACATCGTCGGGCAGCTCGGGGGACTGGAGGAGCGCCTGGTACAGCGCTTGGGCAACCTCGATTGCTTCCTCTTTGACCGCGTTGTCCGTCCGGCTCCCGTACGGCTCCAGGCCTGAAACGGAGTGCGACCGCATCGGCATCGTTCTTCTCCTTCACCTCTCCCTACGGCAGTATGTCTGTAGCGCCTTTCCCTGTATTAACCCTTTTCCGTTCCGAGACGTCGGCAAGTTGCAGGGTGGGTGTCCCGTTCACCGCTGAATCTCGGAACGCGCGCAGGCGGTTCGGCGTTAATTTTATTTAAAGAGGCATAGCGCCGTTGTTTTTAAAGACATTGTACTCACCGCAGAGAACTGTAGCCACACGACCGCATTGTTGCAAGATCATGAGAAGTGACTGCGGCTCAGTGAGGCCTTCAACCAGCAGTGGATTGATTAAGGCCGATTGATGATTGTATATCAACAATTAAGGTGCCGCGGTGGCAAGATGTTAATTACCTCGCCTGGTATACAGGAGGTTGCGGGTTCGATCCAGACCCTGACGCCTGTATATTTGGAGTTCGCATGTTCTCCCTGTGGTCACGGGGATTTTTCTGCGGCTCCTCCGGTTTTTCCCTCCACATTTACAATAAACATACGTTTAGAGCATTTGGCTGCTGTAAATTTCCACAAGATAAGCCACTTCTCATTGGGCGATCATTTGTGATGGCCAGGTCACTCCTGAAAAAAAGAGCTATATCGCTCAGTGGGCTATACCTAGTAAAATAAAATAAAAAGTTTCGTTTTCAGTTTAGTTTCATATATAAATCACTATGTAGCACTAAATAAGCATTGCATTCACCACAGGCTGCCTCCCCTTGGTAAAGCCAGACACTGAACCTGTTTGCATGAAGTAAATGAGCAGCCCCACGGTCCAGATGTCCCCCTTGATGTACGGCATCATGGGGTCAGCATCACTCGCGATATCTTTGCCGACGAGCTCGGGGGCTGACCAGCGCGTGAACTGCAGGGGAACAACGACACACACGCCACTTGTTCATTCATTCATTCACACCTGCGACGAGCCACGCGAGAGAGAGCCCAGGAGGGATACATATTTTCTGCGACAATAGATCTGGGACAAATAAAAAAGAGGCAACATATAGAGGCCATGGGGGTGGAGTGGTTGCGCGAGTTCAATTCCCTGGGCACGGCTGACGTGAGTGGTGAGTAATATCTGAAGCAGTCATGCCCTCCTGACCACCACTTCGCTCCCCCCACACTGACCAACGTGGTCAATTAAGGCAAACAACAAAAATCCCCATGACTGACGTGGTTTCCTTCATCCATCGGTGGATAGAGGATGGTTGGAATGTGTTGTTTATGGTGATTAGTGCCATGTTCCCTTAAGAAGATCAGAGGGCTGTGGGATGTGTGATTCCCAGACACAGACTGCACTGCTTGTTCGATGGGAATTCCTGTCCAGGGATGTGGAGATGACAGAACTCTCGACCTCCTGAAGCTCAGACAGGTTTCCTCGCTTTCTTGAGATCCCAAAGTCCACCAACTTCACCCGCAGGTCCAGCACGTGCTCATCGATCTGAGGGTGGGATGAGACGGAGGGCCAGAAGATAGGGCACCTAGCCCGACACTCATGCTGCGGCGATGGCAGCAAACACTCAAAAGCCACAATACAATCGGGAAACATTATGGCAAATGTCACTTGCAACAGATTTAAAGTGCTTTTAAATGAATGTTCTATATAAGTGATGAATCATTGCAAGTCCTTATCTAAAGCCTATCATTATCTTTGGCAAGTTGGTACGGTAATAGCCACGAGTGGGGTGCGGAACCTGCGGCTTGGAGGCCAGGCTTCATATCGTATATGGCCAATGGCTACAAGTGGGCTACCACTTTCAAACACAGCACACAAACGATATTTATCTATCACTGCAAGCATCTTTTTTGCACTAATCAGTTACTAGAGGGGATTTATTTTCACCTTAAAACACTGCTTCTAATTTGAGTACACATAGTCACTACTGTCGTTGCAAGAGCCTCTTGGCAATGGCAGTATTAACCAGGGCGGCTGTGGGGCTCGAATTCAGAACCTCTCAGCCATGTCAGCGCCTCACATGAGTGCGACCTTTATAATATCTCGAGTTTTATAAGGTCACACTCATTGCATACAAAGTGCTTGCCACAAATGAACCACGATACCTTGCTGATCTCATCAAGGTGCATAAACCATCACGTGAACTCCAGTCATCCTCGCAGCAGATTTTGGCTGGCCACCATATCGCGTGCGTTTATATGCACTTCTGCGGCCGTCTGCAACGCTCTTCCTTCCCATATTAGGAAGCCGCTGGAGCTATGCACTTTTAAATCGTCTAGATTGAAAACTCATTTATTTAGAACTGCTTTTTGTGTTTAGTTTGTTGTCCTTCCCCCGCACCTCCGATTAGCACGGTTGGCTATGTACGGTGCGAAAGAAGTTCAACATACATACACACATACACATCCACAGCAGTAGGAGCATGCAATGGGGCCTCACCAGGATGTTGTCGGGCTTGAGGTCGCAGTGGGCGATGGGATCGGCGAGCGTGTGCAGGTAGTTGAGGGCGCTGACCACCTGGCGCATGATGTCCCAGGTGCGTGAACGTGGCAGCCGCGGCGAGCGCTCCTCCTGCCGTGCCACGTACGTCGCCAGGTTCACGCCCACATGCTCCATCATCAGGAACCTGAACGGCTTAAGCAAGCCCAGGCGGGGGATGCAGCCCTCCTTCAGCTGTCCCAGGTCTCGGATTGCCACGATGTTGTCGTGGCGTAGCTCTCTGTCGTGCGAGACGAGGTCGCGCGCGGTGTGAGCTTAACAGGCAAGTCAAAGCGTCTCCCTGCACGAGCGCTATTGGTCAATGATCCCCAGGACCGGCACATGGAAGGGACCTTCATTCAGCAGTAGATTCTTACAGGGCGATACATTACATTGCATGGCTGTACATTACATTACACGTCTACCTGCAGGTAAAATTACTGCCTACACCCCATGATGGTACATCTGCCCACCACCTCTGCGCGTGACCTCCTACCAGTGAGCCATCGACACATCACATGGCCTCAAACAGCACCTGGCCCTGCGCCAGGGCCGTGCCGAACTTCAGCATCGCTTCGTGGCGAACGGTGGCCGTTGCTGTCATTATCTATGGTGACTTTTTTTGGCAAGTACCCAAAATGATGAAAAATCAAGAATAGGTTTGACCCTTTTCTGGCTGTCGCTGCCGGTGTGTCCCGCTCACCTCAGCTGGCAGTACTCCTTCAAGATGGCCTGCTCCTTGTCCTCAGTGAGCACCTTGATCGCCACCTCGGTGCCCTGCACGAAGGCTCGGTACACCGTGCCGAAATAACCGGTGCCGAGCTCCTGCCAGGTGTCGGGGTTCAGCGTCTCCAGGTCATAGAGCCTCTCCTTGAGCGACCTGGCCTCCGTAGGGTCGCCCTCGTCAAAAGCTGGCCGCCCGCTCGCCTCTACGCCCATTCGCCGTGGTTTAAAGTGATGTGAAAAAGGTGGCGGTGTGCACAGATGTAATAGATACGACATAATAGTGTTTGGTGGCATTTAATGTACATTATGTACTGAGTAATGGTATTCTAGTGCATCTAATAAACATTAGATACGATGTAACGTTTTATTCCATCCATTTCAGCCATTCTGAAGCCACCAATGGATGAAGGTCTGCCCCACGCCATGTCGGTCATGGGGGTTTCCTGACCATACTTCACCACTCTGATCAGTGTGGGTTGGTGAAGGGGGGGGGGGGAATGTAGAACCGGTTCGGATATTGCCACAGACGTTAGCAGCCATGGCCAGGAATCAAAACTCCAGTGTAGCTGGGCTCATAGCGCAGACCGACTCACCAATGTTCCACCCAACATTTGTTTTGTTGTTGTCAAATTCTAACCCAGGATGCACAGCGGTGCACAATACCCATCCCCCCTCACTTTAACCTCCGCCTGTTTGGCTGTGGAAGTGAGGACTTGTTTAAGGCCTTGCGGGAGTTTTAACGTTTCCGTTATTGTGGCTGATATGAAAGTTTGCATTCATTCCGCGAAACTGTGGTGGCAATAACGCCTGGATGTAAACTTAATAGGGGTACACTTGATACATGCCCTGCAAACAGTGTTCTTTGCGTGTCAAACCAAAATACCACACATTAGAGCTGGAGTAGGCTGAATTAAGTGAAACCCCATATTTTAGATGGGGATATTTTATGGAGTCAGAGATGACCAGCCTGAGACCGCCACCAACTCGTTTAACTTGAGAACGTGGTTTGATCGCAGGCGGCTGCCCAGATTCCGCCGCAGGATCTCAGTGGTGCTAGGTCAGCACCACCTGCAATCCACCTTTTCCGTGCGATCGATGAATGGCAAAGGAAATGTTAGGTGAACTGATGATGCTCGTTGTAATTACTGGCGAAACATCGCACTCCAATTGTAAATGTTGTGGGTTTACTCTCCAACACACTGGTGTGCTGAACTCGTAACGAACTGCCATGGTTTGTTTACGTGACAAACCTTACTAATTGGCTGTGTCGAGTGGTGACGGGTTTACCAACACATTTATATTTACGCGATTTATCCCAAAAACCTCTATAAATGATATTGGTCGCAAATCCCTACGTGTTAAACTAAAGTATTAAACTTTTATTTTATTTTACCAGGTAAGGCCCACTAAGAAGCGACCTGGCCACAAATAGCCCAACGAAGTGGCTTATCATGTGGAAATGTATAGCAAATACTCGAAACATATGTTTATAAATGTGGAGGGAAAACCCGGAGGGCCTGGAGGAAAATCCACGCGACCAAGGGGAGAACATTCAAACTCAAAATATACAGTGGGCGTCAGGGTCGGGATCGAAACCGCAACCTCCTGTATACCAGGCGAGGTAGTTAACATCTCGCCACCGTGGCGTCCACGGTGGAGTTAATCTCAGCAACAAGCTGCCATTTGAGGGTCCCCAAGGCTAATAATAAGCTGCACTCTGAGACATTTTGTTACGTTATGGGCACAACATAAGTACAAGTATTAACATTATCATTTGTATCATGGGACCTCCTTTGCCAGTACCAAAATATGAGAATAGGTTTTCCCCTTTTTTCCGGCAACAAAACAGCTGTATTAAGATGTTAAAACACCAAACTGAAACCTTTTAAAAGGAATCATGTCTGCATTAACCAGAATACTTGTGGCCAGAATGCAAACAAAAAACATACTCTGATAATATATGCATTGTCTTTGAAACTGATTGGTCCACACCAATCAGTTTCAAAGTCAAAGGTGTTAGACCAGACAACGCCTTTTGGCGTCCTCTGGTCTAACACTGTTGAGACTAGGCTCGAATAAAAGCTGTCTCTGGTGTGGACCAATCAGTTTCAAAGACAATGCATATATTATCAGAGTATGTTTTTGTTTGCATTCTGGCCACAAGTATTGCGGTTAATGCAGACATGATTCCTTGTAAAAGGTTTCAGTTTGGTGTTTTAACATCTTAACACCTTCTTTGGTTCTTTCGGTAAAGTCACGTAGAATGAGAATAAAATAATAAAATAAAATAGCAACATTTGTTTAATATTTATTATTATTTTATTTCATTATTTTATTCTCATTCTACGTGACTTTACCGAAACAACCAAAGAAGATGAATCATTGCAGTCACGAAAGCTTTAAATCGAAATCTTAACACCTGTTTTGTTGCCAGAAAAAAGGGGAAAACCTACTCTCATTATCATTTGCATTGCTATTGAAATCATAAGCTCCGCACCTGCCGCCTCCTTTTCGGCGTTTCGGATTCCCTCGATGACGCGACGGACCTTGGCCCGGGCATTCTCCACCGATGCCCTCACTGCCTCGTGGGCCCCCTGCAGCTGTGCCAGGGACCCAGCCAGGTCGCGGTCCACGTCCTCCAGCTGCAACGTGATGCCAACCGCATCCCTGCTCGCGACAGACGAGCCACACCAACAACCGGCATTCGCCACCAATCGGCGGTGTCGAACGCTCGCTGGCAGGAGGTCACGGGGCAGACCCAGGTGCCACGATGGGTTGGCTGAGGCTGAGATGACTGGCCGGTGCACCAGCTGTGCCAACTTGCTGTGCTTTAGCCACCCGGCGCTTCCGCTCGTTGTTGTGAGCATCGCTCCTCTGCGTCCTTCACGAGACTCCTCCAGAGCCACACCACCACCACACATTGCAAGCACATTCCTCTAGAAAAACTCAAGTCACTCGGTTTGACACGTGCTAGGCTTTCGCGAATAATTGTATTCGTAACAAAGGTGTGTATGTTTGTTGGGGGTTAGATCGCGTTGAGTATAAACCTTTCGTTAAACCCTTCACCGCCCAACAGATCTAATTAAGTCCGGTTTTTTTTGTCACGTACACAAAACGTGCCAATTGGTTCCTACTCCAGCCCACCGGTGTGTTGGGAAAGTAAATCCACAACATTTACAATGTAAGTTTCTGTGACGTTTCCACACCTGCCAACTCCTTATCAGTGCCTATCTTATTCCGGACCAACTCAGACCTTGTTGGTCACCCCGTGCACTTATAAATCTCAACGTTCATCCTACAAAGTCCCATCACAAGGCTCATGAACACAAATAGACAAACGCATTGGGGTGGTTTTTTTGCCCGTATTGAAACGGCTGTATGGACCTAAAAACTCAATTTCCCTGTATAAGGACACGGGTTAAGCCGTATTGACCGACACGGTACGCGTTTCGACGGTAATTAATTACATCCAGCATCAACGGGCGATTTTGTTTTGCCAGCCACCAACTCACCAATGTCTCCCTCCCTCTCCCCATCTCAATCACCTCCCCCTTTATTAACCCTTCACATACGCCCCCCACACCAACTCTCTCAATCTCTCTCTCTACCACGAGGAAATCATGGAGAGACACAGCCTGCCTGGTCTCTGCCAGACCAGACAGGCTGTGCAGTAGCACGAACAGCCCCTGTCTCAAAATCTTAGAGAGAGATAGAGAAAAACCAGCTGGCACTGTGAAGTTAGACTTCACGACAAGAAGCTGCGAGCGATGTGATTACCAGAACAGTAGTGAGAGAAATTTAAAAAAAACCTGGAAAAGTTACTGACATGGCTTTATAGACGGTGCTGTGCACGTTTAAGCGACGCTTAGAGGGCATTTTGTGAAATGGCTAGTGCATAGGAATGTGTGTGTGTCTGCGTTCAAACGCAGGAGCTGCTTCGATTTCCTTATCCTACGCAACATCGGTGTGATAAAGTGTCCGTGTGCGAAATACTCTTACAAAACCACAGTCGCCATCGTTCCAGAGCTTCGCCTTGCCAGCTTCTCTTCTACGGAGAGAATGGAGGCGGTTACATTTCTTGTTATTGTTGTAAAAAAAAAACCCCACTTGGTTTTTAAGGGAAGTTTCTTTTAGTTCATATGCATACAGTGCATCGCATACAGTGGCTCACAAACACAAGATCAGCCGCACGTGCCCCCTAGCGATGAAGAATTGAACCCGGCATAGAGCTTCAGAAGAACATGAAGAGATATATTAAAGACAAGGCACAGTACACACCGTAGTGTGATTGTGGCATTGCGACCCAAACTATGGACCATATGGTAAACCCATAGATACAAACAGAGACTCATAGAGATTCATAGAGACCCGGAGAGATACAGAATCACAGGGATACATAGAGATACATAAAGACAAGCCACAGTTGTGCGATTGAGACCATGCAATTAAAACTATGGACCACATAGTAAACCCAGAGACACATTCCAATACGTCGAGATACATATAGACACAGAGCTACATAGAGATTCATAGAGAGAGAGAGAGATCCACAGAGATTCCTAGAGATCTATACAGGTACACAGAGACCCACAGACAAAGACGAACCACAGTGCGATTGTGGTCATGCAACCCAAACAATGGATCGTGTAGCAAACCACTGTCATCTGCACTGCTTCAACGGAGGGAAAACAAAACAGCACAAATGCTCTCCTGAAGCCCTCTCGTCGTGGCAAGCAGACCTCAACATTGGCATTTTGCTCCCGAACATTTTTTTCACATGCAAAGATGGAATGGTATCTGCCAAGAGACCCAATTGTGCTTATTACATGGGATAGAGTAATTGTAGTGCAAGTTTTTGACTGACATTTTAAAAAATATATATATACCACTGTAAGGTGGGGTCATAATTTGTGATGTTTCAGGGAATTAATGGTCTTAAACTCATTCTACAGAGGGCGTGCCAAACTCAAACGCCAATGCGTTTGGCATGTGCTGCAGAAGTTTACGGTTCAAGCCCCATGGTAGCCCTGATAAATATTGTGGATGTATTCATCATAATATACGCCATCTGTTTTCAAAGTGGACATTAAAGGTCCAATCCTGTAACGTTAATCGAAAAAGAGAAGATCCGTGTTCTTCCAGCATTGCTGCCAAATTTTACAATTACGTTCGTCAAGCCCTCACTGCGAAAGTTTAGCAGGAGTCTCGTGAAAAGGTGTCTTAAGGCTAAGTGAGGCTTTCCTGGGTAAATAATGTCAATCTAATCTATTGAAATACGTTTATTTTCCATGATGTAAAAATACGGCCATTGTACATTAAGAAGTCCCCTTAACCTCCTCCTATTTGTCTTAAAGCTTACCTCTGCTCTATTTCCCATCCTCTTCCTCCCCTCACCCCTGCACTCTTTCCCGTCCCTCCCCTACCCATTCTGATTTCGTGACCCCTATGTAACCTCTATCGCTGCCACCCATTCCTCAATCCTTGCACGGCCCTGCAATCTAAATAATTAACTTGCCACTCTTGTGTAAGCTATGTCAAGCGCCTTGAGTGAAGGCGCTCTAGAAATATAAATTAGATTACTTGAGATGGTTTAATATTCTCTACCTGTCAACCTATACGATTTACCTGTATTCTTGTACAGGTAAATTGAGTTTTCAGGTCCATACGGCGTACAGCCGTTTGAATATGTGCAAAGAATTATTTGTTTATTTTTGTCTCTCCCCTGCGATAGGACTTTGTAGGATGCACGTTGCGATTTATAAATGCACGGGGTGACCAATAAGGTCTGGATTGGTCTGTAATATGGTAGGCACTGATAAGAGTTTGACAGGTTTGGATTTCACTGCCACCACCACTTGGTTTCGTGGCCCATTACCAGATGTTGGAACGTTGATGCCGTAAAACTGAGAACAAGATTGGACAAAAAGGCTTACTCATTCAGTTGTTCAGCCAAAACGGAACTTGTCGGTGTGATACATTTACACTTCTTGGCAGGAATAAAAATAAACTCCTTTAAAAAGTTTTTTTTAAACAACGGTTTTATATTAAAGTGCACTAAAAAGTAAATAACTCGATGGGACAACGGGAAATGGACGACATATTGCTTACAAGAGACACGTGGCACCTGCTTTTTGAACGAGGCAATTTCAGAGTTTAGGGACCGCGGCGTTTTTTACCTACATAAATAAATATTTAATTAATAAGCCGTACATACAAAATGTGAATTGCTTTAAAAGAGTCAATTAATTGCTTAATTGATGCGGACTTTAATACAGGCATGCATTGTCACCGGATCTGAGTACGTGTGCAAAATTTGGAATTCATTGGACAACAGGAAGGAGACTAACTTTTGATTACAAGATTTGACCACGACACAGGAGTCAAGTTAAGTAAAACCGTTGAATGAAAAAAACCCTTTAGGTAGCTGGGCTGTAAATGAGATCATACATCCTGTTTAACACACATATACATACGTGGGAAGAATTCATATTGAATGTTGAAAGCCTAACGGAACCAAATTGACAGCAGTTTTGGATAATTGACAACAAATTGCAAATCAATTGTCTCTGTTGCGATCGTATCTGTTCTCAGGGAACCTTGCAAATATCCATACAAAACATGCATTTTTGGTGGTGTACGTATTCTATATGAGAGGATGATTTTGCACTCCAGTGAATCGAAGTGCAGCCTCAAATTAACTTATCAGAAATGTCCCCTTCACCGCACCACTGGCCATTGCTGTCTCTAAATATCAGCACACGCCTTTTCAGATTTATGGTGCCACCAAACGGGGTTGTCAATCGCCCTTGTCGCGTAACGCAGTCAACGTTAAACCAGCATCAAGAATAATAATTCTGCTCTAAATCTCAGTGTCGCATACATTACGCAACACTGGTCTTAAGGTTTCGATTTAAAGCTTTCGTGACTGCAAGGATTCACCTTCTTGGTTCTTTCTGTAAAGTCACGTAGAATGAGGAGAAGAAAATAATAAAATAAAACAAGACAATAAAATTCTCACGATGTTTCGGCCACAACACAAGTGGCCTTCTTCAGGTGAAGAGACAGGTCTGTACGGAAGACAGAGCTCGAATGTTCGAGCTCGAATGTTGGAGCTCTGTCTTCCGTACAGACCTGTCTCTTCACCTGAAGAAGGCCACTTGTGTTGTGGCCGTAACGTCGTGAGAATTTTATTGTCTTATTTTATTTTATTATTTTATTCTCATTCTACGTGACTTTACCAAAAGAACCAAGAAGATGGTACTAACCACCCCCCGCCCCGGATGCTATGGGACTGTTGTGAATTTTAAAGAGTTGTAAAGATACTGCTGACCTTTGTACATGTGGCCTGACAAGATGTACAAACAATGTAGCTTCCCTGGAACGCCTCAATTATTTAATGTACGGCAATGCATGAGGGTATGGATAAATTCAGGTGGGTAAGGGACCCCTTTTTGTGCACACCTCATCATAACTCTGGCACACGGGGTGCCCAAGCAATTCCGAGTATCCTCTCTGTTAAAAAATAATGACTCGGACATGCATAGAATGTTCGTCATCAGCCATGAGAAATGCAATGCTGGATACAGGCCTCGCTTACCAGGTTGGCTTGCACTTACGACGAGCGCGGTTGGCTACGTATGATGCGGAACGAGTACAACATACATACACACCAGGCCGTCTCAAAACTCTGAAGATCCTGAAGGTAACAGTGCACGTATAAACTTTCACGTGACCCATCATCAATTCCGTTCCTTCCATTGGCTGCCAGTCTCCCACCAATCGTCCCTTCTTGTGACCCATCCTGACCTTTCTTAATAGTCAACATTCCGTTTTTAACCTGCGTATGTTCTCTAATCCATGTGTTCCTCTTTCTGTCTTTGTCGTTAATATTAAATGTCCATTTGTTGTTAACACACATTTGCAATAATTGTCTCTTTCTGCCATTATACATGCAGCAAAATGGCTCTTTTGTCACTATAACAATTGGGCCAGAAACGTGTCACCTCATTGTAATTCCAATTTAGAAACATAATTAGTTTCACAATAAAAAAATACATAAAACTGTGCGAACATTTAAAGCGCCATTCATTTGACATACGTGTTAAACCAGCAGTCGATAAATGACACGGCACCAAGTGGGTGAACTTTTGAAACGTAAGTCGACACACGCGGAAAAAAAAAATATCCCGCGTCCGATGCGGTGATCATGCATCATCATCTTGTGATCTAAAAATCGCCCTTGGCACATAGCAATACAGGTAGTGAAACCGACTGACAATGAGCCGGATGTGTTTTAAAACACAGTCCCTTCACTGAGCAGCCTTGATTACGTTATGACTGACAGGGTGTGGAGAAGGCCATCGACCAACAGTGGACTGGCAAAGGGCTGCACGTTATCCCCCATATATATAAAAGGCAAAGTTGTGAATATGTGTGTCTGTTCAAAATGTTTATCGTACGTCCCGACATGCAACAAACTTGAAATTTGCCATGTGGGTACTTTCCAGACTGTACACCATGCAAAAATTATTAAAATACACTTTTGTGTTGTTTTTTTTTTTTGGGGGGGGGGAGCTCAATAATGCTTATAATATTCTTGGTTCTTTCGGTAAAGTCACGTTGATGGGAAACAATAAAATAATAAAATATATATAAAACAATAAAATTCTCACGACGTTTCGACTGCAACACAAGCAGTCATCATCAGGTGTGAAAACCAACGGCAAGAACATTTGAAAGAAGTGGCGGTTTGTATTTATTTTTAAACGTTCTATTTTATCCATGATGACAGTAGCATTGCCCTTGTCGGCTGAGAGGATTACAATATCATCCCTCTTTTTTAATTTATATAATTCAGCAAAGATGAGCGTTTTGAATTATATAAATTAAAACATAGGGATGACATTGTAATCCTCTCAGCCGACAAGGGCAATGCTACTGTCATCATGGATAAAATATAAAACAACAAAATTAAAGAATTACTCGACGATGGCAGCTATACAAAAATAAAAAGAGATCCCACCAACAGCCTCGTCACACAAACCAACAAAATAATTTCTGATTCAACCGCATTAATTGGTCAAACTAAACAGTTTTCGTTGAAACCTTCTGCTGCCAGGCCACCAAGATTATACGGCTTACAAAAATACATAAAGTAGATACACCCCTTCGTCCCATCGTCTCTACTATCAACTCCCCCACCTACAAACTGGATCGTTTTCTGTCTGAAATCCTGCGGCCTTTCCCTGGAAAAACCACTTCTGCGGTACAAAATTCTACTCACCTGGTATCGACAATCAAGGGTATTTCCCTGTCCCCAGACGACCTGCTTGTCAATTTTGATGTAGTTTCCTTATTCATCAAAGTTCCTGTACCTGACACCATCGCAATCATTGAAGACTTTGTTCATCAAGGACTAAACACTGAGGTACCCCCCCTGGTGAGACACTGCTTAACCAATACATACTTCACTTGGAATGGAACTTTCTACAAACAAACTGAGGGCACCCCAATGGGCTCCCCCCTATCTCTGGTTATAGCCAACATTTTCATGGATAAATTTGAGACTGACGCCATCCAGACTGCCACTCTGCGCCCAACCTTATGGAAGAGGTACGTGGATGACACTTTTGTCATCTGGCCACATGGCCGGCCTGCTCTAGACCAATTCTTCGACCACATCAATTCCATACACCCAGCCATCAGATTTACCATGGAAGTCGAAAAAGATGGCAAGCTTTTTTTTGGATGTCCTAATAAAAAAGAGACCTGATGGTTCAATGAGCCACTCTGTCTACAGGAAAGCTACCCATACGGATGCTTATCTGAAACCAGATTCCCACCACCATCTATCACAGAAGAATTATCTCATCAAGACTCTGCACCATAGAGCCCAATGCATATTCGACCAGGAACACATAGGCAGTGAACTCAAGCACGTACACCAAGCTCTTAAGGCTAATGGTTACTCCGACTATACAATCTGCAAAGCTATCACTCAAACCATGAAGGACCCTCTTGAGGAGCCTTTTAAAACCATCACTTTACCCTACATTGCGGGGATCACAAAAAAGATCTCCAAAATCTTGAATAAACACAAGATCCAGGTCCGTTTCAACACATTACATAAAATCCGTGATCTGGTTCCGTCTGTAAAAGATGTGATTCCGGACACAGTACCCTGGTGTCTACAAACTAAGTTGCCTCTGTGGTAGTAGTTACATTGGAGAAACCAAACGACATGTCTCGGACCGCATTCGTGAACACAAAGCAGACCTTAAACAAGGTAGGACCAACACCTCGGCCGTGGCAGATCACTGTTATAATTCAGTAGGCTCACATGACATTGACTTCTCCAAGACAGAGGTTCTTTGCAAGCCATCTGGCTACCATGAGAGATTCGTTCATGAGGTTATCCACATATACAAACACAGAGACAATTTCAACCGAGAAGATGGATTCTGGCTTAGCAATCATTGGAAGGATTTGATAAACCATTTCGGGCCTTAATTGATTGTTCACGCTTACGGTGGCTTTCAGACCACATCCATTATGTTTCGTCTCCCCCCTCTTTTCCGAACATAGATGGACTCGTCCATCTGAATAACTGCCAAATCGCTCTCTGTGGTGTTAACGTTTAAAAATAAATACAAACCACCACTTCTTTCAAATGTTTCTTGCCGTTGGTTTTCACACCTGATGATGACTGCTTGTGTTGCAGTCGAAACGTCGTGAGAATTTTATTGTTATATATTATATTATTTTATTGTTTCCCTTCAACGTGACTTTACCGAAAGAACCAAGAATATGAATCACTGCAGTCACGAAAGCTTTAAATCAAAAATGCTTAATAATTTTTCACAGCAAGTGAGCTGTGACGTCAAATCTGTCACGTGACCCGCGCATGTGGAAGCGTAACGCATTGTAGTGTAGTGGTTAGCGCGCTGTCTGTGTGTCTGTGTGTGTTTGTGTGTGTGCAAGCTGCGCTACGAACCCGGCGTCCCGAGTTCGATTCCCGCTCACGCCCACCACCGGTGACGATTATTTCAACCGTTCCTGGGCCTCCCCTAGGTCGACTCAGCATCAAACGAGTAACTGCTGTGGTGTGTGAACATCGCCACTGGGGAGACAAAGGCGGCCGGGCGTGGTGGATCCAAGTCCCGGGCGAAGCCGGGTAGTACAGCTAGTTCGTAATAAACGCTTGGCGTGCAATCGGAAGATGATCGTCCTTAGATGATGGATAAAATAAGGACAGTACAACTTTATAGGAAGTGAAACCTGGTGCTTCTGCAGATATTAGCCCACCGCCTCCCTCTTTGGGAATGGGGAATTTTTACCACATCAACATCACGATGTTAATTACTTAAACACGGGGCACTGACCTATTTTATAATATAACATGTACAACGAACCGTATTGTGGATGATATTGGTCGCGAAAGCCTACGTGTTAAAACAAACTAAACCTAGATCCCGCTATATATTAAAAAAAAACACTCCCCAAGTGAAATAAACTGCAAAACTAACAGTCTGATCAGACGATGAAATGTTCAACGCATTTGACACAAACACAAAGATTCCCAATATAGCCTATAACAAGACTGTTGGTGCAAGTGCTGTCAGCGAGCACCTATGCAGGCCGGTACACGGCACACGAGGGAGTGGGTGGCCAGCATCACGATCTCACGAGTGGCGATGTTTACACACCGCACCAAGTACTCATTTGGGGCCGAGTCAACCTAGGGGAGGGACCCACGAACGGTTCAGATAAACGCCACTGGTGTTGGTGGCCCTGAGTGGGAATCGAACTCAGGGGTTCGCCGAGTTCACAGCTCAGCACGCTGACCGCTTCCACCGACAGCTCCCCTGTATCTCGATTTGAGTCCCCCTATACACACAACACACACACACGTGCGCACTTACAATCACAACATCAACGGAATGCGAGTGCAGAGAAGGAATGCCAGCGATGAAAAACAACGTGAACGCGACAGGCATTTCACGCAGTGGTCGCCGTCGCCCGTAGCACGCGAAATACCTCGCGACAGGCATTTCACGCAGTGGTCGCCCGTAGCACGCGAAATACCTCGCCTAGATGTCCGTGAGAGATGATTTCCCGTGAAATGAAAGGTATTGCATCAGCGTGGCTCGCTTGCGAGGAGTGTTTCACTAAAACCAGACAGCCAAGAAGAAAGGGGGCTCACGGGGAATTCCCAGCCTGAGAGCACGCGCGCGTGTTTTTTTTTAATTTTCTTTGTGTGTGTGTGTGGAGGCGGCGTTTGTCGTCCTTGACACAGTCCAATGAGAATACATTTCTGGCGAGAAGTACTGGGTGAATGCGTGAATGTGAGCAGAAGTTTCCGGCAAGTCTCGAGACGGCAACGTGGGTTTTTATTTTTTTATTTTAAAGAGATGCGTTCGAGCGCGTTGGATCTGTGCGTGTAACGCGTGACAAGCCAGGAAGGAGGGGAGAGCGTTTGTTCATTCCGTTTCGTAACTCTTCAAGTGAGAGCGCAAATTGAGAGAGCGGCTTGTGACGCCTGCGGTTATTGTTAAGTTATAAAAGACGATTGAAAGAACCATCGCACGGAACGATTGCAGCCAAGCAGCTGGGAACACACACACACTCAAAAGTCATGGGGTAAGTACAGCAATAAAAAATAGTTTAATAAACGACGAGCTAGCCTTGATTGTTTTGCTTACCCCGAGTGTGTCTGTAGGGTCTGGTGTGCCTTTGTCTTATTCATCTTGTGCATTCACAACAAAATAACTGCGTGGTGTGTAGGTGTCACGGTTAATTTAATCTCCGATTGGCACGGTTGGCTACGTACGGTGCGAAAGAAGTTCAATACACACTGTGAATTACAGTGTGTATTATGATTCATTATGAATCATTAGTGCCTTTATACACCGTGGCGCTTATTTTGTTGAATGAATGATTTGAAGCGGACTTAGGCGAATGGGGTAATGCTGTATTCACTTGCTCTGCAGCTGGGGTTGCAATTGCTTCTTGTCATGTAAGCCATTGTCTCTCAGCCCATTCCCTAATGAGTGCATCAGGTCGTGAAAATGTGCACTTTATCCATCGCTGATGCACTATAACCAATATGATTGATTATTCGTATTGCTTAATTTTGAACAATCATTGACCATGCGTTCAATGTTAACTGTTTTAGGCGGCGGCTTTTGTCCACTTGGTTGGAGAATCGTCGTTTGGTTGCTAAGTTATGAAACCTTGAGGACCCTCGCATGGTCCGTGTTTGTTGCCTCGTGCCTGCGTAGCTGTGTCTTTGGGGAGCGGTGGTGCTGCGGTTAGCGCACCGCGCTACGAACGCGGGTGGTGAGCCCGAGCTCGATTCCCGCTCACGGCCAACATCAGTGGCGAACGCACGAATCGGCCCTGGGCCTCCCCTAGATCGACTCAGCGGTAAATGAGTAACCGGCGCGGTGTGTAAACAATCGCAATTGTGAGACGAACACGTGCTCGCCAACGCCACTTTTGTATTCGTGTTATACGTGCGCGTGAATGTACAATAGCCACGCATATTCTTGCGGATGTTACAAACAATCGCCGTGACCTATTGACATGCCCTGGGGGAGGCCTTCATCCAGCAGTGGATAGACATTGGTTTGTGAGCTTCAGTGTTGTTACTGCGTCGTGACGTGCGCTCTACGCGCGCGTGCTGTGTGCATGTACGTGCTGTGCCTAATACATAAGCGCATTCAACGCAAGTTCACGTTTGTCCACGCACTCTTGTCCGCGTTGAAACAAGAGGATACTTCCTTGCAATGGGGCTGTCACCTGCAATTGTTGCACGAAGGGATTCCGTGTAGCAGTCATTGGACGGCCTCGTTCACGGGGTGGCCATAAATGTTGTCGGGTAGCCGCAGAAGCTTTGCCGTGGCACTGAACTTGGCAATCGCCCGGTTGGATTCGATCGATCTCTCGGCGCGGCACTTGAAACGATGTGGGCCCCCCCCCCCCCCCAGCAGTTTGACTCCTACCACGGGCACACAGATTCGCGTGTTGGTGAGGTCAAATGTGGGTACGTCCGCCTCTTACAACACGTCTGGCCAACGTGGACGAGTAGGCCAACTACCCTCTCGTGGAAGGCCCTTCCGCCAGCAGTAACGTGAGCATGCGATTGCAGGGTTGCCCCTTTTTTCCTAACAGAGTGGGGATATATATACATTGACCATTACATTTTGTACAAATCTGACATTGTATGAAAACATGGAACCGACAACAATAACATTGATGCATTGAATCTCTAACCGCACATATAAATACCCAAAAGGATCTCAAGATCCTGCACATAACAAGCATATCGACACGGAGAGCACGTTGAGACGAAAACGGAAGATGAAATTTAAAACAAATACTAAGGGGTCGGGCAGAAGCCGTGACAACACAAGGCGTGTAAACCTCCTCCTCATCCATCACCAACCCGCAGTGTCTCCCTGACAGGTAGTGAAATCGCCGCATAGCATTGGGGTGATGCAATGTGATGAGGAACCGCCGGTGCACCTCGCCTATGACAATTACATCATTGAGACGATTGCTTTGCGGTGGGTAATGTAAGCCGAGGCGTGGTGAGGCTCCCGCTGCGCTCGTACAGACGGTATTATTGTCACGAGTTTGTTCTTCGGATGAAGTAAAATATGAAAAAGTGCTGCTGCTGCTGCATTCGCACCAAGTTGCGGTGACATTGAATGAGAGCGTTCAGTTTGTTTCGGTTAGCGCGGGTAATTTAAACAAAGATATTCCGGCAATTGTGAGAACAAATGAAAATGAATTATTTGGTTCTTTCGGTAAAGTGACGTAGAAATAGAAGATAATAATTTAAATAATAGCGTACGACGTTTCGATTGCAACACAAGCAATCATCATCATCAGGTACAAATGAAAGAGAAAGCAAACCTAGTAAACTTAGAAATATAATGCAATACAACACAGAGAGTCGGCTAACATAACAGTCAACACCCGGCCTGGTTGATTAAGTTCTTCCAAAGATTGCTAGATTTGAGAGAGAGATAAAACACAGACAACGGAGACACACAGACAGACACATAAGCAGAGAGAGTTAACAGAGACACACAGTGTGTGTCTCATTTGTACCTGATGATGATTGCTTGTGTTGCAATCGAAACGTCGTATGCTATTATTTAATTTATTATTTTCTCTTTCTACGTCACTTTACTAAAATAACCAAAGAGTAATTCCTGCAGTCACGAAAGCTCCAAATCAAAAATGAACTTAAATAAACCATTGCTTGCCGCTTCTGCAGTTGATTAGTTACCCTTCACAGTATCCAGTGATGGCGTTAGCCCAGCGTGAAGCATAAACTATATTTAGCCAGGCCCCCTTTCAAATAACGAAATCCAAGTGAGATGATCAAAAGCGATTATAACAATAGACAAGAAATATGAACGAAGTGAGATTAAAAAAAATTTTAGAAAAAAGTTGAGATGTATTGAGATGAGAGGAGAGATGAGATTAATCGGAATTAGTTTCAATTGGCATGTTGTGTTTATTGCGATTTTCATTTGAGGTGACATTTGATGCAACAATATTTTGCCATAAACCTGGGGCACTTGAGTATTTGGCTGTTATAAATGTCCACGTGATGAGTCACTTCGTTGAGCTCTCATTTGTGATCACCAGGCCGCTTCTGAAAAAAAGCTCCATAGCGCATAGGGGCATTACCTGGTAAAATAAAAAAAATGTGCATTTGTTGTGGCCCGAAGCTGTTCATAGTTTGCTCATGCCTAGAGCTTGCCCTGTAATGCGAGATCCTTGTGAGTGTATGGTGCGAAAGAAGTTCAACATACATACAATACATATAATGTTGGCCATAACTGGCAGACTTAAATACGTGGCATACAGTAAGTACGAGCGTGGTAGACGATGCTAGTCGATCATTCATCAGTGATCATGAAACAACATGGCACTTGACTCTGCATTTGTGACTATGATAACGGCTTTGTTAAGGTTATGTGAAGTCCAATTATTGCATGGGCCCTGCTACACGTGTATCTGTTGTGTATTGGGTGGCGTGTCATGCTAACAATCTCAGTAACCTGGTTAATTTTGTGATGCTGTGCCGAGTTGGGAGTGGTGCACAAGCACAATTAACAACAAAACTGAATACATTCGTTAAAAAAACAGCGGGCTTAAAGTACAAAAAATAGAATATCGGCGACGTTCCGGGCAATGACCCTTCCTATATATTTTAAGACCACGCTTTTATTATCAGCATGGTTAGCTACGTACGGTGCACAACAGGTTCAACATACATAGTGTATCGCAGTGTGTAGTATGATTCATTCGTGCCTACATACACTGTGGTGTTTATTCCGTTGAATAATCTGAAGCGGAAATTAGTTAATCGCTTAACGCTGTATACAATGACAAAGCAGCTGGGCGTTGCAATTGCCGAAACTGTAATCGTATATGGCATTGTCTAAGCCCATTCTCGAACGACTGCATCAAATCGTGAACATGTGCGTTTGATGCATCGCTGATGCACTATGATCAATATGTGCTGAGTTTTACAGAAAACCTAGGTTCGATTCCCAGCCGAGCTCATTAGTTTCAGATGAGAGGGCCGTACACCTGAATCCCTTATGGGCCTCCCCTAGTTCGATCCCACCTTAAGCGAGTACCTGGTGCTGTGTGTAAACCTCATTGCCTGGTGCTGTGTGTAAACCTCAGTGCCTGGTGCTGTGTGTAAACCTCAGTGCCTGGTGCTGTGTGTAAACCTCAGTGCCTGGTGCTGTGTGTAAACCTCAGTGCCTGGTGCTGTGTGTAAACCTCAGTGCCTGGTGCTGTGTGTAAACCTCAGTGCCTGGTGCTGTGTGTAAACCTCAGTGCCTGGTGCTGTGTGTAAACCTCAGTGCCTGGTGCTGTGTGTAAACCTCAGTGCCTGGTGCTGTGTGTAAACCTCAGTGCCTGGTGCTGTGTGTAAACCTCACTGCCTGGTGCTGTGTGTGAACCTCAGTGCCTGGTGCTGTGTGTAAACCTCACTGCCTGGTGCTGTGTGTAAACCTCAGTGCCTGGTGCTGTGTGTAAACCTCAGTGCCTGGTGCTGTGTGTAAACCTCAGTGCCTGGTGCTGTGTGTAAACCTCAGTGCCTGGTGCTGTGTGTAAACCTCAGTACCTGGTGCCGTGTGTAAACCTCAGTACCTGGTGCTGTGTGTAAACCTCAGTGCCTGGTGCTGTGTGTAAACCTCAGTGCCTGGTGCTGTGTGTAAACCTCAGTGCCTGGTGCTGTGTGTAAACCTCAGTGCCTGGTGCTGTGTGTAAACCTCAGTGCCTGGTGCTGTGTGTAAACCTCACTGCCTGGTGCTGTGTGTGAACCTCAGTGCCTGGTGCTGTGTGTAAACCTCACTGCCTGGTGCTGTGTGTAAACCTCAGTGCCTGGTGCTGTGTGTAAACCTCAGTGCCTGGTGCTGTGTGTAAACCTCAGTGCCTGGTGCTGTATGTAAACCTCAGTGCCTGGTGCTGTGTGTAAACCTCACTGCCTGGTGCTGTGTGTAAACCTCAGTGCCTAGTGCTGTGTGTAAACCTCAGTGCCTGGTGCTGTGTGTAAACCTCAGTGCCTGGTGCTGTGTGTAAACCTCAGTGCCTGGTGCTGTGTGTAAACCTCACTGCCTGGTGCTGTGTGTAAACCTCAGTGCCTGGTGCTGTGTGTAAACCTCAGTGCCTGGTGCTGTGTGTAAACCTCAGTGCCTGGTGCTGTGTGTAAACCTCAGTGCCTGGTGCTGTGTGTAAACCTCAGTGCCTGGTGCTGTATGTAAACCTCAGTGCCTGGTGCTGTGTGTAAACCTCACTGCCTGGTGCTGTGTGTAAACCTCAGTGCCTAGTGCTGTGTGTAAACCTCAGTGCCTGGTGCTGTGTGTAAACCTCAGTGCCTGGTGCTGTGTGTAAACCTCAGTGCCTGGTGCCGTGTGTAAACCTCACTGCCTGGTGCTGTGTGTAAACCTCACTGCCTGGTGCTGTGTGTAAACCTCAGTGCCTGGTGCTGTGTGTAAACCTCAGTGCCTGGTGCTGTGTGTAAACCTCAGTGCCTGGTGCTGTGTGTAAACCTCACTGCCTGGTGCTGTGTGTAAACCTCACTGCCTGGTGCTGTGTGTAAACCTCAGTGCCTGGTGCTGTGTGTAAACCTCAGTGCCTGGTGCTGTGTGTAAACCTCAGTGCCTGGTGCTGTATGTAAACCTCAGTGCCTGGTGCTGTGTGTAAACCTCACTGCCTGGTGCTGTGTGTGAACCTCAGTGCCTGGTGCTGTGTGTAAACCTCAGTGCCTGGTGCTGTATGTAAACCTCAGTACCTGGTGCTGTGTGTAAACCTTAGCAATAGAGAGAGACAAAGGCGGTCAAGCGTGGTGATGACCACCCCCCCCCCCCCCCCTCTCGTGTGCTGTCTATGCTTTAATAGGGCTGAACGATTAATCGATTTTAAATCGAAATCGCAATTTGAAACAATGCGATTAGTAAATCGCAAAGGCTGCGATTTGAAAAGTTCTATTACTTATTGGAATTGTGGATTGTTTTTATTACTATGACTTTATTTATTTAACTTAACAATTGTTATATGTTTCATTGTTCTGTTTAAATTAAACCATTTTAATAAATACATGTTGTAAGCAATTCATATCTTTTGAGTTCTCATCCTTGCATTATAATAGACTAGCTGTACTACCCGGCTTTGCCCGGGACTTGGATTCACCACGCCCGGCCGCCTTTGTCTCCCCAGTGGTGATATTCACACACAACACACCAGTTACTCGTTTGATGCTGAGTCGACCTAGGGGAGGCCAGGACCGGTTAAAATAATCGTCACCGGTGGTGGCCGTGAGCGGGAATCGAACTCTGATTACCGGGTTCGTAGCGCAGCGTAGCGCTAACCACTACACTGCAATGCGTTACGCTTCCACACGCGCGGGTCACGTGACAGATTTTATTGAGCTCCCCCCCCCCCCCCCCAAAAAAAAAGTGTATTTTTATAATTTTTGCATGGTGTACAGTCTGGAAAGTACCCACATGGCAAATTTCCAGTGTGTTGCATGTCGGGAAGTACGCTAAACATTTTGAACAGACACACATATTCACAACTTTGCCTTTTATATATATAGAGATACAGCAGTTAATATTTTGATGGTATCATGTTTTAAATCTATTACACAGTGAATATTGAACTGAAGCTGGACTTTAAAAAATCTAATCGCAAATCAAATCGCAATCACAATATCTGTCAGAAAAATCGCAATCAGATATTTTCCCCAAATCGTTCAGCCCTAGTTCCTACCGTTTGACAAGTTTACAGCTCAAGTTACAGGGTTTATGGTGAAAATGTTCCACATTCCGTAGTGAATTGTGCATTGTGTAATACCATAAATTAAATGTTAATAGAGTACATCTAGAAAAATAAAACATATACAATAAGAGATATAGCCTTTGTCAGATAGCCAGGATATCTCATTCAGTAGAACACTGGGGTTGTTATTATGATCATTGTTATGATTATGATTTCAATCTACATCTGATGTTAATCTGTGCACTATCTTAATTAAAATCATCATCATTATGAATCCCTCTGATGGCACTATAATTATCACGTGTTGACGCTGCATTGCTTGATGGGAATACATTCGTGGTTGGCTTTCGGATTGCCACAGGAATATGGAATTGCGTCTCAAGTAACAGGGTCTCCAGTGGATGCACGCACCACCCATTGTTTAAAATACGACAGAAACTTTGACTTACTGCACGGTATATAGAGTCGTGATAAAGGATAATTGTTATTGTAGCACTTATGAGTTATTCGATTGGTCGAGTAATCGAACCGAGAATCGGTAGAGCAAATCGATTACAGTACTTCTAAAATCGGATAAACCAGCTGAAATAAAAGTACATTTCATGGATCACTTATCCGAAATTGATTGTCTAAAAAAAATGTAACTGGTACCGCTGTCGAAACGGAGCAGAATATCATGCAATCATTCATTTCGGTCAATCACTGGGCCACTTTCCAATGTCGTGGGCGGTCTACTGTTGGCAAAGTTCATCGTGAGTTTTTGTCTGATCGTTGATTCTCGTCTCTCCATTTCCCGTTCCTCCCCTCCCCCTCCCCAGTAGCACGAAGGAAGTTTGTGCGGTGAGTGAAGCAATATCATCCACCATACGTCAGTCATATCTGGCCCTGTGTTGGGCCTCCCCTAGGTCAATTCAGCCTTAAACGAGTACATGGTGCATTCTGTAAACAACTGCATCGCAGAGGCAAAGGTGGCCAGGCGTGATGCTGGTCACACCACCCACCTGGTGTGCTGTCCCGGCATTAATAGACTCCGATCGCTGCTGTTTAGTACCCAGCTTTTGTCACAGTCCGTAGGTACTGACGGAGGGCATGTGTCGCCCGAAAACATTACAATTAATCTGAATTGAATATATTCACTGTCCCTTGTGTCTGTTGGACCACTCACATTGCTGCCAATTCCATCATTTCCTTGTTAATTCGACCACGTCCTTCATACCCAGTAACTCTCAACTCTGAAAATGTACCCTTCTCGAGCTCACTTCCCTACTGATCACAAATTGTAGCGCTATATGTATTTTTGCTTTCATTTGATCACCACTTTTAGATCTGCATTGTTGAAGGAAATTAAAATCACATTCGTATTTCTTGCAATTTAAATAAAAGACATGATACGAGCCAGAGGTATGTGGTAGTTCACTACACTCTGAAACTGAGTTCAATACCACTTTCCCAACCTGCATGGACCAGCGTGGTGAAGTCTACTGGACATCTGTCTCCTGGAAATCTGTGAAAAATAACTTTATAGCTCATCGGATTCCTCCAATATTAAAGTGTTCTGATTCTGAAATACGTTCTGTTCACAAATTGCCATGGGGTAGGGCTTCATCCAGCAGTGGATTGAAATAAGGGCTGCAAACAAACATTTTTTTACTTACAGTAATCATTAAGAAGAAAAAAATCCAATCACTTATCAACTGAAGTTTGTGGATATGTATTTGACTGTATATATGCTTCTGTTTGTGTTTTTACTTCCAGGTGAACCCAGAATCTGACCCAAACAACTTATACTATGGAAAGCAGTACATCATTTATAATCCAAGTCAAGACCCTGTACAGAACGGATCATGTCTGCGTAAGTTTGCGTCGTTTTGTGGTCTATTGCTCCACAATCTCGGTGCCCTGGGTTCAATTCCTGGCCCAGGCCAAACCATGTCTGCGTGGCGCCAGGCGTATCGCTCACCGTATTTTGCAACCACACCATCATCTTTGTGTTCCCTCTGCATTGCTAACAACACGTTCATCAGCTGTTAGCCTGTAGGCCTGTAGGGGACGGGGAACCTACAACCAAGCCCTCGACTTGACTTTGTGCGGGTAACGACCACATGAGACCTACTACTTAAAAAACAGCCCGCAAACGATATTCATCCATCGTTGTGGGCGTCTTGGCCACACTTATTTGGTACGAGAAGGGAATATTTTTTTAAAATCTAATTCTAGCATGTGCAGTCATTTATGTCAAGGCCCTCCTGAGGTATCAGAAATGACTGAGTGTGTGTGTTGATGTGTGACAGGCAAAAGGTATTTGAAAGTTCTGTTGTTGGGCTCTCGGTAAGGAAAATTTCCCCACCCATACTGCAAGGGTATTTTTGTCTCTGCCTGCCAGGAAAACGTCATTATTGGAGTCGATCTGAAAGGCGTGTTTGGGTTGCTGATGGCAGGATAATAAGCTGCGTTGAGCTATAGGCACTGCTGTGAATGTAGCTGTTACCGCAAGGTAAAACGTTCATAATGTTTTTTTTCCCCAACAAACACATTCTCATATTGATAAGTAAGCCGAAACAAAAAAAACATTAGCTAGATAGTGCTTAGATGGGAACCCACCCTCCACCCACACACAAGAGGTGTTACGGGCATTCTGAGCAGCAGAGGATAGTGCAGAAAGATCAATTGTCGTGCTGTAATTCCTTCACCAACCCGCACTGACCAGCGTGGTGAAATACGGTAACTGCCATCACCTCGCCCTGTAGGGTATCGACAAAAGGGGCTGTACGTGTGCTAAGTTGTACAGCGTGTGATTCACCATTCCGCTTTGCAATGCATGCTGATTTTTTGTTTGTTTAAATGTAAAAAATTGCGCAATACTGTTACGTAATGGAGTTTTTATACCCAATTGATACAGGTGTTATTTTCCCCCAGCTGGTGGGAGCGTGCGTAATGTAATGAATGTCAAACTCACGGAAATGGCAACAGATTTTACTGCGATGATGTTGCACTTCTACAGCTGTGTTGCAACATGCATAACCAAATTTAATTAAATGTACGTACAGTTGTGTTTTATATAGGTGAGGACAGGGGCTCAAGTCACACCTGGGAAGCTGCGTGTTTCCTGCTAGTGAATAGTTTGCGGATAAGAGGCGTACTGCTGTACTATAATTATCCCAAATTGACGTGACTACTGGCTACCGGCTCAGTCTGGAGCCTACTTCCCGTGCCCCGCTGTGTATTTAAAGGCTGTGTGGTCAGCGCAATCGGCACTTATGTATGCCACCTCGTTGAATGGGGGCAAATGCAGAATGAAAATAAATACCACGATTTTTTGTCGAAATATTTTCGGGCGTCTCTCCATGCCTTAACACGACGGGGGGTGGGGGGGGGGGGTGCTGTATCAAATGCTCACCTGCAGAGTGAACGCTGTTCTAAAGGATGGGTCATTTACCAAAACGTCGACAATTATTATATCCACATTCTACGCTTTTTGAGGGGCAGTGTCGTTGGTGAACAGTGTCGCATCTCCGTTATTTGTGCATGTACACTGCTGCCAGGCGCAGCATCGCGAATGTTTTTGTTTAAAATTGAGAATTTAAACGAGATTTCGCTGGTGGGGTTTTCTTTTGTTCTTTTTGCAGTTTTCCGAAGAAACACTGAGTATGATTTGCACAGCAAAGAAAATGTTCGCTTTTGGCTGAATCTTAATGGGAACGCTGAAAATAAGGTAATACGATTGTTTATTTACACAACCGCCGCCACCCTATAATACAACTCCACTCCTCCCTTGTCCTGTTAAGCTGTAATATAAATAATTTATGCGGTGTTTATAATGAACCATGTTTACCGCACATCGGCTCTTAAATAATAATAATTGTGGCGTGTGTGTCGACTTTGTGTTTTTCTTTTTGCTGCGGCACAGAAATTTCCGGACCTGGTGGCAGGCCTCCGCAAAAGCTTTCCCGACGTCAAGTTCACCTGCCGGCTCGTCAAGCTTATGGCTGCGCTGCTACGCACATATGGTGAGATACCACCTGTATTCTCTGGAGTTACCACCCACGACTATTGCAACTGTCTCCTCTACGGTCTCGCCAAGCTGCATTGGCTTCCAGTTGCCAAATAAGTACATAATAATGTCGCATTCGTTACACACAAAGTGCTTGTCACAAATGAACCACAATACCTCGCTGATCTCGTTAAGGAGCATAGACCATCACGTGAACGCCGGTCATCCTTGCAAGCGGCTTTTGGCTGACCATCGAACAAAGACGGCTACGGCATTGCGCGCTTTCAGATGCGCTTCTGCAACGATCACTCAGAGGGAAGTTTTGTCTTTCTCTCCTGCTACCCCCTTAGTCTACAACTCTCTTCCCCCAGACATCCGCGCTATCGACCTCCTGCTCCATTCTGTCCAGGCTCAAGACTCGCCTTTATTCCTCTGCCTATGACTGACTCCTCTCGATTAAATGACTAATATGCCTAATGTTTCAGTACAGCATATTGAGATTTTGTTGCATTTAGATGATACATAAATCCAAGTTATGTTTGATTGTAAGTTACATATACGTATAAACAATATATATGGAAACATGGAACACGTAGATCAATAACACTGTGAACCCGGTGACCTGAGCTAGATTCCCACTCACGGCCAACACCGGTGACGATTATCTAAACCAGTCCTGTGCCTCCCCTAGGTGGACTCAGCTGAAATATGAGTATCTGGTGCATTGTGTGGACATCGTCACTGGGGAGACAAAGGCGGGTGGGCGTGGTATTGGTCACCGTACCCCCTCGTGTGCTCTATTGGCCTTCATAGTTGCACGCTAACAGCACTTGCCGCAACAGTCTGTTAAGGCTACACGCGGAATATTTGTCTTGCCCCGCCAGAGATATTTAAAGTCCAGTTTGGCCGTTGTTCATGAAAATGTTTCCCCGCTCCTGGGCTCTTGTCATTTCTGAATTGTGACCAAATGGAGTCAACATTTCCTACGTTGCTTCACAATTCACTAGACCACACCCAATTTGGGAAATTTGCAGCACTTCTTGTTTGTGAAAGTGTTGCGAAAACGCAGTTTTTTGTTGGCGTGACATTGAGTGTGTTGGGAAGGCGACGGTACAGTAGGTTTGGAAAATAAATAAAAAGTTAACCTAAAGGAGAAGTGAAAATGTTAAAGAGAAATAGAGTACCATTTGTTGGATACCGCCGTGGAGTAATGGTTAGCACACTGCACTTTCAATCCAGAGGTCACCAGTGCAATCGCGCCCGGCGTGCCATTTTTAAACAATGGAGCAGGTTTCTTAAACCCCCTTTCCACCTCCGTCCACGCAGCCGTGTAAAATCGGGTACACCACGGTTAGTTGATGGGCATGTTGCAAGTAGTGGGGTTAAGTGTGAGCAGTGGCCAGAGGATTGACGAGTAGGCCAAAATAGCCTCGAAAGGGTCTTTCAAGAGCTACAGTGAGGGAAAAAGTATTTGATCCCCTGCTGATTTTGTATGTTTGCCCACTGACAAATAAATGATCAGTCTATAATTGTAATGGTAGGTTTATTTGAACAGTGAGAGACAGAATAACAACAACAAAAATCCGGAAAAACGCATGTTAAAAATGTTATACATTTATTTGCATTTTAATGAGGGAAATAAGTATTTAACCCATCTGCAAAACATGACTTAGTACTTGGTGGCAAAACCCTTGTTGGCATTCACAGAGGTCAGACGTTTCTTGTAGTTGGCCACCAGGTTTGCACACATCTCAGGAGGGATTTTGTCCCACTCCTCTTTGCAGATCTTCTCCAAGTCATTAAGGTTTCGAGGCTGACGTTTGGCAACTCGAACCTTCAGCTCCCTCCACATATTTTCTATGGGATTAAGGTCTGGAGACTGGCTAGGCCACTCCAGGACCTTAATGTGCTTCTTCTTGAGCCACTCCTTTGTTGCCTTGGCCGTGTGTTTTGGGTCATTGTCATGCTGGAATACCCATCCACGACCCATTTTCAATGCCCTGGCTGAGGGAAGGAGGTTCTCACCCAAGATTTGACGGTACATGGCTCCGTCCATCGTCCCTTTGATGCGATGAAGTTGTCCTGTCCCCTTAGCAGAAAACACCCCCAAAGCATAATGTTTCCACCTCCATGTTTGACGGTGGGGATGGTGTTCTTGGGGTCATAGGCAGTATTCCTCCTCCTCCAAACACGGCGAGTTGAGTTGATGCCAAAGAGCTCCATTTTGGTCTCATCTGACCACAACACTTTCACCCAGTTGTCCTCTGAATCATTCAGATGTTCATTGGCAAACTTCAGACGGGTATGTATGTGTGCTTTTTTAAGCAGGGGGACCTTGCGGGCGCTGCACGATTTCAGTCCTTCACGGCGTAGTGTTACCAATTGTTTTCTTGGTGACTATGGTCCCAGCTGCCTTGAGATCACTGACAAGATCCTCCCGTGTAGATCTGAGCTGATTCCTCACCGTTCTCATGATCATTACAACTCCACGAGGTGAGATATTGCATGGAGCCCCAGGCCGAGGGAGATTGACAGTTCTTTGTGTTTCTTCCATTTGCGAATAATCGCACCAACTGTTGTCACCTTCTCACCAAGCTGCTTGGCAATGGTCTTGTCGCCCATTCTAGCCTTGTGTATATCTACAATCTTGTCCCTGACATCCTTGGAGAGCTCTTTGGTCTTGGCCATGGTGGAGAGTTTGGAATCTAATTGATTGATTGCTTCTGTGGACAGGTGCCTTTTATACAGGCAACAAGCTGAGATTAGGAGCACTCCCTTTAAGAGTGTGCTCCTAATCTCAGCTCGTTACCTGTATAAAAGACACCTGGGAGCCAGAAATCTTTCCGATTGAGAGGGGGTCAAATACTTATTTCCCTCATTAAAATGCAAATCATTTTATAACATTTTTGCCATGCGTTTTTCTGAATTTTTTTGTTGTTATTCTGTCTCTCACTGTTCAAATAAACCTACCATTAAAATTATAGACTGATCATTTCTTTGTCAGTGGGCAAACGTACAAAATCAGCAGGGGATAAAATATTTTTTCACTCACTGTACCTATAGTGGAGGCCATTCTGCCAGAAATTGCATGAGCGAGTAATTGCAGAGCTGCACTTTTACCTTTTGACAGTACAGGATATTGAATTATTGTACTTTACTTATGTCGACTATTGCCTTGGGATAGTTTAGCTACAAGGAAACATTGGGGAAATGAGATGTAGTTTATGACTTTGTAGTGTCTCATCGGCAATTATGAGGGGGTGAAGGGGGGATGTTAGAATATAATAATTCTCGGTACTTTTCAAATTGGAAACTTCGGCTTGGACACGAGTCGACTTTCCCACTTTGAGAGTGATATCATGGGACTTTAATGGGTTTTTTTAAAATCTGCCTGTCATTTATAGTGTGTGCAGAGCATGAGTCAGAGCATACAGACACGTCATACCTCATGAGACACATCACTGAATACCAAAGTCTAATTTCCATTACATTGTAGATGCAAATGTGGCATGTGTCACGCACAAGAACTTCGCTAGCTTTAATGATTTTTGGCAACTAGCCGTACATTATTTAGGCCCGCAGTGCACTGTACATGCACAGCGCTTTTCCTCAACCCACTGCTGGATGAGGACCTCCCCTGGTCATGAGGGGTTATACTGGTAGGAACGAAGTTGTAAACTGAGTGTACCAGCCTGCAATAGATTAATGTGTCCGTCCGTCCGTCCCCTTTCAATACTTTAACGAAGTGAAATCTCGTGCTTTTGGGTGTAAAATCAGCAATAGACAGCGCATAGACTTGATATGTCTTATAAAATTGCGCAAAATTCCAATGTTCCTACCAGCCCACCCTGCAGGGACCTGTTTTTACCACATTTCACCGCACTGGTCAGTGCCGGTGGGTGAATGAGAAGAGCAAAGACGCGGGAGCACAGAAGCAGGGCACGACAAATTGCATTTTGAAGCACTTTGTCTCCCTGCTGGCAGCCTGCAACACACCTCCTCGCTTACACGGCGTGGTCACTCGTCCAAGCACTCTCTGGGCCCAATCCTGCTCGGTTTTCTGACATCTCATGAGATCGGGCGAATTCCGTGTGGGCTCAGTTGTGTCGATCGGAGTAAAATAACTTCGGACTACAATCGAGATTGTGTTTTGCTTTGTTTGTTTCAGAAGAGGACGGTTACCTCTCGCTCTCCAGCTTCTGCAGGCTCGTCGGGTGGTTCGGTCCTTTGAACCGGTGTTCGATTAACGGAAGGCAGACCTGCATTCTCCTGAAGAACGTGAGAGCAGTTTTTAGTCATTGACCCTCACCCCACCCCCCAACATTATAATTCTTCGATGAGCCCTAATTGCGGGAGTGAAGCTGTGAGTCAGAACCGTCCCAAGTGATGTCATACTTAAATGAAGCGCAGTTTCATGATGTAATCGTGTAACGTGACCTCTATTCCATTGACGCTTATCTCAGGGTCGCCAGGGTAGCGAGAAGTTAAATTCATTGCCTGGTATACAGGATTTGTATGGGTTCGATTGCAACCCTGACGCCCGTATACTTGGAGTTTGCATGTTCCCCCCTGTGGTCGTGTGGATTTTTCTCCGGGTCCTCCGGTTTTTCCCTCCGCATTTAGAACCAACGTGCGTTTAGAGAATTTGTCTGCAATAAATATCCACGTGATAAGCCACTTCACTGGGCTATTATTTGTGGCCAAGTCGCTTCTGAAAAAAGAGCTTTATAGCTCAGTAGGGATTACCTGGTGAATAAAACATATTTTAGTTTTAGTTTAGAAACACCTTGCAATGTGTCTTACAACTAACTTGTGAACCAACGATGAACAAACAAAAAGGTAATTATAGTCCCTTTTTTAATACGTAAAATTATCATCCAACCACAGACACACCACAGAAAATGTTATTATGATGCAGGACAAGCGGATTGAGAAACGTACACACGAATGATGCAACAGTAATATGACTTGCTTACCCAGGAAGTCACACTGAATCTCGAGAATACATTTCAGGAGGGTTCTTGCCAATGAATTATTTGCGTGTTTTTTAAAGTAAAAACAATAAAGTCCGGAAAAACTCCGAAAAATAAAACGGTCAAAGTGCACACAAATAGCCTATAAACCTGCTTGCTATATTACCTCTTACAGACACCATCACATTGCCCCTGTAAGTACCGTAAATAACCCACACACACTGAAGTTACTATCTACGTGTGATCTCCAGAGTTTCAGACCTTTATCGCAACCACAATCGGCTACGATAAGTTGTCTTTCTGCTTGCTCCTCAGGACCCTTGAAGAATGTGTCAATGTGCTCCGTGTGTGTGTCTCTCTCTCTCTGCCGCAGCTGGAGGTACTGTTTGAGAAGTCGATGCTGCCCAGCCGTCTGGGAGTGCCAGAGAGGTGAGCCCACATGCCCAGCACTCGCCACGTCTCTGTAACAGGATCCCGTACGTGCGCCAACCATGGTGGAGAACTGTCCAGGGTAAAAACGTTGTGACTGTGCCTGTATAGTCAGCCTGGATAGTGCTTGGATAGGTGGCCACCATGTAAAAGAAGAGGCGTTATAGGCTGTGGCAGAGCCATGTTGAGGGCAGCAGAGTAGCAAAAGTGATTGATGTACCGTACTATGCTTCCACGTATTTTTCTCGATGCCATCTTCCACCGGCACTGGCCAGTGCAGTGAGATTTGGTCAAATAAGCTGCACAATCAGCACAGCTTGCAGAGGCCCTCATCCAACAACAGTAGCTTGAAAGAAGAAGGGCTGTACCGGGACATGTGCAACCATAGACCTCTCACCATTGTATGTATGTTGAACTTCTTTCGCACCGTACGTAGCCAACTGCGGTAATCGGAGGTGGGGGGGGAAGGGCAATAAACTAAACTCAAAACCATTTACAGTAAAACCTTGGATTGCGAGGAGCATAATTCGTTCCGGAAACGTGTTTGTACTCCAAAGCACTCGTATATCAAAGCACTCGTATATCAGTTGTGATCACGTGACGCTCGGCAGTACAAAGCGTATACGTACTACTCGTATTGCAAGACCTCGCTCGTTTATCAAATATTTATTTAAAAGTTTGCTCGTCTTGCAAAACACTCGCAGACCAAGTTACTCGCAATCCAAGGTTTTACTGTATGTGATTACTACCACCGTAAAAAATAGAAGATATCATGCACCCTATTCACAGTATTATAAGACGCACTATTTTCCCCTCAAACCGAATTTGGCGGTGCGCCTCATAATTCGGTGAGCTGTATGTTGTACATGACACCAGATGTTCAGAACTTTATTGACACCTAGGGACATGTCTTACTTTCCAGAGCATTTTATAACCTGGAGAATACCGAATATCAATTGTTGATGTTTTTGACGATGACCCTTTTTCTGGGTGGTGACGTAGCCTCGCGGCAGAGCATTCACCCCTCGTCACAGAGGTTCACGGTTTGAAAATCCCGCGGCCGCCCTGATTATTACTGTGGGCGTTATAACCAGAGTAACAATGCTACGCGCCGCATGCTTCACCGTGGACTTTTAAAGATCAGCTGATGTCATCCGGATCCCCTGTGTGTTGGCAATAGGATCCAAATTTTTCCACATTTGAAAATTTCCCACAAATAAACTCATTTGGGATTATACATGACAATTATCGCCCCCTAGTGGCAGACCAATGCCCCAGGTCCCTTGCGTTCTCGCCTGATTGAACAAAATAAACTTGAAAAACGATGCAGAGCTCGGCACAAGAGCTACGTAATAACGTCAGTTGGACCCTCTCTTCTCTTTCACAGCTGGTTTGCAGGGCACATGACGCAAACAGAGGCATGGACGCTGCTCAAAGGAGCTGTTCCCGGGACTTTCCTCATCCGATTCTCCGAGTCGCAGGCCGAGAATGGGAGCTTCGCACTCTCCATCGCCACTGACAATGGGGAACCGGAGAACGTCAGCATACTTGTGAGTCACAGTAGCAGGCCCCAGATGTCGCCCCTCGGTCATTAACTCAGTGAGTCATTTATTTGTACCCATTTGCTGGATCACATGCCCATGAAGTTTATTTAAAAGCATATAAACTTCATAGAAATCCATGTTGTGCCTCTACATTTTCCTATTGGCTACCCAGACCAATACAATCCAGCAGCATTTGTTTAATAAAATTCTGATCAAATTTGACCGTCTGGTTCACATCACCAGAGTCAGGCTTGGTAAACAAATGCTGCTGAGTTAACAGACGTTGTTGGCTACAGCACACCATCTAAGTAAGCTCTGCTAAGCTTAACTTTCAGCTCTCTTTCAAATCTACTACTGGACGAAGCCTCCTCCCACATTGTAACTGCACACAAACATAACGCACGATTTGCGAGCGATTACCGAGAGCACCTGTCCACGTGTGGTCATTTCACTCGGCAGGGCGATCCACGCACCGCGAGCCTCGGGAACCCGATGTTGAACCTGGCCCTGCGCTACGGCGGGGATGACGATAACTGCCGCTACCCGGACCTCCCCACGCTGGTGGCCACGCGGTTGAAAAAGCACCCATTCCACTCGGACCATGTGGAGCGCTGCATCTTGCCCTGCCCTTGTCTGCCGCTTGCCTACATCTTCAACATGCCAGCGGGCAACGAGACATAGACACGGTTCAGCGCGGACTCCCATCTGTAACCTGATATTCTTTTTTGCTGTGGCCATGGTGGCGCATGCTATCGGCCAAAATATAGATTGCCCCGCGTAAAACGGGATGAGTCGTAGAGTGACTACATACGTGGCAGAATGCGTTTGCGTAAGGAAGGCGGATTTGTGCGAGGCTCAACTGGGACGTGGTGAGCTGGCAGCCCTTCCGTGCTTCGGTCAGTCCGACCCATTTTTACATAGCCATGCCCACGCGATTGACCGAATGTCAATGGCCCTGCGTAAAGGGGATGAGCAGTAGAATGATTGCAAGTGAGGTGCCTTTTTATAAGGCTACTGCATTCCATGGGAGGCTCAAACAGAACACTTGGTGAGCTGGCAGCACCTGCCATCATCAGCCACGCCCACGTTTGAATAGCCCCGCCCACTATTACGTAGCTCCACCCACTCAATCAGAATCTGGCCACACCCCACACATTGAGTGGTAGCCTGGCCAACTTATCATCGGCCCCACCTAATCCTCTGCCAGTGGTGGTCACTACTTAGGTTAGCCCCATCCTTTTGCCTCTGCATTGAGTCAAGCATGAGGCCAGAGCATTTTGAATGGGAATAAAATATAGATTTTAAACAAAAGACCTTTCTCAAACCGGAATGTTCGGTTGCCTTATATTTGCATCGTACTGGATAACACGCATGGCATCACATCGCACACTCTCCTTGTACCAAACGTGGATGGTGCATGAAAGCCTGCTGTATTTATGAGACCCACGAAATGGGCTGGTTTACATAGCTTGCAAATTTTATGTAATTAAACCGAAATATGTACTCAATATGCTGAGCTATTTATGTTACAACTTGCCTTTTGGCCGTCCAAGGATGGGCGTATTGCAGTAAATCTGAAACTTGCAAGCGAAAAGCAGACCGCGATGTGATAGTCATTGCATTATTGCGTGTGCAATTTTTAAGGCCGCGGTGACACAGACCTATTTCATTTTAAGGTCATAATCCATTGTTCATCATGACGTCCTTTTTACTTTGATGTCTCAACAACATCGTTACGGAGATCACGTGACGTGAGGGTTCTGCCTTTATAGTGAGGGTTGTAAGTTGACGCCGGGGAGGGGGGAGGAGGCGCCTCCATGTGGAGTGATGTCACCCGCTAATTATTATTAATGGAGGGGGGGGGGGGCATTTGGAGGACGTCATCTGCTCTTGTTAATTAATGAGGGGGGCTGTTCGATGTGGAGTGACGTCACTTGCTCATGATTATTAGTGGGGGAGGGGGGAGTACTCCATACTGAGTGATGTCACCCGCTCATGATTATGAATGAGGAGGGGTGGGGGGGTGCCCATTTGGAGGACGTCACCTGCTCATGAATATTAATGAGGGGGGCTGGTCGATGTGGAGTGACGTCACGAGCGTTAAGGACAGACATTCCTGGGTGATTATAGCAGATATGCCTACATTATATGCAGCTGTGATTTTTTTTCTGTACTGTATTACAGTCTATACATTTGAAAAGTTAACACATTTCCAGGATCAATGAAGGAATGCTGCAATGAGCATATGACAGGGCCGGACTGAGGTTCTTGTAGGCCACAGGCACTTGTGTTTCGTAGGTCTTCAGTGATAACTCTCTACATTTGGGACTGCCCATATTACTACAACCGATGCTCTCACTCTGCTTGTTTCACGCGTACTTTGTCCAGCCGCTGAACAGATGTCGGTACTGGTACGTTCATTATTTAGTCTATGCCCTAATTCTATGGGAGCACGCGCGTTGTGTGCCGCAGATAACAGTTTTAATTTGAAACACTGTGCCTATCCTTGCGATATATATTTATTCAAGAAGATATCCTGGTTAAATTTTGAACCATACAAACAAAAAACATGATCAAAATATTTTTTTCATAGGCCCTTTAATACGGTCCTGGAAAATTATACGCTTTACCTGTGGCACACCACAAGGAGCTGAGTAGAGTCAGTTGCACAAAAAGGACAGACAGGGCAAGATCACCGGAAAAAGGTGCGGGGCTGACAGTCAGTCCCAAGGTGAGCAGCAAAGGAGAAAGGAGCGGCGCCGGGTGTGGGAGAAGGAATAACCTGGACCAGATGCCGGGGATGAGAGGTTCATGAGAGGGGAGGGCAGAGAACGAGCGAGCAGAACTTAATTGCGCAGAGGAGCAGTGTCTGTTTTTACAGCGGGTGGGGAAAGGGGAGGGATTTATAGTGGGGGTGGCCACACAGAAGTCATGTACAGGGGCTCTCTATCAACTCCCTGGATGTATGTTGAACTTTTTTGCACCGTACATGGCCAACCGTGCTCATCAAAGGTGCGGGGGAACAACAACAAATTAGACACAAAAAGCAGTTCTAAAGAAATGAGTTTTCAATCTAGATTTAAAGTGCATAGCTCCAGTGGCTTCCTAATATCGGAAGGAAGAGCATTCCAGACGGCCGCAGAAGCGCATCTGAAAGCGCGCGATGCAGTGACCGTCTTTGTTAGATGGTTAGCTTGCGCAGGTGAGCTGCATGGAGCAGCGAGCGGTCTGTTTTCACAAGGGGCAGGAGAGGGGCCGGGATTCAGAGTGGGTGAGACCACACACAGGTTGTGTGGTTTACTGGAAATTTCAGCTGATTTTTATATGTAGATGCAGTATATATTATTTATTATTGTTGTAATCTTATTTTTTGTATCTTAGCCTTGATGATGTCAATAACTTTAAGGTATAATATACTCACAGGAAGGAAATATTTAACATTTTGGAATGTGTTTCCATTGTATATACAGCTGTCAACTTAAACATACAATAAATGTAATGTGCTATGAAATGTGTTTTTTGTGATATTTTATTCATGGCATTGTATATAATTTGCAATTATATTCCATTAAAAGAATGTGGGGTAAAATGTGGGGTTTCACCTCTTCTAAGACGTCTAGCCAGTGTGTGTGAAGAGTGTGCGAAGATGCTCTCTTACAGCTTCCTCTCATGAGAGCTCCTTCTACCAGCAGTGGTGTTGGTAAACAATTGCAGGGCTGCGCCTTTACCCAAAAAAATACCTTTAGATTGTGTTTACAGAGGATAGTACAGTATACAGTTCATAATAAAGGTTTTTATTTTTTTATTTGGGGGGTCAACAACAAATTTACGAGATGGCACGGTGGCGAGATGTTAACTACCTCGCCTGGTATACAGGAGGTTGTGGGTTTGATCTCGACCCTAACGCCTGCATGTTTGGAGTTTTGCATGTTCTCCCCATGGTCGTGTACATTTTTATCCGGGTCCTCCGGTTTTCCACCTCCACATTTAGAATCAACGTGCGTTTGGAGTATTTTGGCCGCTATAAATTTCCACATTGATAAGCCATTTCGTTGGGCTATCATTCGTGATGGTCAGGTCGCTTGTGAAAAATGGCTGTACAGCTCAGTGGGCCTTACCTGGTATTTTTTTCATATTCATGCGATCTAGACCCACCCCCCCCTCCAAAAAAAAACAACCTTTATTGTGGATATTGATCGTGAAAGCATACGTGTTAAACTGACAGTATATGAGTGTGGTGATGGTGTAAAGACTGAGGTTTGACGACCGCTTAGGGGCACTTTGGCATATTGCCTTATTTTAGTTTTTCAACACAACATTGGTAGTGAATCGATGCATTTTAAATCGAATTGTTCCCTATTTCATTGACAACGTTATCGTGAAACAGTTGGTAAACAGGAGCGACGTAAATAAGAGGACTTCGCGTATTGGGAATAAAGTTGACAACGTAGCTCCCAACTATGCAACAATAAAATATGTACAGGCTTCATAATTTTTAGGAGTCACAAGGCACGGAATTAATTTACCTCGACTCCCTTCAATAATGCAATTCTTAGTATGAAAAATAAGAATAGGTATATTATTTTCTTTTAACCTATCTACGTGACTTTACCGAGTAACCCAAAGAATATGAATTCCTGCAGTCACGAAGGCTTTTAAGTCAAGATATAAGAATAGGTTTTACCCTTTCTGGCAATAAAACTGGTGTTAAGATGCTCAAACACTAAATAGATACCTTTTGCAAGTTCATTTCATTTTCATTTCATTTATTTGGTATAGCCCTGTGAGCCATTCGGCTCTTGAATCGGGTGCAACCGCAACAAACAAAAAGCATGAACAAGAAAACATCTTAAAGTGACTATGCGCAAACAGAAAAATCCAGTAAAAAAAACAGCAAAATGCTGCTGAAAGAGCCGGGGAGGAGGGGAGGTAGTGTGGGCGTAAGAAAGAAGGCCTCTTTTATTAAGTAACTAAAATATATTGCTCATCCGTTTGAACATTAAAACTTTACTCACGCCAGCCTCTGTGGGGGGGAGGGAATTGGTGGTGAACGCAGAGGGGGAAACCTCAGAAGGAATAAAGTCTGCATTGACCACACGTACTTGTGGTTAACATGCAAACTAGCATGCTCTCATAATTAATTTATGGCATTGTCTTTGAAAGGTATTGGCCTATTAACGAAATAGTGAAGACAATTCTATTAAAAATGTATCGATTCACTACAACGTTATGTTGAAAATCTAAATGTATTTGAACAAGTACGTGTGGTTAATGCAGACTTGTGTTTTTGCAAAATGTATCTATTTGGTTTTTAGACATCTTAACACCTGTTTTATTGCCAGAAAGGGTAAAAGCTATTCTTATTTTTCATACTTTCATACTGGCAAAAACATACCTGTCAACCCCTTATTACAAACCAATTCAGACCTTATTGGTCACCCCGTGCCCCTTATAAATCTCAACGTTCATCATACAACGTCCCATCACAAGGAAGAAACACACACAAATAGACAAAGAAATGTCCGTATTGAAACGGCTGTAATGCCGTATGGACATGAAAACTTAATTTCCCTGTACAAGAATATGGCGTAAACCGTATGTATTGACAGATATGCAAAAAAAGTTCCCATGATAGTGAAATTCTTATTGTTTTTGGCGATTGTGGTGAATGTGGCGCCACAGGAGGATGCAAAGCTCACGCAAACATATTTAAGTTACAGCGAATTTCTAGCTCATTGTAATAAGTTTACGTGACCCGTACAGCAACTAGAGGCACTAACCTTTAATTTTTTTTTAACACATTCCTGCGGAGGGAGCTGGTAGGAACGTTGGGTTGCTCGGTCAATGGCCAGGGTCAACGGCGGCACCACGTGGTGTATTCCGAAAATATGCCCGACTGTGAGGGCGGGCACAAGCCGGCGTGAGTAGGTTAAACGTTGAGTTTTATAAGGGCACCACGGGGTGACCAGCCCCTCCCACCCAGCCCCACCCCTCCCAACACCCACCCAGCCCCACCCTCCCCACCCAGCCCCTCCACTCTCCACCCAGCCCCACCCTCCCCACCCTCCCCTCTCCACCCAGCCCCACCCCTCCCATTTTTGGATGCACGACGGACGGACGGACACAATAATCCCCTGTGGGCTGGTGTAACCAGGAGGTTCCTACCAGTACTAATCGAATCTCGAATATCATTGCAACAATACATTGAATCGCAGTTGGAGTGAATGACAGCTGTCATCTTTACCACAGACAAAAGGTTTAGGTATTGTGCAGTAAAACGGTGATGAAGTTCAAACGCGAAACCATCAGATCTCTGTACAAATTAATTCCTTCCATCCACACGTGGATAATAATTTCGAGTACATATTCATGCCATCCTTAAACTACTGGTGTGCTGAATTAGCAACATTGCACCTGCTGCAGGCTGTATGTATTAACATATATGGGGCCGTCCATAAATGACGTCACGCGATTTTTGATGAGTTTTGACCCCCCCCTCCTCCGTCGTCACACGGCGTCACAAAAAGTCAGACCCCCCCTCAAATATGACGTCACAAAGCTCTGCCGACCCTCCCCCCCCCAAAAAATATATATATAAAACATGCTTCAAATCGCTTTTAACTATTGTCATTGTAGTGCGTATTTAATGTGGCGCTGCACTCTGATGTTGTAGGAGAAAACATTTATCAAAAAGTCTATTTAATTAAGTAGAACGTGTTGTCTAAAGTTGCGCATTTTGATGTGACGTCACATTTCTCACCCCCCTCCCCTCGTCACACATCGTCACAAATGTCTGACCTCCCCCCCCGCCAGGTGCGTGACGTCATTTATGGACGGCCCCTAACATGTATCAACATGTCTGTATTATGCATGTTTAACATGTATGCACTAACACGTATGTTTAACATTCAGCCTGCAGCAGTTGCAATGTTGCTACACCGGCACAGCGGTGTGTTGGAGAGTAAACCTCCAACATTTTACAATTCGAGTCCGACGTTTCGCTAGTGATTGCAACCGCCTTCGACCGGCTTACAGTAAGGAACTAATTGGGACGTTTGGTTCACGTGACAAACCTTACTAATTGGCTGTGGTCGGGTGGTGTCGGGTTTAACGACACATTTATATTTATCAAGGCCGTAGCCATAGAGTCAACATTGGGGGGGGGGACCAAATCTTCCAGGGTGTCCGGAAGTCGCCCCCCCCCCACCGAGAAAAAATAAATAAATTTGAAAACGAATTTTCTGCCTAAAATATAAAAAAAAATTCACTAACACATATGGACTTTTTATTTATTTTTTACAATGTCTAATAGTGTATTGCATTACATTGTTGTGTTTTTCTTTTTTACATGTTCTTGTTTCATTGTACGTAAAGGCAGAGATTAGGGATTAATAAAGTACAACCACAATCATATGAACAGAAATCTATTTTATAGCAATATATTGGGGGGGGGGGCATTTTGAGCATATTTGAATATTGTATTATGCATGTTTAACGGCCTTGATATTCATACCCCTTTATTACGGATAATATTGGTCGCGAAAACCTACGCGTTAAAAAAAAATCTATGAAATGCATTTGAAATAAAAACACCCCTCGCCTAATCGTGAAAGTGGACGAGTCCACGCCGGCCAGCAAAGTGACAGGAAAATAGTTTCTCCCCCCCTCCCTGCCAGGGAGACCTACTTAGTACATCCCACAACCACGTGGAAAGGGAGTGGACAGTGGTGAACGAAACAACGGTGGACGGTGACGAACGATGGAGGCTCCTTCGGATCGCTCGCTCATGATGGACAACGTCCGGGTCCTTTTGCTGGACATCGAGGGCTGCACGACGCCCATCACTTTCGTGAAGGCGAGTCGGAGCGCCAAGCATGCTCGCCCGTTGTGTTTTTTTGACGCGCGGTTTCAACAACGCGGAACCCTAAGTATGAAGACCACCAACGCCGCTGTGGATGTTATAACCATCATCAACCTCGTGGAGCTTAAGCAATCGTGATGATGATTGGTGGTGGTGGTGGTTGTTGATGCTGGACGTGATGTGGATGGGATGTGTGGCACGCGGCCGCCGTACGGACGAGCCGGGGGCCACGTACACGTGCTTGGAGTGGTACGTGCGAAATGTAATGTTTATTTTTTTGGTGCTGCGGTTGAAGGCCATTCAATGCATGCTTTGGACCATGAAGTAAACAAAAACTGTGGTATGCTTTCCTTCAGGTGAGGGGAAATATAGCAAACCTACACGAACTCTTCGTCGCTAGCAGACCTTGGACATTGGCATTTAGCTCCTGAACATATAACCGTACGCAATAACAGCACTCCTTAATTGATAATGCTTAGGATTGTAATAATTAACAGTGATTTGTTATTATATCTTGATCAAAACATTAAGAACGCGTATTATAAATCACAAACCCGCACTAACTGGTGAAGTATGGTCAAACATAACGACGTGGGAGGCCTCATCCAACAGTGGATTGACAATAGGATGTAAACTATGAAGTAATTATCTTCTCTCAATCAGGAATACAAATGCAATTGTCACCACAGATCCTGGGTTTGAATGCGGATTCCAGCCTGATAAAAACCGGATTCTCAAGTCAAATGACGGCACTGATACAATGCTATTTCCATACGAAAGAAGAAGACTAAATGTGGTCTTGTCAATTTGGCCAGAGGTGGGATTCAAACGTTCAAAGCCTTTAAACGTGTTTCATTGTAGAATTGCCAAGTTCACATGCAAGGCAATTGTAAAAACTAACGTGGAAGTGCACCCTTCCAGTATCCTGATTAAAGAAGGCCTTCAAGACCATCACTTAAATTATTGCATTCGACCAATGCTTAAATAGTAGATCTACAGACCAATGGATTTGCATCGTACACGTAGACAATTGATGTACAATATTCCCTCATTCTTGGTTCTTTCGGTAAAGTCACGTAGAAGGGAAACAATAAAATATATAATTAGATATTTTAAATATTTTATTGTTTCCCTTCTACGTGACTTTACCGAACGAACCAAGAATATGAATCCATGCAGTCACGAAAGCTTTAAATCAAAATATTCCCTCGGTTAACACTGAAACCGGTGAACGTTTTTGTTGGGTTGACGTTTCGCCTCCAATAGGGACCCCATGGTTTCGACTGACGTTAACATTTTGATTCACGGTAACGTCCATAATACAGGTTTTTGTTGGACTAGATCGCGTAAAAAACATGTGTCGTTAAACCCACCACCACCCGACACAGCCTATTAGTAAGGTTTGTCACGTAAACAGAAAATGCTAATTCATTACTAGCGTGTTGGAGAACAAATCCACAACATTTAGAATCGGAGCACGACGTTTCGCCAGTAATTAACAACCAGCATCATCAGGCTGCAGCCAGATTTTCCAGATCAGTAACGAATTGGCATGTTCCGTTTACGTGACAAACCTTACTAATTGGCTGTGTCAGATGGTGGCGGTTTTAACCAAACATTTAAATATTTATTCGATAACCCCCCCCCCCCCCCAAAAAAAAAATTAACCCTATGTTATGGATGATATTGGTCGCTAAAGCCCCCACTACGTGTTAAAGTCACGGTCACGTGTTTACGCTCTGCAACTGCGGTCGCCAATTTCGACCAATCCAAGCGCTCGTAGGTGGGGCTGAGCACGTCCTTAGCCAATCTGCGACGTCCATTTGTGAGCTTTGTTTATATTTTGATTTAAAGCTTTCGTGACTGCAGTAATTCATATTCTTAGTTTTTTCGGTAAAGTCACGTTGAAGGGAAACAACAAAGTAATAAAATATATATAAAACAATAAAAAAATTCTCACGACGTTTCGACCATAACTCAAACGGTCATCTTCAGGTGTGTTGGTTTGCATATTTATGTTTTATATATATTTTATTATTTTGTTGTTTCCCTTCAACGTGACTTTACCGAAAAAACTAAGAATAAGCTTTGTTTATGTTGAGTTTTCTGTTTTGGCAGCGAAAACAAGACGGCTGTCTTGCAGACTCGGCGATTTTTAGTTGTTACTTATTTTTCAACTTATAAGTGCATTCTGTTGACAGTTATTTCGGTCAGCAGTAGTTTTCGTGGAACGGATTAAAAACGTTAACCGAGGACTGACTTGAAACGGAAACTCGCAATGAGTCGACCTCGCGCTGGAAGTGTGCGGTGTGGTGTGTGTGCGTGTGCGGACATGTGTGTGTCAGCACGTGTGTGTGTCAGCACGTGTGTGTGTCAGCACGTGTGTGTGTCAGCACGTGTGTGTGTGTCAGCAGGTGTGTGTGTGTGTCAGCAGGTGTGTGTGTGTGTCAGCAGGTGTGTGTGTGTGTCAGCACGTGTGTGTGTCAGCACGTGTGTGTGTGAGCACGTGTGTGTCAGCACGTGTGTGTCAGCACGTGTGTGTCAGCACGTGTGTGTCAGCACGTGTGTGTCAGCACGTGTGTGTCAGCACGTGTGTGCGTGTCAGTGGGGAGCGGTAGTGTAGCGGTTAGCGCGCTGCGCTATGAACCTGGCGACCCGGGTTAGATTCCCGCTCACGGCCAACACCAGTGACGATTATCTGAACCGGTCCCGGGCCTCCCCTAGGTCGACTCAGCCTCAAATGAGTACCTGGTGCGGTGTGTAAACATTGCCACTAGGGAGACAAAGGCGGTCGGGCGTGGTGCTGGCCACCCACCCCCTCGTGTGCCGTGCCGGCCTTCATAGGTGCTCGCTAACAGCACTTGCCCCTACAGTCTGTTAAGGCTATATGGGGGATCTTTGTTATCTTTGTGTGTCAGCACGTGTGTGTGTGGGGAGCGGTAGTGTAGCGGTTAACCCGGCCACCCGAGTTCGATTCCCGCTCACGGCAAACACCGTTGACGACCTTCTGAAACGGTTTTGCGCGCCCCTAGGTCGACTCGGCCTCAAATAAGTAAAGGGTAAGGTGTGTAAACATCGCCACTGGGGAGACAAAGGCGGCCGGGCGTGGCGCTAACCACTCAGTCTGTTAAGGCTACACGAGAGGTCGTTGAGTGTCTTTGTGCCCCGTGTGTGTGCAATTGTGGTGACTCCGTTACCTCTTCCGACTACGAGCTAGCATTAGGACTCAAGTGAAAATAAGTGTTTTTCTATTTATGTTACTTTTATGTTTTATTTACCATACAGTATTTTTTACCGTGTTATATGCAAATGTATATTTCTTCTTAATTATGACGATGCTTCCCTTTTGGTTGAACCCTATAACACATTTCATAACAGTGATCGTATGGGCATTTAAATAGTGTGTTGTGTTTCGACTTACGAACTGTTCGACTTACGAACTGTTCGACTTACGAACTGTTCGACTTACGAACTGTTCGACTTACGAACAGTTCGACTTACGAACAGTTCGACTTACGAACAGTTCGACTTACGAACAGTTCGACTTACGAACAGTTCGACTTACGAACAGTTCGACTTACGAACAGTTCGACTTACGAACGGATCTCAGGAACGAATCAGATTCGTTACCCGAGGACTGCCCATAATCGGAAATCCAGTCAATGGCAAATATAGCAAATGTCCTTGCAGCTGCCATATTCCCATATTTGCCACTTAAATATTGAAATACCTCATGGAATATAAATGTAGGTCATTTTTATAGTAAACCAATAATTACATGGTTTTTCATGAAACTCCTACCACCCTAGCCTATTTCAGGGAAAAGTTTGTGTGTGAAGATGACAATGTCTGTAATTAAACATAGGTCACGTGTGTGTTTGCAGGATGTGCTGTTTCCATACATAAAGGAGCATGTGCACGACTACCTGACAGAACACTGGGAGGAAGAAGAATGCCAGGCTGATGTGCAACTGCTAAGACAACAGGTAGCAACATCGCATGCACAGTAGGTTTCAAATCATGAGGTCCTGAGCTCAAATACCTGCCACGGTCAATTCTGTTAATCGTCCCTCAGAGATAAGTAAAATGAGTAAGAGCAAGGCTGCACAACTTCGTTTTCAGAATCAGAAGTTGTTTCTCGAGATGGAGCCCATTGAGCTAAGAGGCTCCTTTTTCAAGTGCGGCTTAGTCGGCGGACAACGTCAAAGCATTCCACAATTATAGATTATAAAAAAAAACTTAATAGAAGTCTTGGAAAGCCAGTGGTGATTGTGGCTGTGCTGTAGAGCCACTTTCCATGCCCTGAGAACATTCTATTTCTACTTAACCGCTCATGGTAATAAGTGTTGAATACCCGCTTGAGCATGTGAACACAGAGGGCCCGGATTGCATGTTGACAAAATTACCAAAATGAAAAAAAACATACAAAACGTAACAATGTCAACACATGAATGAATTAGTTTGACATTTTTACTTCACTATACCGCTAAAATTGTCAGGTTGATCCTGTTATAAAAACATGCTTTGATTAAAATGCACTTCGACAGCAGTCTATAAACAATATATTTCTCTGCACATTACACTCGTATATTATGGTTTTAGTGTGACCAGTGATTGCTTCGTGAAATGATAAAACCTCGACTGTCATAACAAATTTGGGCTGGAGCTTAAATATACAAGGGGGTCCCCGATATACGTCGGGGTTAACGAAACGATGTATAACGGGGACTTTCCCCCAAGAGCAATACTTGTTAATAGGGGGAGAGATAGGAGTGTAAACATTGCCTATGCGATGCAAAGCGGGGGCAATTTCTCCCGTAAGAAACAATGGAATAAGGTAGGGAAATGTTGTCTTTCATGCCGAGCAACCAAAATACATACTTTACATGCAAAATGCGTACTTTACATGGATGTACAGCACAATGTACACATTTATAACCAATTCTAAGTTCAAGAACCTTTAAACGGCATTTATACTTATCAAACATTTAATTTAAATTATAAGTCTTTAAAAGCAACCCAGTACACTTTCAAACTTGTTTTAATAGAATATGTATTTTTGTGACATTTTATTTTAAAGCACAGCATCATAAACATAATTTTTGTAAAAAATTTACGTTACATATATTTATTATGATCTTTAGTAGTGAATGAGTTGTGTTGAAGGGTTGCGACGATGGGACTGAGAAGATGGCGAGTTGTACAGTACTTCTACACCCCCCCCCCTAGAGCTGAGTTCAGCCGAGCAGAGTCAAAAACGATAATCGTCACTGGTGTTGGCCATGAGCGGGAATCGAAGTAGGGTCACCGGGCTCGTAGCGTAGTGTGCTAACCGCTACACACCCACGCACAATGTTATCAACTCAGCTCAGCTTGAACTGAGTTCAAAACGACCTATATGCGGAGAAATTAAAAAATTGTGTTCATCAAAAAGTCGGCGACGTGAGTACAAAACAACGTATATCAAGACGACGTATATTGGGGGACCCCCTGTACCACCATTCAGGAAACAGCTGACGGGCAGCGGCTGCTTTTCCTGATTTCAGGCGGAGGCTGACACGCAGCTTCCGGGCGCCGTGGCCATTCCATCTGATGGCACGGCGAAGCAGGCGGTACTGGATGCCGCCGTAGCAAGCGTGCTCTGGCAGATGGCGGCTGACCGAAAGACTACAGCTCTCAAGCAGCTGCAGGGACACATGTGGCGGGCTGCGTACGCCTGCGGGGAGGTGAAGGGAGAGTAAGCATCTCCTCGCCGCAGCCCACCGATTGTTTTTCGCGTTGTGCCGTGCGTTTGATATGACGTTCGACATTTTGCTCCACGTGCTGGGCGCTTGTCCAGCACCTTGGAGCGAAATAGTCGGGACATCGTGACGATAAAAATGCGGTACAACCTGAAAAACGCATCGGAGAAAAATATACAGCACAACCGCCAAAAGCTACGTAGTAGTGTCTTCTGTCGCTGCTTGCAATAGAAGGGCTTTGTCATATCTTTGTGCAGTCATCATACTTACTTGTAGCTCTGCTGCCCCCTCTTGTCTGGAACAACCCGCTGCATTCAGTATGAAATTCCTTTCCCCTTGCCGATTCTCTCACCATGTTCAAGTCCAGGGTCGAGACTTTTCTTTTCTCCTCTGCCTATAACTGTCTATCCCCATGAGCTGTTTTGACACCTTTCCATGCTGTTGTTGCCTACTCTAGAGCCCTCCAGACCCTCTGCATGGTCGCCTATTTGTACGGTGTCTTGAGATACATTTATTTGCTTTATACTAATCTATCTGACACATGGTTACGTGGCAAAAATGTTCAGTGCACCGTGCAATAAATACACATTGTATTAGAAATGTTGCGATGTCACTCCATGGAGTTGCGTTGTTGCTGCAGGGTGTATGCCGACGTTGTGCCGGCTCTGCGAGCGTGGAGGGCAGCCGGGAAGCGTGTCTACATCTACTCGTCAGGCAGCGTGGAGGCGCAAAAGCTTCTGTTTGGCCACACAACAGATGGAAGTATCTTGGAGGTAGGGATTAAACTGGCTGAGCGAGGCACCAACAATCGAGCAGCCGGGACTGAGGCCGGCGATAGTAAACGTTTCAAAATATGCTGCTGTCAGCAGAGCTAGCGCATTGACTTGGCCAGAGTTTTGACCATCCTTATACAGAAAATGCCCTGCAGCTGTGAAAGTAGGCAAGTATGTCACCATTATCCCATTGCTGCTTTGGACTTCCGGAGCTGTGTACAAACTGGACTACGTGTGACCAAAATAGGATAATTTAACTCTCCCCACATTTTCTTTTCGCTTGGTTTTGTCTGTTACTCAAAACTAAGAACTAAAACGTGCTGGGAATAGTTACCCCATAAAATGGTCCCATCAAGCAGACTGGGCTGTCTCCCAGGACACGAATTGACATGTGAGCCTGCGTGTGTATTGTGGTGCAGCTTCTTGACGGTTACTTTGACACCAAAATCGGCACAAAAGTGGAGGCGGCGAGTTACAAGCAGATCTCGGCTGCCGTTGGCTGCCCAGCGAGCAGCATCCTCTTTCTTACGGACATCACCAAAGGTTTGTTATGCTTGAAGACGGATGTCTGCCGAGTAGCGCACACAATAAACAATGTTTTTCCACATCCAACTGCGTAGCCGCATATGAGTGAATTCAAACTGCATACGTATAGTGAATTTTGGCTAGAAATAGGTTCACCGCATATATGCAACACCGCACAAACCAAACCCACATTAAGTGAGGGAAACCTGTATAGTGGTTCATTCGTGAGCACTCCCACTAAGTCTGCAACATCATACACGCCCAGAGAAATGGCCATAATAATAATACTTACTAATAACATTATTCAAGCTAATAGCATGCCATAATGCTGTACATTATATATAAGGACCAAAGCCCATATACAACCACTACCAATCAAAATCAACAAACATAAAGGAATGGCACCAAAAGAAAAAGCACAAACAACAAAAAAGTTATCACAATAAAATAAATTACGGTAGTCCATGAGGTCACATCCCAGACCATAATCCCAAATTCACAAAGCTGCACACTTGCAATCCAGAAGTCACCAGTTAAATCTCAAGACCTGCTGGCAGTTGAAACAATAGTGTTTCTTAAACCCCTCGACTTTTTGTCCACCCAGCAATATAAATTGTTACATCACAGTTATTCGATTGGCAGGTAGCATATGGTGGGGTATAGTTTGGCTACTCCCACTACTTCCAAGACACCTGGCCAGCGTGAAAGAGTTGGCCAAAATACCCTCCAGAGGGGCTCACTAGAGCTCCCTTGTGGTGAAGGCCCTTGTGCCAGCATTGGCGCAAATAAGTAATTGCAGCCCTGCACTTTAACCTTTTATACAGGATGTATTTTCTGTATTACAACACCATGCTGAAACCGCGAATGGTGAAATCGTTCCGGTTAGCCCTTGCATTTGTACATACACGGCCCGTTTGTCAATCTGCTGCCGAAGAGAGTTCCTTGTTTGCCCATGCCATACGGGTCTTTGTTTTTTTTTTACCTTGCTGGTTTATGTGGTTTGGTAAAGGCCGGCAGCGGTATATGTGGCAGCATAGCACAGTACAATACCGTACAATACAATCGTACCTCCGATTAGCAAAGTTGGCTACATATGGTGCGAAAGAAGTTCAACATACATACATGTACAGTAGTCTCTCGGTTAACGTTTTTAATCCGTTCCACAAAAATTACTGTTAACCGAAATAACTCTTAATAGAATTAAATTATAAGTCGCAAAATAAGTGAAAATCACTGAGTCTGCAAGAGAGTTGTTTCCACTGCCAAAACAGAAAACGCAATGTAAATAAAGCCAGTCGAGTTCTAAATGCTCATAAATGGACATCGGTGATTGACTGAGGCATGCTCAGCCCACTTACGAGCACTCTGATTGGCCGAAATTAGCGCCCGCGTGGAGAACGTAAACGTACCGTGAATCAGAATGTTAACGTTAGTCAAAACCATTGGGTTTTATGGGAGGCGAAACGTTAACCGAAAAACCGTTAACCGATGTCACTGTTTACCAGAGGAACGACTATAATAGGTTTCTTTGGGTTAGATCGCGTAAATATATAAATGTATCGTTAAAAGACTTCTCCACAAATCTGTCTGTCGCCTGATGAAGCTAGTTGTAATTACTGGCAAATGGCTCTCCAACACACCGGTGTGCTGTACTAGTGACGAATTGGCATGTTCTGTTTACGTGACAACCCTTACTAGTTGCCTGTGTCGGGTGGTGGCGGGTTTTAACGACACATTTACGCGATCTAACCCAAAAAAACGTCTTATGGATATTGGTCGCGAAAGCCTACGTGTTAAACCGAGGGACTACTGTACATCAAATGTTGCTGTATTGCCCTCTGGTGGCCACACTGTCCCGGAGCAGCTTGTATGCCACTAACGCTGCAGTTCCTAAGTTATATTTGTTTTTAAGCTACATTATAATGGCACATTTTTGACTCGGCGGTGTAGGTGAATATGTGAAAAGATCAGCTGTGAGAACGTCAATAGAAGATCAGTTATACACCACCGTACACACAAGTTACTGAACAATAATTTAATCCAAACTGCTCTTTGAATGCATTACTTTACGTGAAACGGTCAGAATTTTGAACAGCTATGTGATATGAAGAGGGGTCATTGCCAGAAACCTTGTCTGTTATATAGTATGTATATGTTTAATTTGAATGCGACATTGTTATTGATGTTCTCTTTTTTTTATTTACAGAAAATGACAGTTACACCTCTGCATAAATTCCGCTCTGGGGGATGGGGGGGTATTGTGAGGGGTTAATTGGTCAGGACAGATATGCAATGTCGAACTGTGTCACTATACAAAACCTTTTTTCATTCTTGCGTTTCAGAAGCGGCTGCTGCTGAGGAGGCAGGCATACGAGCCATGGTGGTGGAGAGACCGGGCAACACGGAGCTTACCACTGACGAGAGGAAGCGATTTCACACCACAAGCACATTTTCCCTTTTGCACTGAAGTGATGCATGCCTTGGATTGAAAAATGCTGTTGTGATCCCCACCCAAACCCCCAAATACTGTGATGTTTAACTGTACAGATCAAATTTGATGCGCATAACTATTTGGTGCTTTTGTACATTGTAATTTACAAAGCCTGAGCAATTGTTTGTTTCCTTAATTTTTTTAATTAAATTTAGTTACTACGTGTGAACATTTGAACCTTATGGTGGTACCCCGGGTTCGCATAGTACCCCGGCTTTCGTATAATGTCCGTGACGCAGTCATTTTTAGTCTGTTGATGGTCGGCGATGCGGCAAACGACTCATCTCGACGAGCTGTACTCACGATGCACCACCACGGTGTGTACCGCGAGCGTTCGGGGTTTCAACGCAATCGTCCTCGCTCCGTTTCGACATGGCGGAGTAGCACCGGATTCGTATTGGTACCCCAGTCGCGGAGTGAAGTACACCCCTGGACAAAAATAGTGTCCCAGAAATAAAATATTTAATTGTCTCGGCCATTTTTTAAAATATTATTTGGTACCCCGGGGTACCGCTATAAGGGTCATTTGTGCGTTACCCCGCCGTGCATATGGGTTTTCGCCGATTGCTTTGGTGTTCTCGCACAAAACCAAACGCTTTGGTGAAAGGCGTAGCCCTTGAAAATTCTAGCTCATGCTACTGCTGGTGGGCCTCCGCTAAAAGAAGCTCTTAATGCACCCCACTGGAGGGTATTGTGCTACTCTCGTAGACTGTCAGATGTCATGGAAGTGGTGGGAGTACAATACTCATACTTTAACCCCATCACTCGTGACCAGCAGATTGACTTGATGTCCTGTACCCATTTGTGGTGCTGGGTGGACAAGAGGCTTGAGGTTTTAAGAAACAATAAAATAATAAAAAATATAAAACAATAAAATTCTCACGACGTTTCGACTGCAACACAAGCAATCATCATCAGGTGTGAAAACCACAGCAAGAAAATTTGAAAAAAGTGGCGTTTGTTTTTTTAACGTTAGCACCACGGAGAGCGATTTGAGAGTTTGTTCAGATGGACGAGTCCATCTATGTTCGGAAAAGAGGGGGGAGACGAAAAATAATGGATGCGGTCTAAAAGCCACCGTAAGCGTGAACAATAAATTAAGACCCGAAATGGTTTATCAAATCCTTCCAATAATTTCTGTTTGTGTTTCTCCCTTGTGATGAGACTTTCCAGGATGAACGTTGAGATTTATAAGGGCACGGAGTGACCAATAAGGTCTCAATTAGTTTGTAATAAGGTAGGGAAAGTGAAAATGGGTCGACACGGAGGTGTCGACCAATGCAAAACAAAAACATCGCGAAAGGAACTCGGAAAACTGCTTCCACAACAGCGCTTGCAAGTGTTGTAATTGTGGTCTCTTAATGCCACAGAAGCAGCTTATGATTAAGTTTGTGTGGGGAGCGGTAGTATAGTTAGCGCGCTGCGCTACGAAACCCGATTCCCGCTCACGGCCAACATCGGCGGCATTTGAACCGGTCCCTGGGCCTCGCCTAGGTCGACTCGGCCTCAAATGAGTAGCTGGCGCGGTGTGTAAACATCGCCACTTGGGAAGACAAAGGCGGCCGGGCGTGGTGCTGGCCACCCACCCCCTCGTGCCCGTGCCGGCCTTCATTGGTGCCGCCACTCGCCCCAACAGCACTTCTTCAAAACAATTGTTTTATATTTTTATTTTACCTTTCGGTAAAGTCACGTAGAAGGGAAACGATAAAATAATATTTCGGTAAAGTCGCGTAGAAGGGAAACGATAAAATAATAAAAATATAAAACAATTGTTTTCTATTTTTATTATTTTACCTTTTGGTAAAGTCACGTAGAAGGGAAACAATTGTTTTATATTTTTCGACTGTAGGGATTCAATATTTTATTATTTCCCTTCCACGTGGTAGTGACTTTACCGAAAGAACCAAGAAGATGAATCCCTGCAGTGACGAAAGCTTTAAATAGAAATCCAACAGCCCTTGTTAAGGGGCTGTGTGTGTGTGACACACACGCGCATGTTGCAAGGCGTGTCTATCTTGTTTATATATCTAACTTGCTTTAACTCGGACCCTGTTTAAAATCGGCAATCACCTGACGGCCTGGGAGCCAGAAAAACAACAACCTCAGCGATCGCGCCTCCTCTTCCTCCTCTTCTTCCTCCTCGTGTCTCCTACCTCGTTCGTTCACCTGGAGGGGTTTCATCTTTCGACGAGAAGATGTGGCCCGTGCCTCGTTACCGCGGTCTACAAGCGCCTGAGACGAGGACGACGATGTTGATGTTGTTAGCGATGGTGACGATGTGCCGAGCCTGCAGTTACGAGGTGAGCCTTACAATCAATAGGCGCAGTCTGTTGTAGACTGTACAGGATGGTCCAGGTGTCTTGTGACACCGCCTCTCTCCCCTCCACCATTTAGTTATCTAAAACTTAATATATTTAAAGTTAATGTTTGTTTTAAAATATAGAAAGGAATCCGCGTCGGGGAGAGAGAGAGAAGAGAAAATAAATTTCGGAGGGGTCACTAGACATCTGGACCACCCTGTATAGTTTACTGTACTGTAGCCGGTGTGTATTGATGAGAGCAGAAGAGAGTGGTTTTATCTTCTCGTTGTTTGGCGAAAGTCTCTCTTGAAAGCGTGTTCTTTAGTGTACCGTCAGTGTTTTTATAATTACTGATTATTATTTTTTGCATATCGTTCGCGCTGTTTTGAGCGTTAACTTCACACAAGGCCTACTGTTGGATGCAATCATCTCGCGGCTTAGAAGGCCACAAACATCTCCTACTGCCGCGTTTGCCGATTCTCAAACTTCACACAGAACACACACACACACCCCTTCCACGAGGGATTTGTCAATCCACTGCTGGATGAAAGCCCACTTCTCATCAGCTGTGCCAATCATACGTGACCCGTTTTGGGGGTGGATATGCGTTTGACCATACTTCACCACTCTGGGAAGTCACTTCGGGTTGGGTAACAAAGGAGTGGGCGCAAGGAACGGATTTTTAAATATCAATCGCCACCGATGTTAGCCCTGGGTCAGCGAAAGGGTCTCGTGTGTGTGGACCGGTTCTGAACTGCAGGGACGCTAACCACTGCGCCACCGCTCCCCCCATCCACGAAATCTGTACAGGTAGTCCCCGACTTACGACGGGGATGCGTTACGTCGACCCCATCGTAAGTCGAAAATCTGAAGTCGGGGGACTACCTGTATATTGTTGTTACAGGAATCGTACTGGGATTTTTTGTAATTCGTTAGTTGTGGTTACTACCATCGTCTTCACCGGTACCATCATCAGTACCGGTGCCATCATCAGTACCGGTACCATCATCAGTGCCGGTACCGTCATCAGTACCGGTACCGTCATCAGTACCGGTACCATCATCAGTATCAGTACCATAATCAGTACCGGTACCGTCATCAGTGCCGGTACCATCATCTGTACCGGTACCATCATCAGTACCGGTGCCATCATCAGTATCGGTACCATCGTCTTCACCGGTACCATCATCAGTATCAGTACCATAATCAGTACCGGTGCCATCATCAGTACCGGTACCATCATCATACACAAACCATCATCATACACAAACCATCATCAGTACCTGTACCATCATCAGTACCTGTACGACCATCAGTACCGGTACCAGCATCATACACAAACCATCATCAGTACCGGTACCACCATCAGTACCGGTAACAGCATCGTACACAAATCATCAGTACCGGTACCAGCATCGTACACAAACATCACCGTCAACATCACAGCCGGTCCACAACACAGGTTTTTTTTGTGGGGTTAGATCGTGTAAGTATATAAATGTGTCGTTAAACCCGTCACCACCCGACACAGCCAACTAGTAAGGGTTGTCACGTAAACAAAACATGCCAATTCGTTATTACTACGGCACACCGGTGTGTTGGAGAGCCAAGCCACAACATGTACACATTTACAACTTACAAATGTAAATGCATTAGTGTTGAAAAATGCATACTGCAGTTCCTCTTGCAAAACTTTCATTTTGAGAAAAATTTAGGTTATTTCCCTGACATTCCTGCCCTAACATGTATGTATAACTTCTTTTGCACCGTACGTAGCCACCCGTGATAATCGGGGGTGCGGGAAAGGTTATTCCCTTGAATTGAGAACCAGACCGTTGTTTTGGCAGAGACTTCTGTCAATACACCTACACCATGACTCCCAATCATAAACCCCAACCATTATCCTTACTCTTTGGTTCTTTCGGTAAAGTCACGTAGGTATATTTCTACCTACGTGACTTTACAGAAAGAACCAAAGAGTACGGATTCCTGCAGTCACGAAAGCTTCAAATCAACATTATCCTTACCTCCAATTCTTAAGCCTATATTATATCCCCCTTAATCCCAAACCCCCACCTCTTTAACTATACATCCTAACCCCCAACTCCTTAATTCGCATCCGAGGAACAGACCTCAACAAAACTACAGCAACTTCAAAACAACTTGTTGCGAGTTGCCCTGGGCATTCTGCACAGTCACGTGGCTGCGCAAAAAACCTTGCACTGGCTCCCCATCAAAGAGGCCCCACGGTGGCGAGATGTTAACTACCTCGCCTGGTATGCAAGCAGGTCGTGGGTTCGATCCTTACGCCTCTATATTTGGGGTTTTCATGTTCTCCATGTGGTCACGTGGATTTTTATCCAGGTCCTTCAATCTTCCCCTCCACATTTAGAAACATGCATTGAGAATATTTGGTATAAATGTCCACATGAGAAGCCACTTTATTGAGCTATGCTTTGCGGCCAGGTCGCTTCTGAAAAAGAGGTAAACAAATGTTTAGTTATACCAAGGAATCAGCACAAAGTCACTCTCCTGTGCCATTGAACTCATTTTTTTATTTCTCCCGCCATACCTCTCCACCCTTGTCACTTCAATGACCCCAGAAAACCACTGCATTCTACATCGCAGAGTAAATGTAATAACTTGCTCATCGTACCCAGAACCAGGACTGTCTTTGTCGAGCGGAGATTCTCCATTATTGCACTAGCTGTCTGGAAGTCTCTCCCACTGCACATATGTAGAATCCAAGCACAATCCACCTTCAAGCAACAGCTTCCTATAGGGTTTTTGCCCTTTTTTCTGGCAACAAAACTGAAACCTTTTTACAAGGATTCATGTGTGCATTAACCACAATACTTGTGGTCAAAATGCAAAACCATATTATATTTTGGTACTGGCAAAGGAGGTCTAATGACAGCAGCTCCCTGTTCAGGCTCTTTCCTGTTCAGGTGAAAAATAACTTTACAGCTTTTCGTATTCTTCCAGTATAATTAAATATTCTGATTCTGATGCTTAGGAAGGACTTTGAGCTCTAACTCCCATGCCTCCTGAGTTCTCGACCGACCATTGCATCTGATTCGCGAAATATGTGTGCGTTTATACATTGTGTTCATTATTATTATTATTAATCCTACACAAAATATAGCAGTGGCATCCCTTAATACTATAATTCATCAATTGAAAGTTAACGAAGTTGGAAATAGAAACGACCCACTAACAGTTAAGCACAACCCCAGGGAGGCCTGCAATTCTTGGACACATCTGGACTTTTAATGGCAAAAAATCGAAGATATTAGTTGCCAGACTCAAGATTATTTCCCCACACCTGCAAGGATATTACTGAAGTCACTTTTTTCACAATGATAAGTCATTCCAAACAAGGACCTCCCAACTCGAATACTCGTCAAACCCCACCAATGGTCCGAATGTGCAAGTTTACCAATCCTGACAGCTCAAATGTAAGATGAAAGTCGGTGACTTTGCATGCATCTTTGGTGGAGTGCGCAAGCACTGGAGTTTCAAAAGGCCAGAGTTAAGAAATCCTGGATCTTAGTGTAATCGGCTGATCAGTTACAAATTAAAGTCGTCGCTTGCAAAATCGTGTGGCTTTGAAGCTGCCATTTGGCCCTCACTCGTGATGATAATAAAGTTAGCTGTTGTGTAGTTTTTGCCACTGAAGTCATGCGGGCTGGCATGTGATCAACAGTCCACGGGCAAGAATAGAAATCGGTACCAGTTGAGGTGGAATTATTTTGGCAAATACCACTTACATTTACAGCAATGCCAGTGTTTTATCCAGGAAAGTTTCCCATAGTCTCAAGACTCTTTTTTTCTTAAGAGAACCCTGCGTTGTGGTGTTTGACCAGTGAATGTTTAATGTATGGGAGGAAACTGGAGTACTCTGGATGACACCCAGCATTTCTATATCTTGACTACCTCAGTTCCACCCTACAACACCTGGCAAGTCCTGGTGGTCACCCGTCCATGTACCAACCAGGTTTAACTGTGCTTAGCTTCGGAGATCTGGCAAGATCGGGTACATTTACAGTGATTTTAGTATCTGGTAAACCAAAGTGAATTACAGGCAGACCTCGCTTAACGCTCAAGATGCGTTCTTGGAGAAGTGAGCGAGAATCGAATCGGTGCTGAAAGCGGTCATTATACCATTGTCTATACGGGGATGCGTTTCTGACAGCGTTATTTCTTTTGTATGAGCAATAAATGAGGGCTTCATTGGGGTATAGGTTTAGTGCTAATAATAACAATACAAATGGTCAACATTATTTCATGAATAAAAAATAATGTATTATTATAATATCGGTAAGCATTACGCACTATACTCACGAGTGGATTCTACTGTACTCCTACATGGCAGCGGTGAGAGACGAGGTTGTAGGAGCTTCTGAGTTCCCAGTTCGAGTCATTCTCTAAGAAGAACTGCAGGACTTCCGTGATCTTATTGATGCCCTCAGTCTTAAATCTGTGGTGAGGTTTTGTTTAGGCTGAGCCTGAGACTTTCTCCTGGTCTCGTGAGTTCTCACCTGGCTAACATTGAGAAAAAAATCGATACTAATGTTTTTTTTAATCGTGACACGAATTGTGATAATCCAGTCATGTGGGGTGGGATCTGGTTGGCTCCAAGCATGTCGCTGTAATTGGCTGAGAGAATTATGGCGGCGAGTAAGTTTCCTCGGCCAGCGTTGCGTGCTCTCACTTGTAAGTGCTTTGTATACGTTTCGATTTTTCTTCATTTTTTGTTGTAAAAATGTCCACGACAAGGAGTGCTATAACGAATGGGCTTTCTCCTTGGTGGCACTAAACGAGGTCTGCCTGTATTTATTGTTTAATGTCTGTTTCTACCGATTGAGGTGTGTGAGTAGAGTACTATTTATACTCCAACACACCGGTGGGCTGAAGTAGTAACTAATTGGCACGTTTTGTTTAAGTGACAAACCTTACTGGTTGGCTGTGTCGGGTGGTGGGGAGTTAACGACATGCATACTCGCGCGATCTAACCCAAGAAAACCTTTTATGACTAAGTGCACGTGTGCTGGGTGTCGTGTGTCTGCGTGCGAGCAGAATTGTCCCACGTCCCATCCAGATATGATCAACGTTCACTTAGTTCCACACACGCATGATGACGTGGGGTGGCTCAAAACCGTCGACGAGTACTACTATGGAGGTGCGTGCCGCTTATATTGTTTTACTGATATTTATATTAATATTTGCCAATTGACGTACAAACTCATGTCGCAAGACAGGGACGAGGAACCTTTTTATTACTGAGGGCTGAAAATAAATGTAAAATAGACTGGCAGGCCACACAATGTACCCTTCTGTCACAGCAAGAAACCTTTGCATTGACGTAAGTGACTGAGCTTGCAAAAATTCTAAAAACTGTTTTGAAAATTTTAAAACATTCCCCCTCTAATATGTGATTTGCGTGGAAAATGTATTTGCAATGATGGAAATATATTGTTTGTGGGCCATTTCACAGTGGTAGGGTTCAAGTTGTCACAGGGCCTTATGAAATGAAGTCGGGTCAGATATGATCCATGGGTCAGAGATTCACCACCCTTGTAAGGTATAAAAATGTCCTATGGGAACCCTTCTCAGCAGAGAATCACATCGCGATTGGTAACAGTCCCTGAAGATTATTTTATTCATGGACGGTGGGCAATCTTCTGGCAAGTGTGATGTTTACGCACCTCCGATGAGCACGGTTGGCTACATACGGTACGAAGGACGTTCTACATACATACATTACGTAGCTGTTGTGATTACTAGGCGTCTCCTGTGTGTGTCCGGACTGCAGAAAAAAACGACATCCAGCACGCGGGGGTCCAGTACATCTTGGATTCGGTGATTCCTGCGTTGGAACAGAACCCGTCCCGTCGCTTTATCTATGTGGAGATGGCCTTCCTGAAGCGCTGGTGGAAACAGCAGGGAGAAGCCATGCGGCGGCGTGTGCGTGCACTTATATCGCAAGGTGTGCTAGCAGTGACTGGCTTGGTCACTATAAAACCACCAACAGTGATACTCCTCTAACCCACAGCTCTGTTCCCCTCCAACAACTCCGGTTAGTTGTGGTCCCAATGGAGCTGCAAAATATCCTATCATTTGCAGTTGCATTTTTTTCTATTGTTTGCATTTTTTGATGGATAAGTCACCCAGAAGCGGTCTTCTGAAATCTTGAGATGAAATATCAATTTGGAACTCGTGCAGTGCAGTGCATCACCGGTATTATAGAATAGCACATTAGATATATTACTTATAAGATCCTTTCAAGTGACCAGGGCACTGCACGTACCTACACATCTTGTAGAGAAACATTCATGGCATGAAAGATTGACTGATATTTTGATGAATTCTCATCGCTGAGCTGGATTTTTTTGCTAAATTCGGTGAAAACTACATTTTATAAAGTTGAGTTTTTTAGTTTAATCGTTGCTGACTGGGATGAAAACCTGGTTTAATCACAGGGGGTCAAAGCCTGGATTTGAACCCACGAACTCAGGGCTACTGGTGCGGTGACCCCTGAGCTACCTGGCCACCTCATGGAGGTCACTCCACCTGGCCACCTCATGGAGGTCACTTGTTAAATGGGGGGGGCTCTGTGGGCTCGGTGCCGTGTGTTTTATACACGGAGCCACCAGTGCACGAGGACTTTGCAACGTGTTAAAATGCCGTCCGGATTGCAGGACGCTTGGAGATCATCAACGGCGGCTGGTGCATGAACGACGAGGCGACGACACACTACAATGGCATCATCGACCAGATGACCCTGGGGCTGCGCTTCGTGAGCGATGAGTTCGGGGGCTGCGCCCGTCCGCGTGTCGCCTGGCACATCGACCCGTTCGGTCATTCGCGCGAGCAGGCATCCCTCTTCGCGCAGGTGGTGGCGGCTTCCCGAGCACCTCTCGTGCAACACTGAACTTGCTTTAAAATACAATGTTCCGTGTCCGACCGTCGTTTACCCACCATGACCAGTTAACCCCCGACGCCCAGCGCAGTACATGTGCATTTGCATAACTGGCATTTTCTTAAAGACATTCCCAAGTCAGATTTTTTTCACGTACAAGCTTAATATTGTTCCCTACATATATTTTTAATGCACAGTAGAGCATACTCCATGTGTTTTAAATCAGCTGGTGCTTTAGTTCTGTCCAGTAACCTATTTGTGCATTTTGGTGTTACTGTTGTTTTCTTCTCGTATCTGACCTTTTCAGATATACCCTTAAACCTGAGTCCCGAGCGAGTTAGATGTGACATTGTACTGTTTTGAAATAATTAGTTGTCATGTGGTGAAGCGTTGATTTATAAATTAAACTCGCCTCTTATGCCCATGGCGTATGCATCGAATCGTGCAAGTAAGAATTTATTACTTACGATGTATACATATTTTACATAAATGATATCCCATTGCTGATTTTAGTCGAATTGAGTGAACAAAACTATTCAACTATACAAACGACAATGACAACACGGGATAGTAAAAACTCAGTGAGAAAGTACCCGTTATTGAATTGAATTACAACCCCAAAGCTTTGACAATTCATGGGATCCCTTGCCGATTGAATATTGTACATGCCGAATAATCGCAAATTAGACTCGCTTGTTGCTTGCGCGACAAATAAAAATTGGCTACCAACTATCTCAAACGTTTGAAAGGGTGGCACCCCTTCAGTGGCAGCTGTCCCTGTGGACACAAAGTAACTTGACACCTGACCTGAAATCGGGCATGAGCCTGCTACGTATAATCCACGATTCGAGTCATTTTGTGGGTAATTTTAGAGTGTGGCGAACGTGAGTGAGTAATTGTGTTTGTGTGCGGTGATGCAGATGGGCTTTGATGGCTTCTTTTTTGGGCGACTGGATTACCAAGACAAAGAGCAGCGTATGAAGGACAAGCAGATGGAGTTGGTGTGGAGGGCCAGCAAAAGCATGGGACCGCCTGTGGCCGACCTATTCACAGGTTATTATTGAGTGCTAGATCAACCTCCTGTACCTTTTTAGTTTAATTTCATTACATTTAATTTTATATGTGTACCTCACATTTTTTTCTAAGACTTTTGCTGCCTCACGGATGTAGGGCAGTTAATTTTCTTTTCATTGAAATGCTGATTGGGCCCAGGAACACATTGCTGAGTGGATTGTGCCTTGTCCTCACAAGAATGCATTTTCCACAATGCAATGCGTTAGCAACATTTTTAAATATTACTTTTAATATAAATGCGTTTGCTTGTAATATTTTTTTTTTATTGTTTAAGGGTACCTAGTGCGGTGTGTAAACATGTTCCACTAGGGAGACAAAGGCGTGGTGCTGGCCACCCACCCCCTTGTGTACCATGCCAGCCTCCATCGGTGCTTGCTAACAACACTTGCACCAAAAGTCTGTTAAGGCTATACGGGGGATCTTTGTTGTGGGGAGCAGTGGTACAGTGTTTCACTACAAACGCAGTGACTCGTGACAGGTTCACTACAAACCCAGAGTTCAAAATGTCTATGGATAACACAGGTGACAAGTGGTATCAATATTTGCCTTGGGCCCTTCCTAGGCCTGTATGGAACTAAATGAGTATCTGCTGCAGTCTTATGAACATCAGCAATGCGGTGATGAAGGATTTCGGGCACTATGATTGTGGCCATACCACCATCATGTGCTGTGCCAGCTTTAGTTGGTGCTCAGTAACAGCACTTTCCTTCACAGCACGTGTGTGTGTATAACCCATGGCATAAAATATCCCTTGTGAATATACTCGTACATCCAGGTGTGCTGTTCAATGGCTACAACCCGCCACCCGGCTTCTGCTTCGATCAGTTCTGTGACGATGAGCCCATCCAGGATGACCCCAGCCTCTTCAACTACAACGTGGACTCTCGCACAAGTGATTTTCTCAAGGAAGTTGCCAAACAGGTGAGTCCGACGCCTCTCCATAAGCCAGGTTGAATTCAACTCTGGCTATTCTTCCCCAATTTTCTCCCATTTTGTATTTCTATTTTGTTTGTCGGCCGGTGTCGTGGGATGGCCTGAAGAGATTTCTGTCCACAATGCTGACGGCTAGCAGTGCACGTCACTGTGTCGGTGAATGGCCCAGGAAGATGACGTCACTGAGCTATGACTGAAGTCCCTTCAGTCGGCCTGTTTATCTCCACTTGGGGAACAGGTTTCGTATGCCCGGCTAAGAGTGTTCGTTGCACATCAATAAAGCAGATATATTTAATTATTTCAACTATAATTAACATACAAACAAAATTTTACATTATGGTCTTTTTTGCACGTATATTTATGACTGGGCTAAGTGCCATGAACTCACTCGCTATACTTGAGGATACAGTTTAACCATGGGTTCCTGAAACCTGGATTCGATACCTGGATCTCGGCAAGAGCGGCAACTCTGTCCTCTTGAGCCACCTCCCAAGTTCACTGTGCCTCTCGGAACAATCTAGGCCTAGTCCTCCCAGCACTACACCAGGAATTAGCCCATCTCTGAATCGATGGGCATGTGTCTTAAATTCCCCCCGGCAGCTGGTCTGCCTAGCAGTAAATGGGCAGTTCGGCAGGTCCCAAATAGCGGGACGAAGTGTGGGTAAGCTCACCTCTTCCAAGACGTTTGGCCAGCGTCGAAGAGTATGAAGAATTCCCCTGTAGCAGGGCTCTCTTGAGCTGCACCTAGGGGAGGCTCTTCCACCAGCAGTGATGTGAGCAATAAATTGCAGGGCTGCATCTTAACCTTTTGTCAGCCTATCATTGATTTCCTCTGCAGTCAGAAAATTTAGCATCACCTGGTGAGACTGTACCTCCTTCGAGGGAATTCAGCAGTGGTTGTGCTAGTGCTGGTCTCATCAGCCATGACAGATGTAACCCTGCAAGTTGCAAGGGTGGATCCCGTTCACCGCTGAATCTTGGAAAGCACAAGCAGTTTCGCTTAAATTTTGTTGGAGATACATAGCGCCATTGTTTTTAAAGACTCAACGCAGAGACCGCACTCGGAACAGGGAACGATTAATAGGTGCTCGCTAATAACATTTGCGTCTGCTAATGAGGCATTTTTCTGTTGCAGGCCAAGTTTTATCGCACAAACCACATCATCATGACCATGGGCTCTGACTTCCAGTACGAAAACGCCAACCTCTGGTTCAAGAATCTGGACAAGCTCATCACCTATGTCAACCAGCTGGTGTGATGTCATATTTCTTATGACTGTGTGTGACCGTGACTGCTTGTCTGTTTGCATCTGTGTCTGATTTGCTTATTTGCACTTTCATCTGTGTGTATGTTTATCTGTTTGTATAGTCCATGGTCCCAGTGCAGATATTTCACTTGTCGGTATCACCTGAGGTGGTGTATCTTTCGTGGTTCCAGTTTATGTATTTGGCCTGGCCATTTGAAATGAGTGAGTGATCAAATAATTCACTCATACTTGCCACGTAAACAAATTGGTACTACTACAGTTTTTCTACCTTAGGTGGGCATCGATTTCTACTCTGGGCAATGGACTAATAATACCTGTATTTTGGGGCCACTTAACATTTACCCAATCCAATACATTGCTTCCTACAAATAATTTTCCATGTTTATTTTTAATTACACAGTTTTTCTCAACGGAGTCAGTGAAACATACAAATTAAATACTTTTTCACGTGCCTGTTTCATACAAGTTTTTAAAGAACCTCTGCCCTATAAATTTAGTCCAAATTCTAATAGAAAAAAGACATTGAACAAGCAGAACTAAGCGCGTGTGTGTTCTGTTGTCTCCTTAGCAAGTGAACGGCAGCAAGGTTAACTTGGTGTACTCCACGCCAACCTGCTACCTCAATGAGCTAAACAAAGCAAACCTCACCTGGTGAGTCCATTCATCATTGCTAATTCATCGCACTTTGTGAATTTTTGTGTTTCTCAACACCTGTGTACTGCAATAATTATGAATAATCCTTCATGTACTCGGGAAAGGCTAATGGGGTCTCTCCTATCATGTGTAACTTAAGAGTGTTCCGTGCAGAGTTTATTTGATTTATTTTGTCATCTTATTTTAGTAGGTTGTTTATCTACTTATTTATTTATTTATTCCAGGTAGCCTTTCCAACTTACCCCAAATTATGGCTTACTTGAGTCCGGCTTGGCGAGGTTTTACCGTGGATGCTTTCACCATTATCAGGACTGTGAAGGAGGACGACTTCTTCCCGTACGCAGACGGCCCTCACCAGTTCTGGACTGGATACTTCACGAGTCGCCCGGCCCTCAAGCTCTTTGAGAGGCGCAGCAATAACCTCCTGCAGGTCAGAACTCGCCTCCTGGAGGTCAGGGGTCCTCTCCTGCAGGTCGCTACTCCTTCTTTACCCAGTGCCTCGTTTGTGCACAGACATTGGGGACTGTGCTGGCTCGGTGCTGGTACCAGAGTGACCATATTCCCCCGGTAGCCCAGATCCCGGCATCCACATTCGCTTCTCTGCACCTCTGTCACATGTTTAAAGTTGGGCCAATGCCAAAAAGAAGAGAAATGTATGTATGTTGAACATCTTCTTTCACCTTTTTTCAAAATTTCTTGCTGTTTTTCACACCTGATGATGATTGCTTGTGTTGCAGTCGAAACGTCGTGATAATTTTATTGTTTTATATTTGTATTATTCTATTGTTTCCCTTCTACGTGACTTTACCGAAAGAACCAAAAACATTTTCTTTCACTGTATGTAGCCATCCGTGCTAATACGAGAATGAGGCCGGACAGGAACAGCCTGTATTTGGCGATTCAATACAAAAGTAGAAGGAACTGGTGTCGGGCAAGACGGAAAACAAGGTGGATTAATGCGGTGATAAATTATCCAGAAAGATAAATGATCCTGGTTGGGTTATACGATGATCGAACGAAGCAGTAACACTGGCTAGCGAGCGACAACCACGCTGGAAATTCCTTCGGGCCTCATCGTTGCTAATGAGCTGATGGCAGGAACCGTGTGATGCGTGTGCCGTGAAACCACCAACTTAGTTTCACTTTTCAGCAGCAGTATTTAAAGTGCACGGGTAAAACATTGTAGAACTCGTACATATTTACGTCGTATAAGCCAACTGTTGATGTACGTACGTTGAACTTGTTTCGCACCGCACGTAGCCAACCGTGCTAATCGGATGCCTCGTTGACAAATGTCGATGAAGGCTAGGCGTGTTAACGATTCCCAAGCAAACCCCCCCATCCCACGCTAGTTTCTCGCATTGTATCCAGGTTTGCACTCAGCTGGAGGTGATCGTGGGGAGCGGCGCAGCTAGAGGACCCTTGGGACGTGGGTACAGCTTCCTGCTGTGTGAGTAAATTTAATCCTGAACAACGTATTGCGTCTTGAATTGAAGCTTTCGTGACTGCAGGAATCCATACTCGTTGGTTCTTTCGGTAAAGTCACGTATTTTTCTACCTACGTGACTTTACCGAAAGAACCAAAGAGAGTGTATCGTGTGTTGTCTTGGTGTGGTCTGGGACTGTAATTGCTGTTTTACTGCCTTTCCGAATCTTGGAAATTGATGATCCAATTAGAACTTGCATACTTTATTTATTAAAGGGTCGCCACGGTGGCGAGATGTTATCTTCCTCGCCTTGTATGCACGAGGTCACTGGTTCGATTCCGACCCAGACGCCTGTATATTTAGAGTTTGCATGTTCTCCCTGTGGTCGCATGGATTGTTTTCTCCGGGTCTTCCGGTTTTTCTCTCCACATTTAGAAACATGCATTGAGATTTGATAATTGTTTTTTTTTTACCCTTTTATCTGGCAACAAAACTGACACCTTTTTTACAAGGAGTCATGTTTACATTGACCACAATACCTGCGGGGTTTACATTGACCACAATACCTGCGGGCAGGTATTGTGGTCAATGTAAACATGACTCCTTGTAAAAAAGGTGTCAGTTTTGTTGCCAGATAAAAGGGTTAAAAAACCAATGATCATAGTTTGTTACTGGCAAATGAGGTTTCCAATGGTATAAATGCTTACCCTGAGCTCTCATACTCTGATGGTGCATTGTCTTTGAGTTGTGCGCCTTTTGGCGTCTTCTGGTCCAACACCATGTGAGACGAGGCTCTAAAGCTGTCTCGGGTGTGGACCAATCAATTTCAAGGACAGTGCCACATACATTATCAGAGTTGATGTTTTTTGTTTGCGTTCCGACCGCTGGTATTGTGGTCAATGTAAACATGACTCCTTGTAAAAAAGGTGTCAGTTTTGTTGCCAGATTAAAGGGTAAAAAAAACAATTATCATATTTTGTTACTGGCAAATGAGGTTTCCAATGATGCATTGAGATTATTTTAGATTATTTTGGTGCTATAAATGTCCAAATGATGGGCCACTTTGTAGAGCTATCATTTGTGGCCAGGTTGCTTCTGAAAAGTAAATTAATACCTCAGTGGGCTTTGCCTGGTAGTATGGGGATGGTTTAGTTTCATGTGTTTGGGTACTTTGCACTATTATCATGTTTTTGTACTGTTTGTTGTTGTAACGTTCTTACCCTGTGCCCCTACTGGACATCTGTAAAAAAAGCTTTATAGCTCATCGGATTCCTCCAGTATAAATAAATATACTCATTCTGAGTGCCTCCGTCGTTTTCCAGTACACTCCGAGCGCTCACGCTTGTCCGACACACCCTCCTGTGCAGCAGACCCAAAGGAGGAGGAGTTGTCCTCGATTAGAATGTTGGAGATGTGGGAGCAGCTTATGAGACTCGTGTTATACTTGCTTGCGTGTTAATGTAAAGTGGTGTCGTAGAGTGGACAACACTGTGTTATGATCCAGGCCAGTGGTTCTCAACTGGGGGTACGCAGACTTTTGGGGCTATGTGGAAATGTCCCAGGGGGGGTACGTGAGGTGATTTATAAATGTGTGAAATTATATGATGCATGAGTCATCGATGAATAATCATGTATGCCAATATAAATTAACTACGACAAAATTTAAATCCGTATGGGAACCTAGAACGATATAAAAGACCTTTCTAAACTCATTTATCATGAAAAATGTTGTTTCAAAGAGTACCAGTGAGTCGAACAAATTACGTCATGCATGCAGAGCGTCCGTTTAATTTTTTTTTATCCGCTTGCAGTTACTGGCTAGTTACAATGGTGTTCCGTGAGGCTGGTGTTCTGTGAGGCTGCTACTACAGGGGGTCCGGAAAAAAGAATGTACAATTTCAAACAACTCTGGCTGTCCGCTTGATGATGCGAGTTGTAATCACTGGCGAAACGTCATACTCGAATTGTAAATGTTACTCTCCAATACACCGGCGTGCTGAACTAATAACGAATTGGCACGTTTTGTTTACGTGACAAACCTTACTAATTGGCCGTGTCGGGTGGTGGCGGGTTTAACAGCACATTTATATTTACGCGATTTAACTCAAAAACCTCTTATGGATAGAAGCATGTGGTGGTCTGCGAAAAAATGTTTGTGGTTGAAAAAGGGGGTCCGCACACTCGAAACAGTTGGTAACCGCTGGTCTACAAGGCTAAACGGCGAGATCCGCGCCTCCAATTAGCACGGTTGCCTACGTTCGGTGCGACAAAAGTTCAAGATACATACTTTGTGTGTTCGGCAGGGGAGGCGATGGGGGTAGCTCAGCACCACGACGCCGTGTCCGGCACGGAGAAGCAGCAGGTCGCCTACGATTACGCCGTGCGTCTCTCCCTCGGCTGGGACAGCTGCCAGGTGCCCAAACCTCTTTGCAACCATTAAAGCACGCTCGCACATGCAGCACAGAAGAAATTAAGACAATCAAAATAACCTAAAAGGTAGAATGAATAAGTGGCCATGTAATGGCTTGCTATTGAAGTTGTCATTATTATCATCAGCAAGTGTCAAGAATTGAGGAACACGGACTGCTATGATCTGGTCATGTCAGAAGAATTTCACCAAAAAGGAATATAGCGAAAGCAAAGGCAACGCCAGTGGAAGGAAACGGAGAAAAGTGCGGATTAACAGGAGGCACTAGCACGGAGGGAAATGACATGGAATCATCAGTGGATGTGACATGGTGATGATTGATGATGATCGCCAACAGTGGAGGACAACGGCCTCTGTATAGGGGCAGGACGGTGAGGGGTGGGTTTTGTGGATGACGAGGAACAGCATGTCGCGAATCACTGCATCGCGTGAACTGTGACGGATGAGGATGGCTTGTGGAGACCTTCATCCAGCAGCGGATTGATCCCAGGGCAGCCTGCGAGAAACATACCGGCTGCTGTACTGTCACCTGCAAGACGGCGTGTTGTTCAGCGGTGCGTAGCGCTGACGTATGCACGTGCGATTGTTGTGCCAGATGCTCGTCAGCAATGCGCTGTCTGCTCTGTCCGGGAGCGGAAAGCCCACGGAGATCTGCCGCTATCTCAACATCAGTGTCTGCCCAGCCACGGAGAGTGCTAGCGCGGTGAGTGATTTTTATTCGTTTGTGGAGCTCGCACAAATCTATTGCTAGATGAGGATCTTCCTATTTCTCTGCCCCCCACCTTCAGCAAGCAGCACTTTGCGGCCTCGTGAAATTGGTCAAATAACTCGCACAGCCCGCGCAGTGGTTGGGAGACCCTCATTCAGTAAGAGGGCAGTACGCGTATATGTACAAGAATAAATCAATCTCACCCGCTAACTCAACTTTTACTTTGGTTAGTCTCACAACAAACGGAGGAGTGTGTTTGTTAACGTGGGGTGTGCATGTGTGTGTGTGTGTGCGCACGCGCGTCTTGTGCGTAGTTTACGGTGGTGTTGTACAACCCTCTGGGACGAAGCGTCACGGAGAACGTGCGTCTGCCCGTCAATGGTTCCCGCTACCTGGTGCAGGATCCCAGCGGGGCCACCATGGTGTCCAAGGTGAGTGGAGGGTCCCGTCGCACGTGACCACCGTCTGTCTGGTATTTCTGTGAAATAACTTTCGGATGCAAATTGAGGATATTGAAATTCATCTTTTTGTCTGCCATTGGGTAGTGACGCGGCCGAGCGGTAAGAGCGTTTTGCCGCTCGGCGCAAAGGTTCGTGGTTTCGAGGCCAGCAGATGCCCTGTTTTAATACTCGCGTCTGTCAACGACAAATACCACACGGGCTAAACAGGGGATGTTAAAAATTTGGTGACTTTCTGAAAAACATTAGGCCAAGACTTCATGTGCATCATCGGCCGCGTTATGCTGTTAGTAGCTTGCATGGGGTTTTCTGCTTTCGGGAGGCAGGATGTCCAGGAAGCTGCCATTTTTTTAAGGGGCCTGAGTAATCAACCACAAAAAAGAACTTGACGATTGCAAATTCTAGCCACTTCTTAAACTTAATAGGATTATCATCAGAGTATCATTGTTGTTGGAAAACTGCACCGCTTAACTTTAGCGTTAGAATTTATAAAAACGAAACAATTTTTATTTTACCAGGTAAGGCCCACTGAGCTATATAGCTTATTTTCAGAAGCGACCTGGCCACGAATGACAGCTCAACAAAGTGGATTATCACGTCGAAATTTATTGTAGCAAAATCATCTAAACGCATGTTTCTAAAATGTAGAGGGGAAAAAACGGAGGACCCAGAGAAAAATCCACGAGATCACAGGGAGAGAACATTCAAGCCCCAAATATACAGTTATCAGGATCGGGATCTAACCCATGACCTGCATATGAGGTAGTTAACATTCTTGCCACCGTGTGCGTGCAAGGTTTAGACACGTTATACGCACAATCCCGTGCCGTCTTCGTGCCACAGGTGTTCCCCGTGTCGGATGCGACGCGTGCCGTTCGCCGAACCCTGGGCACTGCCTCCGGCGAGCTCGTCTTCCAGGCGGCGATCCCTCCTCTGGGATTCGCCCGCTTCTCTGTGAGCCGAGCCGCCCGGCGGCCCGCAGAGGCCCTCACCGGATTTGTGGCGCGCGGCCCAAGAGCCGGAGGCAACGGGGCTCCCATCTCCATCAAAAACGAGGTCAGGATCGGGGCCGCCACATGTTTAAGGCTACAGGACGACCTGGTTTGGCAGGGTCGGTCCCGTTTTCAGAATGGCTGGACTGGTTTCCCTACAAAATCTTTGCGAAAATTGGGATTTTTGTTTCGAGTAAAAATGTTTTGGTTTCATGCAAAAAAATGTACGATGTGGGCAAGGATGGGGCTATCAAAGTAGTGGGCTACCTGAGGAGTGGATGGGGGGGCTACCTCAGCAGTGGGTGGGGTTACCTGAGTGGTAGGTGGAGCTACATGGGCAGTGGGCGTGTGCTACCTGAGCAGTGGGCGGTTTTAGCAGAAGAGTAGGTGGGGACTATGAGCATGATGTTGGTTGGTCAGTGTGGGTAGGTGCTCGCTAACAGCACTTGCCCCTACAGTCTGTTAAGGCTATATGGGGGATCTTTGTCTTTGTTGGTGAAGGGAAGGGCACAGGACCAGTGGGCTCTCATTGAGACTCACACTCTCGGTTGGCTACGTACGATGCGAAATAAGCCGTACAAAATATGATATCGCATATTGCAGCAAGCCGAATTTAAGTAAATGGGTTGTCCACCAATTCTTAAAATACCAGTATTTGCTGGATACCTGCCGTGCTAATTGTAATAATAATTTCTGTGTTGCAGTACTACACGCTGACATTTGATGGAATCTCGGGACTCCTGAGCAACGTGGAGAACAGGAAGAGCTCCCTGTCACTGCCTGTGACACAGAACTTCTACTGGTAACGCTTAGCAGCTGCAGCTACAGCTCACGGCTAATGAACCCCTTCTGATAGAAATCCATTTTGCAGTAACGTGCCCAATCCATCCATAAAATGATCAAGTGTTGACTGTAAACTTCCTAGAAATGCAATCCCCGATTTGAACTCTCAAACTTCTTCAGATCACGAGTTCACAGCTTTAACAGCATTGCCATCTGGGCAGATGTCCTATGTAGCACATAATGCTTGATACGTGCCACTTTGCTGCCGTGCTGCTGCTGTGCTTTTGTTGTCCTGCCGTGCTTCTGTGTGCTGCCGTGCGGCGTGGCATTCTGTGTATACAGGTACAAATCAAGCAAGGGTGACGATGACAACGGTCAGGCCTCCGGCGCGTACATCTTCCGTCCAAACTCCTCCGAAGCCTTCCCTGTCGCCAAATCCGCGGTCACGCACTTCACCGTTGTGAGTGGGGGCTTCATTTCTGGGAGAATTGTCGAAAAAAAGGAAAGGTCGGTGTGATGTTATCTTCCTCGTCTGGTATAAAACAGGTCTGGGGTTCGATCCTGACCCTGATATTTGGAGTTTGCGTGTTCTCCCCCCGTGGTTGCATGGAGTTTTTTTTTCCGCGTCCTCTGTTTTTTCCCACCTACATTAGAAACATGCTTTGAGATTATCTAGATTATTTTTACGTTTTAAATTTCCACGTGATAAGCCACTTTGTTGAGCTATCATTTGTGGCCAAGGTCGCTTCTGAAAATGACCTCTATAGCACTGTGGGCGCTTACCTGGTAAGATAAAAAAAAGTAGTTTTATTTTTATATTTGTAAGTGATTTGTTTACCTTTCCTATACTTTGCACTCCTATCGTATTTTTGTCTTTTTTGTTGTAACTTTCTGACTCCGTGCCCCTACTGAACATCTGTGACAAAGAGCCTTGTAGCTCATCAGGTTTCTCAACTATAAATAAAGATTCTGATTCTGATGAGGTGACACACATACGATCCTGGGCTCAACCTCCAGGTGGTTACCCTCTGATTAAACTGGGGTTCAGAGTGTGTTTGTTTTGGTTGTTACGTCCTTTATTTATCCAGGAGATTAAATTAATCCAGTGAGGCAGGCGCATGCAAAGACTATTTATTTTGCAAGGACGACTTGGCCGTGAATTGATGGTCTCATGCCGGTCACCAATAACTGTAAACAAAAAAACCCCATGTCAGATGAAATTTCACTCCGCACTTAATTTGGGCTCAATTCCAGCTCTGAGAATCAAAAATATCTGTTTGACTGTTCGGCGGGGGAACATTGCTCTCGGTGGCAGGACAAGTGGGAAATTGCTGCCCCCCTCCATTTTCATTACTTCTACCTCAAACAAACGTTGGCATATTCTGCTCATAGAGGTTAGTCGGTTTAACACGTCGGCTTTCGCGACCAATATTCAAAATAAAGGTTTTTGGGTTAGAACGCGATCTAATCCAAAAACCTTTAGTATGAATATTCTGACCTGCTGTAAACTGTGCACCAGGGAGTGCACTGGTTTGCGCACTGCATTACAAATTCAGCGACCCCGAGTTCGATTCCTGCTCATGACCAGTAACAGTGACGATATTTTAACTGGTCCTGGGCCTCACCCTAAGTCCTCAGTCAGTGGTCCTTAACCTGGGGTGCATGCACCCCCTGGGTGTGCAAGATGCCATTTCTGGGGGTGTGAAACATGCCACATTTTTTTAGGTTAATCATCGAAACACAAATTAAGCACGGGTATGTAAGTAAAACTACTTTGTTTCATCAAACCTTTGTATTTATTCACGTATAATTGTTTTATGATTGAGAACCTAAAGGGGTGCCAGGCTGCAGTAAAGGTTAAGAACCACTGTCCTAGGTGGACTCAGCCTTACGGTTTATAAACGTAAACATTGGGGAGACAAAGGCGGCCGGGTGTGGTGTTGGCTACCCATCCTCTCCCTCGCGTGCCGGCCTTCATAGATGCTTGCTTGATAGTATTTTGACCAACAGTCTGTTAAAGGCGATAAGGGGGATCTTAGTCTGTGCTGTTCAATGTCTGTTGAACCCAGTGTGCTGGGGTTTTTCACAGTGAGTACTGTGTGGTGTTTGTAGGCACTGCGATCCAACCCTGTCGTTGTGTGGTTGTTATGTGACGGGTATTGTTACCCCGTGCGCTCCTGACTCGTCCGTACGTGGGTTTGTGCTGCTTCGCCACTGCAGGACCCCTTGCTGCAGGAGGTGCGCCAAGTCTTCTCGCCCTGGTGCTCCCAGGTAATTCGTCTCTACCCGGGCAAGCCGTACGTGGAGCTGGAGTGGACCTTGGGGCCCATCCCTCTCGCGTGAGTGGGTCCCACTGTTGTGATTGTGCTCGCACGCGCGTGGTCCGCTTGTGTGCACGTGCGTGACGCACTGTGCCTTCATGGGTACTTGCTAACAGCACTTGCTCCAACGGTCTGTGAAAGGCTATACGGGGGAGCTTTGTATTTGTTTTTGCCACACTGTGCTATGAACCCAATGATCTAAACAATTTACCTTCGATGGCTAATACCTGGCTCAGCCTTAAATGAGAATCTGGTACGGTGGGTAAACTTCAACACTGGGGAGGAAAATGCGGTCGGATGCAGTGGTGGCCACACCACTCCATCTCGTGCAGCGTCAACCATAATGGGTACTCATGAGCAACACTTGCCACAGTAGCCTTTGTAGGCTATAAGGGGGATCTTTATATGTGTGTCACCTCTGACTAAATCTGACAGAATGCACCTATAATCAGATGACGAAATCTAAGCAAGGTTGAGCTTGGATGGGCGACTGTTATGAATAAAGCTGGTGATATAGGCTGCTGCAATGCTACATTTTGGATAGCAGAGGGTATTGCAGAAAAATACGTACTATAACAATAGGTTTTTTCCCCTTTTTTCTGGTAACAAAAAAAAACCTTTTACAAGGAATCATGTTTGCATTAACTACAATACTTGTGGTCAGAATGCAAACAACAACAAAAACATACTCTAATAATATATGCATTGTCTTTGAAACTGATTAGTCCACACCAGAGATAGCTTTCTTTTGAGCCTAGTCTCAAACGGTGTTAGACCAGAGGACGTATTTTCCAACCCACAATGCTCAGTATGGTCAAATAACACTAACAACCCTTATGTATTGGAAGCTCATCCAGCAGTGGATTGACACAATACCTATACGTGTACATTTATACCAGTTAACAGCATCATGAGGTGCACGTGCATTTTATTTTCTGTCTAAACAAACAATAATATACGAAGTCCAAATTTGTATGTATCGTATACATGTAAAGCGTTGTGTGTACGTGTCGTTTTTCAAATTTAGATTTTCTGAATCTTCTCTTTCAGGGACAAAATTGGCAAGGAGGTTTTGGTTCGGTTTGACACTCCGTTAAAAACCGACGGTGTGTTCTTCACCGACTCGAACGGCAGGGAGATTCTGGAGCGCAGGTATGATTCTTGACATTTCACCGTGTTCAATACTCGTGTAGAGGTACTTTTACTTTTAAAATACTCGACACTAAGCCCATAGTTTCCTCCATTCAAAAAGTGACCTCCGTGATGTGTCCAGGCGGCTCGGAGGTCATAACGCTGAGCTGAAAGTTGTTGAGACGCTTTGTTCTAATCCGTTCAACCGCCTAAGAATTAACCAGTCTCGCAAGTGCATCAATGAATGTGCAAAAAAAAATTGGGTTCACATATTAAATAGATTTTTCCCCTAAATAAGGCTAAAGTCCAGCTCGAAGATTTAAATATATCAGGTTGACTGTTGTGTGCAACAATCTTGACTTGCTTTTGGCAAGATGGGTAGGAAAGTTGTGCCCACTACATTGTGGACCAGAGATCACCGAGAGAGATGTCAGAGGTAGTTCTGTGATTCTAGATTTGAAGCTTTCGTGACTGCAAGGATCCATACTCTTTGGTTCTATTCGGTAAAGTCACGTAGGTAAAAAATAAAACAACAAAAATCACGACGTTTCGGCCACAACACAAGCAGCCTTCATCAGGTGAAGGGACCAGACTGTCTTGAAGACAGTGCTGGAGTGAACCAAACATTAAACTAATTTTCAATGGTACAGTATATTTTTTCAAGTAGTGGTACCCAAAACTTTTGCAGCTCTTATAAATTCCCTTTTCACACCATCAATAGGTAAACTCCCCCTGCCCCTCCCGCGCCAAACGGCAAGTCCACCGGCACGTACACCACCTCTATGCTAAGTCGGCCAATCAAATACTAATTTTTATACTAATTCCTTTGTCAAGGCACCTTGTTTCCTCGCACACAGCTTAAAGGTCCGCGGTCTGAGCGTGGCTGTGTTTCACTCCAGCGCTGTCCTCGAGACAGCCTGATCCCTTCACCTGATGAAGGCCGCTTGTGTTGTGGCCGAAACGTCGTGATTTTTTGTTTTATTTTTTACCTACGTGACTTTACCGAATAGAACCAAAGAGTATAGTTCTGCGATGTCCACTTCTACGGGTCATACTCTAACGGGAAGACTGCTCTGCGAGGGATCTTAACGGATGCTTACATGTCATGACACGTGATGCCGATGGCACAATCCAGGATGAAAAAATTTGGGAAAATGTTTTGTTTTAAAAGTGACCTCCACAAACGTGGCGTGACTCGTTTCACCCAGGAGAGACAAAAGGCCAACGTGGCCCTTGAATCAGACGGAACCCGTGGCCGGCAACTACTACCCGGTCAACAGCCGCATCTACATCAAGGTAAAGGCAGCACTGGGGCTTTGTACAATCGTCACCAACGGTGCAGTAAAACTTTGACTCTTGTCCAGTGAAAGAAAGGGGCTGTAATTGGGCGTAATGTGCTGTCGGAGGTGCTCTTCCTCTCGCATAACAATGGTGCTGGTAAAGTATTGCAAGCTTGAATGAATTAAAGTACTGTGATGTATTTTTAAACGGTCCCTCTGTTCTTACACTCGTAGGTGTTCAGGTGCCTTAACTGTAACCTCTTAGTCCCCTGTCTCCATGCCCTTTATTCCCTGCCCTCTTGTCCCACATGCCCCTTTCATATTCAATACTCTTCCATGGCCTTGCCTTTATTCACACTCCTCTCCCCGATGCCCTTACCCTCTTTGCTCTCTTCGTCATGCTCCTTTTGCCCCTTGTCCATCTACTCAATGCCCTTCATTCATCTCCTCTCCATGTAACATCTCCCCCAGGACGAGAAGATGCAGCTGACAGCTCTGACGGATCGCTCTCAGGGCGGAGCCAGCATTCGCGACGGGTCCTTCGAGCTCATGGTGAAGCACGCGATGACCGGCATTCTGTTTTGGGAAAGAAAAAAGCTCAACAGGGATCTTTCTGTTTTAAAATCGAAGGCGATAGTCGCTGGGCTGTTTGTTTATGCCTGCTCTGCGTGTCACGTCACGTCCTCCAACAAAACAATTTTGTGCATTTTAACACGTAGGCTTTCGCGACCAATATTATTCATAATAAAGGTTTTTGGGTTAGATCGCGTTTATTTATAAATGTGTCGTAACCCTCCACCACCCGACATGGCCAATCAGCAAAAAAAGTGTCACGTTGACAAAAGACAAATAATTCACTACTTTAGCCCACCGGTGTGTTGAAGAGTGAATCCACATTTACAGTTTGAATACGACGTTTCGCTGGTAAATACTTCCAGCATCATCGGGCAATTCACCAGAATGGTAAAGCCCTCGCTTGCTCCCGGTTTTATATAGAGCAGCAGGGTGACGTCATCACTTAACTCATATCAGGTGCAGTGATTAGAGGCGGAGGGGGGGTATTGTAATTATATAATCGATTAGTAATCAGTCATTGGTTATGATTAGTAATGAGTTGTAGATTAGTAATTCTTTAAATCAAAATGTAATGTGTATTATTTAATAATACGCTTCCAGGCCGCACTAAGCCGGTAGCTGTCAGAGCGATTAAAGTTATTCTTGTTCCTCTCAATTTCAATGGATTCTCTAATTAGTCTTTGCCAGTAATAATTAGTTTTACACACCACTGCAACATTGTCAAAATCAATTGAGTGTCCTTGTTGACAAGCATGTTCTGCCACTGCCGACAGTTGTGTTTGAGATAATTTAATATTTTTCTGATGTTCTTTTAGTCTTACGCTGATGTTACGTCCCGTCTGCCCAATGTAGCAGCTGCCACATGAACAATTAATCTGATATACACCTTCTGTTGATAGTTTAGGTAATGCGTCTTTAGTGCAAGATACTAGTTTTTGAATTTTGTGTACTGTACCAAATCTTACTGTAATGTTTTGCTTTTGCAAAACACGGGCTAATTTGTCAGTTACTCCTGAGATATATGGAATTTTTATTGTTTTAACAATCCGGTCACTTTCAGCAGTATTGCTTTGCGATCGTGATTTGGCATTCAGTGCTCTGTTAATTTGAGCATTATTGTAGCTATTCTGTCGTAGTGCGTCTTTAACGTGTTTAATCTCTCTCACTAGACTCTCACCATCTGACACTGTTTTAGCCCGATGTATGAGCGTCTTGATAAGAGAGGATTTCTGAGCTGGATGATGATGTGATTCTGCATTCAGATAGGCATCAGTGTGCGTTTGCTTTCTGTAAACGCTGTGTGTTATTTTACCGTTTAGGCCATGTCCAAGCAAAATATCTAGTAATGGGAGTGTGTTATTCACCTCCATTTCCATGGTGAACTGGATGGCCGGGTGTTGTGCATTGAGATGATTTAGAAAATCATTAAGTGTATCTTTACCATGTGGCCAGACAACCAAAGTGTCATCCACATATCTAAACCAAAAGGATGATTTTAATGTGCTCGAGGCAAGTGCTCTTATTTCAAAGTTTTCCATGTACAAATTTGCTATAGCAGGGGATAAAGGAGAACCCATTGCTGCTCCTTCCTTTTGTTTAAAGAAATCCCCTCTCCATAAGAAGTAAGTGTTATTTAAACAATGGCCAGCAAGTTTCAGAATATCTTTTGGTGGGCTAAAGTAGTGAATTATTTGTCTTTTGTCAACGTGACACTTTTTTTTGCTGATTGGCCGTGTCGGGTGTTGGAGGGTTACGACACATTTATAAATAAACGCGATCTAACCCAAAAACCTTTATTATGAATTTTGTACATATTTACTCCTTGTACATCAAGGGTCGAATAGGACTTTCAAATACCTTCGGCAGGGACGTAACATTAACGCACGCTCCAGTAGCATTCGTCACCGAAAGATCGCCTTGCTCTCGTATCTGCCGCCCCGCAGCTCCACCGGCGGCTTCTTTATGACGACCACCGCGGGGTGGACGAGGCTCTCAACGAGCCGGGCGTGTGGGGCAACGGCCTGGTCGTCAGGGGGCGGCACCTGCTGGTGCTGGAGGCACCGGCACGATCGGCCGCGCTGCATCGCCCGCTCGCTCAGGCCGAGTTCATGGCGCCCATGCCACTCATTGGGCCGCCTGTGCAGGCTTGGCCATCATCCACGCTCACCCAGGTGATGCTCGGTATACAGCTTTGCTCGTCGTTTCCCAGTTTGAATGCTTGCTCTGATCCCTTCGGGTTACCAAAGTTTTAAGCAAAACCCAAAAAAGAGCAGGGAGGAACCCCAGCGTGGAGGTGAGTCGGCGCCCCAACATTCCAGTGGCAGCTCGAGCAGCTCGTCAGGCTCGGAGATCAGCCATAAGCGAGAGCACCAGCTCCATTTGAGAGCGACACCAAGGCACAGGTCACTGCGACGCGGCCTCACTCGCACAGCGGAATGACGTTTTTCCTCCGAGGGGGCGTGAAGATTCAATCAGTTCAATCACCTTGGTGGTACACGTGGTGTTCACGCTGCTCTCTTGTTGTCCTTCCCCCCTCACCTCCCGATTAAAATGGTTGGCTACCTACGGTGCGAAAGAAGTTCTACATAAATATGTTCATATCCAGCTCCTTCCTGTGCTACTCTCAAAGTTCCAAGCATCACAGGAATTATACCAGTCCAGTCCAGTTGATCCATTTCATTCTGTGCCTTTCTCTCGCCGGTGTTCCTTCTATCATTTTCCTCCAAATAAATTCGATTTTTCTTTCTAATCGGCATGTGAATCTGTCCCGGTAGAAGCATGGCTCAGCAGGGCTTATAATGACCTGTCTCTCTTTCTCAAGGCACATTTTAAGAAGGCTTCTTGCATTATATCTATCAACCCAGTCTCCAAAGCGTCGGGTCAAACACACACCCACAACACACAACCACCGTGTTCATTGGCAGAAACGATGCTCGACCCTGACACGTCATGTCCGCACCTCCTGACTTAGTTTTCGGGGCTGACCCGGCCACTGCCGCCGAGCGTCCACCTCCTGACACTGGCGCCATGGGGCGACGGCTCGGTGCTGCTGCGGCTCGAGAACCAGTTTGAGCGCGACGAGGACGCGGCGCTGTCAGGAGAAGTAACCGTCGAGCTCACGGTCAGACACGCGCTTGCATGGACACGCGCCTACTACACAGATACACACACTTGCAATCACATGGACGTACACAGACGTACCCCGATAAACGCATGCGAAGACAGATATCCCCCGTATAGCCTTAAGAGACTTTTGGGGCAAGTGCTGTTAGCGATTACCCACGAAGGCTGGCACAGTACATGAGAGGCTAGGTGGCCAGCACCACATCCGATTGCTTTTATCTCCCCTTTGCTAATGTTTACACACTGCACCAGGTAGTCATTTTAGGCTGAGTCAACCTAGGAAAGGCCCAGGATCGGTTCAGATAATCATCACTCGTGTTTGCCGTGAACGGGAATCGGGTTGGCAGGTTCGTAGCACAGCGCGCTAACCGCTACACCACCACTCCCCTACACACACACACCCATATCGGCACATACATGCATATATATCCACTTACGTTCGCACCAATCCAGTGCTTAACCCATAAACTCCATCACATCCATTAACACCCACCACCATAGCTTGTGCAAATTTAGTGTAAAAGGCTGAAACCGTTATTTGTTACCTTGCTCGCACTTGGTCGCTTGATGAATGACGCCGTTATTGTATAAAAAAAATCATAATATACAATAGTGCACACGTTATGTGGCAGTTCACCAAACCCCAGCGCCTGCGTTCACAGGGGTTGTTCTCGCGGTTCGAGATCACGTCGCTGGAGGAGCTCACCCTAGCAGCCAACCAGCGCAAGGCCGACATGAAGAGGATGCGGTGGAGCACAGGTTAGTGCCACTTGTCCCCCCTCGCCAGGCACGGCGCTGGTGATGCACCACCTGTAATAAAATTGTGCTATCAGCATAATTTATTTAAAATTCGTTCAAACTTCTCGCAGGCCGGTGTGACCGCCATGTGATAGGAGAAACTGCCTTCAGTAGCAGGCTTTGGAGAATGTCTTCTGAAATCTCTGAAAGTATTTTTTTATGGACACATATGTAGGATGGACAACAACAGGAAAATGTTAAAGTTTGTTGCGTGGAAAAATGGAAGGAACCGTAAAGAGAGGAAGACCTCACAGAGAATGGCCTGATAACGACATTAGTCATTGGTGCCAGAAACATTTGGCACTACTTGAGCATATTGGCAGAGCAAAGTGGACTAGGGGACGCACAAGAGGGCACACTTCCATCTGACCTGCGCGGAAATAAATATTTCGTCCGATATTTTTTTAATTCACACAGCTGGAATTTATCTAAGTGAAAAAAACCGAAATTAAATTTTTATTAATTTTCTGCCATATTAATGGTGACCGGGCTGAGATGATAAACTTTCTAAACCCGATTTAGATACGGGTGGCTGCCCCAAATTCACACCTAGAATGTCAGCTTTGTCAACTCAGTGGTGTCATCCTTGAGCCACCCGGCCACCTTGAATCAATTTGTTTTAAAACGCAGTGATATTTTTTTTAAATCATTAATAATAGTTATTTTCAGCCCTTTGTCAATCCACTGACTACTCGCAGCCAAAGCCTCAAACATCTGATTATATTCAGGGAGTTTTTCCATGCAAGTACTAACCAGGCTTAACTTTGTATAGTTTGAAAGATCGGGAAAAAAGAGGCACATTAAGCATGATTAGGTCCTCTAGAAATGTTTGTTTTATTTTCAGCTCATGGCAGGAGACTGAGAGTGCGTATTTAAGCTGATGCCAATAGTGCAGTGATTGGAGTACTGCGTATTAATGTTACAAGCCAGAGTTTCATTCCTGACCGTGCACATCAATTTCAGTTGGCATCTCAAACCAATCCTTGGTCAGCTTGGCCTAAATATAATACCTGTTGTAATCAATACTGGGGAGCCAAAAGGTGGTCATTTATACAGAGTAGTTGTTTCCCCTTTGTATCACATGCCAGCATTAATGCGTTGCAATATCTTATGTCTATGTGTTTGTCTTCAGTTTTCAAAGCACAACTGCAGTTATGTAATCGTGAACTTTGGGCCACCTTGAGAGCTGAGCGTGATACCGCGTCACACTTTAAAGTAATCGCCGGTTAATCTTGGCTAGGGCTCAGCTGTGTTGGGATTCGGGTTGCCACCTCTGAGATGCCAAAAGCTGGGACACGTCATGTGAATAGGATTGTCGCAATCCCAGCAGAAGGGAGACCTACATGTGAATGCATTGTCTCGAGTAGTGTATTATTACTACTACTACAACAAATGGCAAAAACATGGACTTCCATATTTCCCAGGACAGCTGCCTCAACAAAAGGAGGGTCCTGGGAAAATCAGGACAAGAGGCAGCCCCATTTCAGATGCGGTCGATTTGCGCGCCGCGTGGTTACTTACTGCTTGCTTCTGCTCCAACAGAATCGAACGACATTGAGAAGCCATGGCAGCAGGGACAGACCGAGTCTGCCCTTTTGGCGATCACTCTGCAGCCTATGGAAATCCGCACGTTTAACGTTACCATTAAGTATTTGTAAACACAAGCCTGACCAATCACACACTGTGTCTTGCACTTCCAATGTCTCGGAGGATAAATTTTGTAGCTATTATAAGTCAGGGTTTTGGGGTGGGGGAGTTTGTAAGTATTCACCCAGATTATGCAAAACAGATCTGGGCCAATTCCACGGTAACAGAATTGCAGAGAAAAAATTAACTTGATTAGGGCATAACATTTCACGTAATAAAGGCAGTTCTCGTTCCACGATTTGATCATTAGTATTATCATAAAGTGGCTTTTCTATGTGGGCATGGTATGTTGACCAATTCGGGACTGTGTAATTCAGATGTAAATGTCAATCTTAAGTGAGAAATTTTCATAATATACCGCGGTGTTGGACATACTTGGACGAACTGACTTTTTCACATAAGCATTGAATTTTCTGTACGTGTAAAACTATTGACTCCATCCATAACCAAGCCATATTTTCTCAACTACCTTTAATGTAAAACTCCAAGAGTAATTTCAGGACGATTTGTTTTTGGTTGAGGCTGCCGAATTTGTGGATCGATCCATCGCCATCATGTGGGGTTCTAAATGTTTAGAAATGCAACTGAGTGTTGGTTTTCGCTCTTGTGCTGTACGGCTCTCCGATGTGTATTTTCGGCTTGTGCCACATGGAGTTCAGCATGGTGTCCAACAATTCTCTCCATATTGCTGTGTTTGGGACTCCTGCAAAAACAACCATGTGCAGCCAGCATTGGAGCACGTGGAGCGAAACGTCCGGGACATCGTGCTGAACAACACGTGGTACCAGAAATCGCATCTGAGAGTTTTTTTTTTCAACAGCAATGGCATTTGCACGTAATGTAAATTCCAATAGTAAATCCAAATCGTAAATCCAAATCGTAATCATGACAATTGAATCAACGTGGTGGGAATCGTTACAGTCATTCAGAATCAGACTTTTAATATATACTGGAGGAATCCGATGCGCTATAAAGCTCTTTAGCACATATTCGTTACGCTATCACACACACGTGAGTGACACTAGCAATGAGATTCTTGCCAGCTTTGATGTGCGTCTTTGATCCCTTAATCCTTTATGATGTGTAAACCAATGCTCTTACCTCAAATACTGATTGGTCCACACGCTAAATGTGGCACTGTATTAATGTAACGGTGTTTTGTAATTGTGATATAATTTTTTTAAATAATATTTGCACAAGGAGTGAGGTGGCTGTCTACATGGAGTGAATAATACCTTGCCCATATTTGTCTTTACGTAAAATTTTATTTTTTTGCACGTTAGCAGTATTGGAAATACAAGCAAACTCTGTGGACCAGTTTTCACTTTCAATGTCTGATCAGCAGAATCGGGCTTGCTTGAACCAATTCTGGTGAACTTCCCTTTGTTTAAAGGCAAGGACCCTCCCTGTTAGATACAAGTCCTATTTCTACGCAAAATAATGTAATACAAAACACAATAATCATTAGTAAACATACCTGTCAACCCCTTATCAGTGTCCTACCTTATTACAGACCAATTCAGACTTTATTGGTTACCCCGTGCCCCTTATACATCTCAACGTTCATCCTACAAAGTTCCCATCACAAGGGACAAACACAAACAAATAGACACAAATCTGTTTTTGCCCGGATTGAAACGGCTGTACACGCCATATGGACCTAAAAACTCAATTTTCCTGTACAAGAATACGGGTTAAACCGTATGGGTTGACACGGTATGAGTAAGTGTCATTGTGGAGGATGTTAATACAAAGTAAACAAATTATATGGAGAGACAAAAATGGGAAGCGGGGGGCTTTGTTAATTTTGTTATAGACGTTCTCCACAATCGCGCTGAAGTAACTAATTAGTGCGTTTTATTTACGTGACCAACCTTTCTGGCTGTGTCGGGTGGTGCAGGGTTACGACACATACTGACGCGATGATTATGTTGTGACATCGACATGGAAGGCGGTTTTAGCCGTGTAGGAAGCCGGTCCGTCCAGTCGAGGTGCTTGGCTCCATGGTTGAGGAGGCAATGCGGTCTTCAGGTTTTTCCAGTTGCAGGTGCAGATATCTGAATGAACTTTTGTGCAGGTGCCCTTTGTCCGAATTCCTGCTCTTCGTAGCCAGCTGCCTGGGTACCTTCCGCTCCATGGACTCCGGCGCAGTTTAACCCCTTGCACGCTCGATAGCTACAGAGGGCAGTGTGGGGAGATGTTTGGCTGTCTCTGTTTCGGCTGTTTAAGTCGCGTCAAGGCAGTGCCTTATGATTATACGGGAACAGATGTGTTGATATAGAGAGTTAAACATTGCACTCATTTGTTGACACATTGAATATGTTTTGAAGATTTAAATGTTTATTTTTAATACCCGGAGAAATGTAGTCCCGCCGTTTAGTAATGAATGTGATGAACGTGATTGGAATTTCTAAGCAAGTTGCCAAATACAGTGATTGTTGTTGATTGTGGAACATTTGAAATTAGATCAATGCATCTTCTGGACATTTGTTACTTTATGATATAAAAAAGCACCTAATAAACACTGGCACTTATTTCAAAAAAATGCTCTTCACATGGTCTTTCACGAAGTTATTCTCAGCTCGCTGCCCAAGTAATATGTTTATGAAATATGGCACTGCTTTTATGTCATTAAAATTAACTTGCAGAACACAACATAAAAAACATTAACTTGCAGAACACAATATAAAAAACATTAACTTGCAGAACACAACATAAAAAACATTAACTTGCACCACTCGTTTAACATGGGAACATTTTGTTATCAATGTATAGGATATCTCAGTGAACCAGCCCTTGCATGAGGCAGCAGCAGACATAAATATTTCAATTGACAGAACGTGCCAAAGCGCACGTTCTGTCATCAGCTCGGCAACAAGCCTTAGCCCACACCCATCTGGGTGTCACCGCATGCTGCTGCACAGAAGAACCGCGGGTACGACAAGGATTTCAAGGTGCCCGGAGATGCCTGCAGTCATTGCAAGCGTTTGCGGTGACATGGCTGAGCAGTAGCCCATTTGCCTCCTTGTGCGGAGTTTTGCGGTTCGGCTCCAGTGGCCGCCCTGGTTAACGCTCCAGGTGTACTATTCAAAGAATATGCGTTGGCTGCTTCACAGTGGGTGTTAGAGATTCCGGGATGTTGTTCAAACAGTATGCCATGTGTGTCAGCATCATGACGAGATATTAACGACCTCACCTGGTATACAGGAGGTCGTGGATTCGATCCCAACCCTGACGCCTGTATATTTGCAGTTTTCATGTTATCCCCGTGGTCCCATGGATTTTTCTCCAGGTTCTCCGGTTTTCCCCTCCACATTTAGAAGCATGCATTTAGAGTATTTTGCTGCTGTAAGTTTCCACATGATAAGCCACTTCGTTGAGCTATCACTTGTGGCCAGGTCGTGATGAAAAAGATCTATATAGCTCGTGGGCCTTACCTGGTAAAACAAAAAAAAATGTTTAGTTTTAAATAGCTTATTGCGGTCAAATATTTGGCAAATTTGAAAAGTTACTTGTGAATCACCCAATTGGGTAAAGCCACGTAGAAACATCACTCCCTACTTTGAAACGACTGCAAATTTTGTTTATTTATGAAACATCACGCCTTCCTTCGTGCCTATATAGTGCTTTGCACCATAGGAGTGGCGTGAATACCAAATCTACGGATGATTTGGTTTTAAAATTTTGAATCTTAAATCGGTTTCAACGATACCTCCTTGAACAATATTTTTCATGTTTATCGTGTATTTAGCTTTGTTCTCTGAAAATGTTTAAATGTAACTTCATAACACCAGCCCGTGATCACTTTCTGCGTGAAATTATCCGAGTACAGAGACATCGATGGGAATATTGAGTTGTGAGATTCAATTTAATTTGTAAGTTCTCAGTTTTTCCTCTTCAATGTCCATTTTCTAGACTCCTTTTTTTACAAAGAAGTTCATTATCCTACTGTTGCTGGTTGCGTGCTCAAGTAGACTTCCGCTTCTCTCGTTCCTCTTTGATACCAAATTTACCAACCTTGAAATCTGCTCCTTTTATCCATGTTCAGAATCTTCCATTATGACATTGTCGTGTGTGTTTGCAGTCGATTAGAAGTTGGTTAATTTCTCAACCACATTTAGTTTACTCCCCTATCTTTATGGCTTGTTTTATGGGAATATACAGTATTTCAATTGCCTTTCCTCCTTACTGATTTAAGAGCCTTTATTAGCTGGGCATTTCAACCTAAAGTACTCGTGAATCTTAAATTGGTCCTCTGCGCACAGTGGGAGACCCAGGGGTGGCATCGAAGTGATCAAAGGCGGCAGTGTCATGACACAACTGCACATTTGAGAAACTGAGCATCTATTTGGTAGGTTTCTTTACCTTTGACCACTGTAAAGGAAACTGAATCGTGGCACTGTTTACATGTGACAGAATGGCTTAAATCGATTAAAAAAAGCAATGCGTGCAAAAAGGATTCACCACATCCTATTTTATTTCTAAATTTAATGCTTTTGACGTTGAAAAAAGGTTAAGATGTCTTAATCCTACTTTTGCACACGGGCAGCCAGATGGGAAAATGTGAGCTTACAATGTTCTCACAAGGTCGACTTACAGTACTCAAGCGTGGACATAGGTTTAATGGTGAATTAATTTTCAAGAAAATTATTCGTGAAAATTGTTTTTTTCTTCTGGGGGTTAGATCGCGTTAATGTGTCTTACACCCACCTCCACGAGACAGTCAACTCGTAAGGTTTGTCACGTGAATAAAACGTAACTAGTTACGACTATAGCACACCGGTGTGTTTGAGAGCAAACCCACAACATTTACAATTGAGTACGACGTTGCTGGTGATTGCAAACCAGGATCGTACCGGTGGCGCTAACCGGGTGCCAAATTGGCACGTTTTTTTCCACATGACAAACCTTACACTTCTTGGCTCTGTCGGGTGGAGGTGGGTTTTACGGCACCGTTCACATTTACGCGATATAACCAAAAAAATCTTTAACGCGAATATTTGTCGCGAAAGCCTACGTGTTGGATTACAATTATTGTTCGACTGAGCAACTTTATCCAGATGGCGAGTCGAGCAGATTTGTAGATAAATGGATAATATTCTTATTTAGTTTTCTTACGTTACATTTTATAAACACTTTGGGCCCGATTGAGTGAGATCCCTCCACCTGCCCGTCTCGCTGGCGCCAGCTTCACAGCTGACTCGACTTGGGCACCCTTTTTGTTCAAGATCACATTTCACCGAGTCATTCCAGCGCTTCTGTGATCGTCCTGTATTTATTGTGCCCTGTGCTTGCGTGTGTAATGCCATCTATGGGATTATTTCCAGATGCGTCTAGGCCACGTGTCCAAACCACTACTAGAGTCATCTCTGATATTATCTCTTACTGCTTCGCTTCGTATTGTTTAGTCTAGATGCTCATTATTCTTCTCAGCCAGATAATTTCTGCAATTGCTATATTTTTTCATCGGATTTTCTATTTCTCCAGCATTAAGGAGCCATAGATTATTATTGACACACCTTGATTTTCACACCAATAGTATTGAAATACTGTACCCGTGTCACAGTATTACATTGTTTATTTCAAATTAATCCATTAAAAACGCCCACATATAAAAAATACAGCCTTACTGTCAAACCACTACTGCAGGGGTCGGGAACCTATGGCTCGCGAGCCAGATGTGGCTCTTTTGATGATTGCATATGGCTCGCAGATAAAACAAAATATTCTCACTTGTTTTAATCCATCCATCGATTTTTCACTGCGCATGTCCTGTTCAGGGCTGCAGGAGCAATTGTCCATTATTTTAATTGGATGATACTGGCCTACGTTTGCCGTTGCTGGGTAAAACAGGTAAACGCCCCCTTTTGAATCAGTCTGAGACTGCGTCTGCTCGGTCATTAGCTCAAAGCTAACCCTTCGACGAAGAAGATGGCGAAAAGAAAAAAAGACGACGAGTATCGTACATTTCAGGACGAATGGACCGAAGAATTCGCCTTTGTGGAGAGAGCGGGTTCTGCGGTGTGTCTAATTTGCAATGACAAAATTACATCGTTGAAACGGTCGAATGTAAAGCGGCACTTCGACACGCGCCACGCTACCTTTGCATCAAAATACCCTGCGGGAGACAGCAGAAAGAAAGCGTGCCAAGAGCTTCTGAGCAGGGTGCAAGCTAGCC